GCAGGCATGTACTTAAGTAAGTGTTCAGTAAAACCATGCTGAGGTTCAATGGACCATCAGAAAGAAAATCAAATTACCTCCCGCAGACCCATCTCTCCCTCCTCCAGAGAAGAGTTGACTTTTCCACTAAGTACATTATGTCAGTCCAGCTTCCAAGTGGTTTACAGCACATGTATATAATTTACTTCAACGTATTTCCTATATAGTGCAGAGGGTTTCTTTCTATGCTTGGTAAAAGTACCATTTTTCACCAAGGCCATTAAATATCACAAAAAAGATATAATAAACTTAGCCAATAGGTGAATTAATTTACATGTCAGCATCCATATGTAGTAAAATTAATGATTTTACTACAATACCAGCACTTTTATCAAGCTTTTTGGAGAGGAAACTGCCTCAAAAACGGTTGTCATGCTTTTATTTTGATATTTCTTCTACTTGCATTTGGTTCACATTACTTCCTGGATGGGCAATGTATGCTTTTATTTTGAAGTATAAGTAACATCCGGTACATCTTGCGTTACGAAAATGAGAAACAAAAGTTAAAATTTATCAACTGATTAGTTCTCCAGAGAGATACAAGCTTTAATGTTGTTTTTAGATTTACGATAAATATCCAAAATCCGTTTTAAAAGTGCTGAGTCGTCTCTTAGCTAGCTTGCTAACGGTTAGCTACTCCCTCTTTGTACAGTAACCAGAACAAAGGAGCACTAATATGAACTTTAAGGTGTGAGTATATGCTTAATTGTCGAACAAATTCAACATTTCAATCTTTTTTCCTCCTTTTTTAGAGACAACTATCAACAATCCTATATTTTAAAAGTCCCAGTTCACAATACGGGTCAGTATTGGTCAAGCTGCTGTTAAAGTTACCATGACAACAGTGAGTTCTAAATTCTAAAACTTCTATATTTTTTTGTTCTATTTTATTTCTATGTCATATTTCTAAAGGAAAGTTTTGGTTGTTGGTTTTGGATGTTATTTGCTCATTTTTTTGGAGCCTAAATAACATTTTCACTGAAATTTGAACTTGGACTTGTCAGCATTTTATGTCGGAATGACAGGATTTTATAAAACACTTAATTACTATTGTAAAAGGCTAGAAAAAGGACATACTAAGCTTTTAATCTGGTAGATAAAGCACATGTTGATTGAGGTTACCTGTTAAACCTTCCACCATCTCAATAATCTTCTGACCCAACATCTACAATTACAAGTTATCATCCAAGGACTTGTGATTTTTTTTGTCACCTTATACAAGCAAACTTCTGCATATAATTGAACAACTAAACAGAACAAGAATAGAGAGGGATTGAATGTGGAACAATTAGAGGAATTAAAAGAGCAGTTTGTAATATTTAGGCGTATTCAGCAGGACAGACCTGATAGAAATAGACTATAATCTTAATAAATATGTTTGAATTAGAGCGTAATCACTTATTCTGCTTTTACTTCAGGTGGTTTTCTAGGTTATTATTGAAGAGTTGTTTAACTCAGTTGGTTTGTATCACCCGCATTATTTTATTTGAAGAGTTTGAGCTCCATTTATTAATTCTGCAAAATACTTTTTTAAATATTTAAAAAGTATTTTGCAGAGTTAATAAATATTAAATCTGAACATATCAGATGAGCTTAGAAAAGAGGCTCTGGACTCCTCACTCTAATGCAGATTTAGACGAACGTGATCATCAGTGTCAAACATCCCAGAGTATCTAAAAGATTCAAACATGAAACTCAGAAATACTTTATTGTGGTACACAAAAAATACGATTGGAGCCACATTTCCTTCTTTTTCCTGTCTTTGAACGTCCGGTGGCCCAGTGTGGAGGAGGCACGATGAAGTCCTACATCCCCCAAGGTTGAGGGCAGGAAGGGATAATCAGGTATTTTTAGCACCTTGACTCTAGGAAAACCAAACAAAGGTGACCACCCGCCTCTTCTGGCCGCTGAGCAGATAAAAATAACACCCAGCGGCTATCATTACATGAGATCTCTATAGGGGCAGCGCTGCCTCACTTTGGGACATGTTCTTGTTTTAATTATAGAAACCTAATGAGCACAATGTCTTACGTACAATCCTCAGGCCTACCTACTTTTGAAAAGCCCCTTTCAGTCTGAATTCTCCACATCCACGTTTCTTTGAGAGCTCCTGTTTTGATTCCTGGTAATTAAGTCTAGACGTGGCTTTAAAAGGAGCCCTGGACCACAGGATTTAAGTTAACATTCAAATTACTAAGCTTTACATCCTCCTCCTCCTCCTCCTAAAACCTAAAATGTACATTTGAAGACAGAAAAAAACAGTTTCTATAGGTTGAAGAAAATAGCAGCACCCAGTATAGCTTCCCTGCCCACCCAGTATTTTGACATCTTCAGCAACATGCCGTTCTTTTTCCATCCGCCTTGTCCAGTTTGTTTTCCTGCAGGACTCAGCACGCCCCGGTCACATCCACCTACACTCACGTTCCCATCCTCCTCACGGGACCCTCAGAGCTGCCGGCTGAGCTTCTGCGCCTGCCTCTCCTTGGCGTTGAAGGCGTACTTTGTGTCCTGTAGCTGATCTATGATTTCTTTGGCCTCCTTCATCTCCACGGCGAGTTGGTTGTACTTCTCCACCAGCTCCTGGTTCTCCCTCCGGAGCTCCACCACCAGCTGGCTCAGCTCCTCGCTCTGCTTCCCGCAGTGCAGTTTGAGCTGCTCCATCTCCGACAGCGTCTCCTCCATGTGCTTCACCAGGCTCTCCAGCTTGTCCTTCGACATCTCAGCTGTGTTTTTGTTCAGTTTTTCACACAGATCCTGTCCGGCCTTTGTCTTCTTCCTCCCGAGTCGGCGCTTGTAGCCTGTCTGGAGCGATTATTGAAGTGTTTCATGTCTCAAATAGAGCAGATATCCCTCCCTGCGTAGTAATCTCCTTAGCAGAGCTATCCTTGGAAACCTCCAACGCACACAGGTGTGACACACAGCCACAATGTCTCCTGCTTAAGTCCTCTCCATGCAGAGGATGAAACTGACGGATTACTTCTGCAGTTTCATCCACTTGTCAGTCAACAAGCTTAAAGGCCTACAAATAAACGTGACCTCTAATTTGATATTGCGAGGAGAGCGACACAACAACAAAAACAGATCCATATTTCTCTTCCTCCATCACTTGTTCAGTCTTTTCTTGTTTGGGAGCCACCCAAACAGCTTGAAGTGGATGTGGTCACCTAATCTGAACAGAACAAGTGTCTGGAGTCGAAGCACGGGGAGCCGCGTGGAATTAACTCTGCTCGTTCAGCGGCGCAGCCACACCGTTCACATGCCAGAATGAGGCCGCGCTGAGGGCCCGTTGGGAAAGTCACAGTATGAGGCTAAACATTCTGGGTGAACTGCCATACCGTGCCACTGTCCCAGCCAGCCAGGCCAAACGGTCCCCATGGCGACGGCTAATGCGTCCAGCAGGCCAGACAACACGCCAACTGAGTCCATCGGCCAGTTGGCAACGGGGGACGGCGAGCGCGGGATGCCAGCGCATCAGCACGCCGAGGAATTTCCACAATGTTCCCACCGTCTGCAGAAATGCTTTGCGTCAGAGGATTTGTTCGCAGATAATCGGTGTCGACGATGCAGGAGAGACGACAGTATTCTGGAAGAGAAGCTCCAGCAGTGTTGCCCCTGACCTTTGACCTCTGCGTGGAGGGGGGCTACACGGAGAGAAATCAGTGCAGACTTACAGAGAAATTCTCCGTCATAGAGATTTATGTCACGATTAGTGTGAGAGTTCAGCGGGGGAATCTCCAGTTTTCTTTTTTCTCTTTACTTCTGTGTTTCTATTTTCTGCTTCATGATGAACGGTCGTAGTTTTTACTCGATATTTTAACTTTGAGATAAAAATAAACTCAAACACAGCAGAGAGTGAGATTCATAAAAGCTGAAAAAGCCTCATCTGTGGTTAGCGCTGATCTTATTGACACATTTATAATCACTTCCTCTCGCAGAGGAACAACATGGCGTGGTTTTAATCCTATCGGTCAGATCACATTCGTCCGTGTCAACAAAGCCCCGAAATAAAAACCAAAAGCACGTCGATGAGCGGTGCCAGGACCGACTCTTTAAACCTTTATGTGCCTCCTCCAGGATTAGAGCCACATAAGGAAAGAACAAAAAAGATTTTGAGGATTAAGTTGCAAAATTAGGACGATGAAGACGTAAATTCACAAGAATAAAGTCATAATATTAGATTTAAGATTGGAGGAGCAGACACCAAACCTGCACCTGGACGAGAAACAACTTTACAAAAGAATGAAACGTCACAAATTAAAGCGAGAGAAGAATCAGAGCTTTGAAAGACCGTGAGCAGGAGATAGAATTATTTGCAGAAGTATAATTTTGATAGATGCTCAGTAATCCATTTTGATGCATATAATCTTACAACTACATTCCAGTAATGCATTTGATACTGTGAGATTTAGCTTTTCCTCCTCTAAACCTTCAGAAACACAGCTCATCATTCAGCCGTTATGTGGATGATATCAACTAAAGGCAGATCAAACCATTCAGATAATCTCAAAGTATGATTCTGGGTCCTGCACCTTTACAATGCTAAAAAAAGTAGATGGTGTCCCTCTGCTATCACACATCTTAGATCAGGATCGGATGCTTGACTTGCAGGTGAAAAGCACTTAAAGAAAAGCAGATTTTTGTCCGACTATTCCTGCAAAAATCAAGCACATACTGTCTCAAAGTTTAGCAGAAAGATAGGCGGCTGTTTGGTTTTACAGTTAAAGAAGTGTGCCTGAAGTATAGAGGCCACATCCCTTATTAAATCCAGGTATGACACTTAACTGTGCGGCATCCCCAACACTCAGCTCCAAATCCTCCAATCTAATGAAACAAAAACACCTGAAAAAATAACCTCAAAAGAGCCACGCAGAAAAAAAACTATCACTAGCTTCTTTTAAATGGGCACAAATCTTCGGAATAAAGCCTCAATCGGAATGAAAAAGCGTCATGTAAACATGCCGATTGGAAGATTCTGATCCAACTCGGCTCAATCGGAAAGAAATTGTATTCCGATCAATAGGGGAGGTTTATGCCGATCCGTTATTCCGAAACGCGTCCATGTAAACACTTATTCCGATTGTGACTCTCTTACCTGACTCGATCTTCAATCTTTAGCTTATTTATTAAGGTCAGTTCAGGAGGTTTCGTTATTAACACTCTGGCTTAAAACACAACTGCAGTTAACGTGTCTGCTCCTCCGATAACATAACAAAGTGTACGTACATCGTAATGATGTCACATCTGCACGTACAGTACAACCTTTGACAGAACAGTAAAATAAGTAAGCAAGGGCGCCATCTAGTGACATTTACCAGGAGGGAAAACTCCTGAATTAGATGAAGTGAGCCCCTGACACGTTTGTTGGTTTGTTGACAGCACAGGTGTCAACACAACTCTTCTTCTTCTGTGGTTGTTTTAGCGAAATTAGACGACTCTGCGCATGTCCAAAAGCTTCTAATCTGAAACAAACTCATAATCGGATAATTTGATTTTGCACCCATATAAACAGAAGATTCAGATTTTCTGATCCCTCAAATTTTTAACCAGATCAAGACGTTTTGCCCATGTAAACATGTCTATCGCGTTGGTTATTTGTCCCCTATCATGCTGCCCTTAGATTAGCACATCATTTTTCTGCTGTCGGCCAAACTCCTCTCTGACTCTGTGCATCACCAAGACTACAGTGTCTCTGGAGGAGAGTCTGAAACACACCGGCGTCTCTCTCTGTGGTTAAAATCCCCAGTAGCTGTGTACCTACATGGGATGTGTGCACATGCTCACCCACAACCAACACTCGCATATTTTGATTGGCCGTCTAACTCTGCTCTGGTCGGCCCCGGCTGAGAAGAAATAGAAATAAGGACGCATAAAAAATGTGCAAAACAGAGAATGTTTGGGTTTCGTTATTTATTAAAAAAACAAAATCTGAATTGAATAACTTTGCATAAACACACAAATGCATGTGAAGGACAGAAAAAAAAGCTAATCACCCCAAAAAATCCCCAGAAACAAAACAAGGGAAGGAAATGTTACCGTTCTGCTCTCACACGGTTTCTCCTAAGAAAGCACGAAACTTCAACAAGAGAGCAATCGTCACACCTCCTCCTCCTCCTCCTCTGTCAGTCTGCATGATCCCACATCTGAGTTTGGGTTTTTGCTCATCGTTACTCTTCAGTTTAGCTTTTTGGTTCGTTTGAAAAAATCGATTCGTCTCGTTTCTAAACAAATTTGGGAATCAAATTAAACTACGGCTGGATTTGGACGGGCAGAATTTCTGTCCCAGTTTTCTCTGAACCCCCCCGTGAAAAAGTACAAAGTTAATTTTCTGCATATCTTGAAAAAAATTATCACTGTGTAGTGGAAATCATTTTCAGGTTCGATGTAGCATAGTTCCAGACAGCACCAGGTAAGCGTCATGAGGGCGGCTGAAGCCTAAAGGTTCAGAGTTTGATGATCACGCGTTACAATCCCTGTAGAAAAATGGATCCGATGGACTCTCAGTGAGGGGAGAGAGAATGAAAAGCACATTTCTGTCACACGAGAACGACAACATCTATTACTGAAACGCCCTTGAGCAAGGCACTGAACCTCCGACTGCTCCAGCAGAACTGCTCAGTGGCTGACAGTACACGACCGACATGGCAGGCAAGTCTCAGGTGTGAGTGTGTGGGTGTGTTAGTGTAAAAGTGTGTGTGTAAGTGTAAGTGTGTGTGTGTGTGTGAGCTTTTCTCCCTCTGCAGGCTGTGAATTTAAACAAATCTGATCACTTAGAATTTCACTTCAAAACTTAAAATTCTGCTTTTTTTTTCTTTTTAGGGGGTGAAAAAACGGCTCAGATTTCAGAGCTTTGGTTTTCACGTGATTTCAGTTGAAAGAAATACGTTTTAACTTCCTTAACAGCGGTGAGAAAAGCACGTCTGGTGACCGACAGCTCAAACACAATCAAACTACACGTGAACCAGTCTAGAATCGAGACCATCAGACGGCGTCCGTTAGATCCACGAGGTTTGCTCGCTCTTGTTTTTAGATCGCGGGGTAAAAACGAAGATTAACGTCTTTGAAGGGAGATTTAAAGAAACAGTCTCCCCCTTTGCTCAACAGCTACCGCCGAGGTGTCCCTGAGCAAGGCACCTGCTGTAAAGACCGCCCCCTGCTGGAGAAGCTTCCAGGTATGACTGTGTGGATGTGGAGCTGAGAATGGAGGCAAGCTTCCCTGCATAAATAAAAGACCCCCGCCAACTTCCGCCCCCGTTTGGATTGAGCCTGAGAGCGGCCGCTGATCGGCAATTTGAGGATGAGCTCCCAAGTCGAGCGGGGAATGTCACTCCTTGGTTTTTAAAAGTGAAATAAAACGTTTAAGAACAGCTGCTGCTGAAGGGGGTGTGGGGGGGACCCCCGTTCGCCGCCGGGGAAAAAAGGCAGAACAAAAACAACTTGTGTCCCATCATCATGAGTCTTTAGGAGGGGATGTGGGGGCGGGAGAGGCCCCGGCATCGCCCTTTGTTCCCCGGCTGTGAAGGGACCGCTGTCGTCGTGTTGTTGGCCGGAGGGCTATGTGGGTGAGAGTTATCAGGGCAGCATCCTGCTAAATGTAGAACTGGTGAAGCGCCAGCCTGTCCATGAAGGGCTGCACCAAGTTGTCGGTGGCGAAGTAGAAGACCAGGCCGAAGAAGATGGAGATGGGCAGAGCGGGGAGCGCTTTCTTGAAGATGGCGAGGAGGAGCAGGGTCAGGCACAGGCCCTGTGGGAGCAGACGCAGACAAAATAAAACCGGGGAAAGGGCACGTTGTGTACCGCACAGACCCCGCTCAGTCAGGGGCACAAAAACACCACAGGTTATATAATCAAGTGGTTGACATAAAGCCGGGTTACATATTGTGTTGTGAGGTTGTGGCGGACACAAAAATAAGCAGCTGCGGTCACTCACAATGAGGATGGCTACGAAGCAGGCGAGCGTGGTGTTCCAGTCGCCGCTGGCTGTGGCCGAGGCTTTCCCCACCAGCATGCTGTAGAAGATGAAGTCCCCGAGGCCCAGCTTTACGCCCCCTGAAAGCACAGTAGGACACCACAGTCAGGGTGGAGTCAAGTCAAAAAAAAAAAAAAACAGGAGATCGCTTCAGCGCCGCGCCCTTACCCCCGAGGAAATCTTCCCTCAGCTGTAATTACTGCAGAAACAAGAGCTCGGACCCCGTATTTACCCGGGCTGTAGGTTAGAGCAGAGCGCAGTATGGACACACCAAACCTAGCAATCGACACAAATAATCGCCTCCTAATGTGCGCGGACTAAATACAGTCTGGAGGGGCCACCGTACAGAGAGCAGGACTCATAAAAACCTCCGGAAACGGCCGAGGTGTCGGTGAGAAGGACGTGAAAGACGATGATGATGATGATGATGATGATGATTACACACTGAGAGGAGACAGTGAAGACAATGAGGGAGAGACTCAATTACAGAGCTGAGATTTAAATATGTAAATTTAAACTCAGAATGTTGTTTTGTTTTTGGTTATAAAGCGATGCTCGGTTTTATACGAACACAAACCAACAGAGAGTCGTATATGAAGGGTAACGCTGCGTTTAAATAAAGTGATTATGAAGAGATGTCGGGATTTAGAGTCAAACAATCAAACAGAAGACGGACGTTTCAGCTTCTGATTTGAAACGACAAACAAACTGGAGCTGTAATTGTTGATGTGTTTGTTTTAAAGGGCAATCCGCAGATTTTTTTAACCAAATTAAAAGTGTTTAAAACAGTTTGGATCCAAAACAACAACAGTGGGTAAGACACAAAACTAAACAAAGACGACATAAATAACAGTCTGAGCTTGTCTGGTTGAAGCTGCTCACAAAGAGCGACAGTCCTTACTGCAGTGATTACTGGTTCGACTAATTGACTGGATATAATACAAATGACATGACTCCGCCTCCCGTCATTGTACGAATTTTGGGGATTTCTCTCCATTTCCTGAAACCGGCATTTGCAAAGTAGCGTCCGGTGGGAGAGTCGCTGTGATGACGCTCAGCTCAAACAGCGTATCCCTGCTGAGCTACGCAATCTCTGAACGCCCTGTGTAATTAATTTATAAAGTTTGTCCACAGCTCCATAGGGATTTCTGGAGGAGGCGGGACTTATGACCTATACTGCAGCCCGTCACTAGAGGGTGCTGTTCTTGTGGTGGCTTTACCAAGCGGGGAGGTAAACGGCGTCCATTCTATATACAGTCTATGGTTCGACTCCTGACACTGACCCCTTTCTGCATGGCTTCGCCAACTCTGTGCTACCTTCTGTCTCCAGCCGCCCAGTTTAACTTCAAAACTAAAGAGGATTAGGGCCACCGGGAAAAAAAAAAAAAGGTCCGAAATAATTTTAAAAAATTATTATTCTAAAAAAAAAGTAAGAATTCTGACTTTAATCTCAGAATAATAATTTAAAAAATTATATTGGACCTTCTTTTTTATTTTTTCCAGTGGCCCTAGTCCTCCTCCGTACAAAACATTTTAAATTGTTGTTTTATTTTCTTCTTTTACTTCTCTCCGACCCCTGCTGTTTTAAAATGCACTCTATTGATAAATTTGGACCAGATTAGATAATTAAAGTAAGAACGCCCTTCCTCTGAGTGGATTAAACTTAAATCAGGAAGTAGATGACATTACTGCTGATCTGTGAAACAATTTTTTTGTTCACTTTAGAGTCATTAAGGCTGTAAAATATGCAAAAACAGGGCCCAGCTTAAAAAAGACTAACATCTCTTTTAATAATTGATAAAAACACGTGTCGTGACCAGCCTCAGGACGTTGTAAGTCATGTCTCTCTCTTTGTGCTTTGGGGCGTTTTAACTCCCGTGTTCACACGTTTACAACTTCAGCTCAGACGGCAGCTTCAATCATAAACGAATATTAAAAAGAGGCGTGAGTGCGGGCTCGATTTTATGTGAGGCAGTGATTAATAATTCATCATCCATCATCTGCTCTGTTTAACCGCTGTTAAGAGAGACAGGATGTGTTTTAGATGTTGTCGTTGATGTAAATCTAACTAAATGGAAGTCCAGATCAATTATTAAAGAGATCATTAAGCACTAAAGAGATCAAATAGCTCTTCATCGGAGGAATATTAAAGCTGAGTGACTGCAGAGGCCGCGGAGGGCGCTGACGCTTCACCGCCAACAATAAAAGACGATAAAAGACTTGAAGTCAACACACGCTAACCGTAACCGTTCACTAAAATCATCAAACACAGCGTGAAGGATCCCGCTCTCATCACTCACTCTCCTCATCGTCGTCATCAACGGGAGGACGAGCCGACGGCATCTCCTGGATCTCTCGCCTGGTGTCCTCCGTGGACTGGATCGGCCCCAGCTGGTGCTGCTGCTGGTTGACCCAGGTGGGGGTGAAGCCTCCGTCGTCCTGCGACAGACTGGAGGGAGCCGGGGACGCGACGGCTGCAGACGAGAGTCAGCGGTCAGACTAAACACTCGAGTTGAAAGGTAAACACTCGGCTGCAGGTTAAACCTCAGAAATAAAAACAGAAAACAACAGCTGCTGCTGCGACAGCGAGCTCACCGTCTGCGGTCTCCTGCTGGGGCGATGCTGCGTCTGTGGAGTTTCTCTTCGGCCTGTCTGTGTCGGCCATGTTGACCAGCCACACCATGGTCGCTGAGGACGAAGAAACAAGACGATAGATTTAATCAAATGTCGAACACGGAGAATTCAAAATAAACAAGAGAAAGAAAATAACCAGAAACTTTTCTTTTTAACTTTAAAATCAGTCTTTAACTTTCATTTTCATGTAACTAACTTATGTTATTTTCTGATCACAGCTGTTACTTTATTATTTCTCTGTTATAACCATGATTTCATCTCCTTTAAGCGCTCATATGTTTGTGTTTTACTCTATTTGTACACTGGACAAGTGTCGCTGTGCAGAAAGTTGATGAAAAGTTCTCCTGAAAGTTTGGAAATGTGTTTAAAGATATCCTTAAAGTGAGGAAAGAGTCGATCAGAAAAAAGTCTCATAAACAGCTGGTCAGCCTCTCTAGTTTTTCTATTTCTACGTTGTTTTATTTTATTTTTTATCTGAAACTGAACAAGTTGAAGTTTGTTTGTATGATCCGTCTTACAGGAGTAGATGAGAGCTGGGAAGATGGGTTCATTCCTCTCCTGAGCCGTCTCCACCAGGATCCTGAGAGGCCCTTTAGGACAGAGCACCGCTAACAGATCTGAGAGAGAGAGAGCGAGAACGAGAGAAAGACACAGAGAGAGAGAGAGAGAGAGAGAGAGAGAGAGAGAGAGAGAGAGAGAGAGAGAGAGAGAGAGAGAGAGAGACAGAGAGAGAGAGAGAGAGAGAGAGACAGACAGAGAGACAGAGAGAGACAGAGAGAGAGAGAGAGAGAGAGACAGAGAGAGAGAGAGAGAGAGAGAGACAGACAGAGAGACAGAGAGAGACAGAGAGAGACAGAGAGAGAGAGAGAGAGAGAGAGAGGTTAACCACCAAACAGAAGCAGCAGCTTCACAGGAGGACGGGGCTGAAGAGTTTCCTGCTGAAACAAACAGCTGCACCGTTTCTGACAAAGAAACAAAGTGAGACAGTGACGCTCCGCTACACCTCGCCTCTAATGAGACGTGGACAGAGGCGTAACGTCGTCCTACAGCTGACGACAGAGACACTACAGCCACTTTATAACATTTCTGCTCTTTTAATAATGTGTAAATAAATACAACTTTTGAATTGGAGCTGACAGGGTGGAACAGCGCTCTGTGTGTGTGGAGCTTGTGTGTTTCTGTGTTTGCTGCTGCAGGGTTCAGAGTCAGAGTAAAGGACGGCAGCGATGGCTGAATTTTGTTCACAGTTTGTAGAGGAGAGTTCGCTCTGAAAACAAAGTGGGTGCTTACAATAACAAACAGTTTTTTTTAGGGTCATTTTAACTTTATTTGACCAGACAGGAAATGTTTGTAAAGAGAAACATAACAGAACGCCAAGGCCATGTGTGGAACCTGCTGCGCCGCCCCTCTGCATATGAAGCATGCACTTAAACCACGGACTGAAACGGGCATCCATGTTCCATGTTTTTTAAAAACACGGTTTCCAGAAACAGTAAACTCCTGAGTACACCAGAATCCCCTAAACTGTCCTGTATGTTGTTAGAGTTTCCGGTTTTCTCAGAAATGGAACCAAACGCCCCAAAAAAACAAGAAACGTCACGGCGGACAAAACGTCCCTGAAGTTAAAGTGAAGCATGAAAACATTTGAAATGTTGAGTCCGTGTTTTGTCTGCACCTCCCTGCAGGAACTGGACCTCTGCAAACTTCACATCCATCATATTTACTGCTGGTTTATCATTTTTTCTGGACTTAAAAATCCTGTTTTAGTGCATCAAAACAAACAAACAAACAAAAAACATCTTTAAAGCAAATAGCGACACTGATTTTCGAGCCGTTTCGAGACACAACAGGCTTCCTTTATCGACCTTTATTTAGTCGTCTCCTTCCCTTTTCTTCGAGATTTCTAAACCTACATTTCCCAGAAGCATTTGCATAAGATTTCAGCGATTGAGAAACATCCTCTCCTCAGAAAAAGACACCGGCAGAAAGAGGAAATGTGGTTAAAGATGAAGCGCGCTGATCGATGGGTTCGTCCCTTTCAGTCCGAGTTAAGATCTTGTTCTGATCATGTGTTTTAAATCAGAGTATTTCCTCTAAAAGAAACCAGATGTCTGAACACTGATGCACTTAAAAAAAAAAGCTTTTAAAAGGTCGGGCGTTTTCCTCAGAAGTACTCAGATCATAAAAGAGAGAGAGAGGGGATTTACCGTAGACAGATATGACGGCCAAGATGAGCCAGGCGGTCCACTCTGGCAGGTACTTGATGAAAACCAGAGCCATGAGGGCGCTGATCATGATGAGGTAGGCCTGCTGGAGCCGCAGAGGTCCTTTCCAGTGAATACACATCATGCCCACCACGCCAAAGTTCCAGATGATCACTGCCAGGGTGAAGTAGTCCATGGCCACATTGTAGGTCTTGAAAACCTCTCTGCGGGTCAGAGCAGAAACATGACAGACGCACCTGGAAAGACTCGATCCGACGTCGTAAAGAACGAGAAAAAAACTCGACATTTATGAGAGTCAGAGGAAGGGCGGAGGCTTACTTGAGGTAGATGTAGGAGAAGAAGAAGAGCAGGAGGAGGGAGGAGAGGAAGAGCCAGCCCTGGATCACCTGTGAGGAGTGAGGACAGAGTCAGAGTCCATGATCCTGTTAAAGCGCCTAAACCTGCAGTTCCTCATGTGGCCACTGGAGGCTCCAAAAGTGACTCGTTTTACAAATGTGAAGTCTTAATGAATCATTTTAAACAGTGATGCCACAAACACGTTACCTAGTTACTCTAATAAGTTACTCTAAATTTTTTCGATAACGAGGAATCTAACGTGTTGCTATTTCCAAACCAGTAATTAGATTTAAGTTGCACGTCCAAGTCACTGTGTGCGTTACTTTTTTCTCAGTTTCCTTAAAAAAAAAAATAGACGATTTGTTTTTGTCCGGAGGAAGTTGCGCCAGTCACGTAGGCGCAAGGCACGTTTTCAACACGAGGACCACTCACGTGTAATACATGTGCACAAACATGAAGCAGCCGCCGCAAAACGAAAACATAAACAAACAACAATGGAGGGAGGAGAGACGAGCGCGTTCTCGAGCTGGAAATACAGCCGCTAAGTTAAAGACTGTCTTTATTTTATATTTTATTTTATTTTAAAAATTGTTTATGTTCCGTCAGTCAAGAAAGATTTTCTTTATTTCTTTTTTTTATATACATGGATTTTTTTGACATTCCTGTTAAAATTAAACTTCCAATAAAGTGAGTGTTGGAAAGAAAATGGTTGTTATTTATATGTTAAAGCTGCTGAATGTAACTTAAAAAGTTACTCTTTATCTTAGTTACTTTTAAAATCAACAAGTTTAGTAACTAGTTACTTTTTGAAGGAGTAATCAGTAATCAAATTACTTTTTAAAAGTTACTGTGGACACAGATGTTAAATCTGTTAATATCAGTTTTATGTTTTTTTAATGACTTTTTTCTTTTTATCTTTATTTTTTCCCCTAATTTAATGACCTATCTTCATATATTAAGTTACGTTATAATTCGTCAGCACTCATTTATATGTAATTCTTTAATAAGTTAGTAACTGTTGATTTTTTAACTGACAGTTACCGTATTTTTCGCACTGTAACTCGCACTTAAAATCCTTTTGTTTTGTCAGAGCACCTCGGCTACCGTAGCCTCACGGAGTTATTGAACGAGTTAAATAAAGTTTGACTTATCTGACTGTTTTGTTTGGCTTAATGCGCTTTAGAATCTGGTGGGCCTTATGTATGAAAATCGACATGTTCATTGATGGTGCGCCTTATAATCAGATGTGCCTTTTTGCCTCATTCATTAAATAACTTTACTTTTTAAAATCATCTTTTTCCTTTAATTCCCTTTGGTCCAAACAAACTCAGACTTCAGAGCGGTGGTGCACTAGCAGCTCTTTAGTGACTCTGCAGACTAGAATCGTTGAATATTTGAAGCCAAACTGACACGATCTAAAAACTCGACCTCCAGTTTTACCTCACGTACCCTCAGGTTACAGATCTTTTTAAAACAGTAACAGTCGTCAGTATGATAGTCTTGAGCAGACAGATCTCCGTCAGGGAAAACAAAGGTAGAACTAACAACATTAGCGACGGCTGGGTTATGAAATTTCCCTGGAAGCCATTAGACCGTGTCGGCACGCCGAGAGATCAGAGCTGGCAGACGTTAATGGAATGAGGTTGGTGTAACAGCGGGTACACCTCTGTGCACGACAAGTCCAAACATCACCTGAGAGAAAACTGTTAGTACACAGAGTCCACTTTGACTCCACCCAGACACCCGCGGTCTAAATGAGTCTGTGATGACAAGATGAAACCACATGGGAGGTTTGTTTTCCTACGAACGTTTTTTTCTGTTCTGTCTCTAAAGTCTTAAAATATTCATGTTTTTTTTTAGGGTGTTCACCTTGTAGCAGCGGTACTTGTAGAGCAGCACCAGCACCAGGGTCATGACGATGATCACAGTGATCATGATGGTGGCGTTCAGGATGGAGTTGACGGCTCTTTGTGCTACTGTGTCCGTGTCTTCAGGGAACGGCGTGTAAATCCTAAAGGGGGGAAAAAAGTTCAGAGACAAACCTCAATAAAAATCAGAAACCCTTAAAGATCCAGATCCAGTCAAACCGTACAGGTGTGATATTCATTGCATTAACTCCCCCTAGTGGCACTGCGGCTGTGTTGCAGCTCATTCAAACTGAAAAAGTGAAGGCAGAGTTGACTCAAGAGTTAAAAAAAAACATCTAAAATCCCTTTTTTTAAATAATTTTAGCATTTTATCCGTTTTTTGTTGTTAAAATATGTTTCCAAATATCTGTTCATGCTTTCTATAAGGTATTCAATATTTTACTTCACTAAAACAGGAAAAAAAAGGGTTAAAATTCACTCATTTTGTATTTTTTTTCTTGTCAAAATCATAAAAGTTTGAATAAATATTTTAAACTTGATCCATAAAGTCTAATTTTTTTTATTTTTTCTGATTTTCTTCCCTCAATAAAAAGTCTCAACACTCACAATCTCTGCCCGTCGTTCTGGGTGTAGAAGCTGACCGACTTTATGGTCGCCACGACGACCACCATGCAGAGGGTGACGGGGACGAACAGCATGATGACGTGCTTGGCCCCGTATTTGAGGGTCAGCTCTTCATCCTCTTCCTCGTCGGTCTCCACTACACGAGGAGGCCGAGCGGCGGGGGGTTGTCCGTTCTGCTCTGGTCCGCTCCCGTTCCCACCCCCTCCTCCTCCTCCTCCATCACCACCTCCTCCTCCTCCTCCTGAGCCTCCTCGGGACCGTGCTCTGACACCCCCGGCGTCCTGTGGCTGCGGGGTGGGTCCGGGGGAAACATTGGTCTCCTGCGTGTTCTAAAAGCAAAGGAGAGGACACAGAGACAGTCAAGAGACGGAGGATTCAACACAAAGAGAGAGAGAGAGAGACGGGATTTCTCACTCTGACGCTTGAAGTCATAATTAATTAAATCACTGTGGGACATCCTGACAAGTCCATGTTATCAGACATAAGGTGAGATATAGAGTACAAAACACCTGTGACACCTGAGTCAGACTTTCTCCTGTCATTCAGGACTGCAGCATGTGCACCAAAAGAAAGACTGTGAGTGAGAAAGTGAATAAAATTTGTCTTATTATTGAATTTCTACGTTTTTAGGCCGTAGAGAAGTCATAGTGGTGTAAAACGGAGGTCTTTAGTTGGACCGTTTAACAAATAATTAAATCTCCTGGTCCAGAAAAGTTCATTTAGTCCGACTGTATATTAAAGATAAACATTTCTTGTAGTCAGACCAGTGTGGATTTCTTTTAAGGCGGCAGTAGAGCTCAGGAAGAGGGTCTAGAGGATGGTAAACTGGGATGAGGAGGGGCACATGCCTTCATAACGGGGCGTGGTCTTCCTGCCACTTCAGGTAGGACAACTAAACCTGGACAAATCAGCTGACAAGCAACGCCAGAACATCATCGTGTAACTCTTCTGAGGAAGGCGACAGGGAGCTCAGAGTCGGAAATCACACCGGTCTTAATTAAAGTTAAAGTGTGGTTTGTGTCACTTTTGGCGCCTCCTGTGGACGAATCAGCTTTCAGCACTTCTCTGAACACACAGATTCTCTGAACACACCTAGACGTCTCAGTTTTATGGTGTATAACGTGAACTAAGGCTGTTCTGGGATCAGCAGTGAAACACCTCATCCAACTTCCTCTGTAGAGCAGCTTTAGGTCGAGTCCACAGTATTTAAAAAGAAAAACTAATAAAACAATAATCCGGAAATTTCTACTACAATATGAAAAAAAAAAGCAGGACTTTAAATCCAGATGACTGAATGCTCTTTAAAAAGTTCTCTGCATTTCCAAACCTTTACCCATCAACACTCAAAGTTCCTCCTGAGGGGACACCTGTTGAAACTGTGACTTTCCAAACGACATTATTTCTTGTTTCGACAAGTTTAGACTCTTAAAGAAAAAAACCTGCATGAGCGTGCATCGAGGATTTAGCGAGCGAGAACCGTTTGTGAAACCTGATGGTGTCACAATCTGAAATCTGCCTCTAAAAGGAACTTACTTTGGGTTAAAACAGGGATGTTGGTCATGATTCAGCTCTTATATAACCTCCTTAGTAGATTAGGCTTAAGTGAGGAACCAGAAGGAACTAAAAATCGGCATTTTAAGTTCTTGTTGTCAGGTGTCAACATGATACCCTTAAAAAAAAGTACATCTCTGACTTTCAAGAGCCAGCAGGATGAGATTTTTCTGTCAGAAGTTCGAACTTATATATGTAGAGGATAAGAGAAGCTTTGACCACAAGGAGGCGCCAAAACGGACACAAATTGGAAGTTCCTCACTGCACCTTTCCATGTCAGATAAAACACTAAAGCTCTACCGACTTTCTTTGATTTCACTCTACAAATACTGAAGCATGTTTGCGCTTCAGAGCTGAGCTGGCACATTAACGCTCCCCCTGAGATAACAGAGTTGTTTTCCTCCCCTCTCTCTCTTGCCCTGAGGATCTGTCCCATCAGAACAAAACTATCCTGGAAATCAGCGAGTAAATCTGTCAGGCGAGCCGAGACATGTGACAGCCCAGAGATGAAGCAATCTCAGCAGCAGGTAACACCGACACGAGCAGGGAGGGGAGAATCCTCCAGAGGCTGCTGCTGCTGCTGGGAACAGTGAAACCTGCCGCGGCTGGTATAAAGTGACCTCACTGTGTCGGTACAGCACTTTGTTTCAGGGCTGGGAATAAGGTCAAGACGTTCCCAAGGGCAGGAGAGGTACAGAGCGCTTCTCTGGAAGTGTGTTTGGTAGTTTTACTGTTCAGGGTGAATCAGGACTTCCTCTTCAGACTAACCGTGTCTGACTCAGCTGTCTGACCACGCTGATAACCTCACTGACTGTCGAGTTTGTAGTCGTGTTGTGGGACAAATAAAACTTCTCTGAGGGTGAAGGTTACAGCAGAGAGGGACTTTGTCTTCTTCACTGGACCACACCCTTATTTACAGTCAGTCAGACACAGGCAGCAAAGTAGGACTCTGACATTTACACTCCCAATGTTTCCAACTTCCCTCAGATGATCACCGTCTATAAACATGTTTTATTATCCAAAATAAAAACCAAAGTTAAACACACTGACAGACAGATCGCTCTCTCATTACTGCAGGCTAATAATCACACAGACAGACAGAGCGTTGTGGAGACTTCCATACTTACTATATTGTTCTCAATATCCTCTGCATTGTTCGCCATGGTTGGCTCTGCAGACTCTTGCCCTCACATGCAAACCAAATTCTTCTGTCCTGTGGAAAGAGAGTGAGAGGTAACGTGACGTTGAAAACCAACAACAAACTGATGGTGTCAAAACAGAGGGGGGCGAAGATTCAAAGCTTTCAAACCATGAGTGCTTTACGGTTCAGAATAAGTCTCTGACTCTGTGATTTCCCCTGATTGAAAGCTGTGCTATCGTTGTGAGGTATATATATATAACAGCTGATAGTCCGACCAACAATCTTTAGGTCCATTAACCGAACTGATCAATGGCTTCTTGGCTTCATCAGCTTCATATATTGGCTCTCAGAAGGCCGATATCAGCATTAATATGAATAAAAACAAACTTCCACCGTCCTAAACAACAGCAAATTAAATCTCAAACAGTTACTGGCGAGCGTTTCATTTCATAATGGGAAGAATAAATGAAGTTTAATTTGCTCCTGACAGAAATATCTGCTAATCTGTTTGATTTAAACCCCAATATTGACCTTCTATTGTTTACTCTCTTATCTAATATTGTCACTCTGTATTTCTACCAAACCCAACAGCAGCTTGTCTGGTCCTTCTCAAGGTTTCTGCCTGTTAAAAGAAAGTTTTTCCTCGCCGCTGTCATGTTCGATAAGATTGGTCAAATCCCAGCTCTCAGCTTAAGGTTGGGTCTTGATAATTTATCAATGAGCGTGGTCCAGACCTGCTTTTTCTTTGGGATGACGACTGTTGTGAATTGGTGCTTTATAAATAAAATTTGATTGACTGATCGATTTGACTTCACTGGAGAGAAACTCCAACACCACTTGTGGTGATATTTTACTGAGCCAAATATGTTTCCGTTGATATTTCTATTTTAAAAAAGATATTTAAGATATTTATAGGTATCTGCACCGGCCATGAAAACCTGATCCGTCCACCATCTAAAAGAATCTGGTACAAACTGTATTTTATGATTACTCTTGGCAGATTATTCTGATGCAAAGGCACACCAGCATTTGTTCAGATATTTAGGCAGATTTTTGATCTGTTGAGTCTGTTTGAACCTCTTTTTTTATCTGCTGCTGGTTTGAAAAAGGACTTTCAGTTCTCTTAAATCCCTCCAACATGTGGAGGCGTAGTTCATACACCGAAGAGAGAGAGTCCAGGATGGGTCCTGTCTGTATTAATTCAGTGAGAAAGATTACATTTGCTGTATTAATACCTGATAACACCTCACTGAAGAGAGGAGGGACAGATGGTGTTAGTTAAGAGATCCATGAGCAGATTTCACTGTTACCACTTAGTCCCTCCTGCAGAGACTGAATTTCTTTGGTGTACCAGCTGCTTACCTCTTGTTATTATCACTTTCTTTGTTTAGGAATAATTTCTTGTTTTCTGCCAAGATCAGTTAAAGCACCAACATTACCCCCCGTCATCAGACTGTTAAACACCAAACGACCCTCCGTATAACCCCCCACTCCCACTCTGCTGCACTGTGCTCCTGTTTTTACTGTTTATTATGTGTAAATAAGAACATACATCTTTTTATTAAATCATTTGGTTTTCATTCCATAACCACTCTACCTCAAGAAAGTGCAATATTACTCACCATGTTGGTATTTTACCCTTAGTTTTTATTGCTTTCTTTTAATCTTGAGTTGGGGTAGATTTGGGTATTCTTTGTGTCTTGGATAAGGGTTGATTTAGGTATTATTAGTTTCTTCCTTACATGGTTGTGTATGAAAAGTGCTATGTAACAAAAGACTGATTGATTGATTGATTAAGGGGGATTTAAGAAAACCTGTTTATCATGGTAGGAGGTGGACTGATTTTTTCCATTGCTAATATTTATTCCATAATGTGCAGGTGGTATTTCAATATCACTCCCTGCTGATATATCACAGTCCTCATGATCTGAAGAGTACCAGAGTTTTAAGGATTTTAGAATCTTCCTTATTTTGCAGTCTCTCAGTCCTCCTTCTTTCTTCTTCAGATAAACTCCCTCTGTGTGTTTTTCTGTGAGCTGCAGAGGGAGGACTGTGACACACAGCAGAGCTTGCACAAACACACAGATGATAATAATAAGAGTGGGAGCCTGCTGTAGACTAACAGGAGCTATTTTAGGCCAAAACAAAGAGTGTGGAAACCCCAGCTTTCACAGCTGACCGGGATTAGATGACTGCATGCTCAGGAGGACAGATGTCAGTATTTTAGAGTCCATACAGACTCATGAGTGTGATAATTGAGCAGATTAGAGGATATTTTAGTGTTTAATGTTCAGAATGAAGACAGGCAGTGATTTAAATAGAAATGTTGCATTCACGTCCCTGAATAAAACCGGTAAATAAGACGTAACTCCTTTTTTATGTGAATTTCATTGTTGCCACTCGGTGCTTCATTAAAGTCTGGTGTTTTATTCCCGTTAATTGTCCCTCTGTGTGTCTGTCTGCCTCCATAGCGGAGCGCTAACATTAGCAGTTAGCTGAGAATGTAATAACGGCAGAGCAGATAGCGGCCGCGCGGAGCCGTGAACGCAACATCACCTACACGGTTTCAGCTTTAATAAATGTCCGGGATATCAGCCTCATTAAAACAGAGAAAACTGTACTCACTGTGAGCGACACGTTATTCTCTTGGAGAAGTGTTCCGCCGTGTTAAAACCCGGGCACTTTCCCTTCTTTGTTGTTCCTGTCTGCTCACTCAGCTTCCGGCCGATGGTGTAAACTACTTCCTGCTCGTGCGAGTGTCCAGGGTGCGTTCAGGAACTAACAACGTTGTTCAAGATTAAGATTATTATTAATCATAGTATATATTATTGTACATATTATTATTGCTGTTGTTGTTTTTGTTGTTATTATTATTATTAGTTACTGTATAGTTATTATGTGTATTATTATTATTTTGTTATTGAGTATTACTATTATTCATTTTTGTATATTATTATTATTATTATTATTATTATTATTATTATTATGGTGGTGGTGGTTTTAATGAGCGAGTATAGATGTATGTAAAAGTAGAAATCAACTTTATTTTATTTGTAACCAGTCTAAAATTTTTATTATAATAATCTGTTTATATATCATTTTATTAAATTACCCAAAATACAATGGTTGTTTAAAAATATATCTATATTTTAAGAACAATATGTTTTTCAACAAACTTCAAGAGTTTGTTGTGAGTTTTCAGTGTGGAAATAGTTTCCTTTGTCATTCAATACCAACATTTAACAGTATTTTCCTTTTCAAATGTTATTTTATTTTGCCTTATAACGATTGGACGGGCATTTGAATGAAACACGGGCGCCCTCTGCTGGGTGAATTCTCCCGACGATGTGTGAACGTGCTCTTCTAATCTATATTATAAAATATTACGACTTAATTGTCTAGCATCTGTATTTCTTTCTGTGTAATGTTTTTATTCCGCTATCACATAGTAGTGTTTTGTTTTTTTCAGAATACAAATTCTGGTTTCATTTTTGAATAATCGCGGCTCATTTCTAATCCAGCAGGTGGCGGTAAATTAACATTCACTGCTTACTAACACCACAAAATTAGAACAACGAAGAAGAAGTCGAGTTGTTCTTCCGGTGTCAGAGGCAGTTTATCCGAAGAGGAGGAGGACCTGAAGAAACCGACCGAAACCGAATCAGAAACATCAAAATCATGGTGAGTACGATATCATACAGACTGAAGAAAACATGTTTGATTTTCTTAGTAATAATCCACAGAGTTGGAGTAATTTTTAAGTCTCGTTATTTTATCAGAAAACGGTCGTTTATTATCAGCTGCTAATGTTAGCATGTGAGAGGAGGGGGGGACGGCAATAAGCTGAACAGCTGCAGAGACACAGACACACACAGACAATTTAAACACAGACACTTTAAACACAGACACACACAGACCCTTTACACACAGACTTAGACACACAGAGACCCTCTAAACACAGAAACATACACACACAGACCCTCTAAACACAGAAACATACACACACAGACCCTTAAAACACAGAAAGAGACACACACAGACCGTTTAAACACAGACTTGGGCACACACAGACCCTTAAAACACAAACTCAGACACACACAGACCCTCTAAACCCAGACACACACAGACCCTTAAAACACAGACACACACAGACCCGTAAAACACAGACTCAGACACACACAGACCCTTAAAACACAGATTCAGACACTTTAAACACAGACACATACGTATATGCTTGTTTTAAGTCTAAAGTAATAAACAAAGTGGGGAAAAACAGCAGAACAGCAGCACATAAACCCTCTATAATGTTTTATCTCTTCCTTTAACAACACTCAGTCAGTGTTTGGGATCCAGATAGACCAGTTTAGAGGGTCCTGAAAGTAAAATGCTGCTCAATTCTTGCTTGATAGGGGAGAGTGGGGTAAGTTGAGCCACCCCCTGTTGCTTGGAAATGGTCAAAAAATTGATCATGTGACCAAATATTAAGGAGCTGGGCATCAATTCATGGAGTCTGTGAAGGGGTCAGACATTTATTCACTCTGTAAAGTGAATTTAGTCTGTTGTAAGTTTGATTAGAATTGTGTTCAGACCAAAAAAGATCATTTTAAATTTGTTTTATACATCAATGATGGTATCTATGAGCTTCAACAAGAGGTCAAAAACCTAACATAAAAGTCCAGGAATTGGGGTCACACACACACATGATTTCTCTGTGAGTATATTAGCACCAAGTGTCTTTTCCTTCTTGAATTAACCTCCTAAACTCTGATAACTTGGTTATTAATAATGAGATGGATTCTGTGTATGAACATCGTTGTTCTACTAAATAACAGAGGAACTTTTCTTGTTTTTTAGTCCCACACTATCCTGCTGGTGCAGCCCACTAAGAGGCCAGAGGGGCGGACATACGCTGACTATGAATCCGTCAACGAGTGTATGGAAGGTATGATTCTTTGTTATATCAGCAACACAAGATTTTCACACTAACAATAAATGAGCTGCAACAAGGCGAATGGAAACAGTAACCCTTTATGTCTTTGTTTTTCGGCTGTGATTAACCTGCAGTTTGTGTCTCATGTGCAGGTGTGTGTAAGATGTACGAGGAGCACTTAAAGAGAATGAACCCTAATAGTCCCTCCATCACGTACGACATCAGCCAGCTCTTTGACTTCATCGATGACCTGGCCGACCTCAGCTGTTTGGTGTAAGTTTGAGAAAACAGACACGTGGAACTCCAGATGTTTTAAAACGCTGTTAATTAAGAACTGCTGTTATCTCTAATATACTGTAATTGCTCTGCTTAAATGCACTGGAGTGATGCAACAGTGAACTGAAGTTGACTTCTCTTACTCAAAGGGAAAGATGGAAAAATCAATCATTTAACTTAAAGTTTTAAGTTTCTCCATTTTCAAGTCTAAAAACCGCACAGAGGAGCTGAGGCATACTCAGCTTTACACCCCTCTGACACTTCATCTGCTTTTTGGTGCTGCCTCAGGTATCGAGCCGACACACAGACGTACCAGCCGTACAACAAGGACTGGATCAAAGAGAAGATCTACGTGCTGCTGCGCCGTCAGGCCCAGCAGGCTTCAAAGTGAAGCGGCCCGTCGGGCTCCTTTTCTTTTCCAGAGCTCGTGTTTAATGGTTTGAAGATGTTTTGAGAAGTTTTTAACAAAGTTTTTGATTCTTTCGGTTCAGTTTTTTTTCTGACGGCAGGTGGTGTATTTTGTATTTGAATGTTTGACTTATTAATAAAGCTTTTCTTTCAATAGTACACGTGTCTCAGTCTAGTTTTTCTCATGTGGTCCCGGTCTTTGCAGACATTTTTCAGGGTGATCTTTCTTCCTTTACACTGAGGGGCCAAATGTTGCACTTTCCTAACAGTGCAGGAGGGAAGCCCAGACGGCCCTCACCCTGGCCACTTCCACCAGCTCCTCCGGGGGGATTCCCAGGCGCTCCCAGGCCAGGCGAGAGATATAATCCCTCCACCTGGTCCTGGGCCGGCCACGAGGTCTCCTCCTGGTGGGACATGTTCATAACACCTCTAATGGGAGGCGTCCAGAAGGCATCCTTACCAGATGCCCGAGCCACCTCAGCTGACTCCTCTCGGTGTGAAGGAGGAGCAGCGGTTCTACTCTGAGCGCCTCCCAAGTGTCAGAGCTCTTTACCCTATCTCTAAGGCTGAGCGCGGACACCCTGTGGAGGAAACCCATTTCAGCCGCTTGTATCTGCGATCTCGTTCTTTCGGTCATTACCCAAAGTTCATGACCATAGGTGAGCATCGGCACGTAAATCGGCCGTTTGGAATTAAATCTGACATGCTCCTCCAGTCGCTGTTTATTTTTTTCTGTCCTTTTTAAAAATCTCATTTCTGCTGTTGATCAAAGAAAAATAACAGTCCAAAGTTTTAGAACCAGACATTTTGATTTATACTTGCTTTTCTCTCTAGGAAAATATTAAATTCTTCTGACTATCACATCCAGAGAACTTACCAAACAATCATTTTCTCCTGTTGTCCTCTCTCAGTTCTGTTTTCAGTCTTTGCTCTTATTTCATTTCATTTTCTTCCTCCGTTGACTGGAGGTAATTATCTGTAAAAAAGAAAGATCAACTTTGCAGCACGGCTCAGTTATTTTCTCCTTTTCACTCAATACAGAAAGAAACAGGTACGCTTCACACAATAAAAACTTAAGAAACTGTCTCAAACAAAAAATTGGCTTTCTTGTACTTTAAAATCAAACACTCCTCATAAAAAATTTAAACTTTTTCTTCTTTCTTTCCTTCCTTTCTCTTTCTCGGTTATTATTTGTGTTTCTGTCGTTTCTCTTCTTGAGTAAATCTGCCCGAAAAAGTTCTGATGATTTTGTTATCTTGTGCACACTTAGTAATCCTGTAAGAACAAGTTATCAGGTTCAAAGTTATTATCTTGTGCACAGGTTAAATTGAAATTGTCTTGTGGGTGCAAGATAACTTTACTGTATGCACAAGATACTTTGTCCCCACAGGATAACTACCTTTTACGCTTGGAGGGATCTCATGCTTGCAAGATAACCTCTGAGCGTAAGTTCTCTAGTGTGCACAAGATAACCTGTCCCCATAAGGTTATTATTACTTTGTGCACGGCTTTTATCTTACTCAAGTTATGAACTCGTGCACAAAAGATAACCTGTCTCTATTTGATTACTATTTTGTGGACATTATTGTTCCTACAAGATAGCTTTGCACTAGATGTCTGTATTCTTGGGCGGCAGTAGTTCAGGAGGTCGAGCGGTCGTCCAATAACCAGAAGGTTGGCGACTCGATTCCCGCCTATCCCTAGTCTGTCCGTTGTGTCCTTGGGCAAGACACTTACCCCACCTTGCTCCCAGTGTGTGTCCTCCACTGGTGTATGATTGTGAGTGTTGTGTGGTGGTGGTCGGAGAGGCCGTAGGCACAAACTGGCAGCCGTCAGTCTGCCCCAGGGCAGCTGTGACTACTAAGGTAGTTTACCACCACCAGGGTGTGACTGTGTGAGCGAATGATTGATGTATCTAATGTAAAGTGCTTTGAGGGTCTCTGATAAAGCGCTATATGAAATCTGATGCATGTCATGACCTGTCTCAGGTGGTCACAACAAAAAGAAGGTAGACACACACCATGTATGAACTCCCAAACAACTCTTTATTCATTCAAATTGAACCGAATTAGAATGTAAGATATGAGGTGTGTGAATCAGTATTGTGTAAGGCGTGCATGGGTGGGAGTAGGTGTATGTGTGCAAGGGTGCTGTAAACAGCAAACATGAACTACAACTAAACCGAGTGAAACTGAACCAAGCCAACCAAAGACAAACCAAACCAAGTAAAGACAAGCCGAGCCAAGCCAAACCAAGTCAAGTTAAGTCAAGACAAGACAAGCCAAGCCAAACCAAGTCAAACAAAGCCGAGCCGAGCCAAACCAAGACAAGTCAAACCAAGTACCTGTAAATGCAGTCAGGAGAAACAGAAGAGGGAATTGCAAGTAACTGTGGGATCTTAAATACTCCAAGCACCCATACTGCCCAGGTGTGCATAGTTGCTCTGATTAGGGCATATCGAGAAGACAACCAGACACACCTCCCACAGCAGCACGACCCTATAGAGGCATCACAATAGTTTATTCCCACAAGACTGTTTTGGACTTCATTTGTCAATTCTTATTTTTTGTGCTTGTATTTCAGTTTAGTGGGTTTAAAATCACCATTTGTGCCAAAGAACTGAAGGGAAAAAAGTTCTTACCTGCTCTTTTTTCTTCTTCTCTGTTTATCCTGCTCTTTCCTCTGAACAGGAGTGTCTGAAGGAAACCTCTTAGGTGTCAGTTCTCTTTGCTGAAGTGAGTTTGGGATTCATGTTTCAGAGGCAGATCCTCCTGTGGTTTCTCTCTTTGCTCCTGGTTCTCCTCCTCCTCCTCTTCTTTTCTTCCTCATCCCTCCTCTTGATTCCCACTCTTTTACCTCCTTTCTTTCTCTCTCTCTCTGGAGACTGAAAAGTACTTCTCCTTAAAACGAAGATTCCTCGTGTTGGCATAATATAGTGAGCAAATTATCTCCACTTATTGATTTTTTTAAACAGCTCTCCCCGGAGAAGTATTTACAGTATGTGGACTTGAGGGGGGAGAAAAATCAATAAATGTAAGACAAACATCTGTGGAGCTCCGCGGTGACATGTGAGGGGGTCTACGCGGCTGATGGAGCGCAGGAGGCGGGTAAAGTCCAAACTCGTATTCACTCGTGTTTTTCTGCACCTTTTGTGTTGTGATCGGCTCTGCCTGTCTGTTTCTCACACCCACCCTGGTACCCCCCTCCTCCTCCTCCTCTTTCTCCTCCACCTCCTCCTCCTCCTCTTCCTCCATCCCACCCTACCCTCCCCTACCCCCCTCCCCTCTCCTCCTTTTAGCATCTGAAAAGACCACTGAGTGAGAATCGATGGCGCAGAGGCCCGCTTGACAGGACAATAAACCACAAAGAAGGGGTGAGTTTTTTTTCTCTCTCTCTCTCCTCCTCGCGCTCGTGTTTTTTTTCTCAATTGCGGATTTTTGACTCTGAAGGCTCGTCGCGGAGGGAGCCGCTCTCCTCTCGCTGCGTGGAAACGATATTTTAACACACGGCATCTTTTGTTACCGCGATATGATTTACAGCAGGCGTCAGCTGCCGCGGGTCCCACTCACTCACGGGGAGCGCAAACCACCCCAAAAAACGTGGAAAAAAACACAACCCCACGAGCAGGAGCGGGAGCATTGGCGGCGGCGGCTCTACACCCTGCACCGTTTGGGACATTGATTTCACATGAACACACATTCACCTTACGTAACCTACAAACGCATCCCGGAGAATAGCATGGCACTTGCCGCTGCAGGTTTAGATGAGGGTCGTTTTGCGTGGATTTCATTGGGCGCTGCGGTACCTGGAGGGTGTTAATGCGGTTCCCCTGGTTGTAAACAAGAAAATGTCAGCAGCAGGACCGGGGAGGGAGGTTTGTCTTTTTGTTTTTTAAGAGCCCCCCTTACACACACCCCCTGGAAAATGAGGTGAAAATAGTGAGGAGTGTTGCGTTTGGCGTGAAGCACATTGGGTTTTTTTCTCTCCAGCCATGAGGAGAGAGGACAAGTCACATCCAAGGCGCAGGGGGAGCCGTCTATTTACAGCAGATTTGCCTCTCATGTCTGTGATAGCCACAACAATAGCTCCCATTTTCCTCATCAGCCTCAGGGGTGATCAATACTGTCAGGAAAAAATGAGAATATGCTGCCATCATTGGGGAAGGATCTGAGTCTCCCTTTCCGTATCATATTGATCTAAGATGTGTTTTTGCTTGTTGGTTTAACCTCATGTGACCTGACAGCATGTGGTGCTGTGTGTTTGTGCCTCCAGCCTCTCCACCCGCTCACCGAGGACCGCAGAGATGCCCCAGCAGAGGGAGGAGGACACGTCTCGGTCCCGCCGCCCCAGCCTGGCATCCCTCCGCCGCCTCCAGACACTGAAACCCGGCCACGACATCCCATGAGGCCACCAGCAGAACTCAGCTCGCCTGCTCTGTATGGGGCCTCTCACATATGAAGTAGGTTCATGTTGTGATCTGGCTCCTTTCTGCACTCATGATGAGACTCATGAGGAGTTCACGGTGTTCTGTTCGGTTGGAGGACGGTGGGATGGGAGAAGAAGAAAGGCTTCTTTGTTTTGTCTCGGAGATGCTCTCCTCCGTCACTCTCGTCATGTGGTTCAGAACTCTCAGATTTGAGGGTTTGCAGATACCTGCGACACAAAATAACCAACGTCGTTAAAAATCCTCTTCCATTTTTAACCTCTTATGAAACCATTAGAATCGGATGATCTCAAACTCAAAGATTTCACACATCTCTGCTTCAAATCTGATTGAATCTCATCACTTAAAGTTGGATTTGAACTGTTGCTCGGAGAAAATATCAAATTTAAAGATGCAATAATGGAGCTGGGAACATGTGACGTGTAGTTTTCCCTGATCTAGTCCAATTCTGAATGAATAAGGCACATTTGAGCAACAAGGCAGAAATACAAATGACAACATTAAAAACGATTAAAACAAGCCTTTAAAAATCAAAGGGCAACACAAGCAAAGATCTAGACATAGGAAAACAGCATGAGGAACCACCACAAACTGCCTCAAGTCCAATTGCTCACTGTGCGGAACCAACTGAAGTGGACCACACAGCTATAATAACAGTCAATTAGACACATTCACACCCAGAGAGACCAGATAACCCAACAGCATGTCTTCAGACTGAAACTGAAGCATATACAAGAGGCGAACATGCAGGACCTGAAGTAGGAACAGCACTAACTGATCAAGATTTATCAGGAATGTACATTCAGTAAAGCAGGAGATCAATCACAACAAAAACGTCTCCAATTTAAGTAAGACGGTAGAAAAGTCAGAAGTGTCAGAGCCAAAAGAACAGTATTTCAAAGGGAGCTCTGAGGGAAACCTGTATTATGAGGTTTGATTCAATAACAGGCTGAACATGTCGAGGTCAGAGCTACCAGAGCTCTGGGGCTGGCACTAAAAGGGTTTACTCCCCTCCTGAGCTTCAACCTGGACCTTTAGACGCTCTGTAAATCTGAGAGTCCTGATAAAAGATGGAGAGATGATAAAATCCAGCTCCAGGCGGCTGGTTCAGCTCAGGAGGTGGAGGAGTTAATATCATCGACACACATTTCTGTATGATCCACTAAGAAGGTTCGGATTGGTTCTACACATGTTTGGGTCACTGCAGTTTTGATCAGGTCTAAAGATAACAACAAGAGTAAAGTCAGCGATTCTGGCTGTTGTGATGCGGTTGCTAGCGGATACCGTTCTACACCTGTATGCTTAGATTGTAGGTGGAAACTCAAAGTGCTGTTCAAATGTGCATTACAGTACCGGCAAAAAGAGACAAAATATCATGTGATTGAAACCGAGTATGTTCATTTTGGACCTCTATGTTTAGGACTGTGAAATATTTAGACACCCCGTCCAGAGATGAATGTTTCCGACTACTTGCTTCTCTTGTTATACGAACTTCATTAATGACTGCAGGATAGTAATACACCGTGGTCTATGTCTCCATGCACAAACCTCAACCAAAACGCCACTCTATAGCCACAAATAATGCTCAGAACAGCACCTAATGAAGTTAGGTGCTGTTCTGAGAATTATTTGTGGCTATAGAGTGGCGTTTTGGTTGAGGTTTGCGCGTGGAGATGTAGATTGCTGTGTATTGCTATCGTGCGGTTGTTACTAAAGTTGGTATAACTAGCGGTCGGCAACATTCATCTCTCGAGGGGATGTCGAGCTCCGTGTTATGGTGTGTTTGACCATAACTTAATTTTACGCCAGACTATTCCTTTAAATCGCCCGTACATAAAAAGCCATCAAGAGAACATTGCCTGTGAAGACAACAGAAGTAAAATTGTGTTGTGTTTCTTCTTTCTCGTAGTTGACATGGAGGATGAAGATGGGACTTGCCTACTTGATGTTTTGTGGTGAGTCTGCTTGATTCTCACTTGGAGTTCTTAAGTCATGTCCCTGCAGATAAGGTTGTTAAATAACGAGACCAGGTTTTATTTGTAAGGGATGGGTAGATGTGTAGTTAGAGTCCCCAGAAAGGCTGAGGTGAACGATGGGGAACACGGCGATCCACTGTTACTAATGATATCAAATATTTACCAAAATGTAAGGACGTGATCGATGTGATTTCCTCTTTGTCTCTGCAGTGACCCCCAAGCCCTGAACGACTTCCTTCATGGGACCAATGAGGTGAGTAAAGAGTTTTAAATGGAGAGGGACTCAAATAAAAAATCAATTGTGTAAATGATAAGATCCAGATGGGAATATTTCTTGGCACATGTTTGAGGTAGCTGCACAAAAGAGGGCTGTCAGAGTGAAAGGAGTGGTGATGTTTTACTGCGGTGTGCAGTTTTATTACTGACTGAATCGGACCTAAAACCGACTGTTCCCCCCCACCAGCTGCAGACTGAAGACCTGCTCATTAACTCTTCCTCTGGGGAGCCCTCTCTCTTCACAGACGCCCCGGTGAGTGTCTGGATCCACAGCCTGCAGCGTCACAACAAACCTGCATGTTCCCCAAGAGTCTGATTCTTTCTCTGAAACTGCTTCCTGTTAACTCCTGTTAATCGCACTTCCTCCCCTCCTCCTCTCCTCTCTCCTTCTCCTCCATCCTCCTCTCTGCACCGCTCTTTCTGCCTCCCACTGTTTCCTCCCTAAGAGCCCCGTCTCTCTGCTGGGAGATGGCAGGGATTCCCCAGACACCCCACCGCCTGGGTGTGTGGATCTGTCCTTCCTGGAGGAGGCCCTCCTGTCATCGCCGGAGGGAGGGGACGACCCGCAGGTGGTGCAGGGTGAGACACCTGTGGAGCCCGGGTTTGAGGCAAAGAAGGAAGAGGTGGAGGAGACGGGGGAGGCCGAAGTTGCGTGTGATATCCTGCAGCAGAGCCTGCAGGAGGCAGAGATCACAGAGCAGACCATGGCTCTGGAGGCCGGTCTGCAGGGGGACAGCCTGTCCCTGTACTCCCCCGCCCCTCTCCTCTCGCCCCCCTCTGTGCCGTTTGTCTCCAAGTCCGTGACCTTACCCCAGATCACCCCTGCTCTACCCAGAGACACCCAAGCAGCAGTGGAGCCTCCCCAGCCCTCCCTCCTGGCTGTTGGTCCAGGCTGCCCTTCTCTTAAACCTGCGGCCCCCCCTCAGCTGATGGGGCTCCTGCCTGGAAACGTGTTCCCTGCCGCCTCCCCTGAGACCTCCTTCTCTCTGAGTCCGGCCCAGGGGTCCAGCATGATCATCCACAAAGCTGTTCCCAGTGTGACCAGTCGTCCTCTCATCACCCCCACCCTCAGAGCGGCAGCAGCGGCTCCGGGCATCGTCCTGCAGCGCGCCCCCCTCCCCATCCAACCCAAGCTGCCCATCAGCATCCAACCCAGACTGGTCCAGATCAGCCCCAAGCCTTCTGGGCAGAAACCTCCTCCAGGTCTTACCTTTGTCCCTGGGGCTGCCTCACCAAATATTTTACTCTCACAACCTCCAGGCCCGAAGCCCTCTGCCCCCCCACCGCAGCCCCCCCAGCAGCTCCACAAACAGCTCAGCCTGCAGCTGGTCAACCAGGGCGGCTCCTTTGTGCTGCAGCCTCAGGGACTCTTCCAAGGCCAGAACCAGTTCCTTCTTCCAGGCCAGTCCCCTGTCACACTTGCTCAGTCTGCTGCTGCAGCCCGACCTCTGCTGACCCCCAGCCACCACGGCCCACCGGTCCACAGCCTGACCCCCTCCCCTGGGCAGCTCGTGGACGGCTCTCAGATCCTCACTGTGCCCCAAAGACAGCTGAACTTCAGTCCGGTCTTCACCCCTACAGGGCAGCTAGCGCTCCGCCAGGCCACTGTGCTTTCAGGACCCTTGCAGCTGCAGTCGGCACCTCCTACTGTCTTCCAGATGCCGGCACAGCTGGCTGGAACCTACACAGCGGGGGGACAGGGGCAGCGTGCCACCCTGGTCCACAGTCCCGCTCTTGGAAACCACATCACCCTGATCAACAGTTCAGGAGTGCTTCCCTCAGATCTCACTTCCATCTCGATCGTAAACGGCCCCTCGGTGGTCCAGGGTTTGCCCTTCGCCGCCCCAGCCCCTCAGACCGCGATGGCAGATGCACAGCTGAGCCTCCAGCAGGCGTCTGTGGTGCTGCTGCCAGAGAGAGCCGTCCAGGAGGAGAGGAGCAGCTCCGAGGAGACCTTCCACCAGCTCCCACAGGTCAGCATCCCTTCACCACCCCAAAGTTTCATCGTCATAGTAGCACAACAAGACACTAGGGATGGGAATTGATAAGATTTTATGGATATCGATGCCATTATCGATTCTGCTTATCGGTTCAATTCTTTAACGATTCCCTAATCAATGCCTTTCTTTGATTTTAAAAAAAAAAGGTAGACTAAAATGTATGTATTCGATACCGCGCCCTGTTGACAAATGTTAACGCATGTTGCTTGTGTTTCCACCTTTGCATGGTGTCACTGCTCAACAAACGTTGCATGTTGCACTGTTGTCGTCTCTCCTCGTAAATTAAGCCACGCTTTAAATCGACTTTTCATATGGTCCGCCATGCTTTTGATCTGTCTCTGTTCTCGTAGACTGGCACTAGCGAAACCGTTTTTTAAGGCATCCAGAAGAAAGGAATCGTTAAGATAAAATGTTAATGATGTCGATGGATTGAACCATTTGGAGCCAGTTCTCAACAAGAACCGGTTCTCGATTCCAATCCCTACAGGACACTCTTCTGTTTTTTTTTTTGTAAAATTGATTTGAACTACAAAACTAAACATGGAGTATAATACTGCGTTCCAGTTACCTCTAATGTCGGATGTCAGAGCTGGGAATGACGTTACACCTGAGTTGGCAGCATTCCAGTAAACAAGTCGGAAAACCAAGATGGACGCCTACAGTTAGCCGTTGTTAGCTGTTGTTTACAACTGTCTTCTGTTGTTAGTTGTTGTTAGTTTTACCAGTCGTAAATTATGATGTTATCGTCAAGTCGGCCTTGGTGATGATCGTCCGACTTCCCGAGTCGGAAATCCGTCTCCTCGGGGGAGTTCCAGATGAATTTTCAACTCAGAGCTCGGAAATTCCGACTTCTGAATACAACTGGAACGCAGCATTACCTGCAGTGGTCTTAGCTCTTACATGTTTGTCTTTTCTTTGACAGCAGTATGGACATGTCCTCCAGCAGGTCTCTGTGCAGCCCCCCTCTGCAGGTCTGCAGTCCTCTCCTCCTCCTCCTCCTCCTCCTCCTCCTCCTCCTGTGGTTACAGTCCTGCAGCCTCCTCCTGAACCTCCTCTGGCCCCCGACCCAGCCGTGGAGATCCCTAAACTTCTGATATCTCCCGCTGACATGAGCCAAACAGAAGAGGAGGAGGCGGCACACTCGCTAAGTCAGAACGAGGCCTTTATGCAACATCTGCAACAGGTCAGACACTCTGTGATTCCTCGGAGAGTCAGAGAGAGAAAACGAAAAGAAAAACTGTAAAATCACAATCTGAGTTTGTTTGAGTATCAGGATTTAACTCCACATTTTGAGCCTCTCTTTGTCTCCTTTCTGTCACAGCAAGCACTTAGTTCTCCTCTCACGTCCGAGCTGTTGGTTGGATCTCTGCCGGTGGTGCAGATGGAGTCACTGAACTCTCCGCTCACTGATGAGAGGGAGACCCCACAGCAGACTCTTCCAGTCTCGGGTCAGGACTCCCACAGCGGGCTCTCTGATCAGTGTGTGGAGGACTCTCCGCTTCACTCAGACCCTGAGGACACACCGCTGATCTGCTCCCCTGCTCCGGTCCAGGACACAGAGAGACCGGTTTCGACTAGCTTCTCTCCGCCTCCTGCTGCACCTGAGGGCTCAGTTCCCCAGATCACAGCTCCACAGCCTCACAGTGAGCCACAACAAGTCCAGTACCAGGTCCCTCAGCAGGTCTCACAGGCCCTGTTTGCCAGGAACCAGGTGCAGCCCTCTGTTTCCCAGCCTCAGCCCTCGGTCCAGAGCAGTCCACCCCCTCTGCGTGTCTCGGTGCCTCAGCAGCAGTCTGATCCCACAGCTGCTCCTGCAAGTCTCTCCAAAGGAGGAGACGCCCCCGCTGTCCAACAGCACACACACAACAGTCAGTCCCTGAGACACATGAGTACTGATCACCTCTGTAGTCCCTGTGATCCGGACTATCCTCCTCAACACCTCCACTCTCTCTGTTTCCTCCTCAGAGCCAACAGCTGCCTTGGTCCTGGAGAGTAAAGCCTTTACTCCTGATGTCCACCCACCCTCTCCTGCAGCACCGGGTCTCCAGGTTCAGGGGCCACCGGCTCCTCGAGACGTGGATCCTGCACAGACCAGCCAGCAGACCAGCACCAAGGTGAGGATACACCTGAAAACAGAGCTCAAATAAAATGACACAGATATTAAAATGTGTCTGAAATGTCCTCAGAGCTGAATCAACAGGCTTTGAAATGAGGTTTCAGGTTAATTGAAGCAAACGAATAAACCTCTCTGTCTCCGTCCTCTCATCTCCTCTCTCTCTGTCTTTTCCAGCTGGCAGCTCCGCCGGAGCAGCAGAGAGAGGAGAGGCTCACACCAGCAATGCGCCGGCACAGGTAAGAACAGAGCAATGACTCAGACTGATGAACTGAAATGATGGAGGAAGAAACCGTGAAATCGAAACCAGTCAGCAGAGAGTTCCTGTCGGCGACTTTCCCACTTCACCTCTGAGTGTTTCGGACGAAGTTTGTTCGGTAATGCACGGACAATTTGTCTCCATAGCAACCCTAGCAGGCTCCTTTAAACCAGGGGACCTCTGCCGCTCCAGTTTTAGGGGACTGTGAGTGAATAATTCTTTGTTTTAATGAGGTGAAGGTGTTCAAACTAATCCTGAGTTTCTCTCTAAAGCGTCTAATCTGGTCTAATCAGCTGACCCGCGGCGTCCTCCATCATGGTTCTTCAGGCTTATTCTGGATATGATGAGCTGCAAAGAGGCTTTCTTACCTCAGTTTTAATCAGCTGGTTCATGTGTTAACAGCTGACTGGATTAACTCTGATCCTGCAGTCATGTTTGTAATCCAGGTCCTCTAGGACTCCTTTTATTACAGCTGAGATTAACAGACTTCCTCACGACGAACTACTGATTATGTGAATAAAATGCTCGACAAATCCGTGACTTCAGATCTTTAAACCACAGCTCCAAAGTCCTTGTACCTGAGAATGATCCTGAGTGGTTTTCAGAGGGGAAACTGAAGTCCCTGGATTTGTTTCAGACCTGGAGCTGAGTGTCTGTATTTTCAGACTGTTGTGGACTGATGGTTTTTGTTGTGTCACTCAGGTTCCAGCAGCAGATTTGTTCGGACCACAGAGCGGTCCACTCCCCCTTCACCGGCCTGGCCTTTTCCACACTGAAGGACGCTGTCAGACGCCTGCTGCCCTACCACACCTGTGCAGGTCACCTGCCCACTCAGGATGACTTCGACTTAGGTACATGAGCTTTGGCTAAAGGTTGTAAATTGGAAAGTTGTTCCTTGAAGTGAAGACAAATCATTTAGAGCTCCCCCTGCTGACTGGCTGCAGTACTGCAGGAATGTGGGACTGAGGTCACACTCCTGCAAAACAGAACATTTGTCAACAGAGCTGTCAATCACTTACCTCTTTAACATCAAATAACTGATTAAAATCTTCCTAGACATAAATCAGCGTGATGAGGTCCAGTTTTAATAACAGAAACTATGTCTGAGAAAAAATGATTTGACGTGTATTTCAGTTTATCAAAGAGGGGGGTGGGGTTAAGGGCCTATACTGCAACCAGTCAGCAGAGGGAGCTCTAAAAGTTTTGGTTTCTTTTTAGGGAATATTTTTATCATTTACCCTCAAAACAGTTTGTAATTGTAAAAGTTGTAAAAACCTAATTTTGTAGAAAACAGGGCTGGGCGATATGTCCTCAAATCAATATCACGATATATTGATCAGTTCACCTTGATAAAGATAAATGGACGATAACTACTCCACAAGCTGCTCACCCCCTCCCACATTAACTTCGTCTACTTCAGCCGCTCCAACTTTTGAACCGTCCTCCATCTCCTCACCTGTCTTTCCCTCTTTGTTACAGACTGGATGGGGCGGAGTCATGTCTCTGACGTAGATCTTAAAGGGACATGAGACCATAGCCTACCTACACACATCAAAACCAACTTTATTTTTTTGACACCGAATATACCGACATGGGCAAAATGACATCAGTTATTATTGTTAATTTCAGTATCGGTAAATTTTCCATTTATCGCCCAGCCCTAGTAGAAAATACGCTCCCCTGTGATCTCTGGCTTTGAAATTGTGCAGAATCAAATATTTCTTATTTCATAACAAGGATATTTGTCGTCTCACAGTGGACCAGGAGTTTGACAGTGTTTCTGGTTTCCTGCTGAAACGCACCAAGGACATGGTCAACAAATACAGGCAGCTACTGGTCAGAGAAGCTCAGGTAAGACATGCGGCGGTGTTCCCGTCAGTTGACTCCCAAAGTCCGAGCTGTCCGGTGGTGACGCCTTGTTTGTGAACTGTCTCTGCAGCAGGAGAGCCCGTCTGCTGAGATGGTGATGCTGGAGCGTCTTTTCCTCCAGGCTGAGCGAAGCGCTTTAGCCGAGGACAGACGGAGAGTCCGCAGAGACCCAGGTCAGTGTCCCAGCAGGAGGAAAACACAAACACCACCGCCGCCGCCGACTGCTTCTGTGTGTGAACACATCCAATTTGAGTGTTAAATCCCAGCAGAGAGACAGAAAAGTGAATTAGTAACGCTCTCTCTGTTTTTATAACAAACCCATTCAGCGGTGCCTCAGAGCGCAGCACTTAACCTCATATTTGCTCGGGAGCAGCTCCCAGGTGTGAAGGCGTAATTAAGCCGGCGTGTGAATGTGGAGCGGGGTCGTGCTGAGAGAGACTCGGCACCAAGACAAGAACATTACACCAGAGGGGCGAGGAGCAAATTAAAGCCGGGTTGTTATGTTAATTAAAAAGTTGGACAAATAAGGAGAAGGGCGCTCCTGGACTTTAGTGGACGTCATGTATGTCCTCTACTGGACCCCGCCAAATTAAAATACCAGGTTTTTATGAGTTTTTTACTAATAAACAGGGACGGTTGGTGTCAATAAAACCAAACACTCGTCCTCGAACATCAGTGCACATGGTTATCGTTTCACTCCTTCAAAGAGTGATCCTGTTCGCTTGATTAACCTAACCTGACACGCACTGTGCTTAATGACGGTGGTTTTGAGTCCATGCGGTGGTTTCCACTTCAGAGTCACATCTGGTTTTAAAGCAGTGCTCCCTGATTTACAGAGATTCCTCCAGATTCTTTATAATTTACTGATTTTACATGTTAATTGATGAAAATGATAAAATTCTTCAAGTCTTTAGTTTTAATTTGGTAAAAATTTGCTTCATCATTTGCTCACGCAGTCTCTCACAGCCCATCCATGTCACTAACCTGTGGAAAAATAACAGTTTAGGTTACAAAACATTTTCTGTGTTTTGTTGTTTCTTTTTTAAAATGTGTTTCTGGCATTAAATCAGAATTTTTCTCTCTGGTTGTCAAATTTAAAGGTCGTCGTTGCACTACTTTTATACTAATTTTGGCTTTAAATAATTTGCAAATCGTCAAACTCTGTTTTACAAACAATTACCTGCTCAGTAGATCAAACATTAGATGCAGCAGTTTATCAGAAACCCTCTCAGGTCTCATTTCCTCTCTCTGTCTCAGTTTTCTGATGAAAATGTAATTTTTCCAGCGACCATATATGGTCGCTTATTTCCTGTCGTCTGGTCTGTTCTAGTTTTCACAAACTTGTGTTTCTCTCCTCCAGAGTCCTTCATGATGGCCTTGGCTTCATCAGCGTCTTCCCCCTACTCCTCCTCTGGCCCCTCCCACTCCTGCTCCTCCGGCAGCCCCTCCTCCCCCCCGTCCTGGAGCAGACTGTCGGACCGCCCCCCGGGCCTGAAGACGTACCGCTCCAGCTCTCGCGGTGCCCTCAGGCTCACCATCAAACAGGAGTCCGGCTCCCGTAAGGTGGTCCACAACTCTGCCTGCGACCCCGGGCTCAAGAGGGACCACACGGGTCAGCTGACCAACGGGGGCGGAGCTGCGACTGAACGCCACTCTCAGGCACCAAACGGAGCGTCCCAGCATCCCCAGCAGGACGAGGAGATCTCAAACGGAGCTCTGACCTGTGACCCGGCAGAGGAAGTCCAGCAGACCGCACCCGCTTCCAAAATAAAAGCCCCCCAGAACCCCCTTTCTATGCCGGAGGCCGCTCGCTTCGAGTTGAGAGATGTCAGCGCCCCGAAACTGAAATGCTTCAGGTTGGATGCGTCGCCTCGGTCGGAGCAGAGCTTCAGCCCCCCTCCGCCTCCCCCCCTCCAAGAGGACAACATGCTCAGTGAACATCTGCAGAGTGCCATCGACAGCATCCTGGAGCTGCAGCGCCTGCAGGGCCCCTCTGCAGCCCCGACCAGGGCCCCGTCAGGCCCCTCACTGGACCAGGCTGTCACCAGCATCCTGGGGGGGCACCTGTGAGACGTCCACACGGATCCAGGAGCATCCGAACATGAGGTGGGATCAGAGAACTTCTTACTGAGAGGTTTCTGGGTTCACTTTGAAAGAACTGAGATAAGAGGAGGAGGAGGAGAAAATACAGAGGCACTATAAAGAGATGCATACCAGACAACAGCACTATCTATAGTCCCATAGATGTTAGATACTTCATTTCGATGTACGTTTGTGGAAAAAAAAAAGTCTATTTGAATAGGAGCTATATTGTTTCAGTGGTAGTCAAGTCATTCAGAGGTTTACGACACTGGTGTGAGCTTCATCAGCATATAGAGTCTAAGTAATAGTGAGGATCAAAACGAACACGTGGACTGAGTAGACTGAGATTATTCAATAGTTTTTTATAAGATTTCTTTCCAAAATGTGAAGTTTCTTTGACATAGTGCCAAGCTTCCAGGGTATTTATTTTGATAATCTGTGCCAACTGTGTTTCAGATGAGTTGCATTGAGAAAGGCAGCGAGTTTGTGTGCATGTGTGCGTGCGCGAGTGTGTGTGTTTGCGTGTGTGGAAACATTGCATCCTGCAGCGGGACAGTGCATAAACCCCGCCCCCCTGCAGGCTCCGTCATCTCGGCTTATCGAATGAAACTCCAAAGAATTTGTGACTTGCTACATCCTGAATACACCAGCAACCGTCCGTGTCGTGTCTCCTCACACAAACTGGAGTGTGTGTTTGTCGAAGCAGAAAGAACACAAAGGAAAAAAAAAGAAAACAAACAAACGCGATAAAGCAGTCGTAGTTTTTGTTGTCGTTTTTAACCCGTTTGGACCCGTTTGTATCATTCATGCTGGAGTCTGACTGTGAAGTATCTGGAGTTTGAGACTCTCAGTGTGTCCCATGCGTTATGTCTTAATAACATTTAAGCAATAATGAGTTAGCGTTGTGAGGAGGAGGAGGAGATGGAAGAAAAACTAACGCCTTGTTCCTGTTGCACAGTCGGACTCCACTCAGATTAAACCCCTGCGGTCTGGTTTTCTATTTGGAGAAGTTGTGGTCAGTTGCTGCTGCTGGTTTGCCGAAATTCAGACCTTCGAAAGCAAAGAGGTTGCCACGGTGACAAGTTATAATGACTAAACATGGGGAAAAAAAGAGTCCTACTGTATCCTCAAAAGTCCAAATAAGATTAACGGTTTAAAAAGGTTTAAAAAAAGTAAAATATGAGAAAATGAAACACTGAGATAAAAAGTCATCTCATGAGAAAATTTCACTCTAAAGAATAAATGTAAAAAATTATGTTTCCGTTATTATTATTATAGATAAAAATGTAAGAATAATTTTAAAAAATCCAATTTATGAGAAAAAAATTTGATAAAATTTTAAAAAATAATCTAAGACAGATTAAATCATCTTTCTGTCCAATAATCTTACTTCATAGATTTTAAAAATTCATTATTTTGAGATATAAAGTCAAAATTATGAGAAAAAAGAATTGAATCATGATTTTCACTTTTAGCCGATAATTAAAAATGGTCATTGTTAATATTTTATTCATTTTGGCTCTTTTTATTTTGTTTTTTTAAATTACCTATATTTCCTTTTATCCAATTTTGACTTATGACTTGACTTGTAAAAAAACTTTTTTATACTGACATTTTTTTCTTGTCTTTTATATTTTTCTTCATAATTTCTGTTTTCCCCTCACAATTATTTTTTATCTCCTAAATATGACTCTAAACCGGAAAACTATGACCTTCTCTGCATAAATCTAATCTAATTTTCTAACCTTGACTTTTTCCTCACCTTTTTTTTTGCCACCCGAATGCTTTCTCTTTTTCTGACGGTGGTTTTTAATAATGAGTAAAATGACTTTATGACCACATTAATTTTTTTCTCTATAACCAGGACTTAGAGGTTGTTTTATCACATGTGACAAATCTCAGTATTTCAACTTCCTCAAAATTTCAGTTATTTGACTTCATAAAAATGATTTTTTAATCACACATATTTGACTTTTTATCCTTAAGTATGAATTTCTTTTAATTATGACTCTGTTTATCCAGAGTTTTTATTATTAAAAAAATGAGTATTAACCACATTCTTCCACAAAATTATAATTTTCCGTCAAAAATTTCCCCCAAATTTTTTAATTTACTTTGACTTTATTTAGATGGTTAAATTAACTCTCGGAAATCGGTGCTGACCACAACTTCCAGTTCAAACCAGCTGAGTGGAGCCAAAGCCGTGCAGTGAGGAGAATGAAGCAGGATTGTTTAGAGGAGTGAAGGATGTGTGTTTTCTTTTGTCAGCCCGTGTAGTTCAGAGGATTTATGTCCGACATGTTCGAGGGTCACTTTATGACACAAGTGTTCATGCAATTGTCCAGTTTAAACAAGAAAAACACCAAAATTGTATTTTTTTCCCACAACACACTGTACAGAACGAAAGCCTCTCTGCATCATCAAACAGCCTTTGACCAAAAAAACGAGAGAAATCATCCGCTTCACCTCTTCACATCTCGATTTCTCTTCATTCGTGACATTATTTGACTGAACTCTGCCGCACCAATCTGAGGGTTTATTTTCTTTCAGGCAGCATTTGTGGAGCTATCTTGTTTCTGCAGCATCTTCTGATCATGTGACAATCTTACAGGCCAGTTTGGACACATGTGAATTCTTCTCCTGTAAAATTGGTGAGAGATTAAATAAGCAAAATAGACTTGGTAGATAAATTTTACCTCAAAGTTTTAAACGTTAAGGCTGCAAATTAGTTGGCATTGATTGAAAAATGTAGATTTTGCAGGTTAAATAAGGAGATTAGTGAATTGGAAACGATTGAATATGCCTTATTATGAGAAGATCATTAATATGATGATTTAAAAAACACTTCCAGAGATTTGGGGCTGAGATCAAACAGGCCTTTTTATTTCTTATATTGCATTTTGTATTTATGTTAATGTGTAAAATGTTCTTTTGTTGGGACGAACAAAAGGAGTTATAATATGCAGTAATTTAGTGAGGAGATCCTCTGAAGTAGTCCGGGTGGAAACACACCTGAGATTTGATCTAGAAGCAGTTTGAGAGTTTTACAAACACTTCTCTAAAACCCAGTATCTCTTTAGAACGGGTTCTCGCCAAAAGTTTTGCAGTAAGAAAATAAGTTTTTGACTAAAACGAATCTGTTATACAGGACAATGACGGACCAAGATGAGGGTTAAACTCGGTTACTTACCTGATGGTAATCGTCGGTGGTTATATTGAGTTCCGGTCTCCATGTTGGCCTCTCTTCCCGTGTTTCATGTCGCTTTCAATCTATGCTGTCGAAATAAAGCCCGGAAACACGTTAAAATCTTTTAAAAAATGGAATAACACGATAATGGTTGAATTAAATACCGAGTGTGTTGACGCTATGCTCCCAGCTCGGTTCTACTGCCCCCTACTGGCCAAAAACTAAACTCCACTTCCTCATTGTTCTAAAGTATTTGAGTATGTAATAATCCGCCGCTGTTTTTTAATTAATGGTATAATAATCCAAGGATTATTAAGAAATTTTCTTGGTGTAAAATAGCTTTCTTTCCAGAGTAAACGAGAGTTTTCCATAATTACCAAAAACAGAAAAAAGAAAAATATCACGTAGTTTTTTGATACTTGTCATTAAATCAGAGAAACAGCAGAATTTTTCTCCGTAATCCGCCCTCATATGTGCATATTTTACACACAAAAAACTCTCGAAAAGCAGCATTTAGTATCAGTGCAGCATTTATTTAAATAATAAATCATGGGACAAAATCTTAAAGTGCATCCAGATACAAGAACTGCTCAATAATAGTCAAAATTACGGAATTTTAAACGGAGTTAAAAGTAAGATTTATCTTGATAGGTTAATGAACTACTGTGATTGGCATTTTTTAAAAGGTTAAAACATTTAACAGTCGAACAAACGAAGAATTAGGAGTATTTTTGTGACCGTTTCATTTTGGCGGGCTAGCTACTAGCTAGCTATTTCCTGTCTTTGTTTCATGCTAAGCTAACACGCTATTTGGGTTTTTAATCCCACACTTCACAGATAGATTTCTAACTGAGGGGTATGAGGGTCTGTTTTTCCAAATAATAAAGTATTCCTGTCCTGGAGATATTAGGATGAAATGTTCAGGTGTGTTTCCACCCTCAGAGGTTTCTCTGTAATGCAGTAAAGATGTCAGAGTGTCTTTCACATCACAGGATTGCACTCCTTGTCACGATTTACTTCTAAAAAGGGAAATTCCACCAAAATGTTAAAGTTTTTTTTTAAAGACAGTGTTTTCTGACTTGTGCCCATGTTTTCCCTCTTCCTAAAAAAAGTCAGAATCAGTTGATCAGTTTTGGTGGGATCCCTTTCCTGAGGCAGCCTCATGTGCCATGGTTTTATGTCTGCAGTGTCAAACACTGGACTTTAGAAATGTGCTTGGTTTTGTCAGCATCTGCATGTTGAGCCATTTTGGTATTTATTTGTAAATGTATTTTTTTATTTACTTATTTATTCTTTGTTTTCTGACTGAACTGTGAAACCAGGGGAGCTCATAACTCTATACTAATTCAAAATACAAAACATTTGACTGACAGATTGTTCTGATGCCAAAATCAAGAGGCCTTAATTCAGCAAAACTAGATTGTAAAAAAAAAAGAAAAAAAAAAAAGAAAAAAAGTCATTCCTGACAAAAAAATCCAACTGAAGACTCCTTTGAGCTGAAAGTCACGAGTGATTCATATATGAAATGTTAAGAAAACCGCTTTTGTACTCATTTTTACAGACTATTTATTAAACTGTGATTTTGTAAGAAATAAAAAAGAAGCAATGAAAGTGGTCGTGTTTGTGGTGTGATGACTTCTTTTCCAGCAACTTAATCCGCAGATTAATTAATACAAACATTACTTTTATTTTTTTACATTCACAATTTAGGAAAACAAAACAGCTCGCAGGCTCACATCCAGGAATCAAGACAAAGCAGCTGTGTTGTAAATTCATCCATCACACTCCACAAAGATAAAATCTGCCTTGCAAAGAGGGAGAGGAGGGAGGGTTTAGTGTTCTCATTAAAAAAAAGTTGGCACCTCTTCTTTACCGGGCTGTTTGGATTCTGTAGGAGGTCTCGTTCTGCCGCTGCGTCTGCTCTCCGGTCGGGTTCGGAGATTAAGAGGCACGTTAAAACACGAGCCATAGAGGAGTCCGAACCCTCAGGAGAATCAGCGGCAGGACACAAACATCAGGAGAGAAATAATCAACTTTACCGAAGGGCGGCATTCGTCTCCCTCTGTGACGTTATTACACACCGAACATGTGAGGAGGAGGAGGAGCTCTAAGGCACCTTGAAACCAGACTAAGTTTGATTTCTAGATGCTTCTGAGGATCTCACCGTTCATCTGTTGACTGAAAAGAGGCAACAGACGGAAAACTAAAGCAGGGCAGAGGGTTAAAGAATATAAATATTAACATGAGACTCTATTTCTGAAAGAAAATAATGAGTCGCTTCATTTCAAGTCTTTCATAGTTCATCACAGCTGCCTTTAGAGCTGCACATGCTGAAACGTTTCAGTCTCTTCTGCTCACTTTTAAAAAACCTATCAGGCTTCTGAAATAGAAAGAGCGTCTGTGAAGTTCTGACCCAAACACGGGCGAGTTCAGTTTCTTTCCTCAGTCTGTAGCAGCGTCCGGGTCCTCACGTGGTCCCACAGACCGTCAGTTGAGTTTGACGGGCAGGTCCACTCCATATCTGTGGAGGAACTTGCTGTGGTTGTGGTCCACGGACCAGAGAGGAGGGAGGTGCTGGGGCTGCATGGAGGTGAGGAAGTGCTGCCTCCAGCGACGCTCCAGCTCCATCAGACCCTGCAGGCCCCGCTCGGCGTGGGCCTGAACCACCTTCAGACCGTGAGGAACGTACGCCTCATTGAAGATCCTGCAGAGGAGAGAGGAGGAGTCTGAGATAGAACTAGAGAAGCAAGCGGTCGACAACATTCATCTTTTGAGAGGGTGTCTAACTCGGTGTTACGGTGTATTTGACCCTAAGTTAATTTAACGCCGGAATATCCCTTTAAGTCAAGCAAAACATCTGCAGATCAAACACGGTCCAATCAGATCCTGGTCTGGCGGTGGATGATAGTTGTGGAAATCGTCTTCCAGCAGCTTCAGCTCTGAGCACAAATTCTTAGCTTGGATTAAAGACACTGACTCGATGTTCCCCCTCCTCTGACTTTAGGAGATTTGACAGTGAAATCTACGCTCTCTCTCTCTCTCTCTCTTTGGTTATTATTCATCTCCAGCTGTGTTAACTGACGCCGCTGTGCCAGGAAACTCGTGAAAGTGAATATTTGAGGAGAAATCGGATCCCGCAGGTATAAATTAAACCCTCAAATCAAACAGCCTGAGTCGAGTCTCACCTGGTCTCCAAACCAGCGGCCTGCTGCAGAGCGTCCTCCGCCAGCTTCTCCTCCTCGTTCATGTTGAGGAAACTCTTGATCAGATCCTGCAGCTTGTCTCGCCGCTGCTGCGGAAGCCCGTCCCCGGCAGTGAGCAGAGCGCGAGCCGCGGAACGAACCCGCCGCCGGTCTGTGTCCTCCAGCAGGCGGACCCCCTCCTCGCAGCCCTGAGGGGCGGCGTACTCTTCAGCCAGCTGCTGCTTCAGGAAGCTGTCGAACACGTTTGAGGCGGCGTGGCAGCTGGTGCAGAGCAGCAGGATGTCATGGGAGTTGTGGTTCTTCATCTCGGTGGGAAAATGCCGCCTGTACTCGTGTGGCACGATGTTTTTCCTGAGAAATGAAAGGAAACCAGGTAACCGATGATAAAAACGTGATTGAGAAAAATACTGAAAAGAAATCGGAGTTTTGATTTTAAGCAGAAAATACAGTTTTATCTAAACAGCTGATGATTGGATATGAAGTGAAGATTTCTAACCTGATGTATGAATCTGCTTTTCCACAGACCACGCACAGGTTCTCTTTGGCGGTGAGATAATAGTCCTGTTGAGAATCAGGACGTCCCGACGGCTCGAAGAGCAGCCTCACGACGAAAGGATCTTCACTCTGCAGCTCTGGGTCAAAAACAGAGATTTCAGTGAAGAACACAAAGAAGTTTCAAGCTTCTTCTGCTGAATTTAAAACAGTCAAAGTGAAAGAAGATAAAACTTTTCTCTTAAAGGTTCCTGTTTACTCTGTAACTTTAAAGGAAGTAAATCAGGGAGAAACTCTGAAGGACAAAGTCGCTCACTGCAGCTTTAAACTGTTCTGACATTGTGTTTTGATGTTATCATGTTAGAGTGATCTAATGTACCTCCTATTCCTTTATCTAGGTACCATTTGGCTTTCTTCTTGTCGCAGGTACACAGAGGCTGGCCGTCTGGAGCGTGCAGGAAGCAGTTATCATAGAGAGGAGTCTTCCTGTTACACAGAGGAGAAGGTTTAATGTGAATTCATTTTAATTCTCCACTGTCCTGACGACGCTGGAGTCCCTCCTCACCTGGCAGAGTAGCCCACACCCAGCAGTTTCCTCTTGTTGTTCTTCTGAAAGTCTGGGACTTGTTGATCTCCAGACTCTGGGCTCCCGCTCGAGGACAGTTTCTGCGTCCTCCGCCTCCTCTCTCCGTCTGCGTTCCTGTTGTCCCCGTCTCCTCCTCGGCCCCTGAAGGGGACGTCCACCAGGCCCTGGCAGCAGGAGGCCAGCTCGGAGTAAGAGCACCTGCTGGAAGAGGCGGGACTGGCGTCAGAGTGGAGGCCGAGGAGATGGAGGAAGAGAGCGACAGAGACTTGGGCGTCTCTGGCGGCGTAGGTCATCTGGTGATGAGAGAACAGATGAGGAAGTTTAGAGAGACACAGACGAAGAACGACAGATTTAGCCGGTAACTTCTGGATTGATTGGAGAATTGAAAGCCCATCTGAGCGATGGAGGAGCTGAAAATGTCGCTCACTTAATCTTCAGTGTCGGGGAAAATAAATCTGATTAGTCTTTGCAGGAGCAGCCAAAAAAGTTCCTCCCACTCACACATTGATTTTGTTTTAGATGCTCTCTGGATGAGGTTTCATGTTGATATAAAAATCACAAAAAGTTCTCAGGGAAAAAAAGCGCCTCTTTGCTTTTTAGTGATTTCTATATTTTTAAAAACTGCTGATTTATTAACAGATGTGAAAAATGAGAGAGATGAGGAATGTGGAGCGGTGAATCACCTGCTCTGTTGTCAGCTGCTCTGCCTCCCAATCGCTGCAGCGAAGCTTCAGAGATTTATCCAGAGATACATCCAACAGATCTGCTGCCAGAGACTTCAGGCTCATGTCGTTACTCACTTTAGTTTGCCTGGAAATGGAGACAGAAGTGAAGAGGGTCATTTTCAACTCAAAAACAACACCGCAGTGAGCCAAAAGAGAGTCAAACGCTTTGAGAGAACACAGACAACATAGTACCTCTGTCTTAAGGCGATGTAGCGCAGGTCGACCGTACACTTCAGCAGCAGACCGTAGTCACGAGTCAGACGCTTCCCGTCTTCGTAGCAGCCGACGCCGACTTTGAACACGCGCGGGTCTCTGAGGAGTTCCGTTAAACTGAGGGGGAACGTCCTCTGGCCGTTACGAAACGCCAGCAGCCTCACCAGGACACACAGACCTGAATACGAGGACATCTGCAAGAGGGAGACTGCAGACGCCCGGCCTTTTACCGACACCTGCAACAAGACAAGACATCGTGATCAGACACAGAGAGCTGGAGATATGACAGGAGGGAGTTGAGTTCAAACTGAGGCTGCAGCTTCATCAGTGTCACCATAAAGTCATCATAAACAATCGCAATAAATAAGTCAGAAAAAAGTCTAAATGCATTTTAATACACTGGTACTTGTAAGAAACACTTAACCGATCTATCGGACACAAATTCAAGTCTTTCTCAGATTGCATTAAGCCGTTAACCACCAAAATAAGAAGTATAGAAACACTGTTTTTTCTCTAAAACCTGCAGAAGATAAATATCCATATTTTTTTACCCATTCACAGTCGAGCCCCAGCACAGGAACATCCGACAGCTCCTTCTGCATCAGCGGCCACAGCTGCTGCCATTCTTCTTCAGAGCTCACCATCAGCGGTTTCACTCCCAGCAGCTGATCGGTGGTCGGGATCTGCACAGGAGGGGGCAGCGATGAGGTCTGACCCTCCACAGCTTTAATCTCTTTATCTAGTACATGTGAGGACTCTGGGCTCTTATACTCCACAGCGGTGAACGTCTTTTCCACAGGACACGGAGCTTCCACAGGATCATCCGCCTTCTGATTGAAAGGCAGCCTCTTCCTTTTGGTCCGGTAAACCCGCCATATGAGCAGCCCACCTAAGGTCGCCCCTAATACTGTTGTTATGACAGCGGTTAAAGGGCCTCGGTGAGACATGTTGGTTTGTGGTGATGTCCAGCTAAAGGTGCAAACCTGGAGACAAAAACACTCAGGGTTAGAGGGTCTACCATGTCCACACGGCGACTCATACCCCTGAATAACAGAGTCGATAACCGAACTACCAGACCTCTTCTTACGATCTCAAACAGGGCGCCTCAGTAGGAGACCTCCCCTGTGTTTTCATTCACGAGAACAAAATGTCCCTCTCGCTCCCTTTAGATCTTCATGTCCCATTAAAGTTGCTGATCTCTCTGAGTGTCCCTGAACTCCCTCGTCTCTTAGGTTCCTCTGGACTGATGCTGCGGACATGAAGATCAGCCTCCCCGACATTAATCACCTGCTCTTTTGGAAAGCATCACGGGATGACGACTGTTGCAATTTGGCACTGTATAAATAAAAATTGATTGGTTGATTGAAATGTCCGTTTTGGCCCGAGGTGTTAGACCCTCTGTCAAAACATCTGAAAGTAAAAACCTCTCCAGAAGGAAATCTTACATCAAAACTGAAACTTTTAACACCACGTACAGGAGTTAAGAGTTAAACAGTTTGGTTATGTTACACAGCTTTGTGACATCTAGTCAATCAGGTAGTGTTGTAGTCCGGACAGTAGACCCAGAGGGGAATCCAGAGTTAGTTTTATCACCATCTATAGAACAAATGGCTGATAAATTTATCAGCCAAGCGCCAATAATCTGAGTCCACATCTAATAAAACTGCATCAGTGTTCACTTCAGCCTGTTTTACCACCACTGAACCCACTGCACACAATTAGGTGCTCCAGTTTTGCACAGGTTTGTCAAATTTCTGATATGAACAGGTATTGAAACGTGTTATTTGTCACTGGTGTGGTGGTGAAGCTCATAATTCTTCTACCAAATCAAAACTACGATCATGAATACAGCCTAAAGCTTTCTGGATGTTTTTTTTAGCATATCATAAAGGCACAAAGTGTGTTTAAAGCAACAAATTCAGTGAGTCCTATATAGAGCTGCTGTCTATAAAAGGACTCAAAATAACTGGGTCACATAATTGACCGAAACACCGGTCACAGGTAACGTTGACTAGCCTGACAAAACGTTTCCCCAGCGCTTTTAACATCGTTTCCGAACAAAAATAAAGACTAAAATCACCTCGTTTTTGCACGATAATTTGTTTTTAATGTAAAAATGAATCTTTTATTCGCTTTTATCCCTGAACACCTTCAGTTTTTACTCCACAGCTAGCATTAGCCGTTAGCGTCCTCTACTCTTTGTCCTCTCTTTGCGACAACAGCGTCGATAACTAAAACAGGTTAATCTCCTCAGTTTGAAGCTTGACTTTGAAGCATTTCCAGATAATGTCGTTATTTTTTAGACTTTCTCTTTGAAGCAAAGTTAACGTTAACCTAGTTAGCCCCCAACAGCTAGCCGGTTATCTCGCTCCCTCTCTCGGCTTGTTCCACTAAACGTCCCGGTGACAAACTGTCTGTCATAACGCGTTTTCACGTCGCGGTGCTTTTTTGTACTAATATGATAAGTTTGAGTCTTACCTTTACGTTTTAAACCAACACAACGCCAGTTTTCCGCACATGTACCCTTGCTTTTTTATGCTAATCTGAGCCATAGCGTCCGGGCTGCATTTATAACCGCGCAGCTCTGTGACCGGCGCCCCCTGCCGGACAGGCGGGATAACAACACCAACAAAATACACAGAGGAGTGAACAGGCCCGAAGTAGAAATAAAAACATTTAATTCATGGGTAAAAAGACACTAGAGTATCATTTTCGAGGAGGATTTGAACATTTTGAATAAAATTACAAGTCTGTACTACTTTTACAGAAATGTTGAGGACTGAATACTTACATTATAATCCAGAAACAGGCAAAACAAGTGTGATAGGACACCTGACATTGTGTGAGCTTCTCTCCTTAAGCTTAATTTTTATTTCAATTTAATCAGCAGTTTTGCAGACTTTATGATTAAATGTCCAGCAGTAAATCCTAATGTTAAAAATCAGGTAATGCTTGCAGCTTATACCAAAATCAGTAACTGATGCAATATAAAATGTAAAAGAGTGCAATCCTTATTTTTTCTGCAGAAAATCCAAATTAAAGTTCTGATTTTAACATTAAATGTCCTTGTTGTCTTAACATTACGTGTGTTTTCTCAAAATATGACTCACTCCGATAGGCTGGACTGCCATGTGTCATACTGTTGTGTCCCACACACTCATGAGGAACAATAAGTCTTATATTCGGTTTGTATTTTAGCGACTCTGGAGGTGTGAATTAAAATCACAGTCAAGAACACAGACAGCGTTTTTCCTCTACCACCATCAATTTATTCAATCTTTTAGCTTCAATATTTCTCCAAAGAAGTGGAATAAAGTAATGAAATAATTACAAAATGGAAAAATAGATCAGATAATAGATCATATTCACAGGTTTGATTTAAAAAAATAAAAACATGACAGAGAGAAAAATCAGACAGTGAGAGATGAAACCGTTTTTATCTCCCTGTAGTTTTTTTTTAGGTGGAGGTCAGGCCGAGTCAGCGCCGCGGACTAACTCACCTGTGTTGATCAAGGTCACCTGTGAGGTCAAATCATCTACTTTAGTGCTTGTGCAAAACAAAAGTTTAGAAATCAACTATTTAAAAAAAATAAGATAGGAGGTGGTGAAACAGAAGACGACTCATCCTACTGCATTAAATAAAAAACAAGATCGTTACCACACAAAGAGAACGACAGTGAGGAGGACAGAAGAAGAAGAAGAACGTGTCGAGTACTGATGCACACGAACTATTCAAACTGAGCACAGAGAAGAGAGGCAACCGGTCGGGCACCACCACCACCACCTCCACCACCACCACCAGGTCCACAATGATTGTTGCTGCAATGATACCCTATTTACAGTGAGATGCTTCACATCCAATCACAGGATGCAACAGAGACGGAAATAAAGAGATTTCTTCTTCAAAAATAATAAAAACATTCAAACAAAAATAAAAGTAAAGCAGCTGTCCCTTCACAAAATCTCTTTACATCACATTAAAAATTAGCACTGCTGTAAGCTGTGTGAACAGTATAGATTCTTTATAGATATATAGATTTTTTTATGTATAATATATATACGGTCATTTCTTGTTTACAGGAACATGTCTCATTGTAGCTAGCCTGTGCCTTTGGCACGATTACTTACAACTCTTCTGTTAGATTCCAAAGCTATTTAAAATATACTTAATGCATAAAAATAAAGATTTTGGCATCGTCTCACTCGATTCTTCTCGGGAAGTTAACCACGAGAACTTCTCCTGTGGAAGCTGAGTTCTCTCAGTGCTGCAGTTCCTCTGCCAGGTGAGGGAGGTCGAGTTCTGGGGTCTGGATTGAGCGTAAGCAGGTGGGAGACACGAGCGGCACACCTGAGCGTGTGCTGGAGGGTGACGAGGGGTCAGGTGCAGCTCAACACAGATATTCCACAGGGTACAGATGACCTTGCGCTCCACAGCACAAACAAAACGATACAGACGAAGCTAATGAGACGTGGAAGGAGGGAGGGAGGGAGGGAGGGAGGGAGGCGCTCTGTCCTGAACAGCAGGGAGTCGGTTTTTCCTCTCCTCTCTCTGCTGTGCAGGGCTCTGCTCCTGCTGATTCACCCCCTGCTCTCCACAGTCTCCCACTTCTTTGTCGCCCTGCTGAGCTTGTCCAATGAAACGGAGACAGGAAGTTGTTCCTCTCTTTTCGAGTCACTCACATACACACCCCCCCCTCTTAACTTAACGGCCTCTGAATGTCCGGGCTCTTCTGATCGCAGCTTTCAGAGCTGGATCTCAAAGGTCTTGTGCAGCTCTGTGGAGAAGGGATTTGTCGGGGAGGGTGTGGTGCGCTGGCGGGAGCGGCCCTCCAAGGCTGCCCACTGGGCCTCAAAGGCATCTTCCTGCGGCTGTGGGGGCGGCTGGGTGGCTGGGGAGGATGGAGCGAGTTGGGACGGGGCGGCCCAGCTGTCTGCCCCGTTAAAGGTCACGCTGCCATTGGATGGCTGGAGTGGGGCGGGGTGCACAGCGGCGGGCTGTGGGGGTGGTTTGATGAAGGGGCTGATGTTGGCCACAGCCTGCACTTCCTGTTGTGTTGTTGTGGCGGTGGCGGGGACTGGGAAGGGCTGGGGTTGCGTGGCTGAACCGAACACATTAGCCACCATCTGTGAGGGCGTGATGCCGACCACGGGCACGCTGGGCTGAGGGAACGGCAGTCCGTTCGGCATCGGGTAAGAGGCCGGGGCCTGAGTGTGGAAGGCTGGCTGGCGAGGGGGCAACATGGGCACGGCTGTGGGCAGAGAGGGCATGAAGGCCACGGGGGGAGGAACGGCGGGAGCGGGCGCCACGGGCAACCCCACAACGGGCGCCGCGAACGGCTGAGAGGGAGGCGTGAAAGGCTGAGCGGGAGGCGTGGCCGCCAGGATTGGATTTGGCTGCGGGGCTCGGACAGACTTGGTGACTTCTTCTAACCACCGGTCCGCCTCAGACGGGGTGCGTTTGTGGGAGGATATGACCGGAGAGGACGAGGGCGGGACCACGATCACCGGGGTGGGAGCTGTCCAGTTACTTCCTGTTGATGTAAAAGAAAAGAAAGTGAGCGGACACGTTTAAAAGACGAGGATTCATCATGTTTTACAGGATCAGGGATGTCTAGTTTCTCAGGAACTATACCGTGTATCTCTACGGGATAAAAAGTGCTCAAAAGTTTACCCTTTTGGTGATCTATCGAGGGTTTCCAGACATTTCTACACCTGCCACAAGGTTTACAATCCAGCCACAAAAACAGGTGTTTGATCAGAGACATTTGACGGTAAATCCGCATTGATATACCGCTAAAAACATGATTATTTATCAGACTGTCATGATTAAAAAAAAGATCGCTATCGCTGAATGCTGCTAATATCTTCCAGGTCCAACAAGCTGTTTTGATGATGACGTCTTTTTCTGTCAAACTTTTGACCAATTACATGGTCTCTTATTCTTCTTCTATTGTTCCATTGACGGTAGTGTCCAATAAGAGGCAACCAAAGATCAACAAGAGACGAGAAAGTTCCCTGCTTGTCTACGAAATAAGAAATAATGGTCCTCAATGTTTGGAAACAAGCAAAGAAGAGATTCTGAGCAGTATGATGTGGTCCTCTGTCTCATAGTAAATAGTAAAAAACGCCTGGAAGAATGAGTGTAAATATGTCAATAGTTTCTGTTGTGTGTTTGTTCCAATCCCAATATTTCTTCTCCTGATAGCCAAGACTAAAGAGAATGATGTTCAGGTGAGAAAAGGCTTGGTCACTGTAGATTTATGTGTTTTTTAGCAAAGTTCTGTTGGTATAAATTTCCGTTTTTGTTTTTTGGTTGACTTTGATGGTTCTGAATCTACTGTCACATTCATTTGACATCATTTTTGCTCCATAAACTGACAGCTGAGGTCGTCCTGAAAACAAAGATGTGTATGTATTTGCTGTGATTGAAAGGATCGAGTTGAAGAAAAAACAGGTGGACCAAAAATAGCAAAAAATAGCTGGGAGTTCTAAGTGTTAAACAATATCTCCATGTTTTAGGGAAGACCTTCATATGATCCCAAACCACATTCTGACAGTTCTGGCTCTGTAGTAGAAGAGTCCTGTCGACTCCTGCTGCGTCCTTCGCCATGCAAACCTGTGAATCGTGCCTCTCTAATATTCTTACCTGGCTGTGCGGGAGCTGGGGCCCCACCTGGAGTCTTAGCCCAGGGGTTAGTGTCTCGAGCAGGCAGAGCGGGGGGCAGGACTGGGGGGTTAGAGGTTACAGCAGCGGACGCAGCAGCAGCAGCAGCAGCAGCAGTGACAGAGAAGGCGGGAGCTGTGCCGTTCACTACAGCAGATAATAAGAGACAGGAGCTAGTACGAGCGGGCCGGCCTTCGGTTAGACATGCACAACGTAACCATGCGATTAATAAACACTCTCAACAACGTGTCAATCCTATTTATGAGGTTAACACAACAAATGTGGTGATGGGAAATGTAAGCACATTTAAAATTCAGCCAACAGAAGTCTGATGGTTTCCTCTGGAGCGTAACGAGCAGAAAACTGGTCCAGAATCTGAGCGATAAATAACTCTGCTGGCCAGAGAAGATTCTGGCAGACATCTGCTGCAGAGTTCGTCTGTTGTTTCTCATTCTGCTCGTGGATTTACATAAAACTCATCAGAGTCGCTCAGAATTAAGATGGTGTATTGTTTAGTTTTACGTAGCGACAGGTCTGATCTCAGGTTTACAGATTCGATCTGTCCGCTTAGATAATTCACAGCAGTGCAGCTCACACAGAGAAGTTCTGCTGATGTTACCTGGTGCTACAGGAGACTGTGGAGATGAAGCAGGTTTGGGCATCGGTGCTGAGGAGAAGGGGTCCTCTGGGGGTCCGCTGAAAGCCGTGGTGATCTGAGTGCACAGTGAACTGATGCTGTCGCTCTCTCCTTCAACCTCGGGGACTGAAGGGAAAAAACACCAGAGCTTTGTTAACTCCTACAGCAGTGATTCAGTGACTTTAAAGGGATATTCCGGCGTAAAATTAATTAAAGGTCAAACACACCGTAACACCGAGTTAGACCCCCCCTCCAGAGATGAATGTTGTCGACCGCTTACTTCTCTAGTTATACCAACTTTAGTGACGACCGCAGGATAGCAATACAGAGAGACACGCGCTCAACCAAAACGCCACTCTATAGCCACAAATAATGCTCAGAACAGCACCTAACTTCATCAACAGGACATATAGGGTCACAGACATAGTACTAGAAACCAAACATCTTTTTAACTTTGACTCATTTCATTAGCAAAGACACTAAACACAACTCACCTACTCTCTTCCAGCAGCCGCTTGTTAGAACGGAACTACAGCGGGGTTTCGCAGCTCAAGGAAGAACATTTATGATCATTTCTTTATGGAAATACAATCAGACCGAGACGCTAAGGCAGAAGAACTACCGCGTCTACAGTGGAAAATGATTAATATGGTGATTATTACTTAAAGGAAATAATTTGTTTACATATTTTTTGTTATTTTAAACGCCTGAATTACACATTTGTTTACATGTGGTTGTTTTGTTTCATATAGTTGTGTTATATTAAGGAATGTCATTTTATTTAAATCTTATTTATTTGTTATAATGTTAATGTTTATGCCACTGTCACATTATTTTGTACTTTGTTATTACCAGTACTAGTGTTGATGACCTCTGGCTCTTTTAAGGCCCCATCTTTAATTCTTTAAGCTTATTGTTCCTCTGTTATTCCAAATTAGGTTAAGGAAAAGTTCATTCTGCGTTTTATTTTGATTGTTCTTTCAAAATAAAACTCTGTTAAATGATTTCAGGGCGCGTATAAATACTTTTTAACCGTGATAATTTTTCGTTACATCCCTAGCTGGAAGAGAGTAGGTGAGTTGCGTTTAGTCTCTTTGTTAAAGAAATTAGTCAAAGTTAAAAAGATGTTTGGTGTCTAGTACTATGTCTGTGACCCTATATGTCCTGTTGATGAAGTTAGGTGCTGTTCTGAGCATTATTTGTGGCTATAGAGTGGCGTTTTGGTTGAGGTTTGTTTATCGCTGTGTATTGCTATCCTGCGGTCGTTACTAAAGTTGGTATAACTAGAGAAGCAAGCGGTCGGCAACATTCATCTTTCGACGGGGCGTCTAACTCGGTGTTAAAGTGTGTTTGACCCTAACTTAGTTTTATGCCGGAATATCCCTTTAAACCAAACAGAAAAGTTCCACAAGTTTCTTTTCTTCTTTTTTGCGGCGGGTGATTCAGGCCGCGGGGTCCACGCTCACCTGTGTTCTTGATGGGGAAGTCGGACTTGCGCTGCATGGTGGAGGGCAGCTCGTTCATGCGCAGCGACAGCTGTCGTTTGAAAGGAGAGGTCTTCTGACTGAGTGCCGGGAAGCCTCTGAAGGAGCCCTGCCTGGCGATCACGTCGGCCGGCGCGTGTCTGCGCGGTATCGCCTGGGGTCCCAGCGCGGTCATGGTGAGCGGAGGGGAGGACGAGGGGGAAGGTGAGCCTCCCGTGGGGTGTGTGGAGGAGTTTGTCACACTGGTGGCCGAGTTCCCGGCGATGGTCACGTCTGTCTCTGCTGTGAGAGAGGGAGGAATGTTGAGACGGCGGAGAGGAAACGACAGCAGGTCAGACAGCGGAGTCACGACACACAAACAGACCTTTCTTAGCGTCCTGCAGCTGCCGCATGACTTCCTCCCGCTCTGCCGCCTCGGTCGCTGTTGTGACACGAAACGAGCCCTCCCGGGTAAAAGTGGTTCTGTTGGCGTCAAAGGTCGCCGTGACCCCGCACTCCTTCTCTCGTTTCTGTTTCCGCTCCAGACAGGCGGCGAATGCGCAACCGACGGCGTGACTGAGACGTTCTCCCTGAAACAAAAACGAAACGAAGGATGAGTTTGATGGTTTGACTGAATTTCAGACGAACATCAAACTCACTGAGCAGCAGAGATGACGGATTGTTCAAAAACGTGACAGACTAACGACAATCATAGCTGAAAATTTATCAACACAGGTCAGGAGGTGAAATCACTCACTGAGTCTTTAATGGCCATGAAACAGTGGCAGATCCAGCGCCGTGTCGTCCCATCCCTGCAGATGTACGAAAACGCCCTCTCAAAGTTCCGGTCCGGAGCGCAGAACGACACCTTCTCTATCGTCTGGTCCAGAATCAGGTCCTGGAAAAGCAACATTAACTCATTATGTTGAAACCTTCAGTCGGGGGTGAAGTGACTCTCAATCCAGTCCAATCTAAACGTGGGTGGAGTGATTTGCTCGGTGAGCGGTGCTTCAATCTGAGAGCTTGGAGAGCGTCTGAGCAGCAAGAGCTCAACAAGTGCTGCTCTCTGATTGAAAAATAACCCGGAGAGGACTCTCAGATCCTCAAATCTGTTTTATTCTTCATAAATTCAACAAAACAGCAAAAACAGACCAAGAGTGCAGCACAGACATACGCTGAAACAGAGTTCCTGACGGCCGTCTCTCGATGACTTTTTAAACTTCACTAAAACTTTAACAACTTTTGTCTCACTCTTAGAGAAAAACTGTGTCTGTATTTTTCTGAAAACAAATCTGCACCAGGAAAATAAAATAACTAATATTCTTAAAAACGGAGCTCCCTTCAGCTCAGAGGAAAACAAGAGCAGAGTTCACAGATGAAGGTTTGAGGATAAAGAACAGAGACAAATACTGCAGGTTACAGAGTTAATATGTCTCTAAATCAAGTCAAAGGTGAGTAAATCCTCGTGAATTTCAGATGAATAAATCATAAACCTCTTATTCACATTCATGTGTTTTTAAATCGAGGAGTCCTCCACTGAATTTGGTCAAATAGATGCTGAAGTGAAGCTACAGGATTGACACAAACTCCAAAATCCTCCTGTCGATCTCCCGAGAAAAACGGTTTAATATAATTATGGTCATTCATGAAGGGAGGGTAGGAAGTCCCAGCTTGAGTCATAAAAACTCTCCAGAGTTGGTTGCACCCGAACAAAAGTAAACTACACTTGTTTGTTCTTGTTCTTGTGAGTCTATCTCTCTGCTCTGCAAATTAAAATCCCTGATTCTGTTTTTTTAAAGAGAGAGATAAAAAGTCTTAATGAGATTCTTTCTGACTGTCGGGATCCTCTCTGTAAGTTTGTCATTAAGTTAAATTGAAATAAGAGTCCAGGTTTTACTTTAAAGCTCTGTGGGTACATTTTCATGTAGTACCAAAGCGATCCAGCAGGTGTCAGTGTCACCTCAACTCTTCCTTATGTCTTATCCTGCAGGTGCAGTGAGAACATATTTCAACAGAGCCTTTTGGAGGTCACCGGTCCAGAGGTACAGCAGCGTCTCTATCACGATGAACAGCCGAGCAGACACCTGTTCCTCCTAATACCGCTCTTCTGTTTGTGTTCGACGACTGGAGGGACGTCTTACCTTTGTTTTGTCGTCGACGACACGTAGACCATCCGCAGACACCCACAACACCGCCCGCACCGGCTTCTTCCCAGCCTGCAGAGGAAACACAACAGGAACAGGAACCAGTGAGAAACTCTTCAGGCCTCTTAGTCGCGTCTCTTTGTCCCGCTCCTCTGTCTGTACCCGTTATTTTTAAAATATTAAAGTCCAGTTAACACACACACACAAAGCACACCTGTGAATAAAGAGAAAGCACCAGGTAAGAGAGGAGAGAGGACACGATTCAGGGAGTTGTGCTGTGTCATTATCAGGAGGACCCAAGTTTGAATCAAAGAAACAGGAAGGTCAGTTCGGTTTGAGGACCGGTGCGCTGATGCAGTCGACAACGGTGGCCTCTCATTGGTTAGAAACGACAACGACAGTCAAATAATTATGCGTGTGTGAACATGAGGGAAACATTCATCCACTCAAAAGTGTTTATTGTTCCACTCTGGGCTGATTGAAGAAGAGCTGAAGGGAGAAAAAGCACGCCTGTTAATACAAAAACACACACACACACACACCACAAAAAAACATAAGAAGTGCCCCACCTGCTCAGAGACACATGCATGACCCGTGTCTGTCTCAGTGCAGACACACACCCCAACTCTGTGTGAATATGTGTGTGTGTGTGTGTGTGTGTTTCTTCCAGCCTTCAGGTGTGATCGAAAGAGTGAGGAGTTACGTGAGAGGAGGAGGAAAAATAATAACAACAACAGCAGCAGCGCTCATAATCAAGAAGAGACACACTCAGACACACAAAACAATAACTTACTTTTGCAAAGAATCCTTTGAAGAATTTCCTGTCCTGGAAGTGGATGTGGTGAAAAAAAAAAGGGGGGAGGAGGGTGGGTGAGAGGGGTGGAGGGGGGAGAGACGGGGGGGAGGAAGAAGGCATGAAAATGTTACCTAAGAGGTCTAAAAACGGTCTGGAGCCCACAGGGGAGGAGGACGAGGAGGAGGTGGAGGAGGAGGAGGTGATTTGGGTTTTTATGTGTTTCTGCTGGAGGTGAAGAAGCTGAGTGAGTGAGTGAGTGGGTGAGTGAGTGAGTGAGTGAGTGAGTGAGTGAGTGAGTGAGTGAGTGAGTGAGTGAGTCAGTGAGTGAGTGAGTGAGTGAGTGAGGAGATGAATCAGGTTTCTCCTCATGAAGGTGAACTGATGAAGGTTGATGATGCTGTGGTTGTTATTGCCTTTCAGGTGAGGACTATTCGTAGGGCTGGGCGATATATCTCTAAAACATGATCATGATATATAAATACAGATATAGACTAAAAACTTTAAATTCCTGTTATTTTATCTTATTTACTTTAAGTTGACTCAAGCTCAAACTGCCATGACAGTCCTGACTTCACGATGACCCCCTGATGACCCCAGAGGTGGTCAGATTGGTGTCTTTGAAAACCCTCATACTGACCTCTGTCAGAAATCTCTCTAATGGGGCGCTCACACCAAGCACAAGTAAAATCATCTACTCGCTTACTTTGCGCGCATCTAGATGTGTGAACGAATAGTATTTATTCGCGCGTCAATGGTAATTTCATCAGTGATCACTGCCAATTGAACTGGTGGGATCAAGTGATAGACAAAGGTATCATATAATTCGGGACACCCATACGCCGACACGATCAGTCTGTCCTACATTTTGATACCAGCGAACAACCGTCTGTTTATTTACATCACCCGGCAACCTTCGTACTGATTAGTTATCGCCACACAAATATCCGCTCAAGTTAAGACATTTTCAGATCCCGCCCAATTCGCTTCATTCGCGCCGCCAGAGGAGTAGGATCGTCTAATCGCGTCTTTGCATTGACTTAACATGTAATTCATTCGCGCAAATGATTTTGCTCGCACATGGTGTGTGGAGACAGTAAGGTCCCTGCTCACTCCAGAACCCAGCACTCTGGAAAACCCCTCCGCTGTTGCAATGCAACAAAGTCTTGTTTCTACATTTACTATGAAACCATGAAGTATGAGCTTTAATTTTCAACCACTAATCTGACCTGCAAAGTTTGGAAAAGGTAAAAAAAAAAGTCCTCAGGACAAAGAACGGAGCGATAAATGTCTGTTTGGTATGTGGAAGGTTTGTTGTCACGATTTGAGCACCTTTTGTGTTTGAAACTTTGCCCAAAATTGTTTGATTTAAGCATACTACCACCTCTTTTGTTATCTTTTTAAATGCTGTAGAAATACGTGTTGACTTCCCAGCCTCCTTGTTTCACACATTTTTTCTTTTTTCCAGAGAACATCGACTTTCTCCGTCCGTAAATCAGGAGATGCTTCAGGGTAGAGTTGCCATTTAGTTTGACATGCAGACTAAAAACTGCAGACTGACTGACTGCTGCTGCTGTTTATCTGTATCTGCTGGAGAAGTCTCTAAATATGTCACCTCTATCCTCTAATGTTGCCATGATCACGTATTAGGGATGTGAAACTGGAATTATCGCCCAGCCCTCGCTGTTAGTATGACCACACTAGAAGCAAGTACCACATTAACCGCTCCCCTGACGACAGGAAGTGTCACCCCTCGGTTCGACTGGTATTCGTTCAACAACAATAACAACCCTGTGAGACGACAACAGCCCGCCGAGCTGCCTGGACAGAGGAGATAAAGATGGCGGCTCTTTAGGTGTGTGAGTGTGTGTCTGTGAGAGTTTGAGGAGTGAGGAAGTCCCAGATCCCTTTTGATTCTGCCCCTCCTGATTCGTGGACAAAGACCTGGTCGTTTCATGGTGGTTCAGCAGACAGAAACAGATTCCCACAGGCGGCGATTCGACCTCAGAGTCAAACCTGTGACTGTTCGCCGCTCAGACAGAGTTAGGGGTCAAGTTTAGGCCGCCACAACCGCACAAAGACACCACAACCAGACCCTGCCCTGGTCTTAATCCTCCCCCTCCCTCGTTCCCTGAGAAGTCCTCTCCTCCCCATAAGCTGTGAAAAGGAGTGCCACTCTGCTCCTGTTACACGGCCATGGTGGAGACGGCACTCTGAGCACCATGTTAATGCATGATTGAACGTGTTAACCAGCTCCGGAGACTCTTGAGGAGCGTGTTAGTGAGTTTGTGTGTGTGTTTGTGAGAAGCAGACAGACATGCAGATGGTGGTAGAGGCTGCACAGCTAGTATTAGTGAGCTAAGGTAGTCAGGGAGAGAGAGAGAAATCTCTATCAGGTTAACTAGAACGTGAGGGTGGTGTGGGGGAGGGGATTCTGGAGGCATTTCTCTGCAACAGCACAATAAAACCTGCTCAAAAAGACAAAACAAAGTGTATATAACAGGAACAGAAAGGTCAAACAGTATTCAATGCATTCAATAAGAGAACGGGGATGACGCTACAGTGAGGGGGGAGGAGCTTTCTGAGCAGAAGGAGAGCTGAGTTCACAGATCGAGGTGAGGACGACGAGGCGAATACAGAACGACTGAGCAGACGACAAACGAGCCTCCGTGTGGAAACAAAACTTCACCTCTTCTTCTCAGACGACTTCGAAACCCACAAAAAATCTCTCATCAGCGTTTCTACGTCGATGTCAGCCCCCCAAAAAACAAAACTAACCACAAAGCAGGATGTGCAACTACAACAACAACACTTTTAGATGAGAAGCAGCTTTAATAGGAGACTGTACCCCAGCACTAAAGATCATCATAGACTCTTAATGACGACAAAAAACAAACAAACCACACGTCAACAGTGACGTCTCACACCCGACCACAGATGATTCAAACACCTGCACTCAGTATCAGTGAAACCCAGCGACAGTTAGAACTCGACTCTAGGGCTGAGCGATATGGCCTCAAATCAATATCACGATATATTGATCAGTTCACCTCGATAACGATAAATGGACGATAACTGCTCCACAAGCTGCTAACCCCCTCCCACGTTAACTTCGTCTACTTCAGCCGCTCCAACTTTCTCTCCGTCCTCCATCTCCTCACCTGTCTTTCCCTCTTTGTTACGGACTGGATGGGGCAGAGTCACGTCTCTGACGTAGGACAGCGTCTTAAAGGGACATGAGACCATAGCCTACCTACACACATCCAAAAACAACTTTTATTTATTTATTTTTTTGACACCGAATATACCGATATGGGCAAAATGAAGTCAGTTTTTGTGGTTAATTTCGGTATCAGTAAATTTAAAGTTTATCGCCCAGCTCTAGGGCCAATCCAATTGTCACTGTTACCCCTTCCCCTTGGTTCTCTGTTTTAGAGGCTAAAGCGAAGGGATGAAAACACGCTCCAAAGAAACAAGACGCTACTTGATTCTCGCCAAATCATCATGCCTTGCGGCTTGTTGGCTGTGTGGTAGGATGATGCAACAATACCGGTAAACAAGTCGGAAAACAGCGCCTACTATTGTAACGTTTAGCTATTGTTAGCTGTTCACAATAGCAGTGTAGCTATCAATAGCTATAGCTTTATTAACTAGCTCGTCGTAATGTGCGATTTTTAAATCTTAAAAGGGACATGAGACCATAGCCTACCTACACACATCCAAAAACAACTTTTATTTAGTCCTTTTTTTGACACCGAATATACCAATATGGGCAAAATGATGTCGGTTATTGTAATAAATTTCAGTATCGGTAAATTTTCAGTTTATCGCCCAGCCCTACTCGACTCCATTCTTATACTGATATCAATACATCCACCACCATCCATACAACTTTCAACGAACAAGTCACCAACATGGACGACTTCACAGCTCCGTCACTTTCAGATGATCTTAGTTTTGGTACAAAGTTCAGGTTTTGAGGCAAAATACCAGGAGTGACAAAGAAGAGAAAAAAATAAACAAAATATTGATATTGTACTAAAACAAAAAAACATAAAGGAGGCGTGTTTGTCAATAATTCATAATGCAGTAACACACCACTCTGCCCTCACTTCCTTCCCTTTATTGAAGTGATTTCCTTTTTCTATTCTAAGTTTCTCAATATTGCAAAAACTCTGTTGACTTGATGTGATGGTTGATACCACAGCAGCCCTGAGCGTTATTATAAGATTTTTTTATCGAAGCGACATTTCTAAGTGAAGTTCAGGGCATGTTTGTGGAGATCCCTCAGAGCAGCGGAGCTCCGGGTTAAGTGAGGATCTGTTTAGTGGTTGCCCTTGTTTGGTGTTTACTCAGGAAGCTGCATCTCCACTGTAATGGAAAGACAGCTCTTCAGACCATGTGACCCAAAGAGCCAAAACAGCACCTAATATCCTCTCCGACCGTCTAATGGAATCAGGTCCATTGTGGATGATGGGCCCAGAGGCTACTGGGTGTTGATGTACAAACACAATCGGAATTCTTTCAGCATGTCAGCATCTCCTGGTGGGGCGCTCCACCCAGTCTGCACAGAGGAAACACTCCAGGTCGCCGCCACCTCCTGAGCAACAGTGAAAACATTCCCACTGCAGGAACACAGAACACACGTCCCGATCCGGGCCGGCGGCCAACAGCAGCAGGAAGTGATGTCACGATGACATAGCAGAAAGGGCAGCTTGGAGGTTGGTGGTACTGCAGTGTGCTGCTGCAGCCTCCTTCACCCACCTCCATCCTCCCCCTCTGAGTCATGGGCTGTGAGAAAACTCTCATTACTGCCCCAAAGGCTGCTGGGAAAACACTAGAGCAGAGCTGTCCCACATGCAGACAGACACAGACTCCTGCTCTGCTCTCAAACCTTGAACACGTTCGCTGCTCTCACTGCTCTTACCCAACCTTCAGGAATCTGCCCTCACCAGACATGAAGCACCTGAAGGTGTGGGACTCGGCTCCAGGTCTGTTTAGTTATTATTTCCTGGAAATACTTTACTGCTGAGTAATGTGAACTCGCACTCTCGGCACCCACAGGAGCTGTATTTGTTGCCTGGCAACAGTTAGCTTATTAAAGCATCAGTGAGGATGAAGTGGGATCTTTCGGGGCCTCACTAATTGTAGATTTTACTCACGGGGTGGTCCTGGTCTGGACTGGACAGTGAGAACTCTGAGTGAAACTGTATGTCGTCACTGTGAGAGTCAGACCTGCACTAAAGAAACAGTTAAAGAGGTTTCAGACGGTCTTATCACTGAGCAGCTCTGATTCAGATCACTGTGAGAACATCTGAGTCAAACTTTCTTCGGAGAGTTAAATCATAGTCATAGTTTTCGTCACCGAACAGAGAGCAGCTCAGGATAACAGGACGACAGTTTACAATTCCACCGTCTGGAACAAAACTCATCAGATATGAAGGACAGAGCGACAAACGGCAGAGTGAGGTGTTTCTGTCTGCTGCTCTGAACTCCTGTAGTCGGTGTAAACAAACATGAACTGTCCTGTATTATTATTATTATTATTATATTTTTCAATGATATGGAAAAGCCTTCAGCGCAGAATTAAAGTAGAACAACATCTATGGTTATCTAACAGCTCGTCAATCTCTTAAATGATGGATTTCTCTGGGATGGAAATTAGGATCACGTCATCACACAGATCTTCTTCAGGGATAAACACGACGCTGCATCTCTTTAAAGGATGTTTGACGCTGCCACGTACGTTTGAATGTGGATCAGCGGGTGAGGAGACGTCAGGTTCAGATGGTCAGAGCCCCCAGGAGGACGTGAGGTTGAATCCCCCGCCTCTCTCTGCGAGTTAGCTCCATTTTGTCCTCTGTGTTAAAATGAATGAAACTCAATAAGACCTGACAGCCTCAGGCTCTGCGTACACCATGTGACCTCATCAGACGCCAGTGTGTGTGTGTGTGTGTGTGTGTGTGTATACAGTACGCCCGCCCGCCTGCTGGGCCTCTGGGTGCACTTCTTCCTGTGTGTGTTTTTGTGTGCGTATAAATCATTTGCCTGTGCGCCGCTATCTGACAGTGTGTTGTACTTGTTGTGCACGCTCTGCATGCTGCTAATGTGTGTCTGAAAACACTGTGCGAGGATGTGACGTACAGACGAGCTGCTGTGGGTGTCAAACTGTCATCTGCATACTTGTGCTTTTCTGCCTCTTAGGTTCAGAGTGTTTATTCGGCTGCTGTTTTAGATTCAGTCGAAAACGTCAAATAATGAAGAGACGCCGCCATGAGAGCTGCTTCCATCTTTATCGTCACGCAGCAGCAGTATGTTACAGGAGTGTATAGCTTATATTTTAGGTGCACAGTGGAGAGAATACAGATTTTTAGTGTTAAATTATCTCCTAAATGAAAATAAAACCTGTGTTTATCTGAGTTTTTATTTTTAGAAACCTTCTTCAGCTTCATCGCCTCGAGTCGATGAATATTTATTGTAATAATTTTTGTTAATATAATCATCACTGTTAAAATGTGAGATAACACAGGATGTCCTTTAGTGCCTGGGTTCCTATTATAGACGCAGAGTCCAGGCAGACATAGAGGTGTAGCGACACATATTCACCATCTCCTCCTCAGAATATGCACTTTTAAGAAAGAGAGAAAACAACACAAACATGTCGTCTTCAGACTGACTGAGAGAAGAAGTAAACCCAGGGCTCAACAGTGCGACCGTTTCACTCGCATTTGCAACTAAAAAAATAGATGTGTGTGAATTGTAAAATGTATTTAGGGGCACATGTGCGCATAAATTTTTTTTGCCGATTTCACTGCGATATTTTTTCATGTAAATATTGCAGTGAAGTTAGTTTTAGGTTGGATATTCAACAGACATTCTCTGAGGATCTACCGGTGTCTTCTCACTCTCTGTAACCGGGAATAACAACAGCAGCGTGATTAAATCTACTCGGCATCCTCGCTGTCAACGTCGGGTGATAAATAAGGGACCGTCAATAAATTACCGCTTTATGTTCTTTAAAAAGGCTGTTTTCCTTCAATAGCTTCACTGTCATGTGACCAATTGACCTAAAATTGATTTCAAATAAAAGTACTAAGGTCGGACAATAAGACCCACCTCTTTATTTCCCTAATTTGTCCTCTAAACATTTTTTTTGTTAAATTTAAAGGCAAATTTTGAACATTTCCTTCAATAGCTTCCATGTCATGTGACCAAAAGACCTAAAATGGATCTTAAATAATAGTACTTATGTTGACCAATAAGACACACATTATGTGATCAATTTTCATTGTGCACCTAAAGTTCTTTGTGTGCTCCTTACTTTTTCAACTTAGGAGCAGATGTTCTCCTTGTGACAAAAGTTAGTGTCAGGCCCCGAGTAAACTCCTGCATTTATTACAGGAGTGTGTGTGTGTGTGTGTATTCTCTTACTCAAAAGTACAGCTTGTTTTACTACACTGTTATAAATCAGAGCTGTTTTACTATCTGCTGATTGTGCTCAGTTGTGGTTGTTTTAGACGGCTCTGTAAAATGAATAAAGGACATTTACGTAAATTTATATCACAACAGAAGGAAGAATTGGAACTCTCCGACACAAAACGTCTGCTCCGAGACTCCAACAATCCAGAAGTAAAACCTGCCAACTCAGGTTTGGCTCTGACTGCAGACTCGTGAACCTACGGGAGTTTATGACCTGGGTGGGGCCTTGGGAACAACTGGCAGCCATGAAGAGCCACCGCTCCACAGCTTCCCCCCTCCTCTGCTCCTCTAAAGTGGAATTTGTTCCTTTTGCGCAACTCCGCCGGAATCTGCTGCAGCAGGAAGTACATGCCGGTCTGTCTCCTCCGGCTGAGACAGAGCACGACGAGAGAGAGAGAGAGAGAGAGAGAGAGACCCTTTGACAACCCTGACACCCCTGCAGGTTGTCAAAGGGTCATGATGGGAGGAGACCCTCCCGTCAAACAGCAACGCCCTGGCCTTCATGATCTAGACAGGAAGTCATAACTCTAAAACAAGAACAACTCCTCGGTGACTTATGAAGGAGGGCAAAATGAAGGAAATGTGAAAAAAAGAAAAAAGAGTCAGTGGGATGTTAGAAGCAGAGTGAGGGAAACTATCAGGGGAAGGACCAGAAACAGAGAGAGAGGAAGTCGGACTGTGTCTGGTATTTGGCAGCCTCGTTCCTAGAAGGACTGAAGGGGTTTTCTAGGGAAACATACCGTCTTCAGCCGCTTCACTGCATCCTCGCAGATGTGCATGCCTCGGGACTCCTCCACCTCCACATGGCCCAGGTACTGCAGGGGAGAGAGAGAGAGAGAGAGAGAGAGAGAGAGAGAGAGAGAGAGAGTTAGTAATGCTTTGACGAGGCTTTCCTTCGGCGATCTCCGCTGACGTTTAGGTGAGATTACAATTATCAACTCTGGAGGGAGGGAGACTGACTGGGTATAATTCAAATGAGCCCAGACTGTCTGATCGTCCCTGGAAGGGTGGTGATGCTTGTGATTTATATACACCTCATTAATTACCGTTTTCAGGTCAATCACAGTTCTACAGCTCCCCGCTCGATCCCTAATTCAGTCTTTGGAGGAAACTAAACACTTTCAGGAGTAATGGAAATGAGCGAGCGGGTCAAACTGAGAGGGAGGGAGAGAGGGAGGGATTCTTGGAGGACAGGGATGGGGCAAAAAAAACAAGCGTGATCAATAGACGATTAAAAAAAGGCTCAAAGGGTTTGATCCTGGCCTGATTTTGAGTCTGATATAGGGCTGGGTGATATGGCCTCAAATCAATATCATGATATATTGATCAGTTCACCTCGATGATGATAAATGGATGATAACTACTCCACAAGCTGCTCACCCCCTCACACATTAACGTTGTCTACTTCTGACGGGAGGATGTTATCGGGCAGCTGTGTCACCTTTGACCTGTTAGCATGTCCTCTTTGTATATTCACAAAGAATTACCACCATCATCTTATCAAAAGCTGGACACCCTCCCTCCATGTGCCGGCTTTGGCTGAACCCCAACAGCTCATATGGGTTAAAAAAGCGCTCACTCTGAACGGTTATTGTCGTAAATTTCGGTATCGGTAAATTTCCGGTTTATTGCCCAGCCCTAGTCTGATCATTCAAACAGGCAAAGTTGGAGAGTCTGTGATTATTATGCAATCCTAAAAAGACACTTCGAACTTCGATAATAAGAAGTTCAGCTGTGAGGATGAGGGGGTACTGGATGACAGAGATTAGAGTTCAGACTCCTATAAGGGGACATCAGGATCTGGCGTTTCCTCTAAAGGACCCCTGTGCTTTGACAAACCATGAGATGACCTGGAAGTCCTCCTTGAGTGGGTACAACTGTGGCTGAATGAACGGAAAAGGCCTCCTCCTCCACCTCCTCCTCCTTCAGCTCTAACCTCCCTCCTCCTCCTCCTCCTGCAGCAGCAGCATCACACCCTGCTGTGTGCCGCCCCAGAGTCACAACCCTGACCGCCCCAGAAGCTATTGTGCGCTCAGGCCCAGAGAGGAAGTCCTTACCCTTTCCTTATAGATACACAGACACAGAGTGACGCTAACCCACGCCTGTCCACCCCGCCCTCTGGCCCTGCTATTTACAGAGTGTGACGCCACGGCTGTGAGTCACACTGTCATCATATTAGAATTATACACATCTGCACAAAAGCATGCATGAGGATCTACACAATAATGTAAGGACGACACTGATGCACAGAGGCAGCTGTGGGTTTGAGGACGATAAAGAGCCCTGAGAGGAGCCGAGGTGTGAGGAGTAAATTGCAGGGGAGCGTTAAAGTGTCACTACAGATACTTCATTAAACCTCTGACTCTGGAGCTCCACGCTACTTAAAAGATCAGCTCCAAAAACAGAAAGAGGAAGAAACGTCTCTGGAGCAGAGTGTTGTTGTACATATGTAGGCTAATTTTATTCTCCAATCTGTTTTTGTTCATGCCCACTCAAGGATTAGCTCTAATCCTACAGTGGGCTCGGATTAGATGCAGTTATAACAGTGTGTATACGATGATGATGATGATGATGATGATGCTTCAATCAGTGCAATGCTGCTGCCTCTGCACTGTTTGCGTTTGATGATTGAAAGACATAAAAACAACATGTTGTATTTACATTTCCTGCCCCTGGGGCGGATTTTCCAGCTGCAGCAGCAGGGCCATTAGAGGTAACGTGAAATCAACACCGAGCGAAACTCTGGGAAGCTCTGAAACTCACTCAAAAAACATCTGAATGCAGTCGAGCAGAGGTCAAGACCACAGCCAAGAGCGGCGCTGCGGCGGTTTGCGTTAGAAAGACATAGTTCACCTCTTGGGAGGTCTGCTGAGGACAGTGATAGTGGCGCTCATGTGTTTGTTAGGCAGCAGGAGCAGGTTGGCTTTGTCGTACAATTTAATCTGGATACAGAGAAACGGCTCGCCAAGCTCTGACTAAACATTACATAAGAGTCAGCCGGCACCTGTGGCTCTGCAGCTCTTCATTTAGCTCGTTTTCAGGGCGGCTGTTCACAAACACAGAAGAGCCTGACCCATGAAGACACTCTGAACTACTATGATACCAGTTTAAGATCATTTAGTGGTATGAGGACTCTTTTAAGGCTTGGAGAAAAGAGGAGCTTTTTGAAGACCTGCTTTTAGACTGATATATCAGTGCAAAGGGCTCAGGAGGCTCAACAAACAGCTCTTTCAAAATATACTGACATACTGCAGCAGTGCACAGAAACTGACATGACCTGACCCTCAAACCAAGAGTTGAAGTTTTTCTATTACTGTCATGTAACAGGAAAACATCAAAGACTCAGAGGAGAGAGGATGAGGATGAAGAAGACGCTGAGGGACTTCTTTTGAAGGCCAGGAACTGTAGCGGACTGAGGCAGGCGGCTAAAAGACTTATGATGGTTCAGGTTCAGGTCGAAGGTAACGGGTTCATCGTGAATTTAGGTGTGAGAACTTGACTGAAGACAGAGACAGTGAAAAAAATGGAAAAATAAAAATAAATAAACGCCAGTACAACAGAGAAAAAGAGGATTCAGGATCAGGTTTGAAGCTTTGGTTGTTCGAGTTTTATTTGTCTAGATGCTGTCCTGCACAAAAAATCAACGACTGTAGTTGTACTGAGGCTAGGGCTGGGCGATAAACCGATAATTTACTGATACCGAAATTTAAGACAACTGACGTCATTTTGCCCACATCTGTATATTTGGTGTGAAAAAATGAAAGAAAATCGAAGTTGTTTTTGGATGTGTGTAGGTAGGCTATGGTCTCATGTCTCTTTAAGACGCTGTCCTACATCAGAGACGTGACTCCACCCCATCCAGTCCGTAACAGAGAGGGAAAGACAGGTGAGGAGATGGAGGACGGAGAGAAAGTTGTAGCGGCTGAAGTAGACGAAGTGAATGTGGGAGGGGGTGAGCAGCTTGTGGAGTAGTTATCGTCCATTTATCATTATTGAGGTGAACTGATCAATATATTGTGATATTGATTTGAGGACATATCGCCCAGCCCTACATAAAGCTCAATTCATCGGTGGGTTTGCCTTAATTTGTGATGGTCTTGCCAACTTTTTAAATGTTGGTCACTGAACTTTCCAGGTAAAAAATGCTCATTTTGAACCTTGCTGTTCGAATCAGTATTTGTCAGAGTATTTCTGGCCCTGAATATTTTTAATTTAAACAGAATCAGTTTTTCTGTTCCTGGATTTATTCTCTTAAACCCTTTGGATGTTCTCCAGGTGTTTTCAGGGTCACAGATCAATTCCAGTGAAAAATGTTGTCATCATCCTCACCAGAAAGGAAAGTCTGTCCTCAAATCTGTGCACATTTATTTCCATACAAATAAGACTGTTGGGTTTAAAGAGGACAAAGGTCGTACAAATACTCTGACATCTCGTTTTTAGAAGCAGCACAGACTCTCTGTAATCTAATTCTACATTCAGCTCCAGCTTCCAGACATTTCCATACTAAAGAGCACGTCTACATTCTTATACATTTGACAGTCACCTTGAGTTATGAATAACTGTCACTGCAGCTCCGGCTTAAAGTGAACGAGCAGCAAATAGAAAAGTGCAGAATGATACGGGCTGAAGAAAACAGACAGCAAACCGTCTCAATATCTCAACACACCCTGAGTGGACTGTCCCAAGTTTGTGTTGCATCAATCAGAGATCTAAACACGACCCGGCTCCTCTGAGGCACCTAGAGCAGGAGACCGGGAGCAGCAGGGGGAGGAGGGACACTGAGGAGCAGCATGGTAGGTTGCACCGACATGATGAAAGCCAGTGCAGAGGGGAAAAAATGCCGGTGGAAGTGAAGTGTGTGTGTGTGTGTGTGTGTGTGTGTGTGTGTGTGTTGTGCAGATCTGTGCTTCACTTCAGGCTCTTGATAGTTGACCAGTTTCACAGAAAATCTCTGGAGGAGAACGAGATCCTGTAACAATGGAGAGGTCCACCTGTTGGCAGATCACTAAAGGAACCAAAACTGAGCTGCTGCCCGAAAAAAAATCAAGGCTTGGACCTCAAAAACAAGTTTTTAGAGGAGTCACAAATATGTACTGTAGAATTATAAACAAACAAGAGGGTTTTGTTTGCAAAAAAAATAACTAAAAAAAAAAAAGTAAAGTAGAAGACAGCTCTTGTTCCTGGTGGTTCTGTTTTTTATCCAGCTCCAGCAGATATCCACATTTTCCGCACCAGGAAATAGGGCTGGACGATTAATCTAATTTCAGTGTCAATGACAATTGTGATCTGCCATGATTGTGATTATTTTGCGGCCTGTTCTGTTGTGCTGGTTTTCTCCTGTGTGGTAAATGGAATAACCAACAAAATAATGTTGGTTATTGTCGTAAATTTATGGGATCGGTAAATTTTCGGTTCATCGCCCAGCCCTACAGCCATTCTTCTAGTTAATGGACGACCACACTACCTCCTAAACTTCTGCTACCCAAGACAACATAACGTGTGGCGTGTGTTCGGCGTGGACTGCCTTATCGTCAGTTTAAACTCTACTCCGTTAACATCCACCCGCCAGTTTGTGGTCACCTTTTTACTAACAGCTGTGTCACCTTTGAACTATTAGCATGTCTTCCTTGTATATTCACACAGCATTACCATCATCTTATCAAAAGCTGGACATCCTCCCTCCATGCGCCGGCTTTGGCTGAACCCCAACAGCTCATATCCGTTTAAAAAGCTTAAAATAAAATCCTCATCTACAGTTTGAAAATAAAAAGTTTTCTGGTGAACACCTACAAGTCTAGCTTTGAAAACTAAGCAGGAAAACTTTCCTCTGATGGAAAAGTGGAAATATTATGCCCTCATCCACCTTCCTTCAAATTGCCAACACTTCTCTACTGTTGGTCTGAGAGGAAACAGGGCGAAGCAAACGCACTGGTGGCACAAAACCACAACCTTGGTTTCGAAGCAATTCACATGCTCTGAGCGGCAATCCAGTTCTCATATTCTCAGGAAAAACTTTCTCTTTCTCCACTCTGAGGTTTTTCAATTCCTCTTTAGTCCAGTGCGATGAGAGGAAGCGTACCGTTGCACTTCTGTTTGCAAAAGTCGAAGCCTTTGTTGCCAAAATACTGAGACCTCTCCACTCCGTCAGCGACGGCACAGCACGTCCACTTCACCGCTCTGAGGAACACAGAAAGATGCAGACTCTGCTCTGTTTTCATCAGCTCTAATGAAACTTTTTCTCCAATTCTGCATTTTTAACTCGAGGTTTCAAATCAATAGTGCACATTCATCCCACAGCTTTGGAAAGCACCGGCAGATAATGTTGCAACCTAGATAAAAGCTGTGCTTACAGTCTCTGAATGCTTATGATTAATCACAAGCAGCGTCCTTGGGGAGCCGGGCAGGGAGGAAGTTTCTCGGTGTGTGCCACGCTCAGGTCAGCGCCGCACTGTTTGTGTAAGAGAGGCTGTGTGGAGGAATTGTGCGCAGGTGTGTTTGTGTGTGTGTGAGAGAGTCACCTTGACTGCAAAGCTACATTTGCCGCTGCGCACCGCCTCCTCGTCTGTCTGCCACTGGTGCGGCCGACTCGACTCCGGCACGTAGACGTCTTTCTTGCGGCGGAAGCTCTGCCGTAGCTTATTCATCGCTGAGCTCCCTGTGAGAGAGGAGAGACATTTTATTAATCCGAGGATCAAAACCGGCAAAATGAGAAGGTGCAGCGCTGAGTGGAAGTTGGACAGGTGCCACGAGAGGTAACAGCTAAAGGCGCCGACGCTAATAAAATAAAAACAGGTACGGAAATGTGCCAATTCACATTCAGTCAATGCAGCAGGGTATGTCACAACACTGATGATGAATCAACTTCCTGTGTGTGACAATAACAGAGGGAGGACAGGTGACTGTGCAGAACCAAATCAGAAGATTAACTCTTTCTTCCTTATACTGAGTGATTGTGGACAGTAGAGATTATAAAACCGACTCGAGTAAACAACGCTCTAACGTAAGCTGTCGTCTGAATGAGTCATGAGGAGGAACTGATGAGCTGGAGTCTGGGAGAGAGAGGGAACAGAGGACACTGAGAGCTGGGACGATATGTTCTTCTCCTGGTTCGTTTCTTCTACGATTTTTTGGATGCCGATTCGATTTAAATTGCGATTCTACAATACTGTCGATTTTCTCGATTTTAAGCCTGCATTTCTAACACCAGTGAAACCGTTGAATGATTAAGATTGCCTACTGACTATTCCAGGAATCATATCCCCCCCAATATGCACATCATATTTGAGTCAGATTTTAAGATTTATTCTTAAAATTTTTAAAAATTGTAATACAAAAAAATCACAATACTTATGTAAATCGATTTTTTCTCCCACCCCTAGAGGACACTGAGGGGGGTCTGCTGCTCCCACCCAGAGCCTGAATATAAGACTAATACTAGTGAGTAAAAAAAGAGTCACAAAACGTTCAAAAAAGTGTAACTGTAACAAAAAGTGAGGCCAAGCTACACAACGTCTGTCTGTTAGCAGTTATTACCAGTCACAAAGCACTAAGGCAGTTTCTACTAGGGCTGGGCGATAAACCAAATTTACTGACACCAAAATTTACAACAATAACTGCCGCCATTTTGCTCATATCAGTATATTCAGTGTTCAAAAAAATGAATAAATAAGAGTTGGTTTTGGATGTGTGTAGGTAGGCTTTGGTCTCATGTCCCTTTAAGACGCTGTCCTACGTCAGAGACATGACTCCACCCCATCCAGTCCGTAACAAAGAGGGAAAGACAGGTGAGGAGATGGAGGACGGTTCAAAAAATGTAGCGGCTGAAGTAGACGAAGTTAATGTGGGAGGGGGTGAGCAGCTTGTGGAGTAGTTATCGTTTATTTATCATTATATATCGTGATATTGATTTGAGGCCATATCACCCAGCCCTTGTTTCTATTCAGATTTTAAGGACTACATCAGGTCAATTAACACTCTAGCTATGAAGGTAACATGACTGAAGTATTAAGTATCCAAGAAGTAAAGATAGGAAGAGGGTGTCCCCGTCTTTGTTTTTGTTGTTGTTGGATTAAGGATGTCTTTGCAAACATCATTGTTATCATGACTGAGCTTTAGGTTACAATGAAGCTCGGTTTTCTTGAGGTTGAATCTTGGCTTAGAGTTGGGACTTAAACGTAGAGTCTTAAACTCAGAAATCCTCTGCAAACCCGAAAACAGCCCGATTAATTAGACTAAAAGCACGACTTTAAACGGAGCAGGCGTGTCCTCTTGGCTTTGGGAGGAGATTAGGGGGCACAAGAAAGCAGAGACCCAATTAAAAGTTGCTGATCCAAACTCGAGCTGAGAGGTGCATCCATCATCCAGAGCCTGGCCCACGTCTCCCATGGCAACTCATAACCCGGGACCAGAAGTCATCCAGCCATGCAGCGCTAACTTAAGACACGTGAGCGGAGTGGACTCCTTGACTATCAAGTTATACTCATTAACTTCTGAGCTGATGAGGATCGACCAGATTAAAGGTCTTTAATCCAGGAGGTCTGACTGTCCGCCAACACACACACACACACACACACATAGATACACACACACACACTAACAGCAACAAGCAGCAGCATTTGCTCATATTCTTCACCCCCTTAAAGCGACTCTCAGGACTGAGCTGCTGTCTGTTTGCTCAGTGAAACCGGTCCTGTGAGCTGGTTCTGGTGGGGCTTGAAAGAGTCTTTGAGGTGAGGCTCTCTTATCTGTCCACGACAGGCTCCAAAGCTCTGTGTGGGCAGCGGCGGCACAAAAAGAAGCTTTCAATCGTGAACACATCAAACTTTTCCTGCCAGTAAAGACGAGGACCTGGAATCAGAGATCACTCATGAGACATATGAGACGTATTTCTGTCTGATTGAGCTAAAACAAATAAACAAAGATCAAACTATCGTCTTAGTCTTCATGTTGTCTTGGAAAAAGGAAGAAACGCTCCGTCCATATGGCAGCTTGTTGCTCCGCCGCTGAACGGTAACGAGGCCAGCTGACAAGTCGAAGCAGAACTCGGTCTTTGTAGTGATTGAATCCCTGCCTCTCAGTTTCCACATGTTCTGCAGGGCAAATCTGGCTGTCAAAACCGGTTCCAGTCAAGACCCCCTCCTAAACAGTCAGATCCAAGCTAATCGATAGCTTTTAAGGACGTCAGCACATTTTCCTGACAGACGCCTGTGGAAAACCACGAGGCAGACTGCTGCTGCTGCTGCTGCTGATGGAATATATTAGTCCAGATGCATTTCATGTTGCCATGGACATAAACTTTACAATTGACAATAAACTGAACCACCTCTTTTCACTCAGCGTTACCTGGCTGTGTGGAGAACTGGGACTGTCTTTGGGTTTATATCACTGAAGCGGGATCGAGGCCGTTCAGCAATAATAGAGGTGACAGTAAAAAACACACTCAGCTATTTAAGGGGAGGAATGAAAACTATGAAGCAGAGAAAATCAGCTTAATGTGAGCAACCTGAAATGCAGAACTCGGCCTATATGAGAGTTGGTGGAGCGATCTCTACGGTTGTTTTTAACTTGTTTGTGGACAATAAACCCCTGTAGCTGATTTGAGCTAATATAAGAGTCAGAGCTGATGAAGGATGAGCATCAGCTGATTAAACTGCAGTGATTGTACATGTAGCTGCAACACTGTCCTGATTGATTGTACTGTAGGGCTCTAAATTCCCCTTTTTCTTGAGTTACCTCGTGTCAAAGCTGCATGATCTTGGCAGGGCCGGCTCTTTCTAAGTTAGTGCCCAAGGCGAGAACCACACCTAGGGCACAATCACAACTTTCCAGCATGTCTTTCATTTCAACTTTTTATTTTTACTGTTTTTATTTATTTATTTATTTATTTATTTATTTATTTCCTCGAGGCCAACGGCGTCCACCTATATCGCCTATGCAAAGAGCCGGTCCTGGATCTTGGCAAAAAATAAAATCCTGATTTTTTTTTCGCTGAAAACTCAATTTTGATTTTTGGTGACAACTTCACCAAACGTCACTGTAATATATATTTTTTTCTTCTCTCAAAACGAAAACAATGTAGTGTATATGCCAAGCTGACGTTTACTCCTGAATTCGTGGACAGGTTGATACCGCCTTCAGACAGACTTCACAGCGGGGAGTGGTTTACTCTTCACTCGTACCAATTCCACACGACTGACTCGCTCTTGTCCTATTTAGCCACGAAATTATCGCCTTCTTTTCAAACACCATGTTTGTTTACACTGGTGTGTGTGGGAACTGGGGAGCGCTCCCGTTGGAAGGGGGAGGAGCCTACAGTGGCCTGGAGGCGTGAAACATGATAGAGATTTGACGATTTTTATTTTTTTAACATCGTCATAATCAAATAATCCGATTACGATTTAAAATCGATTAATCGTTCAGCCCTACCTTGCTCTTAAACCATACATGTTTAAGGGATTGAATTTCAATTTTGCATATGGATCCCTATGATCATAAAAATATGATCATCAAGACTGATCGCCCTCCACATACTGCTCTCTCTCTCTCTTTACTGAGACTCTGACATCAAATTAAAGACCTCATAATATTTTCGAGAGCGGGACTTTGTTGTCCAAATCCCTGAGCCGATCACAGGTGGCTGGTGCAGAGAAGCTCGGATCTGTACGCTCTGCCTGTTTTGTCATTATCTGGACAGCCACCTGCTGATCATCCTTCATTCTTATGGCACCGTTAGCAAACACCTGGAGGCCCTGGAGGACTGTATTCCCGGGGTTGTGTTGCCATGGCACGAAGAAGAAAGGGAGGAACACGTCGGAGGAGAGGGGATGTGCAGCATTAGTGACAATGTTGTAAATGCAGGAGAGGCAATGTTACGCAGCGGACCAAGGAGGAGGTGGTGCAGGGTATCAGAGTAAAGAATTGGGCTCTGATTCTGAGGCGTAGATCAAACACAAGAGTCAAAATCAGGATTTCTGCAGCAATCAACCCCCCACCCCACCACCACAAAAAAACACCTTTTCTCAGAGGAAAACTGAGAACAGATTCTGATCTTTACCTGGGAAAGGTTAACAGTGATATTTTTAAGGTCATGTCAGCTAAGAGGGAATAAATCATCGATTATCTGAAACATGAGCTCCAATTCCAGGAGAGCTCCGTATTTAAGACTCAATTCATGCAAGAAACTGTTCATAAATCTATCAGCAGACAGTAAATATCTTTGAGGTTAGGATGTTATCCTCACAGAGTCACATGCACGCCTTTATCTGACTCTGCCTCCACACTTTGCTGAGAGATAAAATAGTTCCTCGTAAATACTAAAAATATGTGCAGGCCTACTTTTTTGACTTTTTATACGAACACAAGCTAATCTGAGTTCTTCGTTAGTGATTAATAAAGAATCAGATCACAATAAAAACGGCTTTAGTGGCGCAACCATCAGCTCTCTTTTCCATTGCCTAATAGAAGTTTGAAGTCCTGAGTCATCGTCTGTGCAAGAATAGGAATCCACGAGGTGAGCCGTGTGAGACCATCTAATGAAGTGTAAAACAACTGCTGCTCTTCAGACGTGTCAGAGAACTTGTTTCAGAGCGAGTCAAACACCTCTGCAGGTGACATGATGATGGTAGAGCAGCGAGCCTGACCTCAAACCCGGAGTTTGTCGATCATTCGGACGACACATGCACAAGTTGTAGCCTGCGGACGGGTAACAAGACAACCAAGTGAGAGAGAGGAGGAAAAAATTGCTTCATCCCTCTCTCTCTCTCTCTCTCACACACACCCGTTTATTTAGGTCATATCATGTTTGGGCTCACTGCAGTGCCAGTGACAGGCTGCATGCTGCCAGCCTGCAGAGTGAAGAGGAGGAGCAGGAGGAGAACTCATTTGTCGGCTCTCCCCCCCCGTCTTCGCTGCAACAATTCCAAACATTTGTTTCCACGGCAAATGCCATCACCACCTCACATACACCAGTGTCATATTGTCACCAGACACGAGACAACAACGAGAAACAGATCCTCTTCAGATGAAAAAACTGCTCTGCCTATAACAACAACTTCAAGAAGTAGAACTTGTTTACGATCCGGTGACAACAACAGCAACGAGGCGCCTCTATCAAACAGCCACAGCAGAATCACAGACAGCTGTGTTTTCATACTGGTGATGAACCAGTTTACCAGCTTGACGACCACATATTTTCAACAATAACGACCAGATGGAGGGACGTTTCAGACTCCCTCTCTACTCAGTCTTCTTCTCGTTTCGATTAGTCAATGCACAGAGTTAAAAACTGTCAGAAAACTGGAAACAAACTTTTACAAACATCCCGAAACTCACTCTCTAATTGAAGGACACTCTTTACACACCGCTGTCTTCCTCTTTTCTGCAAACCAAGTGCGTACATATTCCACTTTTCTCTAGCAAGATTTAAGAGCAAACGATCATGATACAGATGATCAAATAAAAGGGCAGTTCTGTAAATTACAGAGTCAAACTTGCAGAGAACTTCTGACTAACTTGATGGTTTCTCATATCAGCCTCTCCTCACCTCTGTGGGCTTAAAATAAATCACTCGTGAACAAAGCTGTGAAAATATCACACCAAATACTCATCAAGGTGAAGCAGCCGCCAGCTCAGACACAAGAGGCGAAGAATGGCGGCGGTTTATTCAGCAAAGAGATCATCTCACTTTAGAAGGAGTCGACCTGCTGGTCCGTCTGAGGACAGACAGTCAGATGGGTAATAGATCGGTGTTTTCCTCAGTTTCTACACCTTTACTCACCTCACCTCTAAATCACTTCACACGTTTGCCTTTTCCACCTTACAGCCCACACACCTTCCCTCCTGTGTGCCTCAGTGTGTCAAATAAGGAGAGGGCAGGAATGTAAGTTAAGCTCGTGTGGGAGAAAGAGAAAGAGAGAGAGAGCGTAAAATCGCTGGATTTGTTTTTACAAATGAGCCAAATTTAAGAATATTACACACCTAAGATGAATAATACAAGATCCATGACTGTTTCCTCCTCCAAAGAGCAAAAATATCAGACGTTTAAAGGCTGTAAACCTCCTTCTTTTATGTTGACCGACTGAAGACAAAGTGTCAGAGTGATTTCAAACACCAGAGATCATCCAGACATGACGTGCTGCTGAGCCTGTTGATGCTCTGATCTGGATCTGGTTTTATGGGACTTATTAAATACTTGTTAGGAGTTACAATAATGTAATCAAGTACTGATTCAACTCTCGCAGCGAAGTCCTTCAATCACCAGTCTGATGGAGTTCAATCCTTTGTTCCTCCTCTTGTCGTGTTCGCTCCTGCTCTGTGTAAACAGTAAGAACCGAGGAGGATTAACCTTTAGAAGTAGACCTGTAGGTCAAACACACACACACACATGTGCATTATCCCATGTCAAACATGGAGATTGTGCATGAAATCTACCTTAGCCGCAGCAGCAGCAGCATTAGGTAACTCCATTCAGTGAGCGTAGTATTGGCAGGAGGGAGAGCGAGTGAGCGAGCGAGTGAGTGAACGGGACGGAGGCCAGGCAGAGTGAGCAGTGAGGGGGAAAGTCTGGCTGCGTCCGTCCGTCCGCCCGCTGCAGACTACCACAGCAGGTTTTCGGACGGGTGGTGGTCATGTGAGGTGGGTTCAGTCTTCCTGAGCTCGGCTTTGTGCCAAAGAGGAGAGTGAGGAACAGAGAGAGGCAAAGATTTGACAGGAAGTAAGGACAGCGAAAGGTGAACGAGAGGGAAGAGGAGAGGCTGAAAGGACAGAAGAGTGAAGACAGAGGGAACGACGCAGAGACGCCGAACAAACCTGGACAAGAACAGAGAGACGCTTCAGCCTCCGATTCTGGCAAATCCTTCACAGAGTTTGATCATCTTTGGAAACAGCAGCGAGAACGACACTGGTCTAATCCTTTCAAGTGAAGCAGCAGACAAATACAGCTAAATATAAACGGAGTGACCTCTAAATGTAGCAGTTAGTTCATCGACAATGAAAAAGCAAAAGCCACAAAGAGAGAGAGGAGCACGATTTTACCAACCAGAGAAGAACGAAACACACAGAGTCTAAACGGAGATTTTGTTGTTTTGACGGATTTTAAAGAAAACATGTTTCAGCCTCACCCTGGTTTTCTCTGAAGGATACCTGCACAGGTGTGAGCAGAACAAACATGGCAGCCTCAAAGAGAGTGATGAAAGAATTTCATAGAACTGGGAGAAAGAACAAGTTCCAAACAACAAGTACAGGGTAAATCAGGTCGTATTGAAAGGTACCAGGAACCACAATATGGACAAACCTCAAAACAGGAGTCACTCTGATCCAGCCTACCTGAACTCCTGAGTCAACCTAGCTGCTACAGATCTAATTGATTTAACATTGATTTTAACAGATTTAATTCTAATCTGATTGCTTCTCTAGTTATGCTGTTCTGAGCATTATTTGTGGCGTTTTGGTTGCGGTTCATTTATGGCTCCTCAGACCGCTGTGTATTGCTATCGTGCGGTCGTTACTAAAGTTGGTATAACTAGAGAAGTGAGCGGTCAGCAACATTCACCTCTGGAGCAGGTGTCTAACTCGGTGTTACGGTGTGTTTGACCCTAAATCAATTTTACTCCGGAATATCCCTTTAAGACGATCGAAAACCAAAGATGTATCATCATGTGTACATGGATACGAGGAATGAGGTTTCTCTCTCTCTCTGTGTGAATCATGTGAATTCCTGAATTTGATCAAAAGTGAGATCAGGCTTCAAACCAGGACACTCAACTCCATCAGTCTATCTTTAGCGGGTCTGAAATGAACACCCGGCCGCCACACGCCAACTGCAGGTAGGTTTTCCATTTGGCGGGTAACTCAGACGGCTATGTCGCACCCTGAACTTCAGCTGTGTGAGTTACATTCAAACACTCCAGTCTGAAGAATCAAACGTCATTTTTCTATGAGTTTAATTTCATGTTTGTGAGCCTGAAAGGAGCACAGCTGGTCTGAAATCATCCGCGCTTTTAAGGATTTCAACAAGACTTTGTAAAGTGAGAGTTAAATAAGAGCGAGGAGCAGCAGAGAGGTGAGGGCTCTGGTTCAGGACAGCAGGATCTGAACCCTGCTGGAGCTGTCACAGCTCCTCTGGTTTACAGCAGCAAGGATCTCTGGCTGTTCTCCTACAAGCACTAATGAGGACAATTAGACAAGGTCCATTTATACTCTCTGTGGAGCAGTACACGGGAACAACAGTGAATGAGAGAAAGGAGCTCGGGGCTTTCAAAAAGACTAAACATAGAAACAGCGTAAACAGTGACGAGCTCCAAAAAAACACACAGGAAGACGACCCTGAGAGTTCAGGGATCAAGGATATCTTTATCAACCCTGAGGGGCAATTTGTTTTACAGCCGACAGCGCTCCCCAATCATCCAACAAATAACAGAAAAAAAGAGGTAAACTACGCGGGTCATGAGATAGCCGGCAGGGTTATAGAGATAAAGAGAAAAGGGGGACAATAAGAGGGTCTTTCCTTCGGTCAGAGCTGAGCTGCTGCTGCCTGGGAAAAAAAAAAAAAAAACACAGAGGGAGTTTTCTGCTGCTGGCTGTAGATGTAACAGTATTTGAATAATCTCTCCAGGAATGGAAAACTGATTAATCCTTGCAGAAGGATCCTGGGGATGAGTACAGCGGTTTGGTTTCAAAGAAGAGATACAGAGAGAGGGAGGGAGAGGCCAGGGGAGTGGGTGAGCGTGAGAGCAGGAGACAGAGGAGGAAGAGAGAGAGAGAGAGAGAGAGAGAGAGAGAGAGAGAGAGAGAGAGAGAGAGAGAGAGAGAGAGAGAGAGAGAGAGAGAGAGAGAGAGAGAGAGAGAGAGAGAGAGAATGGGCCGAAGCTCAAGACAAAGAGGCTCCACTGTCCGACTGTCTCCTTTCATGACTCGCCCCACCGCAGTGCCAGGCGTTCCTCTTCTTCATGCCGTTTTGTACCGCTCTGTTCACACAACTCCTTCTTATCTGAGTTTAGAGTACGGAGAGAAACAAGACGACAGGGCAGCCGAATTCGCCGTCCGGCCATCCGTGATGCGAAGCACGCCTGGCCGCCTGGCGTATCTGCTGGGCGCTGTTATCAGAGGAGCCGGCCGACTGGAGGTGATAGCGCTCCAGTCTGCTCCGCTCGCAAACGGACAAATGAAGAGGGAATTTGAAAAATGCTGTAACCGTGGTAATCCAATTTTCCGGGCCCCGGTTTGTAGCTCGGGCCGCTTATGTAAAAAGAGGAGTGGAGAGAGGGAGAAGGAAAAACAAGGAGGAGGTGAGGATGAGAGCGGGCTGTGCATCACAAGAAACGCACAACAAGAGGGGTCAGAGGTCGTCTAAATAAACAAGTAAGGCTGGTTCATCTGATCTTATTCCAAAACTCTGATCAACCTGCTGCATCTCGCAGGTGAATTAGAGGTCAGCTGTGGGGTTTGTAGCCCCGCCCCCTAAACAACAAGCATAACCATCAACGACTACAGCAGAAAAACAAAAACAAATCACAGCTGATGATGAGTTAGCGTTCCTGCTGGAGGCTGTGACTGAGTCAGCGAGTGAGCGTCTGATATTGACAGGAAACGCTCAGGAACACGGTGTGAGATGGGCGTCCAGCTGATTCCCTTCATTAATGCTAATCGTTAATGCTAACCTCCTGAATGTGACATTCTGGGTCACATGCATCAGCACAGACATAATGACTGTAACACAGTCGGCAGTTTGACCTAAATAGAGTTCATTCTGTCACTGAATACGCTGAATTATCACTAAATACCAGCTACCAGTGCTGCTAATGAGAGCTGAATTATCCAGCAGGAGGAGCTTCTGTTCAGAGGATCTCCACAGGGAACACAACTTCAAAAAACAAAACTAAAATAAAGATTTACTTTTGTCAAGAGAGCGATGTTTGGTGAAGCCCACTTAGTCAGGTGCAAATATGACTTACCCCCCAAAAACAAAACGAGAAAATATTGTCACCACCCCTAAAAATTCAAATGTCGCCATGAACTTTCCAGGTCCTTAAAATGACTCCTTTGTATACCTTCTAGACCAGGAATACAGGCGCCTGATACACGTGTTGACCATTAAATATTCTAATTAGCATATTTTTATGATAGAAAAGTAATTACAAGTACAACTCATGCCCAACAGGGAGCGCTGCATAGTGACATTTGAATTTTTAAGGGTGGTGAGCGTATTTTCTCATTTTCTCATGGAAAACGCTTTTCTGGTCCGGGTTTGATCAGTCGGTCTCCCTGTCGGCGTGAAAAGCAGTAGCCTACAGTATATCTACAGTATATATATATTTTTATAACTTAATAAAACTTTGAATAAATCGGCTGATTAATCCGTAAATGGATTTTTTCCCCCCTAATAATCAGTATCGGCATCGGCCCCAAAAATTCCATATCGGTCGGGCCCTATTTCAAAGTCCCCTCCTCCTCCTCTTCTAACTCTAGTATGTCAACAAAATAAAACAAGAATTTTAAAAGGGGATTTGTCTATTGTTCAGTTTTCGTTTCTGGAAATGTATGTAAATTAGTGCAGATTTAATTAGATATTACCTCATTTACATATTCAAACATAACAGTTGACAAAACTTGTAATACAAGAAATATTTGTCTTAATGTAAGTTATAACTTTGGGAAGTTTCATAATGATATCTGTTGGTTAAAAATTTTACCCTATTTACCTGGGGTTGTCCACCTGTGCTTCCTACCCATCATGGACGCCATCTTGAAAAAGACGCCTTTGTAGTGGTCAAACTTTGGTAAACTTTTAGTGTGTTATTAAGGACATTTAACACTGTAAAAAAACAGTTGAGAAACCTTTTGTTAGAATTTTTTAAGGGTTAGGTGTTTTTTTTTTCATATATGCACCCGCCTAACTGAGTAAACGTGATTTTATTAAACTGAATTTAAATAATTTCACCATCCATGTCCCCACAGTGGTTATCAGTGATCAGGATCACTTTGCTTACCAAGTACTATCCATGTCCAAACATCAGCCAAACTTATGAAACACACCTAACTCGAGCACAAGCCAGAAATATCAAAAACACAAAAATAACTCAGCGGGGAAGTGAGTCAGTGTCTTTCTGTCGAAAAACTCAGGATCGAAGGGGTTCACCATGTTTCACGGGTCCAGAGGGAACCAGGAGGACTCGGTATGAATGGGTGGTAACTCAGCAGAGGAAGGAAATGTGCGAATAGAAGCGCTGGCTACTGTTTGCACGGCTCACTCACTCCCTGTCTGCTGCCGCTGAATCATTTCAGAGTCCTTCAATCTGTTCCCTGCCCCCAGCGAGACACGGTGACCTCCGCTTCCTGAGCACACATGACTGCTGCCGGGGTTAGGGTTGAGACAGAGAAGGAAAATAGGGTCCAGGCTGCTGCTGCTGCTGCTGCTCTGGGGATATTGAGTTGCTTTTCCCTGCAGCCCAGTGCGTGTGTGTGTGTGTGTGTGTGTGTGTGGTATTAAGGGGGCCCATCCCATCAGAGAGTCAGAGAGCCAATGGGCCGTTCAGCAGGGAGAGCCACACATCACTTTGGGCAACAGCTGAGGCCACATATAAACGAGGAGCGGGGCAGTGCCCTGGCACCAGGGAGTGGCAAATCACTGTCGCTGTATCTTCTCCTCTCAGGCGAGTCCCGGCTCTGATTCACAGACCGGATCGATCCGCTGAATCTGGCCCGGTTTCCACCACCAGGCATCCTGAAGAAATATGTGTCTTGCGCTCGCCCCGAAACTGCATTTGTGTGATTGTTTTTTTAAAAACTTGCTGAAGGCAACACGATGCTTAATAGAGTGAAGTTTGGAGTCAGGAGAGAGAGAGCTGTAAACACTAGAGAGGAGGCTGCAGGCTCAGAGCAGGGCCTAGGTGGAGGGAGGGGGTAGATGGAGCGGCCTGAGTGCTCCAACTCCATCAATCCTGGAGCCTCTTTGGGGCAGAGAAGCAGAGAAGATTTCTTCATAAAGTGCTCGTGAAATTGAACACCGGCTGACAAAGTGGCTATTTGTTGCAGAGCTGCAGCAAACCAGTTTTTCTCTGTTCGGCTGTTTTTTGTCTTAGATGTCAGAAAATGATGAAAACGTCCAGACCTGTTATTTAGAGTCTAGATGAGTCTGTAAGGCTGTTAAAGAGGGTTAAAGACGGATCATTAAACTCTCCACAATACAAGATAATCTGGGTCAAATACTCTGTTTATTTAATCAGTTTACTTTCTTTTTATTTAGACAAACAAGACTTTCTTTTTTTACGTGAGGGGGTGTAAAAACTTCATCGAGCTCCTCAGAGTACACTCAGCTGTGAAGGATGATTCGGTTTGAAACAGCTCTATCTTCAGACCTCTGTGCTGCTGTGAGCAGGCTGGGAGCTCTGTCTCAGGCCGCTCTGGCTTCCCACTGACCCTTTAAACATCAGCTGATCACAAATACAACCTCTGATTGTACGACAGACTAAAAACAGAAGTCAGTCTTCAGCGAATGCTGCGTTCGAGTTACCTCGAAAGTCAGATATTTACCGAAAAATCCACTCGCTTTGTGAGACCGGCAGCTTTGGAAAATGGGTTTACTTTTAGATCTGCGATGAATTATTAATAATTTTAGTGAAATATTGTCATTTATGGTGTTGTGCTGCGTTCAAGTTACCTCAGAAGTCAGATGTCGGAACTATAATGATGTCACACCCGAGTTCCCAGCGTTTCAGTTACCAAGTCAGAAAAAAAGCAAAAGCAGAGGCCTGAAACAAGATGGCTCCATCTACGAAAGTTATTTTAGCACTTACCTTATGTTCTGACAAGGCAAGCGCTAAAATAACTTTCATAGATGTAGCCATCTTGTTTCTGCCTCCGATTTTGCTTTTTCCCGACTTGGTAACTAAAATCCCGGGAACCCTGGGTAACATGAACGCAGCGTAACACCATAAATGACACCATAAAGTACACCTGTTTTCCAAAGCTGCCGGTCTCACAAAGCGAGTGGATTTTTCAGTAAATATCTGTGTCGTACTGTTCCGAGTTTAGTGTTGATTATGTCGTAAATGACAGCATCTTCCCGAGGTATTTTGACGGTCTCTATGAGCTCGTCATCTTCAGGTATTAGAGTCCGTGGAGCCGTATTTCTACTGTGTGTCATGTCTGCTGCATCGCTCCTCTACTTGATAAAGGCACCATGACTCTTCCTCAGATGTCTGTTCATTATCTACTTTGCTCCAGTCACTATTTCTCCCCGTCTTTCATATTTAAAAACAACCCTCTCCCCTTTCTTTTTTAAGATGTAATCCAATGAAAAACTCTGTCTCATATTCATGACAATACGGTAACTGTTAAATCACTGCACTGTTAGTAGTTTGTCACCCCTCTGACCTGAAACTTGAACCAGACGTCACGGTCAGTGTCTCAAAACCTGGACCTCCTCACTCAGACTGAAGCCCACCACACTGTCCCCGTCTGACTCCACCAGAAGTGACCTCTGCTGGGAGACTTGGAGTAAACCTCGGAGCAGAAAAGCTACTCATGGAAAACATGTTGACTTTTTCCTTATTACATCACTGCGTTATACACACACAAGCACACGGACACACACAGGCAGAAGCAGAAACACACTTAAACCCACAAGTGTAAACACAACACACTCTCAAAAACACAATACCCTAAAGAGAGAGAGAGAGGCGAGTGCAGCGTCTCTTCAGGGCTCCACTTCTGCTGCTTCTGTGTTTTTCTTTTTTCTTCACTTTGATTTTCTAAAAATAATAACACATGTTCTTCTGTTGTTGTGATTACTGCAGATTAAAAGTCAAGTGTCGCAGCACGGTGGAGAAATCAGGTCAAAATACTACACACTGGGCAACCATGAACTGCACTGACCTGAGATGGACAACGTTACAGATTCACCAGGCCGCAGTAAAGAGCTGTTAATACGTCATCTATTCACTCGGCTCTTATCGGAAAAAAAAGAAAGCAGAGTCTCAGAGGACAAACCCCGATCAAAGACTGGAGTTAAGACCCCCGGGCAGCGCCTATAAGGTCTAATCTAGAACAGAAAACAGAGTCTGAAAGCGGTCCGGTTTTGTGGACTGAGGACGCACATGGATTAGCAAGTAGGTGGAGACTGTGACAACCTGAAAACTTAGGCTGAAGTCCCTTATGTCAACAAACCACGGCTGAAAATGTCAAACATGCAGACTGTCCTGGTGTAGAGGAGTCCTGAATTTTAACCACGTACTGCTGGGAGTGTCTTAAATCATATCCAACACTCTGACAGGTATGAGAGTCTAAACTGGGGCGCATTCTTTCCCGACTTTCACCTTTCTATGTATTTAAAACATCTTTTTTTTTTTTTTATTCTACCATCGCGGTTGGATCAAGTTCCTGCTGCTCAGACTTTGACATTTCCTGTTTCATAATAATGGTATTTCAACAACAAACAGTTAAACTACCAGCAACTGTCTGGAGTTGACCCCGGGTCACAACCACAGTCCTCCACTCCTTTTACTCCTCTTGGATTTCAGACTATGAGCGTAAACACGTCATCACAGAGTAACAGAGATGCTGCTAATCCCTGCAGCCCTGAGACCTGAAGTCTTACCCAGGAGGAGTCTGGATCCACCGACAGTGTAAATCTCAGCCTAAATGACTAAAAGTAGAAGTAATCTAACCAGAAAACTTTAAAATTCGCTCCCCTGAGCTGCTCCGTCTTGGTCACCCCGCTGTTCTTCAAGTCTAACCGAAGGCTTGTCTGTATTTTTTTCTTGCGTGCCGCACATGGATCTGAGTATAAACAGAAAAGTGATCCTCTGAGGGCAGCGGCGGCTCTTTATCAGCTGTGTTTACGCCACAAGCACGAGGATATTTGACTTTCAGAAGTTTCAAAGTTACAGTCCGGTCTGTTGGTTTTTCTCTGGTTTTACTCTGACACTGCTGAGGATCATTTCTGGTTAAAGAGGTGGTTTGCACTGATCTTTATTTAAGCCTGTGGTGAACCTTTAGTGTCATGAATCATGTTGGCTGCAGGTAAGCTCTGTTCTTCATGAAATAACATTAGGTTGCAGAAAATATAATGAGGGATATAACGCAGTGTGATCGCTCCCTCTCCCTCTCTGACTCCATCTCTTAAGGAAAGGTGCATTTGATGGTGCCCAGACAAAAAGGTAGGCTGGTATAGATCGTATTTTTTGGTTCCTTTCCCTACTTCTGTCAGCGGAAACACAAACACTCGTGTGCTGTGCCAAACCAAACTGAACCTAACCAGACAGATATCGGCGTCCTTCCTGCAGAGCAGCTGATTCAGAGGAGAAAAACACGATAAAGCGGAGATGTTATCAGCAGCGGTGCGATATGTTTCAGCTGATCTGTGGCACATTTCATGCACAGTTGTAGCTTTGAGCCCCGGCTATCAGCAGGCGGAGATCTCAGAGTTAACACTCGGCTCTTCCTCTGCCCCAGCAGCTACGTCAATTCTCATTTAACCACATCAGAGCATGTGACTACAGCTATAGCTGCTGGCTTTCTGACGCACAGTCATCACTGCTGACATACACGGCCTGCTACCAGCTCTCTGCTCCTGACAGTATGGTTCATGGGGAATAATGTGATCACCGACATGAGAGAGCGGCAACTGTGAGAGAAGATCTAATAAAGGATCTGAACGAAACCTTCGATCAAGAAAATCAGAGCCCCCTTTTTCTGAAACTCAGAGGTAGTTCTGACAACAAGCTGCTCAAAGATGAGTAATACCTGTCAGTCAAATGTCCCACTACTGTTTAACTAATGATGAGAAACCATAGGTCCCAGTTCGCCCACCCTCCTCCCCTCCGCTTCAGCTAAGGCGACTCAGAGGAGATTGACTTTGATGACTTTGCTTCTTTAAAGACGCTGTGATTACAGGGCACTGACTCACCGCCGTGTACCCGCCTCGGGCAAACGCTCGCTTAATGGCGACGTTTATTGATTAAACACATTACGTGATTGCGAATTTTAAAAAGCGCAGGGAGTAAATTTCTGCATCAAAGACGGAAAACTACTAAGAATAAGAAGTGATGCAGTGATCTGAGCCAATTAACTCGCTCCCATAACGAGATCCAGAACCGATCCAGGAGGAATTGAACTACACAGAGTTTTTTATTTTTTATCCTATACTAATGCTTAAAGAGAGAGTCAAACTGGGCTGTCTTTGTGGTTTGCAGAGCCTTTGCTTTGTGCTTCCAAGTGGTGACCATCCTGGCAGCTGATAGCGATGACTAAAAAGGCTGGCTGCTTCTGCTTTTCATGATAAACACTATCCAACTTCTTGGTAAACAGAGATTACAGGAGCAGGAGGTTAGTGGATCTACATATGATGCAAATGAGTCAGAGCTTTTATGCTGATCTGCAAACAGAGGGAGCAGAAAAAAGAAAAGTATGTATATTCTTACATGTGAAAATCAATAGAAATAATCCTGCTGGACTTTAGACCTTTACAACATGAATACATGAATCTGTCAGTGTGTCACACAGCAGAAAATAAACACGAAGAGCATGTCGATCTGCAGGTTTACAGCCGACAGAGATCAGGACACACCCAGGAAGAAAAGTCACTGAAGGAAAAAAAGAGTCGTCTAGACAGGAGAGGATAAAAAGTGGAACAAAAATAAGGATAGTGAAGACGAGCCAAATAATACTGGAATATTTCTGATATTTACAGACTTATATTGTCTGGTTATTGTTATGGATGCTAATTTTTTTTCATCATAAAGAACTAAAAGTCTTTTCTGCACAAGAAGTGACCCCACACTCTGGCTGCGACAGTCTACTGGGTTAGGAAACAGAACCAGTACCAACACAAGAACTAGGGTGGGAACCACCTGTTGCCCCGCGATACGATATTATCACGATACTTGGGCTGTGATGCGATATTATTGCGATTTCTAACATTTTGCAAAACAATGAGTATTGCGATACAATATATTGCGATTTATACATTCTTTTTATCTGTTTAGCTAATTTAGCATTTGTCTTTCCTTTATGTTTGTCTTATTTACGCTGTTTTTTATTTGAAGCACATCTTGCATACCTTATATGTATATGTATCTTTGTTGTACTAACTTTCTCCTGCTCTATGTTGCACCCCTGCCAACCTCACTGGACAAACATTTGATTTTATTTTTCCATTATTATAGATTTGACTTCATATTAGCCATTAATTTGAAAAAAAATCGATACTTAGTAAATGAGACGATACGATAAATCCCCAGACAAAATATCACAATACGCGGTAGTGGCTCACTTCATCCAGAACCAACCCAAAAATAATTCCAGTAGAATATATCGTCAATCCAACCGGCAGTGAGGCTCAACACTCAGGACAGGACTGACGCACAACTCTGCGGTGAAGCAAACATGAGTATTACTGCAGTTCAGGGAAGGCTGCTAACCTCCAGTGAAGCAGAGGACATTTCTACATGTCAAGACAAACCTTTCCTGGCTTCTTGTAAAAGCCTTAAAAACTATAAACTTAAATAAAATGATTATTACCCTGACACATAAAATGATCTCGATCCTGAGTTTCTGTGTTGTTTGTGAGCAGACTGAGTGTGTGAGAGGCGAGGGAAGCCCTGCAGAGAGGACTGGTGTCAGCATGTGTGTGTTCAGTGAGTGATGAAGGCCCGTCACTCCTCACTGCGCCTCCAATCATCATCTAGACATGGCTGCGGGGTAAAGTGTACTCTGCTGGGGCTTCGTTCACTGCACCGCTGACTTCTGACATTCACACACACTTTTGACACCATGTGAAGCAGCTCATACACTCAGGAGAACATGTTAGTCGCTTAGATACGAACGCTGAGTGAGGCGGAGAGAGAGAGAGAGAGAATAAATCGGAGGAGGATTTAAAAGAGGAAGAGTGAACAAATAACAGAGACAAAGTTGCTGAAAAGAGCGAAAAAGGGGATGAAGAAGAGAGGGAAATAAAATGGATTACATGGAAAAACATTTGTGGAAGAATCAATATCACACCGAGGAGCCTCTCCATGGTTCCAACTCAAGTCAATGTTGTCAATAATACGGCTTTTCATCCCGACAACAATATCGGTGAATGGCTGCACAGAGGCCTATTATTGTGCGTATATGTGTGTGTGTGTTTGTGTGTCAGTAGCTGTGTTTGTCCATCAGCAGGCGTGATGAGAGGATGGAGTTGAACAGGAACTTCCTGCTGAGTGAACGGACACTGAATCACTGCGCTGAGCAAGCCAAGATACACTGAAAAACAAACACGCACACGCACACAGACACACGGATGGTTTTCTCTCCTCCGAACTCATCCGTCAGGCTGAGAGGATTCATCCTAAACAAGCTCTGACTTCTCCAGCATGCTACTGTTGCAGAGACAGAATCAATCGTGTTTCCCAGAGTCTGAATTTAATAGTTTGCTTCATGATTTGAGCTGCAAAACACGAGCATCCCCAACTGAAGCTGAAGCCGACTCTAAAGCTGTTTAAGACCAAAGAAGAAGAAGAAGAAGAAGACAGCATCCCTGATCCAGCAGCAGGTGCTGTGATTTAACAGGATTTAGAAAACTTCAGGTACTTTGTCAAAAACAGGGTAGCATAAGTCTGGGGAGAAGAGGGAGGGGACTGAATGTTATTTTTACTCCTTCTTTAAAATCATCAAAGTTCAGACTCGGCTCTGAAGTCGACTACAGTAGTCACGTCACACGATCAGTATAAGGGTCAATGACATATAAGGTTTTTAAACATGCCAAAATAAGACTATATTTTGCAAAAGTTCAAACACGGAGGATGTTATGCATACAAAAATTAATGTTAAATTTTTAAATCATGCAATTTTAGTGTTTTTTTCATACAGATGAATTGCGTATGGCCTTAAAAAATGTCATGTGGTGCGACCATAATTTATCTCAAAATTATTACACATAATATCAAGTCGATAGAAACAAAGTGTTTGCATTTCATTTGAGTTTTTGTAAATAATGATCTCACATTTTTGCTCTATAATGTCACTGTCACTAAATTAAATGTAGTTAACTGACTAATTTTTTCTTTAAATTGCATAAAACTGATAAAAATGTATTAAAACTACCTTTCACTTAAGCGTACTGTGTCAGGTATTAATGTTTCAGTTACAGAAATTAGATATTTGAGTTTGTATTTGATACAATTCATGTTATTACTGGTCGCAACACATATTTTTACATTTTGTAGTTTAGAAAAATCACAAATAAGACCTGATTTTTGAAAAGTTGAAGTGACTACATATATGAGAGAGATACTACAAATAGAAAGTATATTTTTGTGCATTTAAACCTTTTTTAACTTAAAAAAAATATACAGCCAGACAGAATATTTAGGCGTCACGTCACTGACCCATAAACAGGTCGGTAAATGATGAAAGTTTGAAGTAAAAGAGAAGAAGGGAATCTAAGTGGTCTGCGAGCTCAGAGTGTTGTTAACTCGACTCAAGTTACAAACTCGATAACCACAGGAAAGGAAAACCACGACAAGCTTAGAGGTTAACCGTGGTCATGAGCGGCTGCAGCTACAGAAACACAGGAGGAAATAATCTCAACAGGTTTCCAGTTAAAGTCGCATCAACTGTGACCATGAAAGCTACTCCGAGTGTGATTATTTTATTCATGGGAGAAGGTTGTGAAACTTTGGTTAAAAAGTCTATCTGGCAGGTGTTCGGATGTGAAGAAACGTCGTGACTTCCTTTTTTGTTTCACCTTCAAAAGAAAAAAAAGAAAACTGACTCAAAAGAGTAACAAGAGTCCACATGATGCACGGCGTCTCGTGTTGACGTCAGGACCCGGCCGACCAAACAGGTCTTGTGAGCGTGAGTGTAAGAGGAGCTGCTGTAGTATTATTGAGTGCAGCTGCGGAGCTGCTCTCTCGTTTCAGGAATTCTTTCCACGTACCTGAACTCCCCTCTTTGTTTCCTGGTCGGGCGATTTGTCAAGAGAAGGATGACTGTAGAACTCAAGTTACGCAACAGATTAAACCAAACTGCTGCTGCTGCTACCTGGATATTTACCCAGCAGATTTACGGTGCAGCTGAGGGCAGGAGGGAAACACAAAGTGACGATGAGGCGGTCCACATCCCCTTTAAATTTATAGGTCCCGTGTGTGTGTGTGATAATGTGTGACAACTTTATCTGCTGGGACCATGTTATGTTGCCAAGCAATGGCTTAAGTCCTAATGGGTGGAATTGTGTTAGCTGGGTGGTTTAATTCGATTAGTGAACACAGGACTGGCTCTGAAGCAGGGAACACGTCAGTCCTCGTCGGAGATTTCAGAGGGGTAAGGAAAGAGTGAAACCAGCCCGGCCAGAACCTGAACCTGTGAGGAGCTGGACTTTGAACTGAGATTATATCATGACAAAAATACTCTCAATCTCACGTCAGAGACACTCGAGTTTATGTAGGCAGCGGAGCAGGCAGCATATTCAACAGTGCCCTTTTCTTTCAGAGCCAGGAATGATTCACGGTGAGACGCCTTCTTTTTCTGGACAGCTCAGTTGTAAAAGAGTCCAAAGTGGCTCTGGGCAGGAATCTGAACAGAAGAGGTGATTTCATCGTGTCCATTCACACGGCCAAGGAGCCGAGCAATCAGGCTTTTAGATGAAACTCAGGAAGGCCATCAAAGATTTGTGTAGGACTCCAGGAGAACTGTGCTTTTACAGCAGTGTTGTTCAATCATGCTCGATACAGTCAGTGTGTTCATGAACCAGACCTGACCACTGTGGGGTTTTTAGGATACCCTCTTTAGACCGTAGGACTTCATTAGCAAGTTGAACCCATTTTTAGCTAAAGTTAATAAAAACTTTCACATATGGTTTTTGACACGAGTGTTACAAAGATTTAAAGCCTCAACAGAGATACTTCAGTCATCTTCCAGCCACGTAATGAAGAATGAAGAGCCCAAACCAGCCTCAACATCATTATCAACAAGGTGGACCTGGATTTACTCCTGTTCTCCTGGAGCACTCGCCAGATTTGTCTTGCTGTTTTCACCTCTGCACCAGACTGCGCCCTCTCTCCTCAGACAACACTCAGGCATCCCAGGATGAGAGCTCCCGGGATGGATAATAAGGTGAAAAACTGAGGCTCTTACTTTAAAGACAACAAGGACATGTTGTAGACCCCCTGGGGAGCCCGGACCCCAGGTTGGGTATTGATGTACAGGAGTAGACAACTATCCACTGACTTCTGCCAAACTGTGTTTCTCTGCAGACAGAGTAGAGAGCATCCTCAACTCTGAACAAACGATGCATGTGTTCCTGTCGAGAGCGTTATTTTCTACATTATTTGTTATGTAACAACACTTCCCTAATCTGTGCATCAGGAAACATGTCTGTCACACTGATACATCTGTAATGAGCCCATATATCAGTGGGTCGTTTTGGTGAGGCTGCTGTAAATCCTCCGCTTTTACACCTCCAGAGGAATAAACAAGGGGGTGTCAGCGAGCATTACACAGAACGGAAAGTAATCAGCAAAATCAGCAAGTCCAGAGTTCAGAGAGTCAGAAAACCTGCACGGCACATGACTAAGCTGGTGTCTGCCCGGCTCAATAAAGTCACATGCCTGCTGAATACACCACAGGTCAAAGGTTAGAACTTTTACCTGACTAATCTATTGATTTGAACAAACAGGCCCATAAATACACATTTGTAAAGTTAATCTAAGCAGGAAAAAGATTTTTTTAAAGGTCAGAGAAAGGCCAAACCTGTCCTGTCATCTCCTGTCCTGAGAGAAGTAGGTTTAATAAAGGTTAATAAAGCAGACACATGTCAGGACTCTCCCTCCGCTGCTGTAGTCGGGGGTCTGGGCAGACAGGCAGGAAGACAGACCAACAAACAGGCAAAGACTTCAGAGCATCAGAGAATGGAAAATTACCAAGGCTCTACAATCAGCCGGGTACCTTTGATCAGCCGGAGCCCAGGCACCAATTACTGTGGGATAATCGTCAGTCCTCAGAGGCCTGACGAGCTGCAGGCACCGTGGGCACAACGGGTCAGTGACCAGCAGGCAAAGGCCTGGTCAACAGGCTCCCAGAGCCAAAAGCCGACGGTGCCCCTCGTTGAAATGCTGCATGAAGGCAGCCAAACGGACAGCAGCACAGTGAAGCGATTGTTCCCCGCCTGTCGACTCAGCACAGTGGCACTCTCACCAGCCAGACATCCCTCTCTCCGCAGACCGCTGCAGCGATGGGAGAGCGTGTGAACCTGCTACTACTACTGCACATGATGTCTCTGGTTTTTTTTCTTCACGCCCTCTCTGCAGCAAGACATACGTACAACAAATGTGCAAACACACACGCTGCGCACACACCTGTCCTTGTAATTCTGTGGTAAACAAAATACTGCAGTGCCGAACACGCTGGCTGCACGGTGATGCAACACACAGGAAACATGTTCCTCGCCGCCCATCTGCACTGATAATAACCCTTTCATACCCAGGAAGAGTTGAAGTACCTGCTCCTGACGTATTTGAGGTTCCGGACTGAGAAGAAAAGAGATTTGTCCAAAACCTTTTTCATACAGTCTGTTCAGTGAGAAGACGAAGAGAACAAATCTGAAGAGAAAATCTCACCTCTCTTCTTGAGGGAGAACATGATATTCCTCTCATGAATAATTGACTTCTTTCTTGAGTTAGGGGAACATTCATTATCGATCAGGCAGGCTTCTGTGTGTTGGCTGCTGCTGCTTCCTCTATTGTCAACAATCCAGTGACCCACAATCCTTCTCAGACTGCTGAAACAACTTCAGTCTGATGATTATGACAATAATAATAACACCAGAGATACAACAACAGCTCAATGACACCATCAAACTCAAGTGCCTCCTCCTCCTCCTCCTCCTCCTCACTCAATATTGCGCACACTCTTCTTATCGTTCAGTTATTCAACAGAAGCACAGTAGCAAGAGACTTTGGATCAGACATGCTGCTGCACTTACACAACAACCAGCTCCGGTCCAAGTAGATCCATCTGGGCCAGAAGGAGCTCCCCTCAAAAGCTCCAGTCAGCAGAAGAGAAGAGACTGTCTCTATGCTCTGAGTTTTACAGTTAAAGAGTCCTCTAACTGTTTAATAAAGTTTTCTTTTTGGTTTAAGATGGATCTCACCTCAACAAATCATGGACGCCTTCATTGAACAACAGGAGGACCACCTCCTCAGCTCCTCAGAGTTGTTGAAAGAAGAGGTTAAAGGTGGTGTAGGCAGGAATCTGTTAAAGAAGCATCTTTTTTTGTGGTGTATATACAAAAATGCTTTTAATATCAGTCAATAGCTATTAGTTATTGATGATATTTGGGAATATAATCATATCTCTGTGTTCTCTTCTGTCTGTGTAGTCAACGTTTTAACATTTTTAAGCGGCCCGCTGTAAACAAAGCCGTTCTCCACCTCCCCGACCTCCACGCTCCACGAATAATGCTCACGAATTCAAACAAAGTTAGCGTGCTACAATATCGGACAGTAGAAACCAACCAGAAAGTTCGGAAAATTGTCTGAATCCTCCTTTGACCACGACTGCCGACACAAGCAAGAAAACGAAGTAAATACCGGAGACTCTGGAGGAATAACGGGCGCTTAAAACGGAGGTAGACCGGACAAGAGCTAAAAAAAGCCGGGTCAACATAAACGATGGGGGACGCTTGGGGATCTGCATTATATCTGAATCTAATTGGAACGATACGAGCGAGCAGGAGCGTCTGTTTGTGGGCGGGGCTTGAGGGGAGAGGAGGAGCTGAGAGGAAAACTGGTTGGGAGGGGGGGTAGAGTTTACATTCAAGATTTCTCCTCAAAACTGTCTTTAAGTAACATCGTGGTAAACATGACCTTATCTACTTCGAACACGGAGATGAATTCGGGTTAAATCAGCCTCTGGAAGCTATAATTAGAACTCTGTGTTTGCAAAATATCTCGATAAATACCAGAATCATAATTTGTTGGGACTGTTTTATTTGTGGATGTCAACATAGACAGGAATTTTCCAAATTTCGACATGCGAACCACAACCAAACAACTCAGGTTATTTTAGTCCTATCACTCCATCATCCAGCAACCAATATGGTGGTTACCAGGAGACGGTTCCACAGCATCAGTGAGATGGTGAGGTCAAGAGAGGGCAGAACCAGACCAAAGACCCAACAGGACTACATGGGAGACTAACATCCACACTGTGCTCAGCAGAGTAACCGTGTGAGAGGAAATGTATTCACTGTCAGTCAAACTGCAGACAGGCTGTCATTAGACATAAACACAGACGCACACACACACACATGTCACTCAGGGAGTTATTACAACAACAACCACACACTGAAATGTTCACAAAAGTGCAAAGAGAGGATTCAACATTGTGATTTTATTGAGCAGACATCCAAATCTGATTCTGTTTTATTTTTACCCCAAAAGTATTTCTGTTCTCATCTTTAATAAAAGCCAACAACCCTCAAGGGAAAAATAAGGATATATAAAGAAATGATGTTGTTGAGAAATCTTCTTCAGACGAGCAAAACGACTGAAACCCCAATCACCGGTCACTGCTCCTCTTGTTTAGCTTTAAAAATAGATGCGTGTCTCTGCGAGGTTTCAAACACCCCTCTGGCCGGCGCTGGTAGCCGTACAAAGTTCCCACCCCGGGAGGTTCACTTGATATCAGTCTGTCCTGGGTCACTTGTAATTAAACCAGAGATCAGAGAGCTGAATAAAGCATGAGCTGTCCCCGTCCAAGAGGCTCAGGTATCACCGTATAGGGGCCCGGAGAGACAAAAGGACTCCCTGAGCCCCATACCATTCCCCTGGAAGAGTGATGCAGATAAAAACCTGAAAAGTAACTCCTCACATACAGCGACGGACCCCCTCCCAAACCTCCCAGCCCTAATCCTCAGTGTGAACCAGCAGGGAGGAAAATGACGAGTCCAATGCCCCCTGGACCTAATTAAGAGAGAAAGACATTGTCCCAAATGGGGACACACAAAAAAAACAACAGAGTTCAAAGCAGTACAACACTGAGCAACACCCACCCTAGTTTTTTTTTTTTCTTTCTTTTTTTAGATGAGAGCTGACGAAGTAAAATAATGCATTGAAGAAACAGCCTGCAGACAGGAAGACTGCACCGTTTGGAGGAAAAACTGTCGTGTAGGAGACGGTCAACAGTTTCAAGAACATTCTTGGAAGTTTGCAAAACTCTGAAGAAACCCAACAAACATCCTTATACATAAACTCACTTCTGATTTGTGAGACTGTGCGATAAAAACACAAAGAATGTCGAGAAGAGCGACAAAGTGATGGGAGTGAGGGGCGGGGATCACAACGTCTCATCTGAGGTTCAAAAAGACACATCTAATCCTGTTCTTTGATATCGCAGTGATTCTCTGGGCTGTTATCTTGTTTAAACATCACTACAGGTTTGTCGACATGCCATAACTTTAACTCTGAATACGTAAAAGTAAATATATCTGATATTTGATTCCCCGGTAACAAAAAGATAAAACTCTCATTTTCCAGTCTGCAGGTTTACTCCTGACAGAAGTCAAAGAGGGACTCCAGAGTCTCCGACCTCTGCTCTCTCTGCCTTTAAACTCACACATGCGCCTTCATTACAGGGAGATACTAAAGGACTAAACAGAAAGTCAATATTTGCCGACCTATACCTGAGGACGACAGCGTTATAGTGGCTGTGACAACAACAGCAGGCAGGGAGAAGTAGCGTGACTTCGGCTGCAGGCACATCAGATCCGGTCCCCTCTGTGAGGAGGAGGAGGAGGAAGAGGAGGAGGAGGAGGAGAAGGAGGAGGTGTGGACCTGGAGATAAGTCCTTCAGAGTCTCACTGACTGCTGGGAAACCATCAAGAAAAATAACTTTACTGGTTTGCTGCTTTAACTGCTTTGCCATCACTCACTCTGATTTCTCTTTGTGTCCACTGCTCGCTCTCTCACTTTCATTTGTTTTTTTTTAACGATCAGGTATAAAAATAGGTATGATGTTTGTTTTTAAAGCGATATAACTTTTTTACTTCCGATATGATACCGATATTCTAGCCCTCACACTGTTGTTGTGATTAAGTGGGCTCAGATAGCTGGAACAGGGCGCTGCTGGAGATAGGTGCAGGCCAATATCATCCAACATTCATTTTTTTGCTGATATCGGACAGATATCAGATATCAATATCATATCGGGACACCTCTAGTTGTATTGAAACGTGTGAAAGTATATATATAAAATGAGTGATTTGAGCAGAATCCTCTCAAGTTATTTCTGTTTTTTTTCTTGTAAAATGTTTTAAAATTCTGTTTCTTTTTACAAATTATAACTTTATCCTTATAAAACAGTTTATTAATTTGCATAACCTGAAGCTTTACAGTTGAATAGACATCATGTATTCTAAAATAAAAGTAAAAATACCGTTTCTGGACAGAGTCTGAACACTGCACTGATTCAAACATGTCAGGCTCCCTCACCCATCCTGGCTCCTCTGTGTGTGTTTATGTATTTATGTGTGTGTGTGTATCCAGACAAAGGTGCACTCTAGCCTTCAGGTTGTTTATGCTCGGGTTGGTGTTGTGTACAATCTGTTTTTGAAATGGATCGAGATTTTTGTGAAAAGGTCAAAACCAACAAGAAGATTTTCCCTCTGCGGTGGAGTGGAGTCTGGAGGATAAGACAACAACAACAACACTGCTGCTGCTGCTCACCAACAAACAAACACATCAAACAAAGTTCAGGAGGAGACACACACACACACACACACACACACACACACAAACCTATTTTAGGCTACTTATGTGGAAACGGGGTCAGCTGCACATCTGAGATCCTGAGTCTAAAAGCTCCCCTCTGGTTGAATCTTCTCAGAGTGTCCCTGTTGGATCCAGTCCCAATCAGCTCAGTACATGGAGCTGAGTGTGTGTGTGAGTGAGTGTGTGTGTGTGGATCCTACTACTGAGTGAGGACTACAGTATAGCTTGTTTGTGATGGTGCAGTAAAGCTAGCAGTGTATGGACGGGTGCTTGTCCATTTTCAGATTTTACAGATTCACAGGTTGTTTTGTCTGAATAATCGCAGCAGGAAAGTTCTCGTTCATAATTCACGATCTGATCAGCGGACAGAGAGATCTGAGCGGGGAATTATTAAATCAAACGGACCTTGTTTTGATCACATCTAAAGGGTTGGATCTCTTGACGCAGCAGAGTGTCAAAACAAAGTCAGCTCCAGTACTTGTCACTTTACTGACTGACTCGTCTGTAGTTTTAATCATGCTGACTGACATTTAGGCCCCAAAAACACACAGGAGTGCCACCCTTCACTGACTCTGAGGGGGAGTTTCACTGTCACAACAACAACACTTAATCCTAACCTTTGAACGAACAAAAAATCGTGCCCTTGATTTGTTGCTATGACGACATTTCTGATTGTTTCTGAACTCTAACAGGAACCTGATATTCCACCTGAACTTACACATCCTTATTCTCACCCTCCCACACTCCTCTGACTGAATAAGCAAACACTCGATCACTTCCAAATGTGCTCGGTGTGCCCACACTTCTCAGGAGCGATGATGTTGACAGAAAACACGGGTTATAGATGACGACACCGGCCCGCATGTTCAATGGACCGCTTCGAAACTGCCGCCGAACACGAGGATGGAAGTGACGGGTGAGAGAGTCGGGGAGGTGGTCGCAGACAAATGCCGGGGAGCGGAAACACAGAGGCAGACATATCTCCTGTCATATCTACGCTGACATTCGCTACTGCTTTCGACAGGCTCCACAATCTCTCTGCTATCAGGGAACACACAAGCCAAGCCCTTTGATTGCATCGTCATCACACGGCGAGTTTATCTCCCCGTGTTGCATCAATACTCAGCGTTCACGTGCGCAAATCACAGCCAAGAAAAAAAGGCCTCTCCTTAGAGAAGCGGGCGAGTTGCTGCTGACAGTGGAGCTGGTTTCTCCCACAGAGTGAATCACGAAGAGGAGACCAACTCTCACATTCTCCTCCTCCTCCTCCTCCTCTCTCAAACAGCTGACAGACTCACACAGTGGGTTTGGAGGCAGATAGCCAATCCTGCACTCCCTCATTCTGCGTGATGAGCTCAGCCGTGAGTTACTCGCAGAATTTGGACGGGGAGGAAACTCTCACATCACTCCTCTTTTTGTTTGGACGACACATTAAAACTCCCGTCCAAAGAGACATAAATCATTCACAACTGTAAAAAAAAACATCCTTAAACTCTGTAATGATGACTGATTTCAGTTTTACTTTCTTTAACCAGAAAAAAATGCTAAAAAACAGCTGGAGTGAAGTCGTAAAACACGGATCAAAGCTTTCCTTTCCCATTTATGGAAGTAAAGTGAGTGTTTTGGGGTTTTGGACTGTTTGAAGAAGAAAACAAGTGAATGAACGTATCATTATGGTGATTTATGATGATGTACAGTCGATCAATAAATAAGAAACTAAAACAGGATTTGAACAACTTTTCTCCTACTAATTCTGAGTCCTTAAGATTAAACCAAAGTACAAAATATGATGATAAATACTCCGTGTCCTATCCGGACAGAAATTTTTCACATTGAAGTAAAAAGTTAGGGGTGTGCAAAAAAATCGATTCACACAAGAATCGCGATTCTAATTCACTACAATTCAGAATCTATTTCAAATGTCCTAAAATCGATTTTAAAAGATGGACATCCTGACGTCATCACGCAGCCGGTTCTGGAACACATGCATGTGCAGAATGCACCAAAACAAAGAGCGAAATACAATGACGGAGGAAAAGGAGATCCAGCCGGCCCCATCTTCACTAAAAGCTAAAGTTTGGCGTCGTTTCGGATTAAGGCTGCACGATATTGGCAAAAAATAATATTGCGATTTTTTTCAACCCTGCGATATATATTGCGATATTAAAATATAGAGGAATTTTCACCAGATGACCTGAGTAGCACTTAATGTTATACTGCACTGCTGAAATCTTGAGGACAGTTTACCTGCACTGATCTTACCTCCTTTTGTGAATGTTAGTAGAACGGCTTCTGTCTATCTCGGGGATATTTTTAGCTTTTATTGTTCTGGGACGTTATTGTGGAAACAGATGAACACAGAACACGTGTTTTGGTCAACATTATCCATCTTGTTACCGAAATAATTCCAGATACCTGACTTTCCTTTTCTTTTTGGCAACAAATCTTAATCTTTTGTGGTTTTCTCTGTTTGTTGCTCAGTTTGCGATCGTTGTTGTTGTTGTTAGCGGTGTTGTGCTGAGAAATGCAAGTCCTCCGAGAATTGCATGCACCTCACAAAACGCGCACCGCTTATAGTAGAGTGGTCCACGGAAATATACATTTTAAAACCCATACAGTTCTTATTTGTTGGGCTAAACAGTGATGAAGAATGTTCCGAAAGTAATTCTCAGCGGACACGTGTCTCACTCCATGTGCAGGACATGTGCAGGGGTGGGTTTCCTCCTATCTGATTTTGATTGACAGCTGGCAGGATAGTCTGATTGGCAACTGAGAACTGAGTCTGATTGGCAACTGAGTAAAGAACTAAGGTGATTGGTGGATCGCTGCACAGCACATGCAGAGTCACATGCAGTGTATCTCAGTCAGTTATTCTTGAAATTAACTGAGTTCATTCACCTCCGACAGCCTGCGATGTGACTATCGCAGGCTCTGCGATGTGACTATCGCACACACGTACATCGCGATGACGATATTCAAACGATATATCGTGCAGGCCTATTTCGGATTTAACCGAATGCCCGGACACACTGAGCTGGACATGACGCACGCAGTGTGCCAACACTGTAAAACTAGAATCAAGCATTTCGGCAACACGACAAATGTGCGGGCTCACATTACGAGGCATCACTCGGAGGTGAGAGACACGGAGCAGACTCAGTCGCCAGCTGCAGACCAACGCACGCTGCAGAGCTTCACGAAGCTATTTTTTATATAAACTATATAATATTAAACTATATATACTTTTTATATAAACTATTTTTTAAATAAAGAGGTATTCTTATGATATTGCTTGTAAAAATTCCATCAAAGCATAGATAAATGCTTGATATCAGGTCAGAAATCATTATGAATAAAATCGTTTTGAATCGAAAATCCATTTTCAATCAAATCGTGGCTCCAAAAATCTGAATCCAATCGTGAGACAGTAAAAGATTCCCACCCCTATAAAAAGTGTGGGATATAATCTTGGTCGTTTCCTCGTCCCCGGCACAGAAATAAAACAGTAATGAGTCAAGAAGAGTCATGTCTCACACAAGCATCGAAATAGAGTTAGTGTCCGGTGAGCAGGATGTTTTCCTGTGTTGCTATCAAACACAATCTGTCATGCAGCTATCTTTGTAAAGTCTGCATGTGGAGGAACAAGGTAATGTGACCGCTGCTGCTGCCGCCGCTGCTGCTGTTGTTGTTTATCTGATCAGGGATGGAAATCTCCGTCTCAATCTGCGCTTCCTTCAAGGAGTAAACTCCTCTCTTACTACTCGCTAAAGGTCCAGCGATGCTCTCATTTCTATATATACGGTAATCTAGGGCGCATTATCACACTTCAGAAAAATGTGAAGACTGTGAGTCACAGTTTATATCTGCAGGGGAATCAACCTGCTATGTGGCGGGGAGCTGATCGTCTGAGCAGCTGTCTTGATATAAACCACACGCTTTTTACCAACTTGCCAAGTCACTAAAGCTTACACACAAACCTCCGAGCGCACGCCGCGATCTGCGCCGCGTCTTAGTGTATCACAGACCTGGAGAATGAGACGAGAGTCATCCTCTGAGCTTTGATTCTTCAACAAACTCGATTTAAGACACCCTTGAACTTAACAAAACAGCACAAAAGACAATTTATCAATTGTTAAAGCTGAATGATTCAATCGTTTTATAAAATATAGATGTGCTATTAAACTTGACGCCAGCAACAGATCTCCAAACAGCTGGGGCAGAGACAACTAAACACTGAAAAGCCTTGTAATGCCAACAACATTGTCACCCGACTAATTAGAGTAATTTACAGCGTGTGAGCGGCGTGACTGGGTATAAAAAGACACGCCAGAGAGGCTGAGCGTCACAGAGGTACAGATGGGAAGAGGTTCACCGCTCTGTGAGAGACTGCATGAACGAACAGTACAACTCCCTCCAAATTCAAGTCCTACTCAGTGAAAAATGGAAATAATTTTGGAGGTTTTATTAACAAAATCAGAATCAGAAATACTTTCATAATCCCCCAGGGGAAATTGCAACTGGAATCTGTAAAAATAAATAGATAAAATAACTAAAATGAGTAAAAATAAAGAGATAATGTACAAGTATGTACACTATATATGACACAAAATAGTAAAATAGTCTGCATGTCGACAGTTAGAGTCAGAGAATCCAGAGAAATCTCTGCACAAAGAGGACAAGGCTGAAAAAAAAACAGTCCTGAATGTCTGTGATCCTCGACCCTCAGGCAGCGCCGCACTGAAAACAGACATGACTCGACAACATTGAAGAAACGACACAGTATGAGCTCAATAAGTGAAGTGATTCAAAGTGGAGAAGTGTCCTCTAGTCGGACAAATCAACATTTGACATTCCTGCAGAAATCATGGACTCCTTGACTCCTCTCATAAGGAGAGGGACGACAAGAACACGGGGAAAAGCTGCAGCACCTGGGATGTGGAGGAGGCTCTGTTAACGCTCATCAGGTGACACTTTTATCAGGGAAGACCTCATAAATGACAAGAGCAGAGGGGTGAAGACTAACCTGACCTGTCACCCTCTGAAATCATGAAAAACAATCAAGACTTTGAACTATTGAGCCGCTGAAATCTTATATCAGGGAAGAATGAGACGACATTTTGATTTGCAAACACTTTCAGAGTGTGGTTATAAAAAGAGGTGATGTAACACGAAGGTAAACATGCCCCTGTCTTAACTAATGTGAAGCATGTAGCTGGTATCACATCTGATATGAGGAGATGCTTCTCATTTAAAAAAATACACTGATTAGCAAACCATCTAATTCTGTTTCATCAACATTTGACACGACTTCTTTAGAAGTGTTTACATGTTCAGGGTCACAGCACTTAAAGATGTCCTGCTCACTTTAACAGCTCTGTTGACGTCCACTCTCAGAAGAAGTCTATAAAGTCAACAAGAACATCTTCATTATCTCCCACCATTCTCACTCATTCTCAGGTCTAAAATCTTCTTTCTGATGGCTCTGTCATAGATGAGGCCTTTTCCACTTTGCTTTATAGTTAATCTGGACTTTTTTATTCAAATTGATTCATTATGAAACACAGCCTTCTGTTTATGCAAATCTGAGGCATATATTTGGAAAGAGATAAATTAAGAATGTGAGAGTTTGAGCAGCCTATAGTCCCATCCTGGGAAACCCTAACATTCAAAAGTCTACACACGTTTATTGATATCCAACGTTTTAACTTAATATACCTTTGAACGCATAGGGAAAGTATGATAGCATCACCGCAGCCTCACAGTGAAACTGAAGAACAAAAGGACCGCACTTCTACTCAACTTCCTGTATCCTTTCCTGTAAAGTTCCTGTCAGGAACTTCTATGGACAAAGCCCACCTCTTACTTAATGACTTCCTGCCTAATCTTGTCCTGTTCATATTACTGTCAAGATTTCCAACAAAAATGATCTCAACATACTGTCTTTAAAAACTGAATCAACTCACTGTGAATATTTGCTTTGGATAAAGTAAAATAAGTTGGTTTCTGCCCTGCGCTGTAAATCACTTCGTATAAATCGCCTACCCTCTTCTGCAGTCGTCTGAAAACTGTGCGCTAATTGTCAGTCATGTCACTCAGTACGTTTACATGACACTCGAGAAAACTGAATTATCGCCTAATTCCGATTCAGACCGGACAACTGAAGTGCATGTAAACACCTTAGTTCGACTATAATCGGAGTTTGAGAACTCCGATTAAGACACTCAGATAATGCGATTGGAATTCGATTTTCTCTACCATGTAACCAGCGTAGTCAGAGTATGATCGGACAATGCATGTGCGCCACACCCCCGTAACCCCAGAACAAAAACACCAGAGAAGAGGAGTAGTGTGCGTCTCATCTGCAGAAAAAGTAGCGCGTCCATCATGTACGACAAAAACAACGCTGTACGATGCTCCATCTTCTTGATCGTGAAACGCCCAGCAGCAGTTGTAGACACATACATACAGAAAAGCAAGCCCAAATAAACACCTACAAGTTAAAAACAAGCCCAATAAAGCGCACCCACGGCTCACAAGGTTTACAAGCAACTTTTGAGAGAAACAAGCCTAAATTTGTTTATAATAAGCGGAGTTGGCAACTATAAGGCGTCTTTGTATATTTTGCCGATGTTTAAACTTGTCTCTGTTCACGAATGCAGATCTAGGATGTACACACATTTTGTCCAAATGGAAATAAAACAACAGCCAGGTTTTCAAAATAAAAGCAACACACTTTTCTAGCATGTTGATGATGTGATTGACGGACCTCACAAAGGGCCTGGCAGGGACATCCAAAGGGCAAGGATGTGCCCAGGTCTGGCCGAGTCTGACACCTAACCCCCCTCTGCAGTCGTCTCAAAACTGCGTTTTAATTGTCACTGATGATCTTGATTGTTTTTGAGGGTCACAGAGAGGCGTCACAGTGAATTTAAGTCATTTGCAGAACCAGACAAAAACCCTTACAGGAGCTTTAATTTGACTTACATAATACCTGTTGAAGGTGGTCACCAAATAAATGTCTTATGGTGGAGTCTAGTTTATTCAGGGTTTAGTAACTGTATTAATTGTGTATTTTTTAACTAGCTTTAAACTAACTCTGCTACTGTTTAACCCATTACAACAGGCCGAAATTCGTACATGAACCATTTACAAGTAAAACAAACATTTATAACACCACTCTATATTATTTATACTGGTATTAAACAAGTGTATTTGTATGTATTTGTGTGAGTTCTGGGTTAAACAGTACCAGCAGGTCGTTTTCCCATCCTTTTGGGTAAGGCTCGGTTCTGCTGACTAACGTCCGTCTCGTGAAGTTGACCAGGTAAGTTGAGTACCGCTGCCGTCAGCTAGCTAACTAACCTGTTAGCTCCCTCGGTGGGTGAAAACGGTTCCTCTAACACCCCCAAAGAAAAGGTTCAGGAACCTCCCCGCCTCACATTCAGCCTTCTCTGTCCCCCTGACATGTTAGCAGACTGAGCCGAGCGTGAATCGGGTCTCAGGGAGAGCTAACAGCCGGAGCTACGCGCGCCGTGCCGCATCCGAAAAACACAAGCTAGCGCTGCTTTAGCCTCCGGAGCTAACGAGCGTTACCGGGCAGGCTGACTCAAACAGACCGTTACACACTCTCCAACATACCTGTGAACACCGCTGCCGCCCGGTAGATGCCCCTTTCGAGCCGTCACCTGTGTATGACGAGCCGTGCCGTGCCAAAAATAATTCAAATTCCACAGAAAGTGTTGAGGAGACACTCGCAGTCCAATCGCTTCAGTCACCGCCGCTGAATGGCTGCTACGCGGAGACTCAACCAAACTTCCTCCTTAGCAACGGACCGCCTCCGCGAGAGCCCATTGGACGGCGCGAGCGGATCGGAGGTGATCGATAGACGATTGACAGATCAACCTGGATCAAACTGGACATTCACGGAATATTTTTAGACATCAGCAAATATCTCTCTGAAGATTGAGTTTGTCTCAGTGGATCGATTAGGTCAATAAATTAGATTACAGCTTTATGAAATATTGATGGGAAACAGGCATAACATCATGATTTGATTGTTTTATTCTGTGTTTTTAAGTTGTTTTTAAATTAATTAAAGGTCAAACTTTGTGCTTTAACAGGAGCGTATTCAGCCGGTTTGGGGACAGGGGCTAAAACATGATAAGGGCACCTGTCCATTAGGTATAGAAAACAGCAACTACTCAAGATCTGCTTCTTGAAATAAGAGGGAAAACAATTTGTAAGCACCTTGATAGTTGCATCAAATTATTGCTTTATGAACTATTGATGGAATACAGGAATACATCATGATTATGTTGTTTTGTTCTGTTTTTAAACTGTTTTTAAATTGTTCTTAAGTTAATTAAAGGTCAAACTTTGTGCTTTAGCAGGGGCGTATTCAGTCTGTTTGGGGACAGGGGCTAAAAAATGCTAAAGGCACCTGTCCATTAGGCACAGAAAGTTGTAATTACTCAAGATCTGCTTCTTGCAACATTAAGGAAAATAGTTTGTAAGCACTCTGTTATTTGCATAGGTACAGTTGCTATTTTTTTTTTTTGCTTTGTTTCTATTTTTTGTTTGTTTATTTGTTGCTTTTCTGAGGCGAACGTGGGTCATATGTGGCCTGAAAGTTATAGACTTGAAATAGTTTCTCACCCCCCTGATACCTTCAGCTCAGGGTTCAGACACAGGTAATAAAAACAAGGAGTCTGGAGGTCCTCCCCGAGGAAATTTTGAGCGTCTGATATTTAATTCCCTTCTATGTGATGCATATTTGTGAAAAAGCTTGCTGTGGAAATATAACCATGTAAAAGGAAATCATCAATTTCTTATTCAAAGTAAAAAAAAAAAGGGGGTGCACATTCTAGTTTGAGTCAAACTGAGTAGTTTACTATAACACAATTACATGATATAATTAACTGATTCAACTCTTTGTAACTCGTACACCTGACCTTAAAAACCTTTCATGACAACCAAACATATATAATGTTCAGATAATAAAGGTGAAGTCATGATTAGGGCCATTTTATGATGTTTTATCAAGTGGAAAGGCACCTGAGTGAACACCTTATCTCATGTGACTCTGTGTAAGGGCATCCAGGAGGCACATATTTATGTTTTATTTTCTGTCAGGGCCTTTAAGAGAATATTTCTTTCACATTTTACAACGACAGGTCACAGCAGAGGGCATTTCATATTGTTTATGTACAAGAGGGGTTTCCAGCAGGGCACTCCTGTGGCAATCTTTGAGGCTGCAGGTTAAACTAGAGAGGAGCATCGAAAACTAACAGAAGTCTGTTTTCACTCATTATTTCATTAATATTGATATGACTGGAAAATGATTAGGATGGCAGTATTTGGCTGAATTTGGTTAATTCTGACTTTATGGTGTTAAATATTTGATGTCAAATTGAACTTTTGAGTTTGAACAAATAAAGTGAATTATTCTGGGGTTAATTCTAGTCTCTGTAACACAGAAAATTAGGTGTAAAAGACACAGTATAAGTGCTGTCAAAGAGTGCAAAGTGCAGAGTGAGTGTAAATGTACTGTGTTTCCTCATTGGTGTCCAGCAGCTGATGAATTCTTCATTATCTCTGTCCGATATGCAAAAGCAGCCCTGCTGTCAGAGCAGGAACTATTAGATAAAGCCGCACTTTAAAAGCCTTTCTCTTATACACATTAAATAAAGTCTTTTGTTTTTTATTTAAATATTTTTAATGTGTGGTCGTGTGTCCATGTGTCAGCGTTTGCCCCTCATGATGTGTTTACCCCCTCTGCCCCCGATGACGAAACCTCAGCCCCTCTAAAAGGCCACAAGTTTATCAGAGTTTCGTTGCATTCCTGACATACTTCTGAGGCCTACTAAGCTGCACTGTGGCATGTCTTGTGGCCTGAAAGGTTGCAAAACCAACAGAGAGAGAGAGAGAGAGAAAAAAAACGGGTTAACAAAGTTGTCAAGCCTGTTGTGCTGATAATTACAAGCTGAAGTATTCTTTGAACAATGCTCCAGCTGTGAATCTTTCTCACACTCACAAAGATAAACTCTCTGTTGTTTCTTCACGGCCTCTCCTCCTTTACTCTCGATTATCTCAAACCCAGTCTGCTTTATTACTCCTTCTTTTTACAACAACCATTCATCCATCAACCTGTGAAGGCCAGAGAGCCATAAAATGTAATAACAAAGAGGCCTCCCACTCAACTGTGGGGATCTTCTGCCCCCTTGTGGCCGTTTCATGTAAATTCAACATGATCTGAGAGCACGGCTTTTGTTTATTTAATTAATTTTACTCATTTGAAATCTGCTGTTGTGCTTTTTGTTTCAGTCTTCTCTTAAAGAAGTACTCAGTGAAGTTTTTCAGGGTAAGAGAGCTCATTTAAATGACAACCTCTGCCTTTAAAATGTTCATGTTTTAAAGTTGTGAATACATGATAGACAAGTATTTACATTACATGTATAGTTGGTTCCCAAAAAAGTGGATAAACATAAACTTTTGGATTTAAAGCTGTTTATGTTTTCTATTCACTTATTTAGCCTTCTTAATCCTCTCTATTTATGATGTTGCATACGTACGGACAGTTCTTCGTCTGTCTGACAGTATTTTATACGTTTATACAAACATGAAAAAGTAGGATTTACGTCATTTATCGTCATCTTTTCTTCTCTCTACTCCTTTTTTTCTTCCCTTTTTCCCTGACATTGAAATTGCACGACACAGTGCTCAGCGTAAATGAGCACACCACTTTAGAGTTGTCAGAAAACCTTTAGTTTCCTTTCGAAATTAACATTTTCTATGTCAGACTCTACAACAAAATACCCCCCCTAAATAAAGGCCATTGATTACAAACAAAAAAGTATTTTTTTCAATTAAGATCAGGATGCAAAAATTAGTACACCATCACCCTTTTTTCATCTTATGGTAAATAAAATGTTATGTTAATCTCTGCTTTGTCAAAACTTCGGAAATTGTACTCTTGCTCATCTAGGTATTGGTTGATACATTACTTTTAATAGGGGGTGTACTGACTTATGCTGGGCACTGTACACATTTGACCATCTTGTTAATTTTTTCTTTGTATTTGACCCTAAAAAATTCCTCTTTAATTAAAAAATTTACCCCGAGCATGAAAACACTAAGAGACATTTTTATTTACAATTTATTAATGTCAAAGGGACGGGCCTCTCTGCAAACACTCTACGTCACTCCGCAGTAAATAAACAACAACAGTAAATTTCTTTTAGGACCACATTTTATTTTTCAAACAACATATAGAATACTTTACACAAAAACCAGGCCATTATCTGCTTCAATATTTACATTAAACTTTGTAGAGAGACAGAAAAAAACAGAAAAAAAAAAAACATTCTTTGGGTCTGACCATGCAAAACAATAAATAATGTTCCTGACGGTGCTTTGCATGGTGCTTTCAAGACTGCATGAGAAAATAAAAGCTCAGATTAAAGTTGGCTATACATAAAGCTGCCCCGGTCCACCTGTCAGTCTCCTAGGCACCCTGACGAGCAGTGGCTTTGACTCAGAGTAGGTCAGGCGCACCTCCACGCGTTTGCTACAGAACGGTTTGCACTCGAGGTAATCCTTACTACTGCGCGCGGAAACTAAAGTCGACCAGGAGAGATACGGAAATGAAAAGTGAGATGTGCAACGGTTCGAGTGAAAAGCTTAGATTACGTAGAAGAGCTGCGGCATCCTGCTGGGATGAAGCACTGTACACGAAGAGAGCGCCACGTTTGCTCCGAAAGGCCGTCAAACGTTTCCAGTGAGGATCTTAAAGTTGACATCGCAAAAAGTTCAGTTCTCTCGCCTTCATCCCTCAATGAGACCAGGATGATGAGTCCTCCATCAGGCCCGGTCCAGACTCTGTACCCCCCTCTCACCACCTCCCCCGTCAGTCTGCTCTGGCTCAGGTGATCACTTGCGGCTCCCAGGTCTGGCCGGCCACCTGGGGGCGACACTGCGTGATGACTGGCGGGCCTGTCGGGGGCTGACTGTCCAGGCAGAGGCCGCTGACCATATGCTGCAGAGCCGAGCCTCGAGGCTTCCACTTCTGCAGGAAGAGAGAGAAAAAAAGACGAGTTCATCCGTCAGTTAGTTTTAAAGCAAACCAAACTCTCTCTGAGGTCTGTGTCTCTCTGTGAACCCCCACAGCAGGTTCATGTTAGCGCTGAGTAATGGACTGAGTCAGAGCTGCATTAACACTGATCACAGCGAATGATGAATGATTGACTCGCTGAGCCCAGAGTGGAAAAATCTCAGGGCAGCCAGCTGCAGAAACGGGGCAGCCTGCCATCAAACCGAGAGGAGACGTCATTTGTTTTAGCCGATAACATGTTCAGCACAATGACTTTAGCCGAGCTCAGACCAATCCCAGAACAGACTCGTCACGCCTGCACTGGACTTCTCATTTTAATGCAACGAGACATTACAGGGAAAAAAAATCAGTGCTTCTCATTCATGGGTATTTAAGACGTTTATTTAATGTCACTGCATGGTTTGTTATAATCCCTGAAACAAACAATCCCAGAGTACAGCAGCAACAATCAGTGACTTCTTTTTCAAATTTAGACGGATGCATGTTTACGCAGTGTTGGGGTACTTACTCATAAAAAGTAATTTGATACTAGTAACTAGTTACTTCTGTAAATTTTAATGAGATTACTAAACAAGTTATTGCATGAAAAGTAACTTAAAAAAAAGTAAAAAGAAAAGTAACTGCTTATTACTTTACTTTCCCGTTTCTTAATTTACCAAGTAGCGAGACATGAACAAAGATCACTGAACCTCGTGCGCATCGTTTTGTTGATTGTATAAATGTATACTTTCCATTTCCATCCCTCTTTCACATCAGCGGCTACGTCGTTCAAATCGATCTCTCTATAGGACTTTCAGAGGGCCACATGATTGTGCAACGCATGTTGGGTTGGAAAGCGCCATCTTCGCAGGCAACTTTTTGTCAAGACAAGCTGGAGAAACAGTCCAAAGGCTCGATATCAAGCAAAAACACAGCTGATGTAACACAGAAAGGTGCGTTCCTATTGTTTAGTAGAGTAATTAAGTTACAGATTTTTTTAGTGTAGTGAGTTACTTTACTTTTGTTATCCCCCAAAAATTAACACTGTTACTGTAATCTGTTACTTTGTAGTGCATTACCCCCAACATTGTATTTATGCATGCGGCACGTTGTCATTAACATCATGAATTATCAAAATCTCCATTAACTAATGTCCTGTAACTTAAGCGAAAGGTAGGCTGCATACTTTAGTTCACTTTTTTCAGCATGGAGCACACGTCTCTGTTTTCATGTGTCAGAAAGAGAGTGCACAGCAGAGTAAGTGTGCATGATGGAGAGCTTGGTGTCGGTTTTAGGGCTGCAAAGGGAGGCAGGTTTTGGTAGAGGTCAGGAGACAGATGTGAGAGTGTCCTCCTCTTCTGACTTCAATCTGAGACCCCTGAATCTCCCTAAACTCTGAGTCAGAGAACCTGATGAAGAGCTCATGCTGAGTCAGAGGGATGAACGGATCGACCAGCTCAGGACTCCTCACTGAAACGTTAACTCTTTAGAGGTGTGAGGATGTTTTGAGTCAAACAGACGGATCATTGACTCCACCCTCATTAATATAAGTGGGATAAGAACGACCCAAACAACCCTTTAACGTCTCTTAAACCAAATCTTAACAAAAACGTTTTTCACATTAATTTGATCCAGGTCTACCTGATATAAAAAGTAAAGTATCTGAATATTCCTCCACGTTTAAATGTCGACTGAAGCTAAGAGTTTAATTATTATTATTACTCAAAGACCACACAGGCACACGCTGTTATGAAAACAAAGTTATAAAAAGAAGTTTTTTGTTCCCGTATTTTCTCCTAATTTCTATTTATGCTCATCATGACGTCACCTGAACTCCCTCACCCTCGCATTAATCTCTCCCAGGACGCTCTCACTGAGGTGAGCTCCAGAAAAACATCATGTAATGATTCGCTCTTGTTTTGTTTTCCTTAAATCTGATTTTCTTTTCGCAGAGACTCCTCCGAGTGCTGGAGCGAGTCCGACTGAAACTCGAGACTGAAGCAGAGCGAGTTAGAGAGTGTGTGTTCTCCATAATTGGGCTCCCTCTGACCCAGCAGGTATAAGAGCTTCATTTACTGGCTTACTGATTAAAAAGGGTTGAATTTGAGGCCAAGCACAGATTTAGATTTAGACTGTCTGAGTGTTTTTATCTGAGGTTGAAAACGTGGACATTTGGACACCTGTAAACTTCTGTCAAAGCCGCTGATGGCCAAGATTTGAATCCTGTTTTCTTGGATTTAAAATACGGACACACACGCCAGAAGATTTCAAAGAAAATGATTAAATTTGTTTCTTTTGGATTCACTTCTGAAACAGAGTTCAGACCAGCATCAAATATAATCCCTCCAGTGAAACCCAAACTCAGGATTAAATGAAGACGTATTTATAAAGAAATGGACAATTCAGAAAAGAGTTTCAGGGACTCAGACTCCATATTAAATGATGTAAAAGGTGTAAATTAGCACCAAATGTTTCTGCAGTCAAAGGCTGCAAAGTAACTCTCAGGATGAAAGAGAAAAACATCGACTTGTGCCTCATTTACTCTCCGTATTCTTGCTCATGTTCTTCTCTCTCAAACAAACACAAGAGTCTTTAAGAAAGATTTACGTCTCTGCTGAAACAAAGAGGATCTCGTCATTTAAAGGGATTGTTCCTCGACTTATAACCTCATCTTTCTGAGTCAAACACATCCAGAGAAAAAAGAAACAACTGCAGCTGTTGGCAATAATCTGTGTGTCAGAAAACTTCAGTCGGTGGAGCTCCAGTGTTGTGGTTGGGGGTTGATGGATGTGGTTGATGTTTCAGCCAGGATTTCTACGTCTCCACCCTCACTTGTTTCAAACTGGCCGCAAAAACCGTATGAGGGTACGAGGACATTAATCTGGCAGACTGTGCGGTCAGAATTCTCGTTTATATTAAGACCAGAAAACAGGTCCAGAGAAATGAAGGGTTAGGGTCCACGTGCTGCGAACCACCACACATGAAGGAGCTGCAGGAAACAAGACCGCAACGAAAGTGACCCTCAACGAAAGTAGATACATGACCGCCATATTTGACAGTCTGCCTCCTTCCTCTGAGTCGTGCTTTTTTAACCACCCAGCGTTTAGTATTTGATGCATCAGATCGAGTTTTTAATGTCATGCAGATATTTTTCTAACATTTTACTGTATTTAGGAGAAGCTGAATCTGTCCTACAAACGCTCTTGGATGATCGGTGCTAACTGAGCAGAGACATAAACTGTTTTTAGAGATTACTGAAAACACAGGTAAACTTGCAGACGAGCAGATGGACAGAAACTGTGAGGATTTGCTCCATATTTGTTGATTTATCTCACTTTTTAAGCAACGATGCAAATACTAGGGATGGACGATAAATTATCGTTCACGATATATCGTCAGAAAAATCCTCCACAATAAATACTCGCCATGGCATGATAAATACGATAAATCCAAGTTGATGACTTACCGTGAGTGATGGACTCACAGCCATAGTCCACACAGAGCTAAATAACAAACAAACATGGATGAAGATGATGAAGAAGACGTTTCTGAGACGTTTCAAGATCGGGGTTTAGACGAGTACAATCAGGTCTGCCTGACATCGGACAGTGGATCTGCTGCCGTTCACTCTGTGCAACAAGAGTTTTTAACAAACGTTGAGATTTCTTTGATGTCATTAGTTTTCTCAATAACCTTCCACTTCATCTTGTTGTTAAGTATCTTATTTGACGACTTCAACTGGTGTTGTACTTCAACTGTGACTTTTATCGTTATCGCCAGATTGACAAATCTTATCGTGATACATTTTTTAGCCCATATCACCGATCCCTAACAGAAACACAGTACATGTTTCCCTCTGTTGTCATCGCAGCAGCAGCAGACACAGTCCCTAAAGTGCAGCTGCTGGCTGATGAAATACACCGAGCCGCTGATAAATGTTCTGCATTTATTCACCGATTTGCTCCTTTAGTCTCCACAGTTTGAAAAATTCCTGAATAACCTTTAAACACAAAGAAAATCAAGTGTTGCTCAGACGGTTTTCGGCGCTGCAGGGATGAAGGGAAACGCCTCGTTTTATCAGTGATGGATGAATAAGACTGAGAACCCGCCCAGAGGGATCAGACTCTTCGGATCATTCAGCTCTCCCTCTTTTGTTTTATGTTCAAAGTCGTCTTCATATTTTCACGTTTATAACGAATATTTGTGGCGCCCAGAGGTTATCACTTCAGCGCTTTTTCATTTAAAGAGGATAAATGACTTTTTTCCTCTTTCTCTGGGATTTTCACACTCGGGACAAAGAGTCCAAACGTCTCCCACGTCAGATGAAACTCCCCGAGAACTCTCGGAGGATTGTGACGGGCCTGCAGAGGGATGAGGAGATGGCCTGGCAGGATTCCTGAGCGCCGCTCACACATGGTTCGAGTTAATAACTCCTTCTTCTGTGTCATAAATTAGCGAGGGTCCACATGGGCCGCGTGTTCAACATTCACAGAGCGGAGAGCGAGGAAGGAAAAGAGCGGGAGAGCGTGTTCCACAGCCACGTTAAAAATCCACTACTCCTTCCTTTGGCGTGTGCGGCGAGGTCGCACCAGCGTCTCTCCAGGTCACAGCCTCTCCGTTCTTTCAGGTCTAGACTCGGGGATCAGGATGTTGAGAGTCCAAAACGGGGTGACGGTTTGGAAAAACTAAGACCTGCAGTAAAAGTGACTGACAGAGCGAGATTACGGCTGATCCTGGTTTGTTTTTAGACTCTCAGCTGACGTCCGACTTCAAAGAACGACTTATTTATCAACGACAGTTTGATGGAAACCTGATTTATTTATCGATAAGAAGAAACGGACTGAGTGTCTGATGATAGACCAGCGTCTGTGTCGACAAAAAAGAGACAAAAGAGCTTCTGAGAGGAGATGTTGTGTTTTTATGTGACCAAGACTGCATTTCCCATGAGCACCGCCTCTTTAAAGATGGTAAAGATGTGTCTGTAGTGGACATGCATGCTTTCCAAATGAGATCTTGTTTTTTTGTGATATTATTTTTCTTTTATGCAGGATGCAGACTGACGAGTTAACTCATCGATCTAAATCATGAAGAGTACGATAACATCAACTGTTCATGACCGTTAGCTCGATTATTTCACGTCATGAAGCGTCCGAATAAACGTCTGAATCCTCTTGAGTCGTGGTTCCCTCTTACCTGTCTGGGCTCTTTTGCGTTGCAGGACTCCATCTTGACCTTTGACCCCGCTGTGAAGGCTGAAATGGCCAAGCAGAGGTCCTGCTGTCGGATCAGCGGCTCTATTAGCTCCCATCTCTGCAAAATCAAAGAAATGAAACAGAAAATTCATCTTTGGAAACGTTTTTGCTGTCAGTGTGGTACAAAACAAAGATGATTATTTTTACTACTTCATTTCCATTCCTGCTGGTTTACTTGTGAGTGTTTCTACCATGTAAAGATCTCCTGCTCTTTTCCTCTAACTCTAAAACTGCACAGAAAGAGAAGATGTCCTCTTTTATAAATCCGAAACAACAGCTGACTGAAAGAGACGCGCTCTGAAATCAAGGATCGGGACTTTCCAGGAAAAAAAAGAGAGAAACCTCATCCAAGTTTGTCTTCGCTCTCGCTGTCTCTGATTAGATTTTTTTGTGGTTGAGATCTTCCTCTAACTCTCCTGCGTTAACCTAAAGCTCGGCTCACAGTTTGCAAACATTTTAGCGCCTGATAATAAGTGTGGTGCGACAGTAAATCAGCATGAATCATTATTGATCCGACGCCAAAATGCGAACGGTGACTAATGTTGGCTCACATGAAGAAACTCAGATTAACGTTTGGCGAGTTTCCCTCCATGTGATGATTGTGTACATGTGTTTGGAAGAGCTGTTACCGGGCAACCGAGGAGGGAGGGAGGAAGGGAGGGAGGATCGGCTGATTGAGTCTATATTTCCAGATTTATGATCCTCTGTCGGAGGATAAATCTAGACTAAATCACATCTGAGCACTTCTGTAGATCCGTGTGATCAGAGGAGGGAAACAAAGTGAAGTGATTTGAGGTTCGTCGACTTCAACAGAGACTCAGATTTTCATGGCGGAGTCCTGACCTGTGACTGCGGCCTGTTGGCGCCCATGCCCCTGCACTCTGCCAGTCCGAGGCCGTCCGTCCCGCGGGTCTCCAGACACAGACCGCCTTGTTTCAGCACACTGGACACCGCATCCTGCTCGGGGACCCTGAGGGAACCGTTCACAGAGAGGAGACGGACCAATCAGAGGGACTGAAACTGACCGGTATTAAAAAAATTACTGTTCACAATCATAATTCAAGAAAGAGAGAGGAATGAAAGAGAGAAGATAAGGACAGAGAGGAGGGATGAGCTCGAACAGAAACACTTGAAGAGTTCCCATCCAGATCAGATAAATTTAGATCCCCGTTATGAACTTTGGGGTCATGACACCCAGAGGAGTTTCAAAATCATTTCTGATTAAAGTTCATGGAGGAAAAAAAAAAATGTTCCTGCAGATTTCTCTCTTGAGGAGGAGGAGAAGCTGGAGTTAATTTCTGTTTCACTGAGAAGCTAAATATGAGATAGGGTGACCATACGTCTTCTTTTACCCGTCCTCTTTTTTGGGGACTGTCCGGCTTTGTCTGGGGGAGTTCATGAAATCCTTCAAATGTCTGGGTTTTGTATGGAAGTTTGGAGTTTGTGAGTTAGAAGCGTGTAAAAAACACTCGATCTGACCTGAAAATCTCTCAAAATTAACTTTGTGGGACTCCATGACTCCGCCCCTGTAGTCGTGTCGTCTTTTTGGGGATTCAGAATATGGTGACCCTAGATTAGACGTATTTAATATTTATGTAAATGTAAAATACGTCAGCACAATGACAGCTAAATATGACGATTGTTTCAATCTGTCAACACTGAAGAGCCATTTATGATTCATTCTGCAGTCGGCCACCAGGGGGAGCGCTACATCTTTTGGCTTTACAGTCAGTGAACACCGGCCTGCGAATGTGACCAGGATACATAACACAGAGAGAGGCATCACACAGTTAAATGGTGTTTTTACCTCGATGGCGAAACTAAATGAAGTAAACGCTATGGTTGAAAAGACGCCAGGTGACCTTTACCTGAGCTCAGGATAGACGTTCTCCATGTACCAGCGGAACGGTTTGCAGTCCAGCTTCCGCCTCAGCGTCTGACGGTCCGTGATGCTGCGAGGAGAAACACAAGAGGACAGTCAGTCAGTGAGAAAAACTTTAGAGAGCGAGGAGCTCAAATTCAAAACAATCTGGAAAAAAAAGTGATATTTTTTCATCGTCAGGAGAACCTCGAGTCTGAAGGAAACACGACCACGAAAAGCGAAAACAGCGAGAGTCTGAAACACCGACCTGCCGAAGGCTTTCCCCTGAGCTGACGGCCTGGCAGAGTAATAGTACTGTTTGTACTCGTCCATCCAGACTTCAGCCGCCCGCCGGGTGTTCCTGCAGAGACACACACACACACACCTGTTCACACACGCTCTGTAATGACTGTAATCCTGCTGGCGTTCCTGCAGGCAGCTCTAATGACACAGTGTCGCGCACAGAGGAGCCCTCAGACAGCGGAAAAATCCTCCATCAGGACCGTCCTCTTCCTCCTGTAATCCTCGGTGTGTCTTTGAGCGAGGAGGACAGACAGTCTGGGACCGATCCGACATTTAGACACAAGAGTTTATCAGCAGCTGTGTCTGTCAGGACGTGGATAAATGTGCAGGAAATGATGAATATTTCCTTTTTGAATCGTTAAAAAATTTCACACATGCAGCGAGCGCTCGATTGTTAGTTATTTCATCATCTAAAGAGGTGTGCCTGAGCAGAGCGAGGGCGGAGGACGATGAGAGCAGGTTTCGGGTTTTAACGGTCTTGATGTGACAGATCGCTGATTTCCCAAATACGCAGGTCGACAGCTCTGCGAGAAAACCTGCTCACTCTGCAGACCGCGGCGTGAGCGTGAGTCTGTCTGAGGAACGTTTGACCTTTTCCTGTCAGGTCTGTTTAATCGGAGCTGTCGATCTCTGCTGGAAAAACAAGGAGGGAAGAAGAGGAGAGGAGAGGGATCTGCACTTCATCTAATTACACATAAACAAATAAACAAATAAACAATCTAGAAACCTTTGGGTAGATTTAAAGTTGAACATCTGTAGTTTTCACAGACACGGCTCATAAAAGGTTATCACCGTCCAGTTTCTGTTGTTTTTAAATCTTTCTTTATGGGGTCTTAAAAATCACAAATGTCCGTTTTTTATCGCGTTTTAAAGCAGCTGGAGTCGCCTCCTCCCGGGCTCTAATAACAATAACTCAAAGACGAGTTTTGAGCTGTTTCGTTATGTAATCTCGGGGTGTAAACGTTCGCGATCACGCTTAAATAAAGATGTTTTATTCTCTCTCATCTTTCAGAGCGTCAGAGATCTGTGCAGTTTTCCCCGCGGAGCTCTTAACTTCAGATTTCAGAGACGCACAGACGATCCCTCTCGGCGGTTTCTGCACGCAGACTTTCCTGAACCCACACTCACTTGATGTAGGTGAGAGCGTTGCCTTCTGGGAAATCATACGGGTGTCTCTTCCTGAACACATGACCGACTCGGCTGCAGGGGAGAATCTCCAGGCTTCCTCCGCACATCCACACCCGGAAAGACAGCTCTGCAGGAGGACACGCACACGGAGAGAGAGAGAGACAGAGGGTGAGGTTGATGCTGTCATCATATCAGCTTCATTTCTTATGCAGCAGGACACAATACGCTGCAGATCAGCTGAGTGAAAACTGATGAGGAGGAGGAGAAAAAAGAGGATGATGCAGCACAAAACTATCCTCCAGTTTTACCTCCTAAATTCAACTTTTAATCCTTATTTTTACGAGGAGTCAGACGACTGTCAGTTCAGTGGAAAAAGTTTTTTTAAATCAGGATAAAAATGCAGAAATGACTCTTTTTATTTTTTACAAACTTGGCATAAAGTTTGGAATAAAACTCGAGCACATTAACCCTCCCGTCTGAACGTCTTTGGTGCTTTTATTTTGAAATTCTCGACTTCTGATCGGTCGTAGGTTACAGAGTTGAGTGAAAATAGTTAAAAGGAAAGTTAGACGGTTATTAATCGTCAAAACTGGGAGTATTCTTCATTTGACAAAGTGTTTCTTGTCTATAGAAACATCTGAGGAGGATGACTCATGAAAGTTTCTCTGTTTCCTGTAAAGTTTGAGACTCACCAAAGTTCTCCCCTCCCCAGATGTCCATGTGGGTGTCATACTGGCCCAGGTGGTTGAACCAGCTCTTGTCCATGACGAAGATCCCACCGGCGATGACAGGAGTCCTGCAGAGAAAGGAGGAGAGGAGTCATTTCTCTTATTTCAGACCCACATCATCCTGTCGTTCTGTTGCTCGTGCGGCTTTTTGAGTCGAACCCCGAGCGTTTCAATCAGGTAGGAGGTATTTTGGACTCACCTGATTGGCTGTGTGGGGTCGCTCCTCGCCATTTTCTGCTCGATGGGGATCTGCTCCCATTTGAAGTGCAGACTCCAGTCAAATCCTGAAGAGACAAATAAGTAAAACATCTGTGATTGTCCAATCTTCATGATTTTATCTACAGTTTGTTTTGTTGAAATCTTCACATCGTCCTCCTCCTGAACTTTTCCTCCACAGGGATGAAAATCTGTAGTTGAATCTCTCCTGGGGTTTGACTTTATCTGGCAGGAATCACGATGGTTTTCCTTGACTGCAGCTGTTATTGTGTGTTTGTGTGTGTGTATTTGTGTGTGTTTTGTGTCCTAACCTCCTCTCAAGTCGGCAGAAGCGGCCAAGTAGGCGAAGTTATCCAGGCTGATGACGTCGATGATGGGGCTGACCACTCGGGTGTGATCCTGCAGAAGAAGAGGACAGACGAGTTTTATCTGAGCTGCTTTATTTTTTTTTTACTTTCTTAGTTTTTCTTCACCGACACGCCGCACAAACTCTCTAGACTTCGCGAGGATCAAAGTCGTAGAAATTTACACGCAGATGCGCTCTTGTGTGTTACTGATGTAAAACAGTTCTTAAAGGTGTGGTAGGCAGGAAACCGTTGGAGAAGTATCTTTTTTTGTGGTGTATTTACAAAAAACCTTTCAATATCAGTCAAAAGCTTTTCTCGAGTTGCGCTGTATTTTTAAATGAATGAAATAAAAAAATAATAATAATAATAAGTAAATAAATAAAGATTATGCAAATCGGCCAATAAAACCAAACCTTTGTGTCTTGCTTCCAAACTTTTATTTTATTTTTTTGTTTTTTTGTTTCATTTCTGTTAAATCACGTCGATAAGTCGATCTTCTCTTTAGATTTTCTCAGTTTTTTATCTGTTTTTTCATATATTTTCACATTTTCATAATCTCAGTAATCACTCTGTTTTAGTTTCTTTTTTTCCAGATCAGTTTTTTTTAAATTTTACGACATTCTTACGCCGTAACAAACGCTCACATTGTGCAAAACTAAACAGCAGTGACTGAATCTAAACAGTTTATAATAAATTTATCGAAGAACAAACTCTGGACTGTTGAAGGACCTCCTCCTCCTCCTCCTCCTCCTCCTGCTGATCTAACCTGACCCCAAAAACAAACACTGAGCGGGTCGACAAAAGTTGATCACTGATAATGTGTCTGTGTGTCTGTGTGTTTGTGTGCATCTGCCTCTGGTTGTGGGTCTGTGCCAACACTGCTGTTTACCCATGAGGCATCTGCGTGTGTGTGTGTGTGTGTGTGTGTATATGTGTGTGTGTGTGTGTGTGTATATGTGTGTGTACCAGGTCAGGACAAACTAAATGAGTGTTTCCAATCGGAGCCGTCACAGACTGAACCTAAATGAACTCTGCGGCTCCAACGAGAGAGAGGCGAGAGACGACACTCTGCAGGAGAGCGATTTATCAGAGCGGAGCCGCAAACGCAGACTCACTGAGGTTTTAATCGTCCTCTTTTATTTGGTGATACCGCGTTAAAAAAAAAGGCGCCTTCCCAAGATGGATGTCACTCTTCACTCTGTGGATTTATCACTGTGTCAAAAAGCTGTAATTTCCTCTCTCTGTACATCTGTCTGTTTTAATGTAACCCATAAAAACTCTGATTTACAGCCTGCAGGGAAAAAAAAGCAAACAGACGGCGTGAAGTAAAATAAGAGATAAATACTCCAAACCCAAATGTGTCGCGTGCAGACTGAATTTCACGGCTGGGAAACGCTCTTTGACGTGTGCAGATCTCATCGCCCAGAAATGTCACATCAGTGTCTGAGTAAGAGACGAACAGAGGACACACTGTCTGCATGAAATCGCTGAATCATTTCTTTCTGCCTCAGACAGACGGAGTGAGGAGATATTTCCTTGAATGTGGCGCAGATCGGAGCTCATGAAAGGGAAGAGGAGGATGTTCGCCTTCGCCAACGCCGGCGAAGCTGCAGTCTGCACCCTGACGGAACGGGAGGAGATCTGCATGGTGGAGTTTTTCTCTGATGATGAAAAGTTGTGTTTGAACTTCTAAACTCTCTAAAAAACTTTCCAAAACTTTCAAGGCGAGCTAAGACTGATGTCAGGTGGTGATTTGATAGATTTGAGTCTCTGCTGAAGTCACCGATCATGTCAGGAGTTGATATTTTTGCAGAATAATTTCAGTTTCTGCAGCGAATGAAATCTGAGCGCTACATTTGCATGAATTTCCCTGCAGGTGTTCTGGGTTCGGATATTCACACATGCAGAGGGGATGGACGAGGCGATAAGAGAAAGCCTCCGGGCGCAGCTGCATAAAAATCACTCCAGCAGACGCCGTGTGATTGGCCGAGGAGGAATAACGCCGAGGCCGAGGTGAGGCGAGCTCGCCAACCCCCCGAAGGTTTGATTACTGGTTCTGTGAAGGACATGAGCGGTGTGGAAAACAGAACATCTAAATTATTGAACGGCTGAATCGATACGTTTGTCATTGATTGGGATGATTCACGTGGGCCCAGTTTGGGAAGCTGGATCAGACCCAGATCAGCCATCAGGTTTCAGACTCGGTATAGACTCAAGACCTCAGCAGTGTGTCATGAACCCAGGACAGAGGCCTCTGACGGCAGTCTAAATCCAGGATGGAGGGTGCAGACGAGCTGGTGAATTATCACAGAGCCCGGCGCTCTCGTGAACACCAGACTGAGAGATTGTAATGCGAGCCGGATGAGTCACAGCTGCCTCTGGGAGCTCGGAGGATGAGTGTGTGGATCGCATCCACGCTGAGAGCGAGTGTATAAACGACGTGCATAAACTCTCCGAGTGCTGAGTCTCCTGAATAAAACATTTAGGGGAGTTTGTCGGGTAGAGACTTCTGCATATGTGGTTTGAATATCAGGTTTATCGCATGGAGGGATTTTGAGTGAGGTTGTTTCTGTGTGAGCGAACAGCCTCGGTAACCTTCAACAGGGTTTAATATTCTGGTAATGAAGCTCTTTGTCTCTATTATTCGGATTTTTACCCTCTCATGAAGGTGGGATTAGACGATGGCGGTCTTACCATAACATAAAAACTTAAAACTGGAGGAAACAGCCGTCCTGAATCTGCAGATAAGTGACAAAATCATTTTCTATCTGAGCTGCTGCAGCTCTTCCTGAAAGTGAAAGCAGCAGATGAACGAATGTGGCACACTGCAGCAGGCCGAGGCTGAGTGTCAAGGCTTGACTGATCTGAAATGAAACAGCTCCTGCTGCAGAGTCAGTGGGAACATCGGCCCTGCGGTCTGAGATGATGGCAGCAGATCTGGAGCAGCAGCTGCGCCGGTCTGAGCCCAGTCGCAGGTTTGTTCTAACATCAGGGGAAGGAGGAGAGCCAGAAAACAGCTCAGGACCGCTGCGATGAAGGTCTGTTTCCACAGCTGCACAGCTCTCAATCTACTTACCAGACATCTATGTTTCAGTAAATGTACCAGCTACATGTCTGTTAATCATAAGACCACAACCCTAAATACAGTGAATGTGTAAAACAGATTTTTAAGGTTTAACCTATCCTTAAAATCTAACTGAAAACAGTGTAAAGACAAAGTATCAGAGCTGTTTTTATTAAGAATATACATATGTTTGTTTTTTTATCCTGGTGACAGAAACATTTTAAATTATATAATGTAAAAAAAAAACACACTAATGAAAATCTAAAGATCATGAAAATCTGAGTGTCTAAAGTGTTAAGATGAAAGTTGTTTTATCCCTCTGTGAGAGACTTTGTGAGTAAATATGTCCTGATACAATATCAATATTGGATATCAGTCCAATAAAGCAAAAAAATATCCAATTATATCGGCCTGCATCTAAAATCTCTGATATCAGCACTCTGATACAAGAAGAACATTCCAGACTCCAGACTACAATATCGGTATCAGCCAATACTGACGGCTACAATATAGGTATCATCTAATACTGAAGGCTAAAATATCGGTATCAGCCAATTTCGAAGGTCTCGCCCGATACTGACGGCTACAATATGAGTATCGGCCAAAACTAAAGGCTACAATATCGGTATTGTATCATCTAAAACTGAGGGTATAATATCGGTGACGGCAGACACTGAAGGCTACAATATCAGTATCGGCCAAAATTGAAGAATACAATATCAGTATCGGCAAATACTGAAGGCTACAATATCGGTGACGGCCAATACCAAAGGCTAAAATCGGTATCAGCCAATACGGAAGGCCATTGGTTTGACCAATATCTGTATCAGTCAATACTTAAGGCTCAAATATCAGTATCGGCCAAAATTGAAGAATACAATATCAGTATAGACTAATTCTGAAGGCTACGATATCGGTATGGTATCAGAAGTAAAAAAGTTGCATCAGGACACCCAAATGTGTGAGAAAATAGTTCAACAGTATCAGGATATCATTAAAATATACAGTATTACAGGACCTCAGAAACATGGACTCACTACCCCACTTTAAATCCAAACTCAAAACACACCTATTCCAAATTGCATATTCACTTTAACTGTCCACTTTTACAGTTGTATGTTGTTTTTATTTATTTTAAATATGTTTCTAACTGTGTTTTTATGCCCTGTACAGTGTCCTTGAGTGTTCAGAAAGGCGCTTTTAAATAAAATGTATTATTATTGTTATTAAATCTGTCTGTGGAAAACACTGCATTAAAAACAGACCTGACTCTGTAGTGGAGGTCACTGCATGGAGTCACAATCACTTTGTTTTAACATGATTCAGAACAGATTACAACAGCGTGGCGCTGTAGTAGAAGAGTCCTGACGTGACCCGTCCATTAAAAACATCACGACACAGAAACTGAGACAAGTCCAGGAACTGGTCCCTCTCAGAGGTTTTCAGGGTCCTGTTAAAAACAGAGGCCCACGTTTCTAAGACTGTTCGGTGCCGTCAAATACAGACAAGCTCACACTGGGTTTGAATGCAAACATCCACATCTGTTCTTAATCCACATGTTACACAGCAGCTCTATAGAGGTTGTGTGTTCGGATTGTGTTCTTGTGTGACTTTAAGAAACCATCACAGGAGAGCGCTCTGTAATAACAGCATCTGTAATAACAGCATCTGTAATAACCGCCCCGTGGTGATACCAGAGAAATCAAAAATCCCAGAGAGGATGGATTTGCATTTCCTCTCCGCTCATGTCTTGAATTGAGACACATTCATGCCTGGATGTGGTCTTACAGCCCCCGGTGGGCGGCTTAATTTAATTAAAGATACGGTGAATGTGGAGAATCTTCCCACCGCATTAAAATAATCAAACAAAGAGCCCGGCGTGGAGCCGGAGGCCGGAGCGATTCTGTCACTGTGAACAACAAGAACACAAAACAGACCTGCGAGCTCAGGATGGGAAAAAGGCAGCAAGACTGTTTCTGTTTCCAAGTGGACTGTGACATCTGCTCCGACTTAAAATCTGAGCCCAACATACGGAGTGTTTATTCAACGACATGTGAGGCCAAAAAAGTGACATCACGGCCAGTAAAAGCAGCATGAAAAGGAGCAAAACTCGCCAACAGAGCGCGTCAGAAACACACGCATGTATGTGAGCGTGTGTGTGTGTGTGTGTGTGTGTGTGAGCGTGTGTGTGTGAGTGTGTGTGAGCGCTGCTGGCAGTGTTGATGAGGTGTCGAGCTGCAGAGTGCGAATGACGGCAGGCGGGGAAGCTTGTGCGTCCGTACCTCCTTGACTCGCTGGATCATCGGCTGCAGCCAATCAGAGTTGACTTCGCAGTGGCTGTCCAGAAAGGTCAAGATGGAGGCCGACGCCGTGTTGGCTCCTCGGACGCGTGAGCGGATCAGACCTGAGGGAACGAACAAAAAGATTTTATTTATCAGATGTTGTTGCTGTGATGCACCAAATCTCTCCTCCTCAGCTGTTTCTATAGTAACCTGTTTTTCACTCAGGTGTGAACGAGTCGCCGCAGGTAAGAATTCTTCACTATCACTATTTTGTCAGAAAGCACCAACAGATAAGTGTTGAAATGATGTGAAATTATCTGGGTATCGGACTTTTTCAGATTATGTTCTTTGTAGGGCTGGGCGATATGTCCTCAAATCAATATCACAGTATATTGATCAGTTCACCTTGATAACGATAAATAGACGATAACTACTCCACAAGCTGCTCACCCCCTCCCACATTAACTTCGTCTACTTCAGCCGCTACAACTTTTGAACCGTCCTCCATCTCCTCACCGGTCTTTCCCTCTTTGTTACAGACTGGATGGGGTGGAGTCACGTCTCTGAGACCATAGCCTACCTTCACACATCCAAAACCAACTTTTAGTTATTTTTTTGACACCAAATATACTAATATGGGCAAAAGGATGTTGATTAATGTCGTAAATTTCGGTATTGGTAAATTTTTGGTTGATCGCCCAGCCCTAGTTGTTGGTTTTTCGTTTAATGGTCACAGCAGTGAGTACAAATCCCTGTGTTTGTGTGGAGGGTGATGCTGTCGTCATTTTCCCCGTTTTCAGAGAGATATCAGATTTGGTGTTTTCAATCTGTTTTTTTAAGTTTAAGCTAAAAAGCAAAAACAATCGACTGATTTTAACATTTTATTCTTCATTAAAAAGCCTCTTTCACATAAAAAAACTGATCACAGGTATCTAAAAGCCGCTCATATGTAAAATTTCTTCATTTTTTACTCCTCTGCATTTTCGCCCACTTGAAACTGTATATTAATATAAAAAATCCCAGAATTATGAGGAAAAAAAAGCGCTCATTAAACACATTTTTTTCCCCGTGTTTCTGTGATATTTACATTTGACTTTGAGGCGGAAAAGCTTCTTGAAAAACAAGCCGACCCTTTGAAACGAAACGTGATAATTGGATTAGTCTGAAAGAGAAACCAGACCGTGTCTTTTTTACTTTCGCCCTGCAGAGACAGCGGTGTAGAAGTAAAAAAAACAGGCCAAAAAGTGTTCGTTCAGAGCTGGAGGAGGGAGATATGTGGAGGACTGATAATTAAAGGTGCATTCCGTCATTAAAATCGATCTCTAAGGGAGCTGAGGATGAGGCGTGGACTCTTAGATAAACACACGTCCTCTTACAGACGAAGATTTTGATATTTGGAGCTTGATGTGCAGGTCAGGTTTTAATGAAGAGGATCTCTTCGTCTCTCTTTAACGTCTCGCATCGTTTAGAGAAGGTGAAAAACAACAGATTTATTCACGCTCTGCAGACACACAGTCTTTAGGGACGGAGTGAAAACTGTTGAGATGTTTTAAGATCAAACTCCTCGGAGATGCAGCTTGTTAGGAGGAAGATCAGACAGACTTTATGTGGAGAATATAAAGGAGACGGGTGCGGGGAGGTTCGGCTCTGCAAACAGAAAATAAATCGGCATTAAACTCCGTCCCGCTAAAACATTTGTAAAAGTGTTGTTTCCTAAATTCAAAGGCTGAAGTTTGCAGCTTTCAACATGTTTGTTATTGAGGAGATCAAAACCAACACCGTGTTCGTCTCCTCTGTGGTTTCTGCTAAAGACAACAATCTTTAAAACAACTCAGAGTTCAGTCTGTTTTACTCCAGAAAGACTTGAAAGAGTTTCACTCTGTAGCTTTGAGCAAAAAAAGAGAAAAGTTCGGATTAATCTGAGTCTTTCTTTTTCATCTCTGCGTTTGTCTGTTTCTGTCAGAGCGATTCAAAAACTCCAGCTTCAATTTTCAGAGGTAAACATCTGACTACGTAATAAATTAAAGTTCCTCTGAAGGGTTTGAAGCCAGAAAATACAGCGTGGTATTAAAATGTCTGCATTTTTATTCTCGTCAGCGTAAAGTCTGACGGTTTTATAGACTTGTTGTTCCTGATGTCTTAAACTGCTGGACTCTGCTTCAACAGCAAAGATCCTCAGTCAGCCGTACATGTGTAGGAATAAACCAGCAGAGGTAACAGGTATCAGTTTGTCCACAGGGGACGCCAGATACAGCACACACATTCTCACAGGAGTGCACTTTCTTCAGCGTAGGACACGAGGCGGACAGCAGCTGTTTGTTTAACCAAATAAACTCCATGACTTAAGCATTAATTTCTTTTCTTGTTCTCTTTACTGAACGGCTGCTGTTGTTTTCGTAAACTGCTTACAGTCGGCTGGGTGAGTGGCGGACCGGCGAAACCATGTTCTCTTGAGTCAAACTTGAGGAGACAGAAGGCGTTCTCAAACCACATGACCATAACAAAGCGAGACAGCCAACTGCAAGCTTCTTTTTACATGAACGGAAAAAGAACGATTTCTTTCTTTTGGTGACCTAAAGCCTAAAATGCGAAACATATATACGCTACATTTTATACATGACGGTAATTCTTAACCTTTTTTTTTCTTACTCTCCTGGATTTCATGTCATTGATCGGCCTTCATTTTGAGAACTCTGATCAAAAACTATTACAGGCATATCAGCAGATCTAGATCGGCGCCGATCAGATCGGAACATCCTCAGTGACCATATCCTGAATCCCTAAATAGAGGACACTACTACAAAGAGTCACAAAGTAACGCCAAGTTAATTTTGAGAGTTGTTCGGGCTGGGTCAAGTGTTTTTTACGCGCTTCTAACTCAGTAAGTCCATGTGACACAAACTCAAAACTTCCATTCAAAACCCCGGACATTTAAAGGATTTTATAAACTCCCCCAGACATGCCGGACAGCCCCCCAAAAAGAGGACATGTCCGGGTAAAAGAGGACATACGGTCACCCTACTTATCAGCATCTCTAGAGCTGGAAATCACACCTCAAAGAAACAAGGGTGGTGGGTTTTTCCTCAAAATGGACCTAAACTATTAGAGTTTGGTAGAAACAGAAGTACCGCCCCTTCTCGAGTCTGGTGGAGTGACTCTCACTGTTTCAAACTGAGCGTGAACAGAGAGGACATTTCTGCACCCAGGATGAAAACTTTGCTTCATTTTAACCGCAACCAGTCAGAGACAGGAACAAATGACTGTATAAGTTTATTAAAGGGGCTTCAAAAGTTACCCCAAAACTGACTCAAATTAAACTTAATAAGTCCAATAACCGGAAAGCTTAAACTCCACGATTCAAACTTAAAAACAGCAAAATTCAGGTCTGATATTAAACCGGCTAACATCATCATCCCAGTGACTGTGTGTCCGTTTGTTCTCTCAAACCTCACGCTGAAGCTTTTGGACACATTTAAAGGGAAAAGTCGATTAAAGCCTGAAGCTGCGACACCATTAATGAATCGATCCTCAAAGTGACCCCGGCTGCAGCTCCTCCTCTCTTTTCGATCACATCTGAAACTCTCTGACTCCACATTCAGAGGTTTTTTTTCTGTCCTGATATTCGAGACTTCTCGGTAAACTTGAGCTCATTTTCGCTCAGACGACACAGTCGGGAACAGTCGGCCTGAATCCAATATGTTGGTGTTTTGTCAGCATGTGGTGGGTAAGCCCAAACAAAGTCTTCAGTCAGCAGTGAGACACAACAACAACAACACACACAGACACACACAGACACACACACGCAGCAGCAGCAGCTTCCTCGGTAAGCAGGAGGGATTACCGACAGACACCCAAACAAACTGCTTTTTGTTGGCAGAACTTTTCATTTGTGGGTCAAGGATTTCATCTAAACCAGGATTCGTTTCATTCAGGAGCGTTTTTACAAACAGAGGAAACCTCACACACTTTACTCAGACTGGTTGGTCTTTCACGACTCTATTATGTGGGATCGAGTCCAACATGAACACCTTTTCTTGTGGTCTTCAGAAACTGTTTGCTTTCTTCATCAGAGAAAAAAAAAGTCTTTTTTTTTAGGATGGTTCTTTGAGGTAGCTCGAGTTTTCCCTGAAGAATCTGTCAGTTTCTGAACTCTCATTTTAAAGTATTGCAGCTGACAGTCTGTCATTTCTGATCTGAGAGACGTTTTCAAACTTCTTTTTAATCACGCAATCTCAGCGGACACTTTAATGGACAGCTGAAACAGTCAGTAAGCAGAGAGTACAGTTATATGGTTTCTCCTAAAACATGCTGGAGGCGTATTATTGACTGAAACATTCACAGAGATTCACGTCTGAATGACCTCCAGTTTTGGGTCGCTGAATACAGAGGAGGAGGTTTTTAAATCACGGCCTCGTCATTATTTTGTGCTGACTTTCTTGTACTCGCAGTAAGGCTGCAGATTATTGATTTGTTAACATCTCTTACTCTGTACTGTTAGATTAGACTGAATGTTTGCTTTCTTGATTGCTTTGTGGGCAAAGAAATAGTCAGAAACACTCTGTAGGAGCCAAAATATATTTGTTTAGGATATGATTCCTAGATACGTCACTTCTGGGGATCGCCACTGAGGGGTGTGGTTATGGGATGTTTGGTTTTGGGATGTTTGGCAGATTATTTAAATCTCACCAGTGTAGTCAGATAGTGGGTTTGGTAAGCTCTGATAATTTTCTGTTGACCATTTTTCATCGTTTTTCACCGTTTCACTCACCCTGTTTTAATCTCATTTCAGAACATCACCTTTTCATTTGAAGGCAAAGTTTTGGACCCGGATCAGCGTGTTTTCTTTTCTTTTTGAACGATAAATCACTTTTTTAACGCTCAAAACGGACTGATAATTAAACGAGTCACAGATGCAAGTGAACCTAAACCTCAGTCACTAAATACTCTTGGTCCTGAAACAGTCAGTAAGCAGCCTGTTTGCTCAGAGAGTACAGTTATACGGTTTCTCCCAAAACATGCTGGAGGTGGATTATGGACTGAAACATGGCCATGATGTGAAGAGCTCACTGGAAAATAAACGCTGTGATTGCAGCCACTCAGTTGGTGTAAGTTACTGAGGTTAGACTCCTACCCCTAATTTCCACCACATCTGGAACAGCTAAGAAAAGGCTGTATCTGCCGATAGTAGCTGATCGTAACCATTCAAGTTAACGTGTCAATTTCCACCGGCTTCTTTCTGTTCCTCTGCGGATCACCAGACTCTGCTGATCGCAAAAGTTCTATTTTCTCAAGACGCCAGAGCATGCAGGATAAATTCAGCACAGATTAATCCGTGCTGGAAAGGAAGTCGGGCACAGACACAAAATAAAACATCTGTCTTCTTTTCAAAATAAAACACTCCGTGTTTCAGGAAGATCGTCTTTCACACCATGCAAACGGGCAGAGACGGACAAGTAAAAGGTTTTCAGATTTAGATTCAGAGCCGTTCTGGATGTGGTGGAAATTAGCAGTTAGTCCAGATTTAGACTTTAGATTTAACTCTTCGAAAGTCTGGGGCAGGTTGAAAACTGGTGTAAACTGGCGGTTCAGACTTTTTTATATCCTGTTACAACCAAATTTCAACGTCACAATCAGACTGGGAGCATCTGGAGGTTTTACTGTGTCTGATTCAACAACAGCGTCTGTTTGTTTAATCGTCTTTTTTACTCTCTAAAGGCTCGTAACATCACTGTGAGGTAATAAGACGATAATAGAGGGATAATAAATACATTATTACTCCGATAGAAGCTTTGTTATTATCAAGACAGGGGTAATATCATATTATTACTTATGTATTATGTTTAGTATTACCTATTCCCTCTTTTAATCTATATAATCGTGGATTATTGAGGTTTTCTTGCGTTTAAATCTGGTTCTGAGGATCCCTCTGCAGCAGGTGAGAATAAATCAACTTGCTTTTTTATTTAAATTCCTCCTTAATTATGTTTCGACCGAGACGTGGGCTCAGATTCCAGCTTGTAAAGGACTGTTTTATAGCTTACCGTACCTTATAGATGCAGTCCTCAGAGTCCAGTCGACTTTCATTAAAATAATCTGTTTTCTCCCCCCCTCCCGTCCCTCTCTCCCCGGTCTCTGCACACTCACCCTCTCTCCTGCCGTTCCTCAGGCAGCGCACTTTGGGGATCTGAGCGAGCAGCTGGCAGTCCTCAGCTGCAGAGGAGAGAAGAGGAGGAGAGGAGAGAGGGATGTTATGGTGTTATAGAGGCAGAAAAACATCTTATTCTCCTCATGCTCTCGTCTCACACTCCGCCGCTCACACACCCAAAAACACACACCACACTGCCACATGGAATTAGCACGCATACACCAACACAAACACAGTCACACGAGGAGATATTCACAGTTTCACATAAACACCCCCGGGAAAGGCTGCTTACACGGCGCTACGACATGACCCAAACACACACACACACAAACACAGCATCCAGCAGAGCTCCGTCACAATCAGAGACGTAAACACGGGGAAACAAAAGAGCTTCATTTCACTGTATAATGGGATTCAAACTCTGCTTTTTCCATAAACAAATCCAGAGAGCAGCAGCTTACTCTCTCCATCTACGCCCTGTTTCTACACGGACATCTGTTGGTGCTCTCTGCTCTTCAGAAAGAGAAAAACTTTAATCTGGATTAATGTCAAAGTTTTGGTTAATTTGATGGGTTTTTCGTCCTGTCTATGAGAAATTTTAAATTGATACAAGCAGATATGGTTAAAAAAAGTTGTGTAATCCTTAAAAAAGAGGTTCTGGAGAAATCTCTGCACAAAGGAGACGAAGCTGATCTTAAGACTCTCAGGTGTCACTGCATTGAAAACAGACACGACTCTGTAGTGGAAGTCACAGCATAGGGCTCTAAATCACAAATACAGTCCATAACATACCATGCAAAAGGAAGCCATATGTAATAATAATGAATCTGTTAGTAGAAGACTTTAAATTTAAAGGGATATTACCGCTATTACTATTATAACACCGAGTTAGACACCCCCTCCAGAGATGAATGTTGTCGACCGCTTACTTCTCTAGTTAAACCAACTTTAGTAACGACCGCAGGATAGCAATACAGAGAGCCACGCACTCAACCAAAACGCCACTCTATAGCCACAAATAATGTTCAGAACAGCACCTAACTTCATCAACAGGACATATAGGGTCACAGCCATAGTACTAGACACCAAACAACTTTTTAGCTTTGACTAATTTCTTTAGCAAAGAGACCTCAGAACAGCACCTCCATGACGGACTACAGCGGGGTGCCGCAGCTCAAGGAAGAACATTTATGATCATTTCTTTATCATATCACCAAGTAATAATCACCATATTAATCATTTTCACTGCAGACGCGGTAGTTCTTCTGCCTTAGCAACTCGGTCTGATTGTATTTCCATGAAGAAATGATCATAAATGTTCTTCCTTGAGCTGCGGCACCCCGCTGTAGTCCATAATGGACTGTCCTGAGGTCTCTTTGCTAAAGAAATGAGTCAAAGTTAAAAAGATGTTTGGTGTCTAGTACTATGTCTGTGACCCTATATGTCCTGTTGATGAAGTTAGGTGCTGTTCTGAGCATTATTTGTGTCTATAGAGTGGCGTTTTGGTTGAGGGCGTGTCTCTCTGTATTGCTATCCTGCGGTCGTTACTAAAGTTGGTTTAACTAGAGAAGCAAGCGGTCGACAACATTCATCTCTTGAGGGGGTGTCTAACTCGGTGTTACGGTGTGTTTGACACTGAATTAATTTTACGCTGGAATATCCCTGTAAGACTCTCAGGTGTCACTGCATTAAAAACAGACACGACTCTTCAGTGGAAGTCACCACATAGGGCTCTAAATCATAGATACAGTCCATACCAAACCATGCAAAAGGAAGCCATAATGAATCTATTCATAGAGAACTTTCAATTTTAGTGCCTTAAATAAAAATTTCGCTCATCAAGCGTCTTTTCTCGACCTTTGGGACACTTAGAAAAACCGGTCCTCCGGCCCTGCAGGCACACGTGAGCTCACAAGGTAAGAGGTCAATCTGGTTCAGAGACGCCAACAACTGCTCCAGACCTGATCCTCGCTAAGATGGACTGAGACAGAGTGAAAAAACGGTCTTGTAGTCTGATGAATCAAAGTTTGACAGGTGGGCGGTGCATCTCTGGGGTCTAAGCATGTACAGAGGTTATGGTTCATGTTTAATTCCTGATTCTGCGGGGATTATTTTTGGGGCATCATGAAAAAAAATATGAATAAAGAGACTCTGAAGTGTTTTCTTTAAATCCATGTAATTTATGAGTTAATTCTCCGCCCTGGTGTGTCTGAAGTCGACTCTCAGACATCATAACAAACAACCTTTAAACACAGGTACTCTCACCCACCACTGAGAGGATTAGCATTAGCAGCAGACACTGATCTCGCTAAAGGATTGTGGGTAGATCAGGCAGACCCCGGTCCCCGAGTCTTTTCCCGCCGCGGTACCGACGAAAGCCGAGAGAGAGACGAGCATGACACGCTGTAATCCTCCGTGATTACATTTGTGCTGTTTACAAACCTGTCTGTTTGTGTTTAAGCCGCCATCGCAAGAGACGCGCGCGTGTGTGTGTGACAGCGAGAGCAGGTGTGTATTAGTGCTTTAACAGCGCTCATAAGGAGAGGACAGCTGGTGTGTGTGTGTGTGTGAAGAGGAGGGAGAGGGGGTTTAACCATTCAGGGGAGAAGAGCAGAAAGTCACAGATCACTCCCACGGAGCAGATGCTCTCTATACTCTTAACCAGATTGTGTGTCTGTTGGTCCATGTGTGCGTATCATTACATGCAAATCAACTGTTTCCTGTTTTAATCCACAATTTGAATGTTAACTAAATAAATTACAAGTCTTAAAGAGCCAGACGACACTTGAAAGTTCAGAGATTCAACTCCTGTGACTAGAAAATGTTTCAGCAACGATCAATCTCGAGGTAAAACAACTTGTGGTCGTTTTCCCGTCAATATTCAACCCTCCAGGTCGTTCATTCCTTAAACTCGAACTGTGCGTCTATTCTCGTCTCCACACAATAAGTGTCACACGCTGCCGTCTGGACTGGAAGTAAAGATCGCCGTCCGTGATTAAGAGCGGTGTCCTCATGATTAAGGCGAGCCTAAATAGGATTACGCTCAGCGCAGGTCTATCCCCTCTCGCTCCCGCTGACCGACATCTCAACGCCGACCCCTTCAGCCGGCTGTCCGTCTGTAAGCTCTCGCACTCTCACTGCCTCACCTGACCACCTGTCCCAGCAGAACCAAGAGGAAGGTTATCTGTTAATCCTGAACCTGAATCCAGAGACCACCTAATAAAGGAAGAAAAACTCTCGACATGATCGTAATCGTGTTTCCTTTTCTGCTTAAAGCTTTAAAAACAACATGATCTCCAAGAAAACGAGACAGGATCTATTAACATCATTCAGTGACTCCAGGCTTTAAAGAGCACTTTCGCCCTCCTGCTGTTTAACTCCAGAGTAATCAGCAGTTTTATTTCGCACTTCCTCGCAGGGACTACTGAGGCGTTTATTGAAACAAAGCTCTGGAAAGTGGAAACACGGCGAGACCGCTGAGACGAACCCGGAGAAGCAGAACGGTCGGCTTTAAGTTGGTGTAGTCAGGATCTGAGGAAGTCCCAGTTTTCAGGAGAAATCTTGGATGTAAACTCTACCCCTCCCAACCAGTTTTCCCCTCAGCTCCTCCTCTCCCCTCAAGCCCCGCCCACAAACAGACGCTCCTGCTCGCTCGTATCGTTCCAATTAAATTCAGATATAATGCAGATAAATACTTCAGGGTGAAAGTCAAAAGCATTGGTGCTACTGTAGATGCCAACAGACTACCAGCAAACACAATGTTTGCAGGACTTCTACAACGAGGATAAAGTGACATAGTCCAGGACCCGAGGGAGGACAGTTTAGCGATGGCGCTACAACTTGCTACAGCAGGTCCGCTTGACAAGAAACACTTCTGTTACAGACACTTGTCTTACTTTGTTAAAGCGGTTTACCTGTCCAGCAGAAAGGTTACAGGGTCACCAAGATCCCCAAGCGTCCCCCATCGTTTATGTTGACCCATTTGGCTTTCTCCTTTTTCGCCTTTTAGCTCTTGTCCGGTCTACCTCCGTTTTAAGCGCCTGTTATTCCTCCAGAGTCTCTGGTATTTACTTTGTTTTCTTGCTTGTGTCGGCAGTCGTGGCCAAAGGAGGATTCAGACAATTTTCCGAACTTTCTGGTTGGTTTCTACTGTCCGATATTGTAGCACGCTAACTTTGTTTGGGCTCCTGAACGATACGGGGGGAGCAGCGTCTACCTCACAACCAATCAGGTTAGAGGAGGTGGAGAATGGCTTTGTTTGAAATTTTTAAATGTTGACGACACAGGTAATGCTGCGTTCTTGGAAGTCAGATGTCGGACCTGAAAATGACGCATTATCCGAGTTACCAGCGTTTCAGTTTCCAAGTCAGAAATTGGAGGCAGAAACAAGATGGCTGCATCGACGAAAGTTATTTCAGCGCTCGCCTTGTCCGTGTTATTTTCTGTCAAGGCACACAGCGATATCGTTGTATTCCCAAATGTCATTAATAACTAATATCTATTGATTGATATTGATATTAAATACACCACGAAAAAAAGATGCTTTTTTTAAACGGATTCCTGCCGACCCCACCTTTAAAGCCACAAACCGGAGAAGGAGGAGGAGTTTCCACGACAATTAATGCTGAAAAGTAAATCTAAAAGAAGCATCAGGCTAAACGCCAAAAAACTCGTTAATTAATCCGTGTTTCCGCTGTGAGCTCATCGTGGTGTTAGCTGAAGGTGTATTCAGGTATCCCGGCTGCAGCAGAGGGAGCGTAAACGGGGCATTAGTGAGCTAATCGAGCTCCGACTGCTGCTGCTGCTGACGCTGAGACTTTAATGTTTAGATGTCTGGCCAGCTCTGACACCCATGAGTGTGTGTGTGTGATCCGTGTGTTTGTGTGTGTAAAGCACGCACACACTGAATGTAGGTCATTGAGAAGATGCATGTGGTGGTAATTACAGGACAGCGTGAGCTCATGTAATTCTCCGGTTTGAGGCTGACAAAGAGGAATAATTACAAAGCTGTGGTTTTTCTGTGCTGGTAAATAAAACACACTTTTTTATGGGGCAATTAACTGATCGGTCTCTAAATGTCAGGGTCAATTAGCCTCATTATTTGTACTTATATGAAAAGGAGCAGTTTCTTCATGGTGGTATCAGCTGTAGCTGATACCACACCGGATGGTTCAGCTTCTTCTGGTTCGAGATAAACTGAGCTCTGATTCAGACTCTGCTCCTCTGTGATATCGGACACCGGCGTTACCCGTCTTCAAAGCCTCTCCTGTCTCTCCTGCCGTGTCCCGCCTCCTCCTCCGTTTTTCCTATAATTTGGCCTCCTTGTTTGCTGGAACATTCCTGTGTGATATTTGCTTCACACATATTCAGAGCAGATGGCAGAATGAGAAGAGCTTAACACCTGGCACCGAGGGCTGAAGCTGGGATTTAGAAACGCAGAGACTCAAAATTGTGCCCACGGGAGTTTTTTTGGTTTTTTTTGAGAAGCCACCTCTGCGTATAGAGATGCAAATTTAACTCTGTACATCATGGCCTAAATACGGTTTAGAAGGACCAGTGAAAAGAAAGTGAATATCTAACAAGAGCTTCCTGGAAAGCCTGTGGCGGGTAGAGCATCAGCAGAGACCCCGAGGTGCTGAAGAGAGCGGGCGTCAGTGACAGGAGATCAGACATCATTCCAGTTCACATCAGAGCGTTTCCCCGTCCTGGGATAGTGCAGCATTTATTCTTTGTATCACGGTCTAATTTTCTTAAGTTTCGCATACTATGTGTGTCCACTTCTGACCAATCAGATTTCATGTTGTTGCGATGTCAGATTCACCGGTATATCCAACATGGCCGACCGGCTGATCGTTTACGTGTCGGAGAACAGAGTGATTTTTGATAAAAAACACAAACATTACAAAGATAACGACCTGAAGGACGACTTGTGGAGAGTCATAGCGTCGGATTTCTCATATGACGATGGTTTGTGTGCTTTAACAGTTTGATAAACGTCTTTGTTTTAACTTTCATCTGTGCTAAGTAACTTTAGCTCGTCAGCTAACCTGTTCAGATACAACATACCATATGTATTTTCACTGTAAACTCAAACTCAATCACAGCGTTGCTGTAACAGCATGTTTATGGATTATAGTTTAATGTGCTTATCTGGTACTGGCCCTGACTCAGTACATGCTATCATGACAGACAGACATCTCAACACTAGTGTCTAATCAGAACTGAAAAACACTCAGTCCGCTGTTGTGTTTTCTGTTTTTAGTAACTGCGGCATATGGTAGCTCTATTTTTTAAAGGAGTACCAATTCACCATCACTTGAAGTTGAAGTAGACTTTATTTTTGTCTTCTCGCTTTCATCCGGAACGTTGCAAAATCGCATCGCGCTTGATGTGTATAGTCAGGGGCGTCAAAATTGGCCTCCGAATATTTCGTAATTATGCGTCGTATATTTGCGTCGTTCCCGATGTGAAAGGATCTTAACGCACCAGGAAAAAGAAGTTTCTAATGTATAGCATCATTAATTCTATAATTGATTACTATATCCTACCACATTTATTTATTTACTTTATTTCATTATGTGTGTAAATATACATACATATGTAGTGTATACCTGTTATTCTATTATGAATTAACTTACTTATTTATCATTTTACTTTAATTACTTATTACTTTTTTCCTTTCCTGCCACCTCCTTTTTTCCTTTTTTTCCTTTTTTTATTTATTTTATTACTTTTTTTCTCTGCTCTATTATAATAAATAGTAATTATTTTTGTCATTTTTGTTAATTAATGACGCTTACTCTTTCTTCTTTCACTCTTTCCTCAACAAGTGTCACAATCTTAATCAAAAAGGGGATAAAGAGGGAACAATCTCACACACACACTTGACAACACACATAAAAACACCCACTCACCCACACTTAATTAAACACAGTCTTGTAACACTTTCTAAATGTACGTAAATATTATGTGTTCCTGCTGTATGTGTCACTTTGTCTTGTCTCCATTGTCTGTTTGCTCTGTATACATGTTGTCAACCACCTGTCATGATCAGTCCTGCACCACCTAATAATCATAATAATTAAAAAAGACATAATTGTGTGCCAGCTGGAGGCCTAGAAGGTAACTGGATGACCTGCCGGCTGATATGAGCTGGCAGGACAAACACCTGATTGACTGGATTGCGTTTGTGGTCCTGTCTGAAGTAATGATACACTTATTTAAAAATAAAGCTCTGCCTCAGATACTCTGTTAGCCTGTTTCCAATCAAAAGCTGAAGAGCGTCGGTGTCTTCTTTCAGATATTCAGCCCACATGTCTCATTCCTGTGATCATAAACCTCAAAGATTTCCACGTTTCCTCGGCACAAACAAAGCAGGAACTCACGGTCAGAGCTGAAGTCGTCAATTAAGACTATTTCTTGGATCAGGGATGGAGGACTCCTCGTCAGGGCGCTGGTGAGGAAACGAGAGAGAGAGAGAGATTTACGGAGGGATAAGTCGACGGCGGAGCTGCTGTCCGAGCGGGTCACCTGTGTTTGACCTCATTACCTTTTGATGGTTCGGAGGAGCGTGGAGCGAGCCTCGTTGTGGAAAGTGATGATGACGCTGGTGGAGGGGAGGTCGGTGTCATAATTCAGAGACGCACACCTGCAGAGAGAGAGAGAGAGGGAGAGACAGAGAGAGAGAGAGAGAGAGAGAGGGAGGGAGGAGATCATCCTGCAGTCAGAGCAGGTTTCACTCTCTTTCCTTTTATTATGAAGCTGACGGACAGACCTAATCCCTAAACACTCTCATTCTCCGCGTTGCCCTGTGGAGTTGCTTCTGCATTGTTGCCGTAGTGACACGGAAATATCCGGTTGCCGGGCAACCGTAGCACATATTCCTGACCCTGTGCTTTAAACAGCTACCTGTTGTTCGGAGCTTTTTAGCAGACATGGAGACGCAGACTTTACATCAGTGAATCAGATCATCTCACTCAATCACTTTCTTTATTTTATCTGGTAAAAAAGAAATTTAACAGAATAAAAAATATATTAAAAAAACACATTTCAAATCCTATCTTGCATCCAGATTGATAAAAAGTTCGGTCCGCACAGTCTGCGCAAAATATGAAATGTGCAACTTCCTTGTTGGTGATATCAAATGCAAGAAAACAAAGAGTGCGTACTAGCTATAACTCACATTTCTATGTCTGCCTACTCGCACAATATCTGTTGGTTTTCTATTTTAACATTTTCTGCACCATGTAGAGAAACTTTCAACATTAATCCTGCTGAAGAAGAACAGTGTGAGAAAGTGATCACAGATAAACAAATGAAATAAAAAAGAAGAAAGGCTAACGAGAAAATAAATGAAACTGATGGAAAATCTCTTAGAATGAGCAAAATAAGACGTACGTCAATGAATTTCTGTTTCAGTGAATCAAACACGAGGTTGTTTTCATCCTAGGAGTTGAATTCTTCACTTTTAATCACAGAAACTTCAGCTGAACACGATTTTCTTCATCCAAGGTTCAGCTCTGTCTGAGAAGCTTCATCTCAGTGAGTAAATTTCCTTTTATTTGACCTGGAGTTGTGATTTTCTTTAAAGTCTATACTGTTTTTAGCTTGTTTCATATTTTCTACACGAATCTGTGCAGGTGGAACTGCTGCCTCCTTTGACCAATCGATATCAAGAAGGGGCGGGGCTTCTGATGTCATTTTTTGTGCTAAAACAACACATTTTCTGTCCCTCCTGACACGCCTCCTCAGATGTTTCCTGCTCTTCTCTAAGCCTCCAGTCTGTGTCTGAGAGCTCCAGCTGAGCGTGAACCCAGGAGTCAGGACAACCAGGTTAAGACCTCCTCATGTAATCTCCCCTCCTGACCCTTGAACCACATTTGAGCGCAAGAACAGATTTTAAAATCCTCAATCTACACGCAGCTAAAAAAAGATTAATCCTGGATCTGATTTCGTGGATCATCATCTGGACTCAGGTGACCCCGCTCACCTGTAGTGTCGGGTATCTCTGATGGCCCGCTCGCTGCCCAGCCGGTCGCTCTCCTGCTGGTTGAAGGCGTGCTCTCTGTACGGATCATCCCCGGGTTTTAGCTGCTTCGCCGCCAGGTAGGTTTTCTCATCGAAGGAACCCAACAGCTGGCCCTGAACCTCCGGCCGCGGGGGCTGGGTCACCTACAGATGACACAAAACACACCTGTCACCACAAGAAGGAAACTTAAAGGCATGGTTGACGATTGAGGAGATTGGTCATTATTATGAACCTCGTTTCTATGGCGATCATGGTCATATAGTGCAATTTCCAAAAAGTGAAGAGAAGAAATAATGGAGAAAATCTGTTCACCCTACAGGTGCAGGGCTGCAAAAACATTGACCAATGGGAGCCATCTGACCCGGACGCAGATTTTTTTTGTAGAATGGTAGGGGAAAGTCCCGCCTCCTTCGGCTCTGATTGGCTAGAAAAGCTGGAAATGTCATCACGCGCTCAAGCCAAGCTGTCGGCTCTATACATCGAACAGAACGTTATCGCACTTCTGAATCTCCTAACCAACAAACAAGACAGACGATGATGTTTCACAGCCATAAGGAATAACCAATCGGAGCCCAGCACTTCTAGCCAATCAGAGGCTACCATCCTCCAAAAAAAATTGGACAGCTCCTATTGGTCAATATCCTGCTCCACCTCTCCATCCAATCACCTTGCTGTATTCGACACACCCCTCTCCCGTAGTTCCTACTCGTCCCCTCCCACTCTCCTGGCCCTCCTCAGAGCTCTGAGCGGCTAAAAGCAGCATAGCAGCTTAGCTACAGGAGCTGTGATGGAGAAGAACGAAAAAAAAAAACGAAAAAAAAAAAACTTCTGCAAGGAATCTAACTTGAGTAAACATCGGGTCATCCTTCGAGCGGTGCAGACAGACGCCGAGACAGCAGAGTTTTTGTTGAACAGGTCATTTTTATCGTCTTTTATCGTGGCTCATGTTACATAAATAACTCTGATTAGTCTCTGACATGTCAACACGGTAGCTGTCCAGGCAGCTGCAGACGGCGCTCGCTAGCAGAGCTGGCGTTTACAGCCACTAGTAGCTAACAATCAGACATGGTGAATCCTGTTTGAAGCTAGCGTGGGATCTTCTGTTGGCCGGATGATACAGGTTCAGGGGGAGTTATCATGGAGCACAGAGGGGAGAGGTTTGTGTTTGGGGGGGTGGGATGCTTTTCTCAAATCTGCCTCAACGGTTCATTTTTTTTCAACTACTTTACGTCAGAAAATGAGGCATGTTTGAGGTCTTAAAAAGTGGTGCAACACTGCTGACCAATCAGGATCAGGAGGAGGCGGGACTTCTGTTGCCAACTCAGTCAGGTGAATGATTAAAATCTGAAGGTGCTGCAGTCTTTCACTGACATACAAACATGTTGTTCATGTAAACACACAGAGGAGCTCACACAGCAGCTCCAGTTGTTTCTGGTGTCAACACTCCGCTCCCTCACCGCCTCCACGTCCGTCACATTCACCGCCACATCTGCACAGAGAGGAGACCGCTGGTGTGCTGACGGCGTTTCTCCATCTCTGAATCCACCGCAGTGTGCGTCAAGTCCTGTTAAACAAGTCCTGCACCCTGCAATCCTGCTGCAACAGAGTAAAAGCCGCTCCTGCTGCTGCTGCACTCCCGAGTCTCATCTGAATGATTAAAACCAATATGATACTTTCATTTCGAAGAGACGGAGCAAAGTGGAATGAAACCTGAACACACACTCTATAAATCCTCTGTAATTAAAGGGTTTCCCCTGCGGCTGAGTGGGAGGTTAAAACAGCTAATGAATGCATAATAAGCAGATAAGAGTACTCCCCCGACGATGAAAAGCAACAACGAAAATGGACAGACGGAGAAGAGAGTGAGAGACAGAGAGAGAGAGCAGCGGGTTTTGTTCTTGGCTGCTATATTTGAGGATTTAGAAGAAGCTCCAGACCAGGTTCAGGTGAGAGTGACCTCATTTCCAGTCTCTAAAGAGAAGCAGCAGGACACGTTTACACACAGACGGACCTCTCTGCAGGACGACTCAGTTACAGACGGACAACAACACTGTGTGATCCTTTATAACCTGTACGCTCTGCATCATGTTTACCTTATTAAAATACACACTGAGTCTGCTCATCAGGACTTCACAGACCTGAGAGGAGGATTAAATTTGGGTTCGAGTTTCTTAAAATGAGCTGAATCATGTGGGATAGCTGCTGACCCCGTCTGCAGAGGTTGATTGTCGTGTCCTGAACAGGATCCTCTGCGGCTCATGATTCTATGATTTAAGTCTCACTTTGATTAAAATGTGAACCAAACTTCAAATGCAGACTTCCTGTTAAATAATGAGCGGATACTCATGATAGTTTGAGCTTTAGCAGGTTAAGATTCCTCCCCTTCTCCACAAACTCTGATTTCTCATCAAAGACCCCTGAACAGTTTCTCAGGTCTCATAAGGGTCCAGAATCTCATTTTTACTGATATCTCAAAGTCAGGATTCCTTATCTGTCATTTTTATCCTTCACATATGAATGAAGTTGTGTTTTATGTATCTACTTTTCGGAAACTCAGTGCAAAACAAGCGGTAAAAAACAAAAAATAATACACTTTTATAGTGCTAGGCGATATGGCCTCAAATCAACATCATGATATATTGATCAGTTCACCTTGATAACGCTAAATAGACGATAACTACTCCTCAAGCTGCTCACCCCCTCCCACATTAACTTCGTCTACTTCAGCCGCTGCAACTTTTGAACCGTCCTCCATCTCCTCACCTGTCTTTCCCTCTTTGTTACAGACTGGATGGGGTAGAGTCACGTCTCTGACGTGGGACAGCGTCTGACCCCCGTACCCACCGATCCTTGCTGATCGTAACCATTCAAGTTAACGTGTCAATTTCCACCGGCTTCTTTCCGTTCCTCTGCGGATCGCCGGACTCCACAGCTGATTGCAAGAGTAGTATTTTTTCCGGACACCAGAGCATGCTGGATAAATTCAGCACAGATTAACCCGTGCTGGAAAGGAAGTCAGGCAAAGACACAAAATAAAACATCCGGCTTCTTTTCATAATAAAACACTTTTATGTCAGGAGGATCGTATTTCACACCATGCAAATGGGTGGAAACGAACAAGTGAAAGGTTTTTAGACGTCATTTCACCTCAATGACACCTTGGATGAGGAGATGCTGATTCTAGAAGTCTAGAAGTGGATTCTCTCCTCTGGAAAGACACAATCTACTGCTTATATGGTTATGTGGCTGAAGAGACAACTCGCTATCACGCCACGGAATTCGCCTCACCAATGGATCCCATAGGAATTGGCGGATGGTGAAAATCGCTGCCGTTCCAGATAGGAGCCGTTCCGGTTGCAGGGAAAATTGGGGGTCAAAGGGACATGAGACCATAGCCTACCTACACATATCCAAAACCAACTTTTATTTATTTTTTGACACCGAATATACTGATATGGGCATCGAATATACCGTACTGGTAAATTTTCGTTTTATCGCCCAGCCCTACAATAACTCCAGCAATAGTCCAAGTAGAAAAGGTCAAACGTTCAGTGAAAATAGACTAAAATGAAAAGTTATGATGTGAAATAACTAAACCTCTGATTTGATCTGTAGTCAAAGATTACATAAACAGGAAGTTGTGTAATTTAATTGCACATGTTAACAGTAAAATCCAGTTCTGGACAGTTGAAAGTTCGGATGATTGGTCAATTTGTCTCCATCTGGCCATGACCACAAAAGTAGCGTCCATCAATCCCCAATTTCTCCTCCTCCTCCTCCTCTCAGTGAAGCTGTAAACACTGATCTCAGCTGTTTACGTTCATGCAACAGTTTTAATGTTTTCTTTATATCCTGAGGGTCTTTCGAGGACTGTTATCATCTTACGCTGGAATCTGACATTGGCCTCGTTCATAAAATATCGAGAACCGCCAAAAAAAAACGATGAAATCAGAGCGGTGAATCTGAGAGACACACAGAGGTCTGAAGTGACAGATGTGAACTTTAACAGGATGTTGCAAAAGCTCAGCAGGAAAACTGTCATCTAGCATTAGAAACTCGTCAACAGTCCCCACAAATAAAGCGTTTCCTCCTCTGTAACCTTCATTTAATCGGAGCCACTTAACGTCGAAGCATTAGAGGTTTCACTCCCCGCTCTCATCCACAAGTATCATCCAGACGGAGTATTAAAGGCTGTAAAAAAGCTTCTCTGAGGACAGTAAGACAAAAATAACAGAAGGCACTCTGCGGCTCGGTCCGCTGAATTAAATATGAAGCCTGTCTGGGAGATGAACACGTCTGCTGGCTCTTTCAAGTCCGATGAAAAAGACTGATCACAAACAAGTCAAATCTGCCGGATTGGCTGGAGACGAAGCCCCCGCTGCGACCCTGAGTCTGCGATGACAGAACGAGAACACACAGCGTGTCAGAGTGACGGGTTTGAGCGCCGTTCGTCATCTAACTACATGTAAACACGCGTTAAGATTCAGTGTGTAAGTGGATTCATTTGTGATTTCTGATTGGCTGATGAACAGACGATCAGCTGAAGCACAAGAACAAGATCAAACATGTATATGAGGTCCATGTATTATCCGTCCATTCGATTATTACATTCAATCTAGTAAACGAAAGACGAAAAAATGAGTCAATATTTTGTTTATTTGTTTTTCTATATGACCAAAAAGTAAAAGATCAGTGTTTGTTTTCGTATTTTCACTCTGCAGTGGGAGTCACTGCATAGGCTTGAAAACTACCATCTTGTTGTTGCACCCACAAATGCAACATGCAAAGAGGAAATCATGTATAAACGTGGTCTAAAGATTCAGGATTTGACAGTCTCTTTGGACGCCCTAAAGATGACCATCTGGTTTGTTGTCAAATCCAGCATCCTTGATGGTTTGGGGATCTGTAGAGTCCATGTCATGGGTATCTTCTACAACTGTGAAGGCTCCATTAATGATGAACAATATCTACAGGTTTAGAAGCATCAGGACTCTGTAGTTGGAGTCACCGCATGGCCTTAAAATCACTCGAGGTCTGATGAATCAAAATCTAACACGCTTTTGGAAAGGACAACTGGACTTACTTGAGACGTTTCACCTTTCAACGAAGAACTGAAAATCGTAGATGCTGCATCCTCAGGTTTAAACAACATCTACAGGTTTAGGAGCAACATCTGCTGCCATCCAGACTATGACTTTTTCAGGGGAAACCAACTAGGATGGGTGGATGAAGAAAGTGAAGTGTGCAGTTCGGGCGGAGGCTGGAAAACGTGGCAAATCCTTATTCACATGCGTTTGTTAACGGCACATTAACCCAGTTCTCTCGCAGTGTTTATACGGTCACATGACAAATACTGAAATTGTTCCCTGGTTAGTCAGAAGAAGTCGGAGCACTTACACCATCAGGACGGTAATTTATGATAATCCGTCTCTGAAATCTCATGAGAGGATAAAGACGACATGACAAACTGGATGAGAATCATGTGGTCAGATGTTTACAACATGGCCGCCGCCGCTGATGTTTACGGTCGTGACAGCACATGTGCAGGTCAGAGAAGAAGAAGGAGGAGAGGCTGATTGTTGTGGACATCGTGACTCTGTTCGCACAAACACACGAGAGAGAGAGAAAGTGGTGCTGGGAGATTAGAGGCACTCAACAGAGGAAATCAGGGAGAGAAAGAGGAGAAACAGATTTCAGAGGTGATGACATTAATGCTGCTAATGAACGAAGGGGAGAGAGGAGGGAGAGAGGAAGGAAGAGAGGGAAGGAAGAGAGGGAAGGGAGAGAGAGGAAGGAAGAGAGAGGAAGGAAAAGAGAGGAAGGAAAGTGACGTTTACATGAAGGATAGAAGGAAAGAGAAAAAGGGGACAGAGCAAAGATAGTGAAGGAATGAATGAAATAAAAGGAGTGAAAAGAGGATAAAAAGGTCAATTTATGGATAAAAAGGAAGAGAGACAGTAGGAAAGAAAGTATGGTGGTGAAAGTAGGAAAGTAGGAAAAGAAAGAAAGAAAGAAAGAAAGATAGAAAAATGAAAAAAGAGAGAAAGACAAAAGAAAGTGAAGAAAGAAAGAAAAAGGAAAATGAAAGAAAGAGAAATAAAGGAAAAAAGAAAGAAACAAACAAAGAAGAAAGAAAAGACAAAGAGAAAAAACAGAGAAGAAAGATAGACAAAGAAAGAAAGAAAAAAGAGAAGGACAAAAGAAAGAAAGAAAAAGAAAGATAGAAAGAATGAAAGAAAAAAGAAAGAAAGAAAGAAAAAAGAAAGAATGAAAGAAGGAGAGAAGGAAAGGTAGAAGAATGAAGGAGAAAAAGGAATGAGGAAAAGGAAGGAAAGAAGAAGAACGGTGGGAACAAAGTAAAAAGCGAGGAAAGGATGGTTCAAAGGACTCAAGAATGGTAGGAAGGGAAGATGGAAGGAAGGAAGTAGCAGATATACAGGAGGAGTGGATGAAAAAAGAAGGTCAGAGGAAAAGAGAGAAAAAAGAAAGAACAAACAGAAAGGGTCTTTTCTTCGCTCTGAGCCTCCGTCTGTTCTTGTTGACTGTTGGACCTTTCATTGTGGCGCCGTGAGCCGAGCTGAGCTGAGCTGCAGGTCAGATTTCCAGAACAAACTGCGACTCAGAAATCTCAGTTTGGTGACAAAGGTCAACGACCTCTCTGAGCAAATCAAAGATCGAAACGGTAAAAAAACTTTCAATCCAGCGTTTACGGTTCAAAGAGCGATCTGATTAGAGGTCTGCAGTAACATTTCACTGAATTAACCTAAAAAACCAAATCTCTCTGTTTTCCTTTCACTACAATCAAACTCTCCAAGTGTCTCTGCATCTCTGATCAGAGCCACATTCTTGGCCTGAGTTCACACACTGATGCAGACCACAGCTTCCTCTTTTTTTCCTTCTATAATATACATGCTGAAGCAGGCCTGGGAGCAGAAAGGCCACGACAGCTCCAACGTTTGGCATTTACCTCTCGATTATTAAATCTTATGAACAACATTTAAAAAAAAAAAAAAGCTGCTTCTGCTGCTCTGAAACATCCTGACATGTTGGCACATATTCCCGACCGCAGCTGGGGCCATTTCATTAGTGGAGTAAATTTGTAAAAGAAGCTGCAGTGTGCTGCGTTATCTCAGCAGTCTCCTGGAGCTTCTATTATGTGTCTCAATAATTCTGTCTGTCAGCTCAGTTTAGGACAGACAAAACGCTGTTCAGCAAAGACTCGACTCTTTTTTCACCTCTGAAATCTTCCTGTTTTATGGATTTTGACTCAAACTGTCCTAATGTGTAAAAGCTGTCAGCCTCGTGTTAGTCTTAAAAAGTGAACTAAATAACTTTAAACTGTGAGGACTTTCAGAAAACTTGGGTTTTTAGTGACACATGTGGCCAGTTCAGGAACTGCAGTCAGATATTATGACAATTAAATGATCAACAGGCGCAGAGATTGCTTTTTTTTTCAGTTTGCTAAACTGTTTGTTAATGGTAGAAATAAAAACTGTAGCTTGTTAGCGAAACCGACAACAAGCTAGCCAGCTATACTATCCATTCAGGTATTTTTTTGCTAGCAATCATTAGCGAAAGAATAGACTAAGCTACTCTAAGAGTTTCTTTCAAATGGCATACTAGCCAATGGGATAGTTTTGGTAGACAGATGTATTAACTTTCCTGCCTTGCCAACTTACCCACCTATCGTTTTTATTTTCTTTTATTTATTTTCTTTTGTTTATTTATTTTACCATTATTATTACTATTTTTGACCTCCATTATATCTGTTTTGTTTGATGTTCATTTATTTGTTGCAACATTGAAAAATGAATAAACTTTGAATTATAAAAAAAAATAGCATACTCGCCAACGCCCACAAAGAAGTTGTTTGCCAAGCTAGCTAGCTGAATTTTTTTGGAAAAACTAGCAAATTTTGGACAATTTCGCAGGTTGCGGACTGTTTTTTTTTTAAGATGGTAGGGGAAGGTCCCGCCCTCCTTTGCCTCTCATTGGCTAGAAGTGCTGGGCCCCAATTGGTTATTCCCTACGGCTGTGAAACGTCATTGTCTGTTGGGTTAGGGTTAGGGTTAGAGCCAACAGCCCGCGTTTCGCCTGACTGTGTGATGATGTTTCCAACTTTTCTAGCCAATCAGAGGTGAAGGAGGTGGGACATCCCCCTACAATCCTACAAAAAAATATTGCCCGTGGGTTATATCTTCTAGATATAACTCCACATAAAGGGTTTATCCAATCCAATTCAAATTTGGTAGGAGGCCAGAAGAGATCTGACTGAGAGATCTTTTGTATGAACCACAAAGGGTGGGGCCACAGCAGCTCATTACAGTTTGTCTAAAAAGGGGAAAGTTTTGGGACTTTTACAGAGAGAAATGATCAGTCAGTGTACAAAACTTCAAACTTCACAGTCAGGTTAATCTGATCTAAATTTTGGGTTGAATGAAACTACACAATAAGACACTTAAACAGTTGTAGTATAAAACTATTTTTAAATTCTCTATCATTCAGTGTTTATTGTTGTCAGGCTGTACTAGAGTAAAATACCTCAGCTTCTATACTGTGCATTTCTATTTCAGAATCGGAGCAGCTGTAACATGAACTAATTCCCCTCTGAAAATCAATACTGTGTTTGTAATTCCAACACACGCACACGTTGCACAACCAGACATGAGGCTATACTGGACATTTTTCATTATTCTTCATAAACACAGAAATTAAAGCTTGTTGAAGTCCAGCTTTAAGACTGGTTGTTTCTTAAAGTCGGTCTTGTGTGTGAATCATCCAAACCAGGAACATATAAGCGGAAATGTTGCAACCAACCCACTCTCTCATATCCGAAATATCCACTCAGGGGAAATTTTTGCAAAACATCAGATGGCATCAGAAGAGACGACTTGGCTCCACAAACTGTCATGCTGGCTTTATGAATGAATTAAATCGCTGTTTGCCTGCAGGGCTGAAAGCAAAAGCTACAGGTCTGTATCTCTTTACACTTAATGCATCAGAAAACCAGACCTCCTAATCTGCTGTGGCATGGGCTCAGCCACAGTCTCACTGCTCCCACCTCCCCCTTTCTCCCTCTCTCTCTCTCATGTCCAGACTGTGCATGATGTGTAGCAACCTGAAGATGATACTGCAAACCAACCCTGACGACCACCACACCTACAGCTCCAATCATCAGTAAAGGTTATTTTCATCACTCCACCCTACATGCAGGTAACAACAGGCAGAAACAGACCTGACTGACTGACTGACTGACTGACTGACTGACTGACTGACTGACTGACTGAAACAGGCCTTCTAATGACACACTGGGTGCAAAGGGAGACGTCTCTCTCCGTGTCTTTCCCCTCTCATGTCCAGCCGCTGACGGGTCTCACAGCATGATATGGTTTACGAGGCGTTTGCGCACGACGCACGGGACTTATGGAAAGCCTCTTACGTGTCCTCGAGGTTCGCACAGACTCGAGGACAGCACGGAAAGGCATGGGAACCCAGCAGAAGCAGCAGCTGATCACAGCGCCTGTAGAATAATGACCAGGCTGCATAAAGCAGGAGGAGGAGGAGGAGAAGGATGGAGATGGTTGGTGTTCGAGACGAAGAGAGCAGCAGATCCCTGCTGTGACAGCCCAGCTGTGCATCACCTCCTCCTCCACCTCCTCCACCACCACCATCCTCATCATCACCCCAGGTTTCACACACATCAACATGCAGCACACACTTTCCTGCAGCTCGGCGCCTCAAGCGACAGCACCGTGCGCATGCAGCGCCCATCTCCGTGCACCCTCGTTTTTTCCTCTCTCTTTATCCTCCCCCCCTCTCACTCACTATCAGCGGGATGGTCCTGTCGTCCCGGTGGATCTCCAGCCGGCCGGAGACCCCCTTCTGCCCATGGCCCCTGCCGCGGGTCTGCGCCGCCGACGACGAAGGCGACGACTGGGGCTTGTTGTCCTGCCACAGGTAATAAAACGTTCCCAGGATCCACGCGACGGTCAGAATCGCGATGGCGTTGGCCCGTATCCTGCGCATGGTGAGCCCATATGGAGGGCTCCGGTGGCGAGCCCGGCTGGTTCAGGTCCGTGCTCGGCAGAAGGTGCAGCCTCCCCCGCCGGTGATGGGTTGAGCCGCAGCGCAGACCGACAGCCTCTCTCTCTCCCTCTCTCTCTCTCTCTCTCTCTCTCTCTCTCTCTCTCTCTCTCTCTCTCTCTCTCTCACTCTCTCTCTCTCTCTCTCTCTCTCTCTCTCTCTCTCTCTCTCTCTCTCTCTCTCTCTCTCTCTCTCTCTCTCTCTCTCTCTCTCTCCCTCTCTCTCTCTCTGCTGGGATTTGTGGCGCACTGACAGAGCCACGGTCCTAGCGCCGAGTCATATCATCCCCTCACACACAAACACACACGTTCACACACAGACACACACACCCATTCCTAAGCCGTCCACAGAGGAGCAGAGGATGTCCGATCAGCATCCAGCTGAGGTCCTGGATCAGGTGCAGATCAGAAGGGGGGAGGGGGATCTAGGATAGATTTCTCTCTTAACCTTGGATACGGACCGTCCTTTGTTTTCACTCCCTCTGCGCGTGTCTGCAGGGTTTGTTTTGGCTCGAGTGAGACGATCTTTCTGTTCACTATAAAATGAAGAAATAAAATTAAATCAACTAACTGATTAAAGCCTGTGACTTTATATTTCTTTAATAATGTATATTTGAGGATCAAGTTGTTTTTTCTTTACTTGATTTAAATATTTTTGACAACTTTTAACCTCTCAGGAGTGCTACAAAGTGCAGTTCCTTTAGTGTCCACTTGAGGCTGCCTGCAAAAGCAACATAAACCGCATACACACCCATTCAAAAAACAGAGAAATTCAACATGATTGGTGGAGCCATTCTCTAGTTCACCTGTGGAGAGCGCCAAAGGACATTTAAGGTGCGCACTAATTGCTTCAGGTGTTGCGCACATGAAGCCTTTTGTTTTTTAACTGCAGGGATTTTGTGTTTGATTTATTGGTTTATGGTGCAAAAGAATAAACAGACTGAATAAACAGCTTAGGGCCCCGTGGCCAGTAGGGGGCCCCCAAGAGCAATCAAAAGAAAAAAAAAAAAGTGAAATGTATATATATATATATATATATATTTAATTTTAATAAAAAAATATATATTAAATTTTTTTAAATTTTTGCATGTATGGGTGATGTTTTCTGTACGATCAAATATATATTATTGTAAAAATAAAGTAAAAACATTTAAGCGCTGCTGCTGATGAAGGCCTATGATTCTTGCTGTCGATATGTCAAAGCTCCTCTACCGTAATGTGCTTCCTGCTGTACAATGTGCACTGAGCATCCTGAATGTCTTACATTCTGAGATTAAAAACCATATGTGGCTGCGAGTGCATAAAAAGCCGTGAGTGCATAAAAAGTGCGAGTGCATAAAAGGTGCGTCACTGATGATGACCGCCTGGTTTCTGGTCCTGCTTTTCTTTTGATGCATTCAAAGTTATTGAAACTAATTCAATTCAACCTCAAACAAAGAACAAAAGCAAAAAACAAAAAATGTAAAGACTGAAAAATAAAGACGGTTAGATTTTTTATTGGCTGCTTTTTTAATTATGTGTTCATTAAAATCCTATTTAAAAACCCTTTTTTAGGCAAACACATACAGTTTTTCACATATGTAAGATTTCCACTTCTTCCCTTTTTAAAGTAAATAAATCAAAAGGGATTAAAAAAAGAGCATCCTGCTGAAAAGAGTTTAAACTTTGACCATTTTTCTGCACAAAGTATTTAAAAACAACCAGATTTAATTAAACTTAAACAGTCTGTTTGGATAAGACGTAAGCAGAGCGAGAAAACCCGTTGATTTCAGCTCACTGATCCTCAAGTTTCTGTGATAATGACCCCCTGCAGTCAAAACCTGCATCTTTATTGCTCCATATTCCTCCTCTCTGCATAAGAGACTTATTATTCTGTCGATGCATTTTACATTATACATGTAAATGAAGAGCCTGCAGCTCACCCAGAGCAAATTATGGGATGTAGCTGAATTGATCATGAAGAGAAAGGAGACTGTCTTTGGACGGCAGCATCATGAATATTCAGGATCACACTGAGTTAATTCTGGATTCACACTCATGACCTTTCCAAGTATGACTTATTCAGCGTGAGAATCAATCAGCAGCGGTAAGAAACAGCTGAATATATTAGACTTAAAGTACCCCCTCCTTCTTAAAAAAAAAATCCATAACTGCTTTAAAACGTCTGCAGAGACCAGCGGAGGAATCAGAGCCGAGCGAAAACATCCCCGAGGCGCAACAGAACGGAGGAGGCTGGAATTCTTTCGGATTCTTCTTCTGTGGTGGAGGAACAGCCTAGAGTATGAGCTCATCCAACCCCACCTAACAGCGCTGCACTGAGTGTTTGTGTGTGTGAGGCGTCCACACAGCTGGGCCCACCGCCTCAAACACCAAGGATCAGGAATGCCAAGTTTTCCCTCATCAGAAACCTGATCCAGAGTCAGCTGGGAGAGCCGCACAGCGAGAGCGAGACAAACGAGGGAAAATCAGCCAAATGTTCGGATTTCTCGATGATGCATTCAGGGAACTATTTTCAGATCAAACGACACGAGAAATTAAAAAGTTTTTGACAGAACTTTTCTCTTATATCTACGGTTAATCGTCCTGAACATGGACAGAATATTAGAAATGGGTGTTTTTCAAGCCTGACGCCACTTTATGGTTAGGCAAGTTTGGCAGCGGTCCACCGCCATCTTGGTTTTTAGAGCACTAATGGAAAACAACAACAGAGCCGTCACTTCGCACTTCCATTATCAATCTATCCATCTATTTCTTCATCAGTCTGTATCAGCCATGTGTTTATCCATTCATGACCACTTTTTTATCCATCCATCATTCAAACACCCATTATTTCATCCTTTCATTGATCTATCCATCGCCACCCCATCAATCATGCATCCATCTCTCTAACCACTTCTCCATATCATCCACTTTTCTTTTCATTCACTCATCTTTCCCCCGATCAAATCTATCAATCCATCGACCTATCAGTCTATTCATCCTTCTGTCATCCATATCTAAACTATCTAGGGCTGAAACGATTCCTCGAGTACCTCGTTTACGAATAATAAATAAAAAGGCAAAAAAATCAACAAAATATTTTAGAAAACGTAAGTAAAGAAAGAAAGTAAGTAAAAATAGTGCAATTTTTTTTCTCCGATTTCCATGCACTCTGACCTCTTTTTGCCACCACGACAGTCGCCCCCTGCTGGCCGCAGCAGAAACTACAGGTTCAAGGCACTTCAGCTTTGAACATTCAAAACTTTTTTTCAAACAGAGGATTCAATTAAAAACAGAAAAAGTGTGATTTAAAGGGCTGATAAGACACGAAGCATTATGGGAAATGTAGGACGAGAGTCTGACGCTACAAGTGTGTTTCTGAATTATGATGATTGTATAAATAGATGTACGGTTAAAATGCCATAAAAGTTCAAAGATGAAGAAAAATATGAAGCGAAAGAAAAAGACGACGGATGAGAGTTTCGGTTCACACCTTAATAAAGATCTGACATTTACTTTCTCAGTCTTTCATAACAAACTCCTCGGCTGCTCAAAACAAATACTGATGTGACATTTCATCTCAGAGTACAATAACAAGACTCAGACATGTCTCCAGGCGGTCTTATCATGTCAAGGGATTGTTTTTTTATATGGTGTAATTCCGATTTTAGAAAGTGCTCCGTCTCACTCTCAGTTCATTTAATCAGCACACGCTTAAATAATGTAGAAATCAAAGAGCGAACAGGCTGCAGGCAGCGCTCTATCCGCTCTGTGTGAAGCCTCTCTGCACTTCGAGGTTAATCTCATTATTCATGTAAGCTGCTATCTCTTCCCTTCCATCCCGTCATGGAGAGATCCGTCAGCCAACCAGATCCGCCTCGCATCAAGAGTCAGTGTGTGTGTGTTTGTGTGTGTGAGTGCGGCAGGGGAAGGTTGCAGGGGTCACAGCCACATCTGGCTGAAGGCTGGGAGATATTTGTCTTCATTCGTACGGACAGGACCGCGCCTCTCGCGGCGCTGCTGTCACTATTATCTGTGGGAGGGACAGTGACGCCTCAGAGCGAGGAGGGAGAGTGTCTCCGCGTTCAGACCCGTGGACCTGCTCACCCGGACCCTCAGGAGTGCGCAGGGGCCGGGGCGGTCTGTGAGATTACTGGGTGCAGAGAGGAAACCAGGCCTGTGCATGTGGAGTTTCCAGCAGCTCCATGTCAACAATACCTCTCCTGAGACTCATGGAAACACAAAGCTCCACATTCCCATGTCGGCAGGGGAAAAAAAGGAAAAAATGTGAGACTTTCCAAAGTGAATTACTCTGAGTGGGAACTGGGACGAGAAAACTGGCTCATGTCAAATCAAAAAATCAGCCCATTCGTCACACTGTCAGAGAAAGACACATGATAACACTTAGAAATGTTTTAAAATGAGCTGTACAAATAAATATTCAGTCAAATAAAGTTTCATAATCAAAATCAGTCTGTTCTCTCGAACCCAAAACCCTGATTACACGTTTATGTTAATGAAACGTGTCAAAGAGGTTAAACTTTCTACATGAATGCTAACCCTGGTTTAGAGAAAGCTGAAAAAGTTGGAAAAGTCGCTCATTGATTATTATTTTATGTTTCATAAGAGCAGAAAGAGGAAAGTGTTCCCGTTTTTACTCAGACTGCTGTAACCCTTTTCCCCCTCGGTATTGCGTCACAGCTCGAGGTCTCCAAGTCTGCATCAGCTCAGTGTAGTCCGCTGAAAAACATCTCCCACACAATCAGCCTTCAGAGGATCAGGAAACAGTCAGCAGCACACTCTCCCTGTTCTCCTCTCCATCAGTCTTTCTACCCCCCTCTCTCCCTCTCTCTCTTTAACCTCTCTCACTCAGGACCTGTGGGAGCTCTGCCCCAGAGTTTCTCTCAAGTTTCATGTCCACACTTGTCCCTCACTGAGTGGAGGTTTTCTGTGGGACCAGGGTGGAATGGACACTGGAATGAAGCTCATGTTGGGAAAAACAAAACCCCAGTGACAGATATACAAATACATATGACTTAGATGAGTTTTTGAATATAGAATAGAACAGAATAGAATAGAATAGAATAGAATAGAATAGAATAGAATAGAATAGAACAGGACAAAATGAAATAGAATAAAACAGATTGAAAAGATTGGTAGAGATAATATAGAATATACGAGAATAGAAAAGAACAGATAGAAATTATAGAATAGAACTGAACAGAAAGAATTTATTAAAACAGATTGAATAGAATAGAACAGATAAAACAGAGTAGAACAGAGTAGAACAGACAAGATTAAATAGAAAAGAACAGATAGAAAAGAATAGAACATATAGAATAGTCTAGAATAGAATAGAATAGAAAAAAGGAAAGAATAGAATAGAATGGAAAAGATCAGATAGAATGGTCTAGAGTAGAACTATACAATAGACTAGAATAGAATAGAAAACATAGAATAGAATAGAATTAAACGTATAGAATAGACTAGAATGGAATGAAACAGGTTCAGATAGAATATAATAGAACATATAGACTAGACTAGAATGGAATAGAATAGAACATACAGAATAGAATAGAATAGAATAAAATGGAACAGATCAAATAGTATAGAATGGAAAAGAATAGAATATAGAGAATTAAATAGAATAGAGTAGAATGGAACAGATCAGATAGAATAGAATATAACAGAACAGACATAGTAAAATAGAATAGAAGGTATAAGATAGAATAGAGTAGAATAGAACAGATCAGAACATATAGTACAGAATAGAAAAGAACAGGACTGAACAGAAATGATAGAAAAGATAAGAATAGAATAGCACAAAACAGGATAGAATAAAGCAGACTGAAAAAAGATAGAAGAGAACATAATAGAACAGATAGAAAGAATAGAGCTGAACAGATAGAATTTATTAAAACAGATTGAGTAGAATAGTAGAGAAAAGATAGAATACAGTAGAGTAGAACAGAATAGAATAGAGTAGAGTAGAATAGAACAGAACAGAAAAGAATAGACTGACTTTGTTGTCATTATACATGTACAAGGAAACAGGTTGTGACCACAGATCAAACTAGTCCTGGTCTGGACTCTTTAATTTCCGTCTCTGATTCAGTCTCTAATAAAATGTTGTGTAATAATCGATTGAAGCACAAAAACCAACAACCTCTACTGCTGCTGCTGCTGGAGCGTTTGTTGTCTCTGAGTCCAGACTTTGCCCTCTTTTGGGGACACACACACTGCAGAGAGGAGGTGATTGGGAACAGCTTATCCAATTGGGGACAAAAGTCGTGTCCCCAGTTTGGAGGGCGGGGATTTCAGGGTCACAGAGCTGGTGTTAGGGTTATGTGGATTTCTGAGGGACCTTTTTGGTCAAATAAAGAAGGACAACATGTCCCGGAAATGAGGATAAGTCTGTTATAACCCTGAAAGCGAGCTTAGTGTGTGTGTGTGTGTGTGTGTGTGTTTCTGCAGACGCTCTCACAGACCGCCGACAGCCTTTTTAGTTCCGCAGAGAGTCACTCCTGGCATTTCAGACAACTACGCCAAAATGGTGAATTCAGAGAAGCAAACAAAGACACACACACACACACACATCCTAGCATTCACAGAAACACACACATGCACACATGCAAACACACAAAGGCAAACACACACACATGCACTAAAAAACTCCAAAAAGATACACAGAGGTTTCAGTTTTCATGTTTTCAAACAACATCCAGAAAGATTAAGAGAGAAAAACCCCACAAGGGCGCGCACACACACACACACACACACACACACACACACACACACACACACACACACACACACACACACACACACACACACACACACACACAATGCTGTAAGCCTCTCTGGAATTCCACTATGATAATACTGGAAAACCAGCCAACCTCCTCCTGGCTGAAACCAGTGATCATCAGCTCCAGTTATGTACAAGTCCAGTCCTGTGTGTGTGTGTGTGTGTGTGTGTGTGTGTGTGTGTGTGTGTGTGTGTGTGTGTGTGTGTATGTTATGCAAACATGGAGTGTCAGAGAGCACACACACACACACACACACACACACACACACACACACACATATCTACAGATTGAGCTGGAATCTATCAGAGCTCGTCTCCTGATGTTGAATAAACCAGCGCAGGTTTCCCATGATGCCTCACAACTCTATGCAGCTTCGTAACTTTAGTCCTTTAACAGAAATCTAACGTATGGGCGTCAAACACTCCTTTAAGACTATAGAGGGCGCTGTCAAACTTTAGGTTCCCTCGTAAAGAAAAGTTTTTCTTTGGGCTCAAACAAGGGTGTGGAAATGACGGTCATCACCCTGAAATACTCGTCAACAGCACCTGAAACTCCGCCTGGAATCCAAATAAATTGAGACTCATGACCTTTACCGCCATCTTTTGTGCCAGCAGTCCTCATGACCTCAATTTCTGAGCATTTCTCCCCAGCTCGACTGTTGCTGCTGTGTTATGAAAGTCGTCCTTTAGCACTTTTGATTCCCTTGGTAGAAATCACAGTTTTTTTAAAGTTATATGTGCTTCATGTTTCATTCTGTGACATTTTACAAAGAAAGTGTAAAATGAGAAAGAAATCATGATGTAAATGTTGTATTCCGACGTAAAATTAATTTAGGGTCAAGCACACTGTAACATGAAGTTAGACACCCCCTCCAGAGATGAATGTTGCTGACCGCTTACTTCTCTAGTTATACCAACTTTAGTAACGACCGCAGGATAGTAATACAGAGAGCCACGTGCTCAACCAAAACGCCACTCTATAGCCACAAATAATGCTCAGAACAGCACCTAACTTCATCAACAGGACATATAGGGTCCCAGCCAAAGTACTAGACACCAACTTTGACTAATTTCTTTAGCAAAGAGACTAAACACAACTCACCTACTCTCTTCCAGCAGCCGCTTGTTTGTAGCCAGACCTCAGGCCAGTCCATTATGGACTACAGCGGGGTGACACAGCTCAAGGAAGAACATTTATGATCATTTCTTCATCATTTCCTTTAAGTAATAATCACCATATTAATCATTTTGCACTGCAGACGCTGTAGTTCTTCTGCCTTAGCATCTCAGTCTGATTGTATTTCCATTAAGAAATAGTCATAAATGTTCTTCCTCGAGCTGCGTCACCCCGCACACTACATACACACACTCCTCGCACAGGCACGCACTCTTTGCACAGGCAAATATACTACAGCGAAGTTTCCAACAAACTCAACCTCCAAACTTAAGTCTGTTGAGTCTGCAGACCGATAAAGATGAGGACTCACCTCCACCTGAAGGAGTCCGTGGATCAGCGAGCATCTTCATCCGTGTTCATATCTGTAGCTCCACTGATGTTGTTGTTGTGCTTCGGGTTTAAAGGATCTAAAAGTTACTAATTTATTAACTTATCTTTCCTCTGACATCTAATATTCCCGCAGATACCGAGTCCACCGAGTGTAAACAAACAGTAAGATACTGTTTTCTGCTTTAATCCGGGTTAACTGCAGCGATTTGACCAAAAATATCGATTATAGACTCTTTTAAATATTATCAATGGTAATAATGTTATTATATTTTCAAAAATAACTATTTACATGACTAGTTAGAGCAAACAGAAGTGAATTTGCGGTTACAGAACAGCTGATCAGTCACGTTCTTCCGGTCCAGTGCATGAGAGGAGGGAATGCGCATGTGCAGCTTTACACGTGATCAATCGGTAAATTTAGACACGCAGAAATCGCTACGGTTTTTACTCGCTTTATTTAATTTAAGTTTATTTATTTTACATACAATTGTTTTTAAAAATCTAAACCTCAATCTGATTTATTTCTAAATATATATATATATATATATATATATATATATATATATATATATATATAATCGTCACCCTGTCGCCCCCTATCGACCCCGCCCTCCTCTGTCGTCTATCTGATGCTAACTAGCTGCTTGAATCATAAAAACAACTTTATCTTTTATCGCTTTTACCTCTTTTATCTTATTTCTGCTTTACTCTCTTTCTAACTTTTGTTTTACTTGAACTCTTTTCTTAATTAACCATTTGAATTTTTATTGTTTTATCTCTCGCTCGTTTCTGTCGTTTTATCTTATCATTATTATTATTATCAGTATTACCTGTTAAATATTTTATTATCATTGTCGATATTGTCTTTTATATTTACTATCCTATTTCCACTTTCGACCCCCCTTTTAATTGCATTTTTATTTTGGTCCTCATGGTCTCGTTTTTTGTTGTATGGTTCTTGTGTTGTCTTATGAAAATGGACTTCAATTCTGTTTCAACTGAGCTTTTTGTTTTTATCCGTCTTTTTCATGTGCTTTATGACTAACCCACCAGTTCGTTGTTGTAATGTGAACGACCGCTCAAAAAGATCACATTTAACACAAAACGTTAAAATTACATCCACACCTGATCTGGACGTGTGCGTGTGGTACGACAAAATCTAGAGGTCGGCGCAACGTGCAAAATAGATCCAGCATTGAGACGCCACTATTGTACCTCTTTTAGACGTTAAACTGATGCTCACATTAACACGTAATTTGAATATGCTGTCAACCACAGAATCTAAAATTCGTGTTAAGGTGCAAAATCGGTCCAAGATTTATATTGACCTGTTTCAGACGTCAAAATCATATTTGAATGTCATATATGTCAAGGCACATTGTAACTCTCTGTTTTAAAATACTATTTTCTCACACAGTGACATAACAGGACCCCTAATTTGACACCAAATTGTGCTGGAAATAACCCAATAAGACTCTCTTCTTCTACTTTTCGCCAAATATCTGCAAGAAAATCTTATAAAAACAAACTAAGAACCCCACGGCCTCAAAACCATCCAAACACATTATATCCAGATTTATTACTGGGGTTGTTTTCTCTGTTGCTCTGTACCACCTACCATCTCTAAATGAGCACAACTGTTTTCATAATCAGTCGTTTTGTCGGAGCAGCAGCTTACAGCTTTTTTCCACGAGACGTCAGATGGAACAAAGCATCACTTGTGGTTTGTTCTATGGAAGTCATACCAGCCGGTTGGAGCGACACAATGCAGACACCAGTGAGCAGGAAAGTGCACGAAACTGACCCAGAAAAGTTAGCCAGTAATATCTGCGTCCACTCACCCGAACTCATTCACACATGAAGATAAACACAAAATCTCACAATGGAGCAGAAATATCACCGCCAGACTGTTTCAGACGAGCCGACTGGGCCGTGTTTTCAGGAGGTAAATGAGGGATTAAGAGGAGAAAGGAGGCAGCACACTCATATGTCTTTATAAATCACTGAAGATAATCACATCTATGAGAGATAAGGTGACAACATTTATATTTTTTAATCATCAGATGACATAGAGGAACAGCTCTCCAGGGAAACTCATTTTTTTTCTGATTCAAAGCTCTCTGTGACTCTATGAAACGGGTATTAATACAACATTTCTACCCCTGCTGTGGCTTAGCAGGAAGCAGCTGCTAAGAGTGTGTGATTGTGTGTGTTTGTGTGTAGCAGTCAGCCAAGAATAAGTCCGACAAAATAAAAGCTTCTACAATCCTCAAACTGTGAAGATGAGCGCAAAAGCTGCAGGATGGCGGTTTGGGACTCAGGCTTAAGATTTAAGCTGAACGCTAACATCCCCGTCAGCGCTTATTCGCTGCTTTTTATAAACAAGTTGAACATGCCTGTTAGTAATATGTACACCATGTTCACGTATGTTGATTATAACATGGTTCCCACAGAAATAAACTGTTTTAGGTTTTCAGAAGGGAGTTTGAGCCCATGCAGAGACTTCCACTACAGAGTCATGTCTGTTTCTGATGTAGTGCTGCCTGAGGGCTTAAAATATCACTGACAACTAAATGTGGTTTTGGTCCTTGTCCCTTTTGTACAGAGATTTAACTCCTTGATGCACCAAACTGAGCATTTTTTGGTCTAAAAGAGGTCTAATAGACATCTAAATGTTGCCTAGACGACTGGTCTAAAATCAGGCTTTTTAGACGTCTAAATTTAGACCAAGTTTAGACCAAATCCAAAACTGGGCTATATCTATACTATACTGTGTATTGCTCAACGGCTATCATAATCATTTTGGTTAAGTACTAGGAGATCAGTTATGCAGCTCAGAGTTGCTTTTTGAAATAAATAGTTATCGAATTATGGGTTAAAGTGCAACGTTTAAAATCCGTCTCAAAATCTAAACTGTTGAAATTAGGTTAAAAAAAAAACTAGACGTCTAATGGCCGTTTATTGCTCCATCTGAAGCCCTCCTAACTTTGCATTTAAAGGTGGGGTAGGCAGGAATCTGTTAAAGAAGCATCTTTTTTCATGGTGTATATACAAAAAAGCTTTTAATATCAGTCAATAGCTATTAGTTATTGATTACATTTGGTAATATATCGATATCTCTGTGTTCTCTTATGTCTGTGTAGTCAACATTTTACATTTTTAGAGCGGTCCGCTCTTTCTGACTGTAAACAAAGCCGTTCTCCGCCTCCATGACCTGATTGGTTGTGAGGCAGATGCTGCTCCCCCGTGTCGTTCAGGAGCCCAAACAAAGTTAGCGTGCTACAATATCGGACAGTAGAAACCAACCAGAAAGTTTGGAAAATTGTCTGAATCCTCCTTTGGCCACGACTGCCGACACAAGCAAGAAAACAAAGTAAATACCGGAGACTCTGGTTGGGAGGGGTTCAAGATTTCTCCTAAAAACTGGAACTTCCTCAGATCCTGCTTACCCCAACTTTGAAAGAAACGAGCCCAGTAGGTGAGGCCGCACAGTAATTCAGACAGTTTCACTGGAGCTATTAAAAGGTGTCAGAATTTAATTGGTACCCAGCAGCCAATCAGAGTGGAGTATTCAGGCAGTAAGGAAACTTTAATCCGTCTGGTAATTGTGTAGAAATATAACTCTGGTGTCGACAGAGCCGCAGTTACAGTAAAAAAAAGAGAGGTAAACAAAAACAGATGTCCTCAAATCACTCATTGTAACCTCGCCATCATCATTAGCTCAGTATTTACACAAAGACGTCCTGCATAGAAACCAGAGAGCTATTTGATTTTCCTGCCAGCTCTGCAGAACATAAAGCCCCGGCTGACTGAGGTAAAGTGGGCAAACTCTCCTCAGCGTTCAACTGGTACATCTTTTCCATTTGCACACTGGTGGACCAGTCCAAGACATTACAGCATCCACGTCCTAAAACACACACACACTCACACACACTCATTCAGAGTACAACAAACTGGAGCGTGATGAATTATTCAGTTTTTCACTCAGCCTCGTGGACACTGTTTTTGGAGTCTCAGGGGACTTTTGGAGGATCACGTCAGAGCTCTCCGTGTCCTCCAGTGAAGCTTCAAACACATCCCAACTCTCTGCCAGGCTCAGTCCCGTCTCCTGTCTCTCTGCCCAGACAAGGTAGTCATCAGGATCCTGGAGACGGGCTGGCAGACGTCCCTGTGAGGTTGTGTGACTAAATGCGTTGCTGAGCAGTCGGGTTGTTGTTGTGATTCTGTTACTCCAGCTGGCCCGGCTCAGAGGAGGAAGTCCATTAGCAGGATGAGTTACAGTCCGGATGTTCTCCTGCTCTTCAGCACCGAGGATAACGGGCATGTCTGAGAAAAACTTTGAGATGACAGAAGGAGAGTCTAACCGTCAAAAAAAGAACATCTTCTGAACATGTGTGAACTGAACCCGCTCAATATTTCACCACAAATTTACTTCCAGTGTCTCCATGAAACTTTGAGATTCAGGGTGAACTGACGGGTGACTGTCAGAGGAAATATTTTAGGAAATTCACCGTAAGTAAACGAAGCTGAGCGTGGAAGGTAACAGGATGTAACTGTCAACACGGTGAAGCTTCCTGCTGCTCTGTCAACACCACAGGGTGGTTTTTGTGGTTTCTGGTGTCAGGTCCTTCTCTCCAGAGACTTGTTTCTCTCCTCCTGTCCATCAACCGTCCTCTGACAGAGAAAACTCCGGGCTGTGAGACACCTGTGTGAACAAGCAACTCCAGAAACTCCACTTTTTTGGGTCTTGATAATAATACAAAAATTATTTAAATCCTGCCAAGTCTCTCTCCCTATTTTTACTCTTTTTTAGAAAGTTTTTATGTTCTTAAAATTTTTTTATGTAACACCGTGTTAAAATAGATAATGTCAGAAATGTGCCAAGAATGTATTTATTCTCTTTTCTTATTTACAGTCAAATTTATCTTATTGCAAATGTTTCCTGTTAAAAAGTTTCTCTAACATGCTGTCAGTAAAAAAAAAAAGAAAAAAAACTAAAAAGAGCATAAATAAGTAAAAAAACTTTAAAAGGGCATAAATAAGTAAAATATTTTAGAAGAGCTTAAGAAAGTTAAAAAAAGTTTTTAAAGAGCGTCAATAAGTAAAAAAATTCTTAAAGAGCTCAAAAAATAAAAAAAAACTTTTAAAAAGTGCTTAAATAAGTTTAAAAAAAACTTTTAAAAATCAGAAATAAGTTAAAAATATTAAAAGGGCTTAAATAAGTAAAAGAATTTTTAGAAGAGCTTAAGTAAGTTAAAAAAGTTTTGAAAGAGCTTAAATAAGTAAAAACCATTTAAAAGTTTTGAAAGAGCTTAAATAAGTAAAAAACATTTAAAAGAGCATAAATAATTTAAAAAAACTTATAAAGCGCTTAAATAAGTCTAAAAAAACTTTTAAAAGAGCATACATAAATAAAACGTTAAGGGGTTAAATAAGTTAAAAAAAACTTTAAAAGAGCTTAAATAGGTTAAAAAAAAAAAAGACAGGCAGTGTGGTTTGATTAGAGTATAGCATGTTTATATAAACGGTCTGTGGATCAGACAGACACAGAGCTGAGTGGAAATGCTTCTTTATTACTGATTAAAGCCGGACACACAAACAGGTCGCCCCTCAAATTCAAACCACCTCTTCATTTACACGCTCTGACTTAATACAGTATCATCAACGACACACACATCGAAGTACAAACACTCCCAGCAAAGTCCATTCAGAAACAGTCTGAGCACAGGATGAGTGCAAACCTTTGAGAGCAGGAGGAGGAGGAGGAGGAAGAGGAAGAGCAGGAGATGAAGACGATGCTACAACTTGTGGGAAAAGTGAACGAGTCACCAAAGTTCAGCTCGGTAAAAAGAAAAGTCTGACACAAACTCAGACTCAAAACGTACATTCATCACCTTTTCTTTTTTTATTTTATTTTTGAACAGTGGGGACCCTTCCTTCAAAACCCTTTAAAACACATGTACCTTAAACCACAGATATGACTGATCGGACAGTAAATACAGAGGAGATCCTTCCAGGTTAAAGTGCTGAACTGCTGCGGTTTGGTGTGGGAGCAACGTGAGGATGTGAGAACAGGAAGTCACTCAAACGATCAAAAAAGTTGAACCAGAAGCATCGAAACACTCCAGTTAAGTTTAAAACACACACAGGTGTTTAACTCCTGTTTGTCAGAGCCGTTAGTCATGGAGGCAAATACATAATAAAATATACAACTGCAGTAATGTAACAGTGCTGAAACTAATATTATTATGTTATTATTTAACTCTTATTTTAATCCCCCCAGGTGAGACGCTGTTTTCACTTTGATATTGTGCAAAGAGATAAATGATAAATGAGAGTAAGTTGGTTTGTTTAGTGGAGTTAACAGTAGCAGAGCTAGCACCTCCGCCATCACTCTAACCAGATTAAACCAGTTTAATCCACTTTTTACATCAAATCACTGAGAAAACTCACAACAAATCAGTCAGCTGTGTTTGTTTACATCCAGGGAGTGCAGTTTTTTAGCATCAAGGTAGTAGAGTTTTAAACAGTGAAGTTATTTTCTGAATTATTCATCGTTTTGTTTTGTTCATACGACCTTGAGATGACCAAAACCTCCTGCTAAACTCTCATTTTAGAGGTTTGAACCATTTTAATGAAAATTTAATCTTAAAATTTGACAGAAATCAATAATCAGACGTCCAAATGTGTTAAAAATCCATCTACTGCTTTGCGATTTTGTCCTCAAACCATCTCAGGACGAGAGGAAGGAGTACAACAGCAGGCTGTGTTCTACTTTTATATACTTGAAGTCTGTTTTTCTGGACTAAAACTGCAGGTATTTCAATAAAGCAGCACTTTGTTCCAGTTAAATTTCCCCCGGGACGAACTAAGTAATCTGGAGATTTACTGGAAAGGCTGAGATAGCTGTGATTATGAAGGTACCGGCCAATTACGACTATTTTTTGGCTCCTGTTTGAATCAAAATTCCACTTCCTCAAACTTTTAAATGACAAAAAGAAACAAAAAAAAAGGGCGGATACTGTCTGGTAGAAATCCTTCACTCGCTCAAAGACACTAAATGATGAGAAATAAAAAATCTGTGCGTCACGTTTGGAGCAGAAGGCGTTGAACTCAAACACAGTAAGACAAAGTGAGGACCAGCACATGCGAACAGAGACGTCTGACCTCGCTGCGAGTACAATCTTCAGAGTCACTAAAAGGCATTGAACAGCACTCCTATAATATTATGGCGTATGAAGCGTTGTTTGAGGCCGACACAGTGTTAAAGAGGAGGAGTGCAAAACAAGAACAAAGTCAACCTTCAACCTTCTTCATGTGTCTGTGGAGAGCTCCTGTTTTCCTTGAAGGCGGCGTGTAGGGCAGAGAATCCCTTGTAGCGTTACAGTGACACATGCTTTTCAAATGTCAGACTCTGCTGCTCCCTCCCTCGCTCGCTCGCTTTCTCTCCCCCGATCCTGGACGTTCGTCTGCCTCTTCATGCACAGAGAGAAAGAAAAGTCGCAGCTTTGAAAGCAGAAGTAGGTCCATCAGAGTTTCGCGATGACCGTTCCAGTTCTTATTGTCAGCTGTTCAAACTTAAGTCCAGGTGTTGAGATCCACGGAGAGAGGAGGGCGGGGTCGTTTGTTAGTTAACAGTCTTTATCGGGGGGGTGGGGGGAGCCGTTACTGCTCAGTGGGGCACACGTTACGATCTTTGCAGCAGAAGTAATGCACCACAACGCCGTTTGGATATCTGGCGAACGCACTGAAAGAGAAGAATAAACAGAGACGGGTTTACTGTCGGTTAGATTTCAGTGAAAAGGACGAATATTTAGTGACGCTTCAGGAAAAGTCATCAAGTTTCAGGCTTAAAAAAATGATGTTTAGGGTATTTTCACTGCTGTTAAAAGTCAAAACGGGTCAAATTTGACTGGAACAGTTTGTAAGGGTCGACTCCACCAACAGTGAGCAGAAAGTCAGAACTGAGAGTGGACCGGTCCGATGTTTTCAGATCTCATCAGAAGTTTCTGTATTTAACACGTCAAATCCTCGGTCTGCCAATCTCGTTACCTGTTTCCGATTTTCTTCTTGCAGACTCTGCAGGTCTTCTCCTCTGTGATGACACATTTCACCTGCTGGTGGAAGATCCGCTCCTCCTGCACCTGAAGACCCAGAATGAAGCAGAACAACAAATCAGCTTTAACGTCTTATTTTTATCTTTTACAAAGTGAAAAAGTTTGATCGATCACCTAACCGCTCTTGTGGACTTTGTTTCTGTACAAAAATGACATGTGGAGTTCCCCAGGGCTCCATCCTGGGGCCTCTTCTGTTCAACATCTCAATGCTCCCGCTGGCTCATTTTGAGGATTTTATTTTAATGTATTATCGATTATGATCGTACAAAACTACTCCTTAAAGAGTCAGAGATCATGTAGGGATCAAAACCTTTGTTACTTCTGAACCTGAAGGTGAAGGAGGTGAAAAGTGGAAGAAAAAAGTGGGAAAAAAACACCGAAAATTAGGAATGATGTTGATTTTGTCACTTTCCTCAAATATTTATTTCTTGTGAATTAAAGAGCAAACATAAACCCTTAGTAGTCCTCAACTTAATCTGATCTCATTTTTAATGTTTTTCTCAGTGTAAAAAACGATTAAAAAAATGCAGAGAAAGCAACCAAACCGACAGGCTGCGTTTTTTAAATTTGGTTTGCAGAGAAAAAGCTTCGAAACAGACAAACAAAGTCCCTCAGCCAGGCCGGTTTAGATGCCGTCTTTTGTGCTGCAGCTGAGCAGATAATCAGCCGTCTAGCCTGCAAACAGACGTCAGGAGAGTTTGTTTTGTCTGTGAGCGAAGAAGAAATCGAGTTAGTGAATTAGACGTGTAGCGAAAGAAGAAGAGTTCAGCGAGGAAAGTTAATGAAGTTGTTGTTGGGATGGTGTCTGTCTGCTCGTTCTGCCAACGATAGATCCCTGATGTAACCGCTCATTATCCACGCAGAGATCTGATTGTGCAGGGGGGCGAGAAATCAAACAGAGGACATGTGATTTACAGAGCGGAGGCGTTACATAAAAATCAAATAAAACAATCCAAAAGGTCAAATCTGTTTTCAGTTCCACCACAACAGCTCAGAGCCGGTTTGAGGCTGAAATGGTTCATGTTTGAGATCTGAGAAGCTCTCATCTGTGTCGACATCCTCTTACATAAGTCGTGTGTTTAACATTCAGATAAAAACTACGTTGGTACGAAGTTTCCTCTTCCATCCTGGGTGACATGAGTGGTTTAAGGAGGCCGTGTTTTCCTCATTCCAGGTCAGTGTACCATCTGTACGTAGTATTAACCTAAACTTTCTTTTCTTTTTAACAGTCTGTTTATTGAAATTGGAAAAATTCAGCAGACCCCAGAACAGATACCAACCCCCCGTTCCCATGCACCAGCAGATGGACATGTAAAGTTAAAGCAAATGAAAGTCAAAAAAAAAACAACAAAAAATTAAATAACTAAATGATGATAGAGGAGGAGAAAAAGTGAGTAAATAAATAAGTTAATAAATTAATGTATGAATAGATAAAAATAAATAAATAAATAACAACAGTCTTAATACTCAATAAAATAAATAAATAAATAAATAAACAAATAGACTAATAAGATCAATAAATAGAATAAATATCTGATTTTACAGGTAGTAAAAAATAAAAATTAATAAAAAATAAATAAATAAGTTAGTAATAATAAAGAATGCATGATAATAATAAATATATTTATGACAAATATATGTGTGACAAATTAAGACATATATTTTTCAAGAAAACGAGTTTGTTATCCAATGATTTCTTTTACTTGGATGATTATGAGAGACCTGAATTATATTTTAAAATAGGAGTTTTTTTATACAACTAATTTTATTTATAAGGCCTGGGAAACATTAAAAAATGTTTTGTGCATTGATTTGAGTTTATGTAGCTGACAGGTGTAGATATAATTGTAGGTATACTTTTATGTTTTTATTTTTCCTCTTTTTTTACGGTTTACACACTTTGCAACGCTGTCTGTTCATATTATTTAGTGTTTTATAATCCCATGTGGGTTGGGCACTTTGTGTGCATGACACTTGAATGAATAAATAACTAACTATATACAAACACACAAACATATACACATATATACATAAATATATGAAAAAGTGAATGAGTGAATTAATCTAGACTTTTTAAACTTGAGCAGAGAGCAGCTGAGTGTTTTTTATTTATATCCTCCTTCTTAATATCTCTAAAAATATCTCCTCCTCCTCCTCCTCGTCATCGTCAGGACTCACCCTGAGGAACTCGGCCTGCAGCAGACTCTTCAGCACCTGGTTGCAGCGTTTCCTTTGTGCTTTCTCCTCCAGAACGCTCTCCAGGAAGACTCGGATCTCTCTGATCTGAGTGTTCGCTGGGAGCAGATTAATGGCCTGGAAACACACATAAACACCGGGATGTTAAAAAAATATATAGTTATGACTCAAACACAAATGTTACATGTTACACACTGTCCTCTCTTCTGTCTTTGTGAAAAAAACCCTAAAGGCCCCACATTCCTGTCGTCCTCTGACTCCACTTAATTAAATTGAATCAGCACAAACTGTCTAATCACACTCTGGCAGCACAGAGGGAGAGTTTTAGCAAACACTCAAAGACTTTTAGGTCTGAAATTAATCTTTTAGTTGCAGCTCCGGATGAAAAACGCTCAGAGACACAGCTTTGAACAGAGGGACGCAGCATCAGGCTGCACTTTTCTCCCGCAGGGCTTTAATTCGACAGGTGTGTCTGACCTGAGATCAGCAGAGCCTTTCAGACTCACTCATCTCCACGTTAAATCACAGGTCAGGAAACAGCATTTACAAATATATACAGAGACATAATGGAAGCCCTTTAAAGCCGGGGGTCTCTGTTCCTGTAACATCAGATTCAGAGAGGAAGAGAAACATCTGCTGAGCGACTGTTTTCTCCTCGATCTGGACTGTGTGGACAGATTTTCTCCGGCTGGATTGTGATGGGAGCCGTTACATGTTTTATAAGCTTTATAAAAGCTTTCTTCAGTAAAGGACATCCTCCTTTACGAGACAGCGGTCAGTGATTTACTGTGGAAATGGGTCAGGAGCTGGTTCTGGACTGAGCAGCTTTGTTTCTGGGTTCAGGTGGTTAAATCAGCCGTTTATAGAGATATTCAGACTCCTCTGCACTCTGGTGGAGATCTGAAGCAGCAGATTTATTACCTTCGACAGAACAAACCCATAACACAAATGAAATGTTCAAACAGGTGAAGTCACTGCTTTATTTTCACAAAGATAGGACGATGATTTGATTTGGATTGATTCCCTGTGACATGAATTTGAGTCTGTGAAAGTCCTGCACCAGTTTTAGATAATTCAACATGAATAATAAGAGATTTACTTCAGTCCCCCTGCTGCGGTTTACCTTTGTGGTGTTGAGTTTGCTGTGGTGCAGCTCCAGGACGTGCAGAGCCGCCTGGAGGTTGGCCTGAGGCTCAGACAGCTCCATCTTGATTGGCCCCAGGCAGTGGACGTCAGGAGGGGACAGGTACATCCTCAGCAGAGACAAATACACCTGCAGAAACGAGGAGGTTCATACTTCACATTTAGACATCTCTGCATCAGTATCTATCAACGACGAGAGCTTCTTCTGTTCTTTCATAAAACCAAGAAAATAAATCATGAAGGAAGAGGAGATGATTTCATTTTTGCCAAAGTGTGAGAAGATCCAGGAAAAAAAAGACACTTAAAAAAGAGAGAGGAGCGTGGTAGACGTAGGAAAGAGGATTAGGGCCACATGACGAAAAAAAAATTACAGGATGGAGATAAAGTCAAAATTTTATCATTAAAAAAATCCAATTTCTGTCAATAAAGTCAAATTTCAAGATTAAAAATTTTTTAATTTGGAGATTAAAGTAAAAAATTTCAAGATTAAAAAATGGTGAAACGTCGTGAATAATGTCAAAATTTCTAGGTTAAAAAAATTAAAATTTTGAGATTAAAGTCAAAAATTTGACCTTAAAAAAAAAAAATCCAAATTATGTCAATAAAGTCGAAATTTCGAGATTAAAGTTGAAATTTTGAGATTACGAAATGTCAAAATGTCGTGAATAATGTCGCAATTTTGAGATTACAAAATGTGGTGTATAAAGTCAAAACTTCTAGATTTAAAAGATTTATATTTTGAGATTAAAGTCGAAATCTTGAGATTAAAGTCAACATGTGTAAAGTCGAAATTTTGACTTTTTAAATTTCAACTTTAATCTCAAAATGGAAATTAAATAAATCTTTCTTCTGTAATTGTTTTTTCTCTTCTTGTGGCCCTGAATCTCTTTCATATAGATATGCTGGTAAACAACCATAACATAGATCTAACCCTCTAAGAACCGCAGCGATGTTATTTGTTTAATTCAAACACATAAATCTGATTTAAAGTGTTCGTCAGGATCTTTTTTCACACACAGTTGAAGCTGAATGATTCCCTGTTTAATGATCCAGAACATTTTTATTTACAGGTTACAGAAACAATTAAACGCCACATAAATAACCGTCAGTATTGGCTGTAATTTCTGCGATAAGAGGATTTTATTCGAGGGAACATGAACTCTGTCTTCTGTAAGCCGTAAATAATCGATCATATCTAAGGAGCGCTTTCTGAAAACACAAAGACAGCAGAGTCAGAGTCAGTCAGAGACGGAGAAACTGCAGCTGGTAAGAAAAGAATCAAAGTCACTCACGTCTTTGTTTCCTTCGACGGAGCTGCTGTAGTGACGGCGACAGTAACTGCAGAAAAAACAGACGCAATCATGAGCACAAATGTACAAAAAAGTTCACACAAAATTAAACTTTTTTTCCCGTGGCGTCACTTTAAACGTGTTAATTTGGAAGTGTTCATTTCTGCGTGTTTCTGCAGGATGACTCACTCCTCAGCCATGCGGGTGTCCTTCAGGATGTGAACGTAGATGAAGAGCGCCTGCTCGTGTTTACCCATCCGACCCAGGAGCAGAGCCCGTTCCTCCAGCAGACCTTTAAGGTGGAAAACAAGGTCAAAAAGAGCAAATCCCACCCTCCAACCCCGACTTATAAATATTTTTACTGTGACCGTCCAGGTTTGCTGAACGTGAGCAGGTGGAAAAGTTAAAAACACCTTGTTTTCGGTTTGTCCTGGAGCTTATCCACGACAAAAACACTCCGGTTCTTCCTGACCCGGTTCTTACCGTCAAAGGGGAAGTCACTGATGAGTCTGGCCGGTTCATAGTTGATGGAAATCTCCAGAAATGACAGCAGTTTGTTCCTGTACTCGCCCAGATCACCTTCCTCCTTTCCTGCAGCGACGGCTGGAACTCCTGCAACAGAATCAGAACCAGAATCAGAATCAGAAATACTTTGATAATCCCCAGGGGGGAAATTACTTTAGTCACAGTAACTCCAGTGCAAATACAGTAAAAGAGGAGATAAATAATAGATAAGTAAAAATATAGAGATAATATACAGGTATACGTATGCGTGTTTTAACATGAAGGTGATCGGCAAGAATGTAACACATAACCTTATATTTCTGGAAGTTTTAAAGCTCAAATATGATCTTAACCCTCTTTAAAACTATTATATTTGATACTTATTTTACTTTTTTACTTTAATTCTGAAAAAAGATAGATAAAAAGGGTTTGTACAGGATTGTAGGGAACCTGACAATGGAGTAGGGCTGGGCGGAAAACCGAAAAATTTACTGATACCAAAATTTACCACAATAACCGACATCATTTTGCCCGTATCGGTATATTCGGTGTCTAAAAAATAAATAAATAAAAGTTGTTTTTGGATGTGTGTAGGTAGGCTATGGTCTCATGTCCCTTTAAGACGCTGTCCTACGTCAGAGACGTGACTCCACGCCATCCAGTCTGTAACAAAGAGGAAAAGACAGGTGAGGAAATGGAGGACGGAGAGAAAGTTGGAGCGGCTGAAGTAGACGAAGTTAATGTGGGAGGAGGTGAGCAGCTTGAGGAGTAATTATCGTCCATTTATTGTTATCGAGGTGAACTGATCAATATATCGTGATATTGATTTGAGGACATATCGCCCAGCCCTACGACAGACTCAGAGACCTCTTTCAAAGACGAGATTCTTGATGCTTGTTTGTTTGAGTTCCCACATCACAGCGGGTAAAGCATTTATCGTTATTATTAATAAAACTGTTTGCTGCAGCTGTTTACAAAAACAAAATCTGCAGAGTCAGGACGCTCAAATTCGTGGAAAAGTTATTTTTCATGAACGAGGATCTCAGTAAACCCTGAATATCACGGCTGTGTGCTGTAACATCCCTCACAGAGACATAACCTGCACCTCTAACTCCTTTATTTATTTTACTGGACGTCTTTATTGGTTTATTTTTCAGGCAGAGTGCACGGTAATGAGCTTTTCTGCAGAGTCTACACGCTGGCGGAGGATCATTACGGGGGGAAAACAGAGAGAGAGAGAGAGAGAGATGGTTTTCATGAAGAGGCCTGACAAAGGTTTTATCTGAGGGGAGGTAGAATGAGTCGACGTGAGAGAAATAAACTCATAAAAATCAGACCATAAATTAGAATTATTTTCACTGGGCTGGAGGATTATTTCCAAAAACGGTCTGAGGAGATATCAGACGCTCCTTTTTCCTTTTTTTTGTTTTGCCACGAGGTAAAAAGTTGAAGATCTGTCAGTTCTTCTTTTAATTTATTAGTATCCAGATAAAGATTAAAAAACGAGCCCAACAGCTCGACTTTCATCGTTCTATAAATGTGAGTTACTCCCTGGTTAACTTCTCCTCCTCCTGCTGTTACCTTCAGGAAGTGAGTTGAGGTACTGTTTCATGAGGCCCTGGACCCTCTCCAGGTAGAGCTGGATCAGCACGTTGTGAAACTCGGGGCCCTTATCGTCCCAGATGTAAATGATGTGCTCCAAATAGGGGATGGCGAGCTCCTTGAAGCCCTCTTTCAGGAAGTTTAGGACCTTATCTCTGGGCAGAGTCTCCACCTCGGTCAGGTCCTCCGTGAAGATCTGTGAGAGGAGGAGAGGATTTCTGCTCTTAGTGCTGACTGTCGCTGAAGAAAATGAAGCTTCCTCTGCAGAGATAAGACGCCGTTTACGCTGACGGACCAAAATAAGAAGTTAGCGCGGCTCACCTTCAGTCCATCCTCAGGACAGATCTTCAGGACCCACGGAGAAAACTCAAAGATGATCCCTAAATTCTCCACTCCTGAGGGCGAGCAGAGAGACACAAGGTTGAAGCTCAGATTAAAAAATAAACCACAGAGACGTACGATCCGTGTATTTAAACCTCTAATTTCATCATTTTCAGGCATGAATCAGACTAAACTTTTCATCTGCGGAGGGAAAACTTCGACTTACCCAGTCTTTGGAGGTACTGCACCGTTCGCTCGTGGCCTTTCAGAGGAGAGTTGGCTTTGGTGGACTGATCCAGGAGAACCTGCAGAGCTGCGTGGAGGTAAACAGGGGGAGGAGGAGTTAGAGGAGAGCGGGAGCAATGATGGAGAGTAGCAGGCGCAGGATGCACACTGGATTACATAATTAAAGAGGACGAGGAGCAGGCGCTGTAAACTGGTGAGCTCCAACAGCTGGTTTTGATCGTCCGAGAGAGAGTGAGAGAGAGAGGAGGAGAGGCAGACGTGAGCTGCATGAAGTCACAACTCTCGGCGGGTCGATTAGGCCCAGCTGTTCTCGCAGCGAGAGCGGTCCAGAGTCTGAATGACGATTAGGCAGCTGGAAAAACCTCCTCTGAGAGGGACCGTGATGGACCCTGTACCCAGAGCTACAGACACTAAACTGACACTTGGAGCTCGCACACAGACACGATGTGACGTTTCTGAATCAGGAGGTTAAGAGGAAAACTAAAAGCTTCATTATTTCAACACTCAATCCTCAAATTCAACATCCAGCCTGACGCTCTGACTGGAAACAGATGTTCGGTGGAGTTTTATTGTTGTGTTTTCAGCTGTCACACCGAGGTCTGCAACAGATAAAACCACAACAACAAATTACCTCCAGTTTTATATCGTTTACTAGCCGGTTAAATCGTTTGAGTTGTTTGCTGCCTGGTGATGCAAGATTTCCGATTTCACTTAGTTAAAGACGTGAAGTGGAAGAGAGCGATTTTGTTTTACTAACAGGGTTAGTACTCGGGCTGGAAAGTCCGAGTTGAATTTATTTTATTCGGACAAGGCAGGTAATAAAATAACTTTCGTAGATGAAGCCATCTTGTTTTCAGATTTTTTCCGACTTGGTAACTGAAACGCTCGTAACTCGGGTGTGACGTCATTTTCAGCTCAGACTTCTGACTTCTGACTGAATTCTGATTGGTCGACTTGATTTTTTTCCGTGTCGATTTACAGTCTATGGTTAATTTCATCAGAAGGAACGTACCAAGTGCCCATGGGGGTGTTTTCAGAGCACCCTTACCCTAACAGCCTGTCTCAGAACACCCCCCTTGTTTTTACCATTTTGGATTCGCCCAACCTAAAGTCCCACCTATGTCGCCTCTGATTGGCTAGAAAAGCTGGAAACTTCATCACACGCTCAAGCCAAACGCGGGCTGTTGGATCTGTACATCAAACAGAACATAATCGCACTTCTGAATCTCCAAACCCTAACCTGACAGACGATGACGTTTCACAGCCTTAAGGAATAACCAATCGGAGCCCAGCACTTCTAGCCAATCAGAGGCGAAGGAGGGCGGGACTTTCCCCCACCACTGGAGACCGGCTGAAGACAGGAAGATTGAAGAGCATCCATGTCAATCAACGTCTGGGGGTTTGCTGAATATTTATTTCTATTTTGTTTCATGTTTAACTGCCTTCTTGTGCTGATATCAGTTTATTTTGACCCCGCTGAGCCGCGTCGTCCCCCGCCGCATTGGTAAAAAATTTCAGGGTTTTAGTCGACCAAGAATTTCTTTGGTTGAGTACAGCCCTAGTTATTATTACTGATGTTTGAACATGATCAGGGACTCGGGTGGATCGGCGGTCTGGCTCTTACCTTTCTGGTGCAGACCCTTCTTCTCGTAGAGGATGATGAGCTCGCTGTACTTGTGCGCTTTCTTCAGGACGTACTCGCTCTCCTCGATGTGGCAGTGGTTGTTCTCCAGGCGGAGGAGGGGCGACACCAGAGCGACGTTAGTCTGAACGAGAGGAGGAAAGGAGCGTGTTATGAGACCTTCAAGGTTATCCCAGCAGCCGTCTGTTAACACGGCCTTTATTGTGCCAAAGCAACATGAAACAGGAGGAGGAGGTAAACAGAGAGATCAGCTTGTATCTGTGATCTCTTCGTTTATTAAACCCAGATGAGTTCGACGCACAGATTGCCTCCTGAATTGAATTTCTAACGTTTTTATTCCCCTAAAACAACAGCAGACCCACAGAACCTGCAGCTTTAAAACTGAGATGACAGAACTTTTTTGACCCGATTCAGTTCTGGTTCTTCAAAGTGGAGCTATAAACTCAGAGCCCATTTGGCTCCTCAGTTCGGCGCTGTTGTTTGTCAGAGTTTGGACGGACTCTGCTGTGATCTAACGCCGTGTTACTGTAAGTGGGCAGTGAGGAGCGCCAAGTCCAGGAGAGCCAAGGTTTTTGAGAGCCGCATGTTATTGAAAAAAGTTCACTCTTAGACAAAAGTGATTACTTAATACAGAATAAGTGTGTATCAATCTTTCTATAATAGATATTTTGTTCCAGTGTATGGAGGAAAACCTGGAAACAGACCAAGAGAGAGAGGAATGAGCAGCAGTAAGTGTACCGCCTGTACTCTCACTGTCATTTTTGTCCAAACTCCTCGATTTATCAAAGTGATTTAAAACTGATTTTGATGATTTTCTAATAATTTAAATGGAAATAGTGAAAAAATAACTAATCGAATGTAGTTTGGCTTCTTCTGTTGTAAAATGTAAAATGGCCCCAGAAAAAAAGTCATCATCTGGATGGCAGCAGATGTTGCTCCTAAACCTTCACAGATGTGGAGGATAAACATCGACATGGACTCTGATGATCCCCAGAATAATCAGGGAGGCTGGATTCGGACTTGGACGCCTCCATGATGTCCAAAAAGAGTGTCAATCTTTGACTGTCAGACCACAGACTGTTCTCTACTTTGTCTCAGTCCTAGAAAAGTCACTGACATTTCCAGATCATGTTTTCATGTTGTTTCCTCTTTGCATGGTACAGATAAATAAAACATAAATAAAGTCATATCTAATCTAATCTAATCTAATCTACAGTTTTATCTTCTGTTTTTGGGTCCAGTGTTGAACTCTGCTGTCATAATCTGTTTTTTGGGGGGACGTTGCAGCACCGCCTGAGGACCCAAAGATCCCGACCATCTGGTCTCGGTCTTGTCTCTTTTGAACAGAGAGGTCTCCACATCTGCTGAATCTTCTCCTGAACCATCGGTGATTAAACCCTCAAATTCTTCACATTTTTATTGAAATTGCTGAACCGTCGGCTCTCGCAGTCTCTCACAGAGTGGTTAACCCCGCCCCCATTTTTATCTCAGAGAGACTCAGCCTCGCTGAACCTTTTTTTTTTTAATATCTAGTTTTTTCACTACGGTAGCCCCAAGATGCAAAACACAACAACATAAGAGAAAATATAACATTAACCTTTGTGTTTTATCTTTTGCCGCCATGTTTTGCACTTCAGGGCCACCGTATTTTACTGACCTGTTGCAAATCCATGTTATCAGTTTGGAGATGTTCTTCCAGGTGTTTTTTTTTAAGGGTTACTCCACCTTTTCAGTATTTTTTGGAGCATACTGCTGTCATCAAATTTAAAATTAGCATATACTTTTATAAAAAAATATTTGATGTGTTTCTTTACACATCAGTTTTTTTAGTTTTTCCAAACACTTCACACCAAACTCTTAATGGGATTAGAGTTTTAAAGAGGACACGACGAAACTTGACAAAGTAAGAACTCATAAATAGGTAAACTCTTAAATATGGACACGGTTTAGGATGACAGTGAGGGTCTTACATGCAGGTAACACTTCAGCAGCGTGGTGTCGATGATCTGCAGAAGTTTTTTGCGGCTCTTGATGGTCGGCGTTCCCTCCATGAGCGGGGATGTCGTCGAAGGATCCGAATCGTTCAGCTGTTTCACAAGGTGGCTGCGTTTCTGCGGAGGAGACACGGAAATGAAGATTAAAATCCTCGTCAGTCTCAGCCAATCAAAAGTGATTTCTGACAAAATGCATCCTAATCAATCAAGCAACATCACACACACCTGGGTAAGGTAGTCGATGAGAGCCAGGTGAGCCTTCTCCAGCTCCGCCCCGGACAGCGTGGGCAGAGGGTTCGGGTAGTGCAGCTGTTTACGATAGTCTGATGGGAGCAGGTCTGGATACAAGCCGATCACATGAGTGGGATCTGCAGAGCACAGGAACAAAGGAAATGATAAAATAATTAATTTTTAAACTTTATTGACAATATTCAGGAGTTTGGATTTAGACGGCACATGTTGTTCATGTGAGGAGAATAAAAAAAAACTAGACTGCTGATTATTTTGACATGAATTTAAAATGAAACTAAACACAGATGGCGACATTTTATTCCATAAACATATCAAACAATAATCAGCTAACATAATAATCTTGACAGCCTCAATAGCAGCGATTATTTACTCCCATAAGTCATGAGTAATTATCATTACTGTGAAGTCTTTTGTTGTTAACTGTTTACATCTGGTTCAGTTGGAAACACACATCCTTACTGCAAACACAAAGTCGAGCTCTGACTTACAGAATTCAGACGACGACTCTGAGAGGAGAAAAACCAAACCTCTTAGAGTTTTAGGACTGATTATAAGATTTTACTGCCTGTGTTTAAAGTCCTTAAATGGATCCATCTGATATCTGTGAGTCTGAGGTCCTCTAGCAGGAACCTTCGCGTGAATCCTAGATCTCGACTGATCACTAGACCTGAAGATGTCAGACAGACAAACTCAGTCTCCTCTTGTTTTTATTTACATCTTATATATTTGTCTTTTGAACAACAAGTGCACAAAAAGAGAAGTGTTATTTTCATGATTGATTGATTGATTGAAGTTTATTTTGAACATATTTTAAAAAAACAATAAAGTAAAGAATAAAACAACAAATGACAAAAAGGTATTCAAGTTCAAAAAGGAGTGGGAAGAAGTCGAGACTTATCTAGTCCCAGCCCTTCTCCTACACTAATGGTTTAAATATATATCATAATATTATATAATAATATTAATCATCATAGTAATAATAGCAATAAAAATAACCACCACAGTGAAAATAACAAAACAATGATGATAATGATAATAGTTACTATTATTGTACATCCTTGTATCCCGTGAAAACATGTTCTTTATATTTTGTTTTAAACTGTTTTATGTTTGGACATTGGAGTAAAAAGTCGCGCGAATGAATTACATATGAAGTCAATGTAAAGATGCAATTAGATGCTTGTACTGCTCTGGCGGCGCGAATGACGCGAATTGGGCAGGAGCTGAAAATGTCTCAACTTGAACAGATATTCGCGTCACGATAATAAATCAGCACGAAGGTTGACGTTTGATGTATGAAAACGGATCGTTGTTCACTGGCATCTAAGGGGAGCCCTGAATGATATGATACCTTTTCTTTTATTTCTGAAACCGGAATACAAAGGAGTGAGGAGGTCGGTTTACCTGGTAAATTGTAAAAAACCTTTGTCTATCACTTGATCTAATTGGCAGGGATTACCGTTGAAATTACCGTTGACACACAAATATAACGAGTAAATACTATTTTTTCACACATCTTGATTCGCGCGAATTAAGCGAGTAGATAATTTAATTTGATTTGCGCTTGGTGTGAGCGCCTCATTAGACTTATTCCCTTTTCCTCCTCCCAACTAATCTCTTCTCTGTCCTACACCGATCATAAATTGACGAATAACAAAAAGAGAAATGAGTAACTTCACTGGAGATAAAAACATGGGATACACTTTAAATACAATTAATAAAAGAAACCAGGATTATAAATACAGATATTTTACATTAATTAAATCTCTTGTTGTTCGTCTTTGTTTTGATCGTTGGCCTTTGAAACATTCGAGTCTGAAGTTTGTTGGCCTTCTACAACTCCTGCTTTGTTTTCCATCTCTATTATTAACTGTTGTTTTTATAAAGTTCTTCATAAATTAAGTTTTATTATTATGATTATTACCTGTGCCGAGTTTGGCGAACACCTGCATGGAGTCGTCGAACCTCTTCTGACAGAACAGGTTGAAGGCGTAGAGGTTCTGGATGTGATGGATCTGCTGCTTTTTATCGCCGTCTGAATCATCCTTCATCTTCTGGAAAACAATACAAACAAAATAAACACACCGGTGCTCAAACTCATTTTGGTTTCCTCGAATTTGAGAAGCACATGAGCGGCCTTTTTTAATTCCAGGAAAATGCCCCCGGAGAAGAGAGAGAGAGAGAGAGAGAGATTGATATAGAGATAGAGTTTCTGTTTCATGGTGCTGCTCTAATGAAGAAAAGTGATCTCAGAGTTCCATCCTCGGAGCTGAAGCACTAATTGAATCCTGAGGGATTTAATAACAGGGTTTGATGGTGAATGGAGGGGTTGTTCTGCTCACCGCCAGCTGGAGAGCCAGCTCAAACTGCTTGTCCTGGAGGAGCTGCCGGATCTGGCTGGCGATGGACACGGGCACCAGACGCCACACGAAATGGTTGCTGGCGACGTAGACGATATTTGGCCTGAGAGAGATAAAGAGGAAAAACAAGATTAGAGACGGAAAACAGCCAGAGGAACTGAAGTGATGAGAGACGCGCATTACTGCGATCATTTCAAACAGGAAGGAGAACGAAAGAAAGGATGGAAGAAAGATCAGAGAAAAGGCGCAACAATGGAGCGAGCAGCACGAAAAAGGTGCAGTTTATAGTTTCACAGTTTGGTCTTTTCATTTTGAGGGAGTGGATTTCTGATCTTTGCTAGCTTTAAGCCATAAACATCATATATGATCATATTTGACCGTTAATGAGACGACAGAGCTCCTCACCCTGCTGAGGTGATGAAGCGCGGTCTCTGCAGCTCCACGCTCTGCACCAGCAGCCGAGGCTCCACAGTCCGGATCTCCACGTACCGAGGAAGAACAGCGATGATGTACGGAGGCTGGTGCTCTGAGGACGTTCGAAAAGAGCAGAGAGAGAGAGAGAGAGAGTGAGATAAAACAGACAACCTGGAGCAAGAAGACCTTGTAAGAGAAAAGGATAAACGCTTGAAAATGCTGACAGAAGCTGAAAAGTTTTCAGTTACAGACTTGAGTGTCTAAGTGCTGATTACTCTTGAAGCTTTGACCCGGTCTAACCTCTGACTGTAGACTTAAGGAGGTCTAAAAAGGACAGAGATGAGTCTCTGGATCAGGTCTCAACTTTTTAAACACATTTTCTCCATCAATGGACATTTATACTAAAGAGGATTAGGACCACAAGGAGAGGAAAAAATATAACAGAAGGGAGATTTTTTCTTAAATTTTCCGTTTCTGCTCAAAGTCAAAATTTCAAGATACAAATGTTGATATTTAAAAAAGTCAAAATGAAAAAAAATCTCAAGATTAAAGTCGAAATTTCGAGATTAGAAATTAAAATTTCAAGATTACAGTCGAAATTTTAAAAGTTGAAATGAAAAAAACTGAGATAAGATTAAAAATTGAAATTGAGATTAAAAATCTAAATAATGTAAATAAAGTCGAAATTTATAGGATTTAAATTTCGAGATTAAAGCCGAAATTTGAAAGAGTCAAAATGAAAAAAAAAATTCGAAATTTCAGAGATTAAAAATTAAAATTTCAAGATGAAAGTCAAAATTTTGGGATTAGAGTCCAAATATTGAGATTAAAGACAATATTTAAAAAAGTCAAAATGAAAAAAAATCAAATTTCGAGTTTAAAGTTGAAATTTCGAGATTAAAAATTGAAATTGAGATTAAAGTCATAATTTGAAAAAGTCGAAATGAAAAAATAAATAAATTTCGAGATTAAAAATTGAAAATTCAAGATTAAAGTCAAATTATCAAGATTTAAAAAAAATTAAATTCAATTGAAAGTCAAAATTTCCAGATTTTAATCTGGAAATTTCGACTTTAATCTCCTTCATGTAAAATATTTTTTTCTCTCTTCATGTGGCCCTTATCCTCTTTCGTACATTTAAGATGGTCAGTTAGATTCATTTGAAACTCAACACCTCTAAAACTCTGAGCCAAAGAGCCGACTGCATCAAAAGAGGATTTGAGAAGTGACATGAAACTGCGACCTGAGGCTTCATTTCCCTCCTGCTCTTCCTTTTTTTTGACTGAGAAACCTCTAAATCAACACCGGCGCTCGTACGCATCATCACAAGTAACCCAGACGTGTCGTGTCTCGGTCACATGATAAAGAAGCTGATCTAAAATCAGGTTTTCCATTCTGACTCGTGGAAACAGCAGCACGGCCCAGTCAGGGTGGAAATCTGGAGGCTGCGGCTGAACGACGAGAACTGTCTGATTTTTGGCAGCACTTAGAAACCGCTGAATTCATCAGGTGTTTGTTTCATAACCAGCTGCTGGTATGTGAACTAACCTGCTCAATCAGTGCGACGAGAAAGAAACAGACGGCACTATTACAGGCCTGATCAAACAGGGACAGCTGGGTTTGATTAAAACGATCTTCATGAGCAGACGAGATCTGATCAAACGATGGAAAGAGGAAAAAGATTCATTTCAGATTCTGATCTCGCTTCACTGAAAGAATTGAAGGCGGATTTCTCTCGACTTTGTAGTCTTAGTGTGAAATAAAAACCCGCATGATTTCAAAAAGACAGATCCGAGCGTATTCCCTGAAACCAGCTGTCACAACTGTTCCCCCCACAGAAGCTCTTCCTCACTTTTGATGTGCCAAAACCCCGAAAACCTGTTTCTCTTTAGGCCGCCTCCTTGTATCCTGTGAGTTTCTAAAAAGGAGTTTTATCAGGGGCAAACTCTTTCATACAAGGCCCTGTCGTTCGGATAATGTCGATAAGAATCAAACCGATACACTCTTTTCATACAATTCATTTTTGGACTTTTGGAGGCTCGACTGGGACGGTAGATGGAGGCAGAAAAAGTGGACAGAAGCTGACAAACGGATGAGAGTTGAAGTCAAACCTCGAGCTAAATCAGCTTTTCAGATGTCAATATTTGGGAATATTCATTTCTGGTTCTGCACGGTTCTCGATGACACTAGACAGGAACATTTTTAAGTCCTCCTCTGCTCAGTTGGAGCACCATTTTGGACTGAACATCACCTGTTTTCTTTATGGGACACAGGTGAAGAGAACACGCCATCAGCCCCTCCCACACTCCTGACGTTTTCCTCTGTGTTTGCACGTAAAACTCCTCGACTTGTTACAGTTTGGTTCTGCAGGTTTCCACACCCACAAATAAACTTCAACTTCTCTCTCTCTTCTCTCACTTTCTCTTCTCTGCACTACCCCTACTGTTCATCCACTTCCTCCACCTCTTTCATTCAGGCTTTAAAAAAACAGATTTTTGTGTCGTCCTAAAAACTAACCCCGCTCCTGTCATACACAGATTCACTCTTGCTGAAATAAAGCTCTAAAGCAGAGCAGAAGAGACTGAAAAAGTGTTAGTTGTTGTGCTTGTTTCTCACCCATGGCGATGGGAATGTCTGTCCAGTTCAGGGCGCACTTCTGGGTGCAGACGCCTTCTTCGTTTAGCACCACAGTGAGATCATCCTGACCGACTGCAACCTTCCCATCAGCCAGCGGGGCGACCAGAGGCTCCAGCTGTTTGCCGGTGGGAAATAGTTCCTTGATGGTGCCGCGACCGTCCATCTGAGACGACAGGAACACATTTATGAACGAACTGTTTCTGAACTTTTCAAAAGTGGCGCTCAGAGAGAAGATTTAAAGAGGTATTACTCCTCCCAGAGGCTGTCTTTGAAACTCTCTCTGTAAGACTTAAAGAGCACCTTTGAAAAGTTTGTAGTTCGCCTCGATAGAAAGAAAGAAATTAAAAGTTCGTTTTTCAGCCGTGAAACATGTAACAGTTTATAGAAAATAGATAAAAACGCCGACAGAGGAGAGGCAAGTTCGGCCACATGGGTGGTTTGTACGGCTATTCTCATAAATCACGTCTCTAAAACAGATGAAGTTTTTATATTTATAAGATATATTATGGGTGGAGTACCACTCTCTCAGTAAAACTGTGTGTTTTTCTTTCCTGTAGCACATACCCGAATGAGGTAATAGTCTCGTTTGAAACCAACACATATGGAGTTTTCACACCACGCCATGGACTTTGGAATATCTGGAGCACCGAAGTCTCCCTGTCAGACAGAAAGAAAACAGTCAGATCTCTGAAAGGACTGGAAACTCACAGAATTCAGAGTCAGAAATGTGTTTCAGTTCACCTGCAGCTCATGGAACTCCCGGTCCTTCCAGTAATACAGCTGCAGCTTCTTCTTCACGGCGACACACATCCTCAGCCGCTCCTCTCCTGAGCTGGTTTGCTGAGAGACAATAGAGACAAAAAACACACAAATATTACAAAAAAAAGGTTATTTTGACTGTCTGACTGTGCCGGGAAATAATGAGAAGTTTCTTTCTTTGTTTGTTTGAGCCCATCACCTGCAAAGTTTGTTTCCATTTAGAGACTTTAAAAATAATAAAACTGAAAGCACATGAGCTTAAAAGAACAGACAGATCTGTGCTGACTTTGTTTTAAAACAACACAAGACAGTTTGAAACTCTTTGGCAGCAGCAATTTAGAAAAAAACATGAACACATTAGATAAAAACAAGCACACACTGCAAAAAAGTCTCGCAGACAACACAAGAGAAGACGTGATCACTCAGCATCTTCCACTCTTCCAAATTTAGAGAGAAAAAAAAAACATCATGTTGTTTCTTCTGTTCTGGAAAATTGGTCCATAAACTCCTGAGGTTTGTCTGTTTTTGGGGGATTCAGCAGAAGCAGCATGTGAGATTATAAAGTGCAAACCTGAACGTACATGAATGTGTGTTTTTCTCATTTTCTGATTATCTGATTAATCTCTATTTTTCACTTCTCTGACATGAACTGCATAACCGTGCCAGTAAGGCTGGTAAAGCCTCATCTAGGAGGGTAAAACACAAAGTAAATTCAGACGCATTCTCCCAAAATGCACTGCAGGTCAACCCCGAGTGTGGACATCAAACTGTACTAGGGCTGGGCGATAAACTGAAATTTACCAATACTTAAATTTACGACAATAACCGACGTCATTTTGCCCATATCGGTATATTCTGTGTCAAATAAATGTGGGTAGGTAGGCTTTGGTCTCATGTCCCTTTAAGACACTGTCCTACGTCAGAGACGTGACTCCACCCCATCCAGTCTGTAACAAAGAGGGAAAGACAGGTGAGGAGATGGAGGACGGAGAGAAAGTTGTAGTGGCTGAAGGAGACGAAGTTAATGTGGGAGGGGGTGAGCAGCTTGTGGAGTAGTTATTGTCCATTTATCATTATCGCGGTGAACTGATTAATATATCGTGATATTGATTTGAGGACATATCGTCCAGCCCTAAACTGCCCAACTCCTCCCTCTGAGTATCAGGTCTCCTGTTGGGTCCTGGACTTAGTTCCTTCTCCAAATCTTCAAAACTCTCCAGGATATCAAACTGAACATATAATTAACTGCAGAATCAGCTCTTTCTACAATAGAGAAGTAAGAATGAAGGAATATTTTTGTTGATATTCCTACTTATATTCCCTCATTCTTACTTCTCCACTGTGACGACTGAATTTCCCTCTTGGATAAATCGAGAATTTCTGATCCTGACACACACTGAAGACAGATCTGAGTTCCAGGAAAAAGGACAGTAAATTACAGAGCAGATGACCTGCATTAAGTGGGTCTAGACTTGTAAGAACTGCTGGTTATGAACCACTTGCAGTCTCTTTTGATGGTCCATAAACCAGCTCACTCAAAGCTTCCTGGACATGAAACAAGTTTCCTAACATGAAACTGACTCATCTGTGGCTGTACGACTGTGAGACAGAGCGGAGGTCTCAGAGGAGGGATTTGGATATATGAACGTTGCAGCTACTGTGAAGTGATAATAAGCAATGGAGGATTTATGTCTCGAGTCCCCGGCTGGATCCTCAGAGGGGCTGTAACTGACCTGCAGGTCACAGGCGAAGAGCGTGGCTCCTTTAGCTTTGGACAGGACAGTGATCTGCTGGAAGGTCAGGAGGTCGTGGACGTGGATGTTGTTCTCTGCAGGAGAAAACAGATTACTCTATTTCTGTTCGGAGACTGAAAAGGAGTGCTATTTACAGAGTTGATAAAAAGACATGAACACTGAAGAATCAAATCAGCTTTATAGGTGTTTATTAAAAGGGAGAGAAACTTACCGAGAAGACTGACGAGAATTTTGTACTGTGAGACGACATAGAGCTGAAAAAAGCAGAGGCACAAAAAGGAGAGGTTGAGTTAGAAATTCAGGACTAATCAGATGTTCTGACTGAATATTACACCTCAGCCTCAAACACACCGGAGTTCAGTTATTAAGTCGACAATTTCACACGGGACTCCTTGAATCTGAATTTTGCTTTGGGGGTCAATAAAGTCCTTCTTCTTCTTCTTCTCTCACTATCTTTAAAAATCTGATTCTACTCTAATTAAAATTCATTTATTACAACAAAATTGACCCGACTGCTGCACAATCCAATATATAAACAGCAAAATAAAACCTTAACCCAGTTTAAAGACCAAAAAGAAAAAGAAAAGGAAAATGAATAAAAGCAAATATCATGTCGAGCTCAGAGTGAGAAACGTAAACATGCTCTGATTCCCCAATATTCATGAACCAATACAACCAGACAGACCTTCCTGTTCATTAAGAATAATAATAATAAGAACTTTACTAATCCCCGAAGGGAAATTCAATTGTCTGTCGTCTCACATAATATGTCTCTAAAAGTTATCTACTATTTACACAAGAGTTATAAAGTCTAATGGCTGTTGGTACAAAAGAACTTCTGAATCTTTCTGTCCTGCAGCGAAGAGAGAGGAGCCGTCCACCACCATTGGCCCTTTGGTCCATCAAGGTGTTGTGAAGTGGGTGATCCATGTACTTGAGAATAACTATACACTTTTCTAAACTTGATCTGAATGTACTGACATGAATGATTATCAAATCAAACAGCGATCAGCTACAGTGAAAGGCTGGTAACATTTCAAATCAGAGCTAAAATCTTCATTAAACTTGTGTTTACTATCAGGCAGGTGTGTGATTTTTAATAATAACAGCAGACACAGGAGGTGGATCTCTTACTGAGGAAATATCAGACTTCAAATGTCTCTATGATGCAGATGTTGATAAAAACCCAGCAGAGCCTCTCTAAAGACATCTTGCATACTTCTCTGAGCATGCATTCACATGGAAATATCTGAATCTACATACGGCATACTTTCTCATTTTTATTGTCTAACTAATGTAGATATATGCAGCCTATCAAAATAGGCATTGTTTACTTTATTCATCATAATTTTTTGCACTTATTCTTACTGCACTATTGACCTTTTCTGTATGTGTACAATTAAATAGTTTAATTTAAGTCAAATTCCTTGGTCATATGTAGGGCTGGGCGATATGGGAAACAGTTGATCACGTTTATCATGAAATTTAACAGTGCTTATTGGTGTCGGCTCCACGTATTAAAGTGCTATGGTTGGGTATAGCTGCTGTCTGCTACGACGCAGTTGTTTGCTACTTGGTTCTAATTCAACACATGATTGGTTCAGCGTGAAGTGGACCCGGAGAAACTCCCCTTTTCATTGGCTATTCGTATAGCCGATATGCCGACTATCGCAAAGCATATTGACCATGTTTAATATTGATATTGAGGGAAATTAATTTTTGATATATATTGTTATCGTTTTATCACCCAGTCCTATTAATTTCAATTAATACGGCTGATCAGCTGATTCTGGTTCTTAAATTAGTCTTTGGTTTTCTTCATCTCATCCTGCTGTCTCATTTACCTGCTGAATCTTCTTTGAGAAGTTCTTGTTAGACTTTTCCAGAGTCACCTCAAACCGGTTAGTGCCTACAAGAAAAAACCAAAGACACATGGGAAATTACTCAAATTCTAAAAATAAGCCGAGGTCTGTATGTGTGAAAGTAAACAAAAGCATCAGCTGGCCGTCTCCTCCTTCTCGTACCTGCATCCTTTTTTATCCTGTACAGGAGGAGATGTCCTGGCTTTGTTCCCACCAGCAGCCAGTCCTCTGAGGGGAGAAACACTCATGATTCAAGGTTTCTAATTTTGGATAGACAAGCTGATGATTAATCCTAAACTGGGAGATTGTTCTGTTATAGCAGCAGGTGAGCAGAGCTAAAAATAACGCAAAGAAGAAACAAATACAAACAAATCTAGACATATTATTTATTAATTATGGTGGCCAAGAACTGCCACTGCTGCAAATAAAAAAAGCCACAATGGAAGTGAGCAGCTGGGGACCAATAATGATGATGCACCGGTGTTTTGCGATCTAGGCACAGAAGATGACGGTGAGAAGACGAGCAAAGAAGTAAGTGCAGGGCTTGAAGACCTCCGGCACGGTGCCGGAATTCCAGCTCAGGATTTTTTGTTTTTTCTGAATCATGTAAAAAAAATGTATTACCACTTTTATTTGCGTTGTTAACTTCCGTTGTGGAATTTTTTTTTTTTCTGCACTGTTTCTTTTTTTATTTGCAGCGGGCTTCATTTTTTTAAATAATAAATATATGTGTATATGTGTGTATATATATATATGTGTACATTATATAATAAAATATATATAATATACACGTATACATATATATATATATATATATATATACACACACACACATTCACATAAATGAAAAATGAAATAAATAATCAATTAAAATAAATAAATAAATGAAAGGGAATATCTCGAGTACTAGTACTGTCATCTTCAGGTATTAGGTCGAGGTTATTTGCATCATCTCCGTTGTGACTCCTTTTCTTTTTTCATTTACATTCCTTTTTTGCAGCAGTGGCGGTTCTGGGCCACCGTAGTGAACGGTCAGTTTGTCGACAGTCTGTGAAACCTCTGAGACACCTGAGACCGCAGTTTGATAAAAGCCCAGAGGGACCATGAGAGGATTTAAGGGTCGATGTGAGAAACAAAAACAGTGTCAACAACAACAACAACTCACCCCAGGCCGCCAGACAGTCGATCTGAAGAGGCAGCTTCTCCAGAATAGGCACAGGTTCATAGGCGTCATGCATCTTGGAGCAGTTTTATAATCACCGACTCTTCTTCTGGATCGATCCCGGTATGCAGAGACGTCTGCCCGGACAACAGCTGACCGACTGACCGCTGATCAGGCTGGTCCACCTCTGTGTGTCTCCATCCACCTGAGGCTGAGCCGTTTCAGCTTCAAATGAGGAAATCTGATCTGGTTAAACTGGTTTCTCAGACTTCTCTGATGCTACACACTTTGGCTAGTTAGTTAGCTATCACCCTCTCCAACCAAAACAACAGCTGATCGTTAGCCTGCTAGCTGAGAAGTTAGCAAGCGACGGCTACCACTCCTAAACATTGTTCCTTCTCACTCCATAACCGCCGACACCTCAAACAAAGCGTTTTGTTACTGAAAGCTGAACAAAAACGCCTCTTTTTATTGATTTAAGCACGATTATTAAACACGAAAAATGTTCGTAGAGGTCTGTTTTAGTGTTAGCTAAGTTAGCCTGTCGGTACTTCCTCAGTTGAGTTGACGGCTGCGCTGAACGCTCAGCTTTGACAGGCACGTGACACAAGTCAGCGGACTCACGAGGAACGCATTAAAGGTGCAGTTGCTGAAATTGAGTTCAATGGAAAGGTAGAAACCTCGCGAGATCCTGTCCATATCATAAGGAGAATTTTAAATCTCGCGGGAACTTGACTATTGTGTTTGTTACGGCCCAGTTTATTACTGTCGTCTCACAAGATTTTATATTTTCATCTTTGTATAAATGGCTTTCAATGGAATAATAATAATAAAAAAATAATTAATAATAATAAAATAATAATATAAATTTATTACTACTGACATTAATAAAATAATAATGATAATAATAATGATGATAATAATTACTATTATTATCATTATTATTATTATTTTATTATTGTTGTTATTTTTATCATTATTTTTTAAAGTATATTATTTTAAGAAATCATGTCTTTCTGTTTATATTTTGTAACAGTTTTAACACATTGTACCTGACCTTGTAAGTCATGATAAAGGTCTTTATAATGTGTTGATTATTGCTATAAAGCATTATGATCATTCATGAGTGTTTATAACTATAGTTACACAGTGCTATAACGTGATTATAATGTATAATAAATATATTAATCATGCGTTATAGAGATAGGCGTCAAATAAAGTGTTACCATATTATTTTTTAAGAGTGTTTCATTTCACTAAAGGACTAAAGGAGAATAAAAGGAGTTATTTCTCATGTAGACAAGACAACATGCTTTTTAAAAAGAACTCTGTGATCATAAAATCCAACCATGTGACCAAGTTTCAATATAAATTTTATTTGCAGGACATACGCAAAAAGCCATACAATATCATCAGCTTCACATTACAAAGCAGACACATCCAGAAATCTGGGCATTAGATTCTCTCTAAAATAAAATTATCTTCAGTAAGACATAGACAAATGTTAAAAAAAAAAGAAAAGAAAAAACAAAAACATAAATTAAGGAATGCACACGTTCTGTAGTAGATTGCACAAGGACGGAGATAAAATGCTGCCCATGGAGGCGCGTTTACTTCAAAATGTGAGTAAGAGAGGCTCAGAGGAATCTACAGAGTGAGTTTATTCTTCTCATATTTAGAAAACTACTTTGTGACTGAATTTGGGTGACACTTTAACAAAGCTGCAGCCCAGTTAGTGGAGGGCACATGTGATAGCATTACATACAAAACAACTAATGACGTGTATATTCGAAATCACATCTGTGAAGCTTATCATTGTTTTTATGATTCAGTGACTAAATAAAGCTTTCAGTTCTGTGAACCCAAATTACTGCAGTGTGAAAACCTGATGGAAAAAACACCCTTAATTTTAAACTCGTGATTTCTTCTTCTTCCTGGTCTGGAAAGTTCCCTTTTTTTTTTTTAGAGGTTATCAGTTTGGATTTAACAGCCTCTCATTTCCTGCGATATTGGAGTCACATTTTCAGCTGCTTGATTTGACCCTATTTATAACAAATGAGGACCTGGAGGATATTATATTTTCCTGGTAAATAAAACAGTGTTCCTCAGTTCACTCATAAATCCAAGCTTTAAAAGAAAGAAGATGAAGCATGTTTAACCCTGAAAACTGTGATATATTTCAAGTATTAAACTCACTGGTGCAGTTATTACCACATGAAGTAACAGTAGCTTATTTACTCTTATATTCCTCATTAATTAGCTCGTCAGATTAACTGTTTCCTATGCGTTAACGGTGAGATATAAAAAGACATTATGTTGATTTGATTACAAGTAAGACAAAGAAAAATCTAAACATTGACTTTTAGATGTTTGCCTAAAAGTTAGATTGTAGTGTTTAGCGATTTTCTTATTGTGACCTTAAATAAACTTCTTATTTGACTCTATTAAAATCACACTCAACACCCACGCCGAGCTCAGATGTGCTGCAATGGCTCTAAATTTCTGTCAATCTTCAAAACGGCGCAGCGGCATTATTAGCATAGGTTTACTCCTCTATATCATCATCATTCCTACGGTGGCCTGATGAGCTCAAAACACTGAGGGGAAAAATAAGCAAATGTTGGTAAACATTCGTTCATACAGAGTGTCCTTGAACTGTAGTTTTAGCATCAATAATCTAATGTCTGATCTACTTATATTACTGGAAGTCTGCTTATGTATTATGTATTGGTTACTGTTTCGGTAAATTATTTAATCCACTTCAATTATTTGGAATGTATGTTGATATTTGAAACATCTGATTATTTTCGAACTGCAGCTACACTGTGGAAATGTATAAGGTCCAGCGTCTGTATTTGAGAGTGTTGTAAAATCAGTGTTGTGTTAGGGCCAGTGTCCATTAACGCCGCTTGACTCATGACTTTAATTTCAGAGCACTCCTGACCAGCCCAGGAACAAAAGTTGGTCAAGAGAACTTGTTAGCTGCTCTTTGTGGGGACCATAACATCTGATAAAGATGATGCACTGGCATCAACTCCAGACCTGGAAATCTTACCCTTAAAAACAGAAAATAAAACTAGAACATTCACGTCTTTGTCGTTGTTGCTGGAAAAGTTGTCAAAAGTTCAATCCCTTCGAGATTAGATGAGATCACTGGGTGCAACTTAAAAAAACAGCTAAAACTGCAGAAGTCTGGAAACACAGAACTGCTCTGGTTTAATGTGGAAACAGACGTAGTCCGCACATTAAAAGAAGTCGTTAATAGACACAGGCCCTTGGCTGTAGAGCCATAAAACAGGAAATTACTCCTTTTTTGACCGTCTAGCAGACATTTAGGATAATTGTTTAGCTTTGTTATACTAACTGGAAATGTTTTAGTGTTTTCTTCAGAAGGTTTGTTGTGTTTTTGCTGTCGGAGAGTTTTGAGAAATTTGTATTTTTCCTATTTCATGTGTTTTCTTCAGCTCGTAGGGCCACCATAGTGTCTTTGCTACCAAGCATCTTCACATCTGGATTTTCCGCGCCTTTATAAAGCTTGACCAATCAGGGGTCCCTTTACTTTTTTAAATAAAAGTGGGAAACTTCTCCTGCATGTTCAGATGCTCTGATAAATACAGTCTATCTTCTAAAAACACAGGAGCGGATCTGAATAAATATGACGTTTGTGTAAAAAGCAAAGTCTCTGTCGGAGTTTGTGCCGCTGACGTTAAAACCTCATCAAAGTGCTCTTCAGTTTCACCCTCCCCCCCCACAGTATTGCCTTTCATTAACATGTTATTCATGCTTCTTTGAGCTTATTACAGTGTGAAACGACACCTGTGAAGTTAAACTAAAGATGTAAAGTGTCTGAAGAGAAAGGTTGGCTTCGCCCACTTGTTTGTTTGTTTGTTTTTTTGGTTAATCGGATCACTCAGACCGCATTCATCGCTGCCTCAGTGAAATTAGCCTCCTCTTCAATCTCACATCTCCTCCTCGCTCTCGCTTCTACTCCATTTTGGATCGCTCCATCTTGGTTTTGAGGATTTCCTGCAAAAATACAACAAAAACTCGATGTAGAGAAGAGACTGTGAAGGAATTTTTGATTATAGGAAAAACAGGAGGAGATAAACTCACCTCTTCTTCATCAAGCATCACAGGGAGAGCTCTGTATGGAGAGAAAACAGGCAGTAAGAGCAGCTGCACTTCAGGCTCAGATCAACAGTTTTAAAGGGTAACTACTCGTGAATTGACGGCACATCTTTTTCGCCTGCGCTGTCCTTGATCAGACCCTGAAAGCTGCAGTAATACACTTACATAAGCCGTGATAATACAGCATTTGAAGGTGGATTAACTTTTGAAGCCCAAAGCTTGTTCTTGAAAATTCCAGGTAACCTGAACCGAGTCCAAAACTTCAAGTTATTTTACTCACACATCAGCAACAGTTGTAGGAATGTTCTCCTCCACCCATTTCAGATCTTCATCCTGAAAAAGAAACAAGTTTGAGATGATGAAAAATAATGAAATTTACTGAAATTCAAGAAAAGAAGAGAAATAAAGAGTGTAAACGCGCCTCTTTACTCAGCAGCTTCTGGGAGCCGTTCGTGTCTGGCTTGGAGCCTCTCATCTTCATCCCCTCTGAAAATAAAGACACTGAAATCAGAGAGAAGTCTCTTTTCCGATAATCAAATTAAACCCTTTATCGAGTTTGATGATAATAAGATGAAGTTTCTGAATAAATCTGATCACAGCTCTGGATCACGATGCCCTCTGTTAATGAAGGTTATACAACACAAAACTTTAGAGGTCGGGGATGATGAGGATGTTTTCCAGAGATCACTAAGACACTAAAAAATAATCCTCAGAACTTTACAGACGTCCAAGAAAACTGAACATTCATATTTCATCGGAGTCCTGCTCCAGCTGCACGTCTTTATTACGCTGAAAAGAGCGAATCAGTGACCTCTGAATCCTCGCGGGGACAGGAAAAGTTTGAGCACTTTAAAACTCAATCGTTTTTTATCCTGTTCAATCTCTTTAAAATCCAACATGAAGTATTAAAACTGATTCCTCATGACGTCAAGGCTTTTAATTTACCACATTATGTAACAGAGCCGCTCGTACATGTCAAATATCAGAGTTCTCACCGAATGCTTCGTTCAGCATGGGCTCCTTGGCCTCCTCTTCCTCGTCATCTTCATCAATCAGAGGTGAATGGGAGAACCTGAGAGAAAAACTCACATGACGTTAGTTTAACTGCTGATTATTATTATAGTGTACAGGCATGGTGTCTTCCTCCAGATGACCTCTGACCTCTGGCTGTTTGCGGAGGGTCGCAGCAGCACCATGATCACCAGCAGGATGGTGGAGAACAGCAGACGCCAGAAGGCGTCGTCCACCCACAAGTCCCTCCATCCCTGTGGGGAGCAGAAGAAAGGATCAGAGCGGGACGGCGTCAGGGCGGAGGGAGAGTCTAAATAAGAAAACAAACTACTGACCCTCTGACAGTCGACCAGCTTGAAGACTTTGGTGGTCCAGATGATGAAGATGATGGAAGCTGTGGGCAGAAAGTAAACAGCAGAGTCACTGTGATGTCTGGGAAAGAGAAACAGCAGAAGAAACCTCCCACCAGTGGGATCAGGATTACAGAAGGGAATCCCACCCATATGGCTAATCACTTTCATGTTTTTTTGGGCCTGTCCAAAAAAACAGTCATTTTGGAGGGAGGTGTCAACCGAGATAAATAAAATTAAAGGGGGGGGATTTTACGGTGGCCCTGATTTGCAGCTACGTCAAGTTATTATGTTTTCTAACAAAGAGTAACTTTGATTTATGAGTTGAAGGTTATCTGTCACAGCCCGGCGTCATGATACGTGCTCTGGAGTCCGAATAAATAACGTAAACATGCACACAGTTTAACGGTTCAGTCCTTGTGTTCCGATGCCGCTCCATAAAGATAAAATATGATGTAAAAGGAAAAGTATTTGAAGAAAAACAAACTCCTCCGGCTCCATAACTCACTCCTCACTGCCAGAGTTTAGCAGCAGACCTCTAATCGAAGACCCTTCAGGGTGAGAGATGAAGATTAACTTTCTTGTAGTTTGTGAAACACCCCTGAGTTTTTCTCCATCCTGCCTGGTTTGTTCTTGTTTTTCTCTCTTTATTTCCAATAATCTTCTTCGTACTTTCTTCCTGTCTGTTGCTGCAGGGCTGATTGTTACCAAAACCGACGATAAAGTATCCTGTAACACTTTCTAATAACTTTCAAAGACTTGTTTTGTGCTTAAAGAGACTCCAGCACCTTAAACCGCTTCATTTTCTGACTCTATTTTGTTTTTGTGATTTTACTCTCTGAAAATTCCTGATCTTTTTCCAAACTGATGACATTTTAATCTCAAACTACATCAGCGTTCAATCCCTGAGCATGAGTGAGTTTTCCTCGTTAATTCGCCTCTTTTATCCCAAAGTTTATCCAAGTATTATCTCACTGTGAATTCTTGCTTCTTAAACCCTCTGGAGCCACTGAAGGCTTTTCTGCAGCGGCTCCTCCAAACACAACAGGCTTTAATGAGTGAAAATCAGTCTGTTTAACCGATCCTAACGAGGCAGCTCTCTCTGAAACGAGGCGCGTTTGAAGAGCCGTTACTCACCGACGACGGAGAAGATGAGAGTGTTGGTGAAGTGCTGATACAGGGAGAGCTTCACCACGTTCCTGCGGAGCTTCAGGAGGCGAGTGGTTTGAGACAGGCTGATGAAAATGTGGGAGCGAATTAAGGAAAAGAAACACCGTCATGTTTTAAAAGCTTGAAAGCAGAAGTAAGCAGAAGTTTTTGTCCTGTCAGGGGAAAGGATATCCACCACATGACGCAGGAGTCGATGAGGGAGAGGCTGAGATTGGCCACCAGGGCGACCGTCCCGTAGAAGCCCTGAAAAAAAGAAGAGGACAAAGAGGAATTACTTCATCATGAAAGCAGTCAGTCAGTCTCTCACACTCCTCTCTATCATGTTTGTTTCCACGACTTTTCTGACTTGCAGCGTCTGAAAATCACTCTCAGATCAAATCTGTCATTCTCCATCAGCATCATCATCATCATGTCTGCCTCCCAGAGCCTGAATCCCTGTGTAACCTTCCCTCTCCGACGTCTCCTCCTCTCAAATCAAATCTATCTATTCGGAGCGCCTTAAAAGCTGCAGCAGGCAACAGTTTCGTGTAAAAATACACCCGCAGTATCAGCTCTGAGGAGTCTGCAACACTTCATGTCTTATCTCTGCTCCTGAAATGCAGCCTGTTTAGACTTCATACAAAAACAAATATACAGGAATCAGAGTTAGGGAGCAGTATGATAATAGAAGACAGTATCTGCAGACCAGTTTGGATCCATTAAAGGTAGAATGTAGCGTCTCCTCAGGACTTCGTCTATCCCATCCAAAACAACGCTCCCGCTCACATGCACGAAACGTTGCGACTTTAGATCGGGACGTCTTTGCACAGCAGGGACAAAAACGGTAACATTAGCATTGGGATGACAACATAACAAGCAACATGACGAAATACTTGATCAAGATTGAAAAACAAACCCTCAGCGTACCTTTCCAACAGAAAATGAGCAACCATGGCGTCACGTCTAAAACCCTTTGACCTCTTTCAGGTCTCTCCATCGCTGAAAAGCCGTCCTGATGTTGACTTTTGTTTTTGCCCTCGCTTTCTGTCTCCATCTTTCTTTTCATGCTCTTTTTTGCAGGAGGAGTGGTCACTGTTAATCTGGGTATAGGTAGTTTCTCTGTACGCCGGCGACATGTACGCGCAAGAGGCGAGCGCAGGATTTGATTGGTTTAAAAATGTGGGACCCAAACAACGTGATTGGTTGGTGTTTTCCCAGTTTTACTCCTGCTGTATATAGCGACTGTGTTTCGCTCTTTTTTTTATCATTTTAAGATCAAGATCATTTTAACCAGAAAAACAAAAAGTGTATCTAAATCAGATTACCAACCCTACCTTTAACTCTGCAGGTTACAGACAGAGCTATCCGAGCGATCATTGCACCGACAGTATGAGTGAGTCATGCTTTAGGTGGAGTTTATTGACTGATACTCACGCCGGTCACTCTCAGGACTCCTTCCACAGAGGAGAAGATCAGGTAGAGAAGTCCGACAGCGACCAGCCGGTGTACCGTGGTGCCCAGCCTGGGTCTAACAACGATGGAAATAAGAGAATCAACATTAGAATTAGCTAAAGTGAGTCCTTTTGTAGTTTTGAGGCTGTTTTTCGGGGTTAAACTCACCTGACTATGCCATAACCAAGACTGACGATGAGGACCAGGATCCGAGCTAAAGATCTTTTGAGCGCAGAGAGCAGCTCTGCGAAAATCACAGCACCTTGTACTGTGGAGAAGAGTGTGACGAACGAGTTAAAACACACTGAGGAGGACAGGATGGAGAAGACAAACAAACATCGACATGAGATCAGCTGACCGTAGTCTCCTTTGTAGCGGATGCTCTGATACTCGGAGTAAAACACGGCTTTCTCAAGCATGCCCAGGATGATGACGGCGCCGATCCAGAACTGGATCCGCAGCAGATCCCTCCAGTAGCAGGCGCACCAGAAGAGCCAGAGAGCCCCGAAGAGCACGTACACGATGCACATGACCATGAAGAACTGTGAAGGAAGGAGTTTACAGATGGAGATAAAACTGATGAGACATAATCCGGGAATAAACGCAACATTCACAGAGTCTCTTAAATACTGGTTTCTGTTTGTTTGAACGTCTCTGAGACCAGAAAACAAGATTCATGATCAACATCTTTGAACTTTTCTGACATTTTAAAAACTAAACAGAAAAATACTGAAAAAGAAAAATTTAGTTTCACTTCCACGCCCACATGCTTTTCACTCAGACACAGTAAGAGCTCGTGCTCTGGTGTCGCGCTCTCGGTCTCGTGTTTGCGCTGAGATTATTACACCACAGACGGCTCCTAACAGTTAAATTAAGTTCTTTTAATCAAAGTTAATGATATAATATTGAACACAAACCATCATCAGAGGCCAGTCTGCCGGAGAGGAGTAGTCGTGTGGTCCTTTCATCTCAACCTTCACTGGAGGAGGAAAGTTTCAAAAAAGTGAATTTTGCGTTTCTTTTCACTCTTTCTGGTTTATTTTTCTGAATATTTTAAAGTTTTTTTGTTTTAAAGTGGGAGTCGTGTTTCTTACTTGTGAAGGCGAAGTTGAGCTGCTCCGCCTCGATGTCTTCATCATCCAGCCCTCTGAACAAAGGCTGCACCTTCACGATGAACAGATACGGACTGTCCTCCCAGGCTTTGGCCACGGCGCCGATATCCTGCAGAAACATGTCAGCGTGCAAAACATTAAAGAGTTTGATTTTATGTTTTTATCTGTGGCTTTAAAACAAAATGTTTGGATTAAATCCTCAAAACAAGAATTTAAAACCAGATTATTTCTGTTCAGCACTAAAATCTCAGTTTACTCTTTTCAAAGTTTAACTCTGATGATCTCAAATATTTGCAGAACATGTTTTCAGAGTACGGTTGTCACGGTAATCATATATTAAACTTGGATCCTGTGTTTTATCCTACACCTTTACAAAATAAATCTTTGCTCTAAGTGGGTTATAATAGCCGACTGCTTTTCCTGCTTATATGTTTATTATGTTTTTAGTTTTTATTCATGGTGAATCAGCGGCATCTGAAGACATCCATGACTGTGATCTCAGTTTGTAACAAAAAAAAGTCCACTAAGCGACGAGTCTCTTCCTGAAGTTCTGAACCAACGTGTCTTACCGGCTTGTCGGGCCACACGATGCTCTGATTCGACGGGTCACTCTAAGCGAAAGAAAGAAATGTGTAAAAGAGAGAACAGCACACACACACACACAAACAAACACATAAATCTCTTTTATTTGAGCTTCATGTTGACTCACCTTTGGGCTACTGAGGGGCTGATATGGGTTGAAGTCGGGATAATACACCTGAGAGAGAGGCAAGAGTGAAGAGACATATGAAAACTGGTCATCACTCAGACTTCAGATCAGGTGATTCATGAACCGATCATCTGCTCACGAACCTTGGGTAAGAAGAGGGAGGAGCAGTTCTCGAAGTACATGTAACCCTGACTGTAGAAACCGCTCCAGCCGTCCTTCAACATGTGGTCCATACCGAACATGTTCATCGCTTTGTTATCCTGCAAAAATCAAAAACAACATGCAAATGTGATAAATCTGAGCGCCGAAACATCTGGAAACAGGTGAAGTTTGAATAAAGTCTATAGCGAATAACCTTAAGATGAACCTTTTTAGTTTTTTATGGGACTCACTGAAGAATTAGATCAGTGTCCATGTGTATAAAACTACTTTCTTTCAATATTAACTGCATGTTAGGGAAACTGTTGGAACTCGGTCACCGTTCAGCCAAAGTAAACACTCACAGGTGTGTTGAAGACCTCATTGTAGCAAACAGAGGAGCGCAGGTACCAGCTGATGTTGAAGGCCAGGTTTCTGTCACATGAGGCTGTGTCACCCTGGACTGCAGAGAAATAACGAAACAACATTTTCAACAACAAGAAGAGTTTTTAAAGTTCATCAAATTTCTGTCTCTTTGTAATAATCTGAATTTTCCTCGCTTTGTTCATGTGTTGAAGTCTTCTCTGGTGCTGCTGCGTTTTCAACTCTCACTGTCTGTGTTTGTCTGAGGGTTTCAAAAGTAATAAATCACAAAGATCAGACACACAAACAAACAAGAAACCCACAGCTTTGGTCGGGCGTGAGAGATTCGGATCTCTGAGCGGCGCCAAAAATCTGTCAGACTTGGCTGCGGATCTGTGACCTTGCTGCACGTTTACAAACTCGCGTTGGAAAGAAATATCCAGAACTTGACTCACATGTGGGCGAGCCTGAAGTTAATGAGTAAGTGCTGCTTGGATTTTACTCGCTGCTTTTTTATTTCTTGTTTTTTTTTTTTTTTTGGTTGTTTGTGTTTTTGAGAGTAAATCATAACATGTCAGAGGAAAGAGAGGCAGAGGGTGAGAGATGAGGCCACCCTCATCTCTCATGCGTCACTGTATCAAAACACGGGCTTGTTTATAACCTTGAACTGAATATTTGGACAGTGTGATGGGTGGAGTTTGCCACTTGGGAAAGCAGAAACAACAAGGATGTACTGTACCTGAGTGTTTGCTTCAAATCAAACAGCTATCAGTGCCTCTAGAGGTGCACACAGTCACTGTGTTCCAAATTATTATGCAAATTGTATTTAAGTGTCATAAAGGTTCACTGTTTTGATCACTGAAATCAATCTCAGACACCTGTAATCGTTAGTTTACCAGGTGAGATCAATTAACTACTAAAGAAGGAGGTTCCACGTTATTAAGCAGACACACTTTTTTAAGCAATATGGGAAAGAAAAAGGATCTTCTGCTGCTGAAAAGCATGAAATAGTTGAATGCTTTGGACAAGGAATGAAAACCTTCGATATTTCACGAAAACACAAGCGTTGTCATCGTACTGTTAAGAGATTTGTGGCTGATTCACATCCAAACAGCAGCTCTGGGAGGATATTCTGACGTCCTGCAAACAAATCCAAGCGGAAACTCTCCAAAAACTCACAAGTTCGATGGATGCAAGAATTTTGAAGCTGCTGTCAAATAAGGGGGTCTTATGTTGAAATGTAACTTGACCTGCTAAGATGTTTTTGATTGAAATAGCTTTTCATTTCAGTAAATATGACCTCCTTTTATGCTGCAAATTCAACAAACGACCATTTTCAGTTCCTTACAACCTATAAAATGTTTTGAAACTCTGTCGTGCAAAATAATTTGGAAAAGTACATTTTAAGTTTTTTATTTTTGAGAAAAATACTGTTATCATTGGGAGGTTTGTTCAATAACATTTAGATTAAACTTTGATGGTTAATGACTTGAAAATTATGCTGACTGTCATTTGCACTGGCTATTTAGAAAATCTGAGAAAAACATCATTTGCATAATAATTTGGAACGCGATGTACAGATTATACATAAAAACTGAATACTGGTAGTGAGGCGTAAACAATGAAAGGTTCAGTCTCTGTAAGAGGATCAAAAGTCTATAAAGATGAGAGGTACTGCAGTTAAAGCAGCGTCATCATCATAGACATGAATCTGTAGTCTTCAATCCTGTTTAAGGAAAGAGGAAACTAACAAATTAGAGGTTCATAAAACTGGATTTTTACTGATATCTGATTGTAGGAGCCAAAATATATTTGTTGAAAGCATGCTTTCTATTAGGTACATCACTGAGGGGTGTGGTTTTGGGATGTTTGGCGGGTTATTTAAATCTCACCAGGCTAGTTAGACAAGGTCTGATAATTTTCTGTTGACCGTTTCACTTGTCCTGTTTTAACCTCATTTCATCTTATCACTTTTTTATTGGAAGGCAAAAGTTTTAGACCTGGATCAGTGTATTTTCTCTTTCTTTTCTGGAACAATAAACCACTTTTTATCACTCTAACCTGACTGATAATTGAACGAGTCACAGATGCAAGCGAACCGAAACCCCAGCAGCCTTTTTGTTGAAGGAGAGCAGTCGCTACACCGATCCTAACACACACATATGCCCACACCTTTGTTTTTTCACCAAGCCGCCGCTGTCTCAGAACTAACCTGTAACTCTTATTTTAATAGTCTGTTTGTCTTAGACGCTGACATTAAATAATCTTGATTCTACCGTAAATACAAACAGCTATTTGTCTGTGTACACCTTCAGGCTTTAATAATGGTGATAATGTTGGGCATTCCTAAAACACACAGTATGTCAGAGACGAAAAGGTTCAGGCTGCTTACACCTCATGAAGATAGTGGTGTTGGCGTACAGCGTCTTTCGAAAAACAGCATCCTGCGTCTAAAAAAACAACAGAGACAAAGGGGTTATCATCCAGCAGCAGCTCGAGCATGAGAATAAGAAGGATTTGCACTTTTTAGGAGCTGGAAACAATAAAAACCCAAGAGATATAAACCATTAAAGTAAGAAGTGCATTTTTTAAGGACTGTATTAAGTCAAATCAGAGTTTATAACGACACAATATCACAAAAGAGGGTGTAAGATAATTCAGTAAAGAGCAGATCAGCCACATATCAAATTTAATGACTTTAGATCAGACTTCATAACACATATTTCAAAGGGTTTCAAGGTAATAACATAGCACTACTCACAAATAAGCTTCAAACTGCTTTATCATTAAAGCTAGGTTTGCACAAGTACAAACATACGAGTTTTAATTCATTACTTATTAGCAGGGATACATCCCTCTGTGGTAGATACCGTACACAGTATCCTGAAACATCACCTGTTTTTCCTGATTTACTTGAAGTACACAGCTACATTTAGCAAAGATTAACAGCTGTAATTAAAAGTAATGTAAGATAAGTCATTCCTCATGAAATGCTCTTGGTGTCAGGCTGGAAAAACCTGAGCTGTCAAAGCTCGGAGTGTGTAAATAAAAGGATGTAACATGGAGTGTGATGCTACAGGCTAACTAGCTTCCCCGGCTACGGAAGACTTACAGTAGGACGACAGGAAACTGACAAATAAGGATAAATGTCTGAGCTGAAGGAGTGACACTGACCGAGTTGATGTCCACCGTCCATATGGAGACCTCTGCCGCTGTCCCGACACGGAAAACTACAGCTAAAAGCAGAAAACATGAGCTAAACGACAGCGCACCTGGCATCTTCATTCGAGCATCTACAGTAGTTCTGCTCTGACTCGTATCCGCCTCCAGTTCCTGTGTCCACAGCGCTATTAGCGGTAGTTTCCCTCATATTCACCAGGGGGCGACAGAAACAGCTCAAGAGAGTGAAGGGCAGAGAGACGTGGATTCAGCATGTAAGTAGGTGATATTTCAGTATAAACAGAGGCGAGTCCAAACGGGTGGCCAGAGATGACATGACTTTGAAAGCACCTTAAAAGCAAATTTAGCAAGGCTCACCTGAGGTTTTAATAAACAGATCCAGGGTTCAAATCCAGAGCAGGGACTCTTCATGTTGGCAAGAAAGAAAATGCTGTTCTCACTTACAGTTAAAACCAAGGTTATAAACTTCCAGTGTAAAAAATTGTAGAAGCCAGAGCTTTATGTGAGCCAACTCTTCTGGTTCTTTTGGGCATTTTTCTATTTGACTCTATTAAACAATAAATATTACAAAAAATATATATATTTTGAAAAAAATATCTAAACTTAGAAAACAACTGAAACAAGACTAAAAAAATACATAAAACCATATACATATACATATATACACACATATATATATGTATATATACATACATATATGAGTATATATGTATTAAATAAATTTCTATACATATATGTTTATATATATACACATATATACAGACACACACACACATATATACACACACACACACACACACACACACACACACACACATATACATATATATATATATAGTAAAGTTAAATTTCAGGAGAATTACTTATCATGAGCAGAGTACAGTCATTCAGATTAAGAGTAATTTTACATCCTTGAGTGACCTGCAGAGTAAAGATGCGCCCTTGGTGGGCTGCCTTTACGACTTTAATTTGAAAAGTCAAACCGGAAGTCGTATTTGCGGTTTGTTTACAGCTGGCTCCGTGTCATATCTGCTGTGAACTGCAAACCACCTCGGCTCTACAGTTTCATGTTAAAAAAGGAGACATTTAAAGGCTGATGTTCGTCTGTCTGTCGGCTCGGAATGGCAGAGGAGAACCAACCCGGAGTTAACAGGTATAAACAAACATGATTTTAATCATAACGACCTTTGATATGAACAGTCTGTGCAGAGGAGACCGGTCTGCTGCACACTTTCTCAGTGAGTAAACATATCCACACTCTCTGAAACCGAAACTAAACTTCATTATGTTGCAAAGTATTTCTGTATTAGTTATTAATGAATGCAGCCATGCAATATGCAACACTTAAGGTTGGTTTGCATGTATGGTTTGCATTTGAAACTGTAATTATTCCAAGTATTTCAGCACAGTTGGTAAGTTTCGTTTTCCCAGCCTGAGGTTCACTTTCGTTTTCTCCCTCCTCCTCCTCCTCCTCCTCCTCAGTGTTGTTCCCGATGATGAAGGACGAGAAAAGTTTAAGAAGAGTGATAATGTCGCTTTTTACAAGTAAGTTGAACAGAAAATATCAGTGTTATTTCACCCTATTTATGCACATAAATACCTGACATGATCCCCCTCAGTTACCTGTATTTGGTGATACATTTTCACAGGTGTGTTCAGCAGGATTAAAGCATACTTATCTCCTATTTTTAAACTTATGATTATTATATCTAAGGCGACAGATGCAGGGCTCAAACATGCAGTACAAAGCTCTTTTGGAGACCATGGTGCTCACAGAGAAGGGGGCTCGTTTTGAACTGCTGGAGTCCTACACTCAGGTCAGTACAAACTTTAACTCTTAGAAAAATAAAAGCTTTAACTGTTTGATCACATTGAAGTCTATTTGATCACTGTCATATATCCAACTTTAACATAACTATTTGGATACTTTTCTCTTAGAGGAGTTTTTGACTGATTATAAGTATATAATTAAACTTCCTCTTTATGCCCTAAAAAGAGAAATAAAACCAAGACAGTTGGAATTTCTATATCCTAATTTTGAGAATTATTTATAGAAATACCTACTTTTCTATCTCAGAACCGTGGTCTAGAAACATAAATATTCTTCCATACTTTATTTTTTATTTTCCATACTTTTTAAAACCTGGAAATTAAGCAAATTTATTTCCATACTTGCATAGGAACCCTGCTAAGAACAACAAAAATAATGAAAATGGCGCCTGAGGTATTTCAAATCTAACATCAGAGAGTTAGTTAAAGGGATATTCTGGTGTAAAATTAGTTCAGGGTCAAACACACCGTAACACAGAGTTAAACACCCCCTCGAGGGATGATTGTTGCCGACCGCTTGCTTCTCTAGTTATACCAACTTAAGTAACGTGTCTGCTTTTTTTCAGACTAAACTGCTCCTTTCTGTGACGCCATGCAAAAATGACACCGTAAAGATCCTAATAGATGAACTCCAGCCCATTAAACCACGTTTCAGAGTCCCAGATGTGGTGACGAAGGAGCCACAGTGTGAACCGTAAGATCCGCATCAGATCAGATTCCCCCCTTAACGCTTCACTCCTCTGTTTAATGCACTTAAAGCATCTAGACCTAAAACTTGGTCTAGATGTTGCCAGATTTGTGGAATTGCTGCAGTACTTGAACGTTTTTGACCCCGTTATTTCAACCCCCCCTTTAAGGTTGAGAGTGGTCAGACAGTCTCAGCACTCCGTCACCCTGTCCTGGTCGGAGGGATGTTATCAGGTTTGCGTGTGGCACTCCCCTTTTCGACTGGAGATCCTGTGTGAGGAGCAGGTGATGGTAACGTTCAACTCCAGAGGAAAACTGTGGTTCGAGATGTTGCAGGATCCGTCCAGGTGAGGATCTCAGGGATGGTAACAGATCAGCACATACAGTCAAAGAAATCACACATTTTTCCTTCTTTTTTTTCCCATCAGGGCCATGTCTCAAAGAAGTGAGGTAGGAGATAACAGACACAGATTAAAACCACAACCTGACATTACCTAGACTTTTACCCTGGTGTAAATTCTTCGTTCTCTTTTGCAGCTTCAAGAAAATAACGCAGGAGGTCTCTGGAGGGAGACTTTCAGGCAGTTTGAAGACATCAAAGCTAACGGTTTGTTTCGTGCTTTTAAAGGAAATTAACTTCGACCCGTTTGTCTTCCTCAGTCCGATCAGTCAGACATGCTTCTTCTTCATCTCCAGGTCCCAGCAGCGTTGGATCTGACCTCTGCCTTCATGGTTTCAGTCATGTTTACGGTCTACCGGAGCACGCCGACGGCCTCCAGCTCAAAGACACCAGGTGTGTAAATGTATACAAGCAGCAGAGAAATAAAACCCTTCTCACACATGAGGGTCACTCCTGAAAATGTCCACGAATTGTGCGAATCAGCCGCAGACAAACAGACTTTATTTAGACTTTTTCCTGCCAATCTTAAGAGAGAAATGTTGAGATGAGGACAGGGAAAGTCGACTTCATGCAACGGATGTGAGACCTGTGTGATCTGACACAAAATCAGAAACTGTCAACAAAGACAGACATAATCCTCCACTGTGGCATGTGGGAGTGGGAAAAACCTCATGAGCAGGCTGTTGTTGTCCTAAATTTTTCCAGAGATTGTCAGGAGTGCATGTGAGAAAGCTGCTAAGCTGCTGTTTTATGTAAAGAGTATTTGTTGCTCTCAGTTTGTGTTTCTCTCCCTGCCTGGTGATAGCAGATGGAAATTTGAGGTCTCTGTATTTTCACAAACAGTAGATAGAAAAACTGAGGAAGTGTATAAAATTCATGTTTCTTCCTCGTGTCTTCTCTTGTTTTCTTTCCACAGAGCCAGTGAACCGTATCGGCTCTACAACCTGGACGTCTTTGCCTACGAGCTCTTCAGTCGCCTCGGCTTGTACGGGTCTGTGCCGCTGCTGGTGGCTCACAAACCTGACAGGACTCTGGGTTTATTCTGGCTGAATGCATCTGAAACATTCGTGAACGTTTACTACAGCCCGTCTGATCAACAGGTAGATTATCTTTCCGCTGCTGAGCTCATGTTACCTGCCACTGCCCTTCAGGAGCTGTTCACTCCCACTATCTCACTGGATGTTACTCTGTTTACACTCAAACTCAGGGCAAGTTTCAGTCATTTTCAGGACGTGCAGACACTGATATTTTCAGGGATTGCTCAACTATTTCTGGCAACTTAAGCAAACAAATCTTTCTGGTTAAGGTCTGCAAATTTTTAGGGATGAAGTTTGTGTGAAAGCAGGTCTTTTAAGGCTTCTGCTGTTTCCTTTCCAAGTATTCCTCGCCACGGAAAGAAATAATCGTGTTTTTAACTCTGTAAGAACAGAAAACCTTTTACTAACTAAATGTGTTACCTCCGCTCCTCTCTCAGGGTGATCAGTCGCCTCTGCTGAAGAAAAGGAGAAAACAGCCTCAGACCGACGTCCGCTGGCTGTCAGAGAGCGGTGTGATCGACTGTACTGTTCTGCTTGGGCCCGGTCCAAAGCATCTCTTCTCCCAGTATGCTCAGCTGACAGGTGTGTGTGAACGAGGGATATTTTTCAGGACAGGTGTTACATGGTGACAGAAAAAGGAATAGATTATTGAATTCATATATCATAAAAGATGCTGAAAATCTGACTGTAAACTTCCCTCCTCTCCCCTCCTTGTGTCAGGGTATCAAGCCCTCCCCCCTCTCTTCTCCCTCGGGTACCATCAGAGTCGCTGGAACTACAAAAATGAAGCCGATGTTAAGGCTGTAGATGCTGGGTTCGACCTCCACGACATCCCGTACGACGTTATCTGGTTGGACATCGAGCACACGGATGGGAAGCGTTACTTCACCTGGGATCCTGCTCTTTTCCCCGATCCGGCGGGCCTGCAGCGCCACCTGGAGAAGAAGAAGAGAAAGGTTGGTTGAAAGATGCATGATGTATTTTTGTGTCACAAATTTCTTTATTTCTTTTTAATCGATTTCTTCCTCCTCTTTCAGCTGGTTGTTATAAGTGACCCCCACATTAAGGTGGATCCTGATTGGTCGCTGTACTGTGAGGCCAAAGATGGAGGGCATTTCGTCAAGAGCAGAGAGGGGCAGATCTACAGGGGCTCATGCTGGCCTGGTAACAAGTTTTAGGGTGTTGTCATCTGCAAATCTGAGATAACATGTTTTGAAAGAGACGCTGAGCTCGTTTTGAGCTCAATCAGACAAATAAAACTCGATTTTGTGATTGACTGTCTCAGGGGAATCCTGTTACCTGGACTTTAGCAACCCAGACACCCGAGCGTGGTACTCCAGGTGTTACAGCCTGGATAAGTACAAGGTGAGTGGACAATCAAGACAAAACTGGTCCCTGGTGACGATATCCTCGCACAAAGAGAAAAACAAAAGCAAACATCCTGTTGTTCGATTACGTTTGTGGTTTCATCTGCTGCAGGGATCAACTGCATCTTTATTCATATGGAACGATATGAACGAACCGTCTGTGTTTGACGGGCCGGAGCAGACAATGCCCAAAGACGCAGTGCATCATGGGGGCTGGGAACATCGGGAACTACACAACCTGTATGGCTTCCACCAGGTGAGTGGGTTCATTTTGGTGTTTTAAAATCGTCTGTGCAGAATAATTATGACTCTTTTTCGTGTTTATGTTGCAGCACATGGCCACGTTTGAGGGTCTGCTCACTCGCTCAGGTGGTTCTGAGAGACCGTTTGTGCTTTCGCGCTCCTTTTACGCCGGATCACAGAGATTTGGTATCTTTTTCAGAATGAAAACTCATTTGGCCCTCAGTTTCTTTATGGTTTTAAACTGAACTGGGCCTGAACTGTTTGTTGTGGTTTTGTGTATTTGGTGGCAGGAGCAGTGTGGACCGGTGACAACGTCGCTTCATGGGAATATCTGAAGATCTCGGTCCCGATGCTTTTGTCACTGAGTGTGGCGGGCATAGGATTCTGTGGAGGTGAGGGATGTTGTGTGCACATATGTGGATATAATAAGAAGGACGTATGTATGTAAGCCAAGTTAAACAGCTATTTTAACAAGTGCAGCATTTTAAACTCAGAGTTGTGTTACTGTAAATATTTTTCTGTTCATTATACAAAATCAAAGTCTTCTGCATGTACTAGAGGATTATCAAAACTGAAGGTTGAAATTCAAGACAAGTTCTCCTGAATAGTTAGATCACTTTATTTCACATAACATGTTGTTACGTTACATCACAGTTTGTTGTGATCCGTTCTGTTACGTTCTGTTATTTGTTACATTACATTTTGATTTTTGTTGAGTTTTGTTACATGACGATACGTTCCGTTGTGTTGTTATGTTCCGTTGTGTTACATTATTCGTTATATTTTGTTACACTATGTTTTGATTTATTTAATTAAGTTTTGTTTCATTACACTAAGTTCCGTTGCGTTCCGTTGTGTTACATTCTGTTGTGTTACTTTATTCGTTACATTTTGTTACACTATGTTTTGATTTATTTCATTAAGTTTTGTCTCATTATACTACGTACTGTTGCGTTACGATCCGTTGTGTTACGTTCTGTTGTGTTACATTCCGTTCTATTACACTACATTTATGTCATGTTACATCACATTGTATTGGATTGCATTGTAATTTGTAACATTACGTTGCATTAGAATATGTAGCAGTTCATTAAATGACCTTGTTGTGTTACACAGCACTGCATGGAATTGAAGAAAACTGCACAGCATGTCACTGTGTTGCAGCTCAATGATATTCATAGATTACCGTATAATTCTATGATTTAATAATAATTTTTATTAAACTGATTGTAATAACTTTATTTAACAAGCACTTTGTATGATACTGCATCATATCTTCATTTATTGTATAATATTGCTGAGAAATTTAATACTTGTTTGGTGTACCATATTGCTTCATATTCCCATGCATTCCATCATTTACAGTGTACTGTATCATACTGTCTGTCATATTTTATTGTACTGTATCCTATAATATTGGATTGAATCTAATTATACTTTATTTCTTGTTTCATGTCCGTCCTCCCTCTCTATATCAGCCGACGTTGGTGGATTTGTTAAAGATCCTGAGCCAGAGCTGCTGGTTCGCTGGTACCAAGCAGCCGCTTTACAACCGTTCTTCAGAGGTCACTCTACAATCGTGTCGAAGCGTCGGGAGCCCTGGCTGTTCGGCGAGGAGGTCACCTCTGCGATCCGCACTGTGATCGAGCAGAGGTTTGGTTCACAGTCCAGTATCTTTTCTTCAATATTCTGTTTTTTTTTCCACCAGATTAACTGATCTTTTCTGGCCCAGTTCTCATACCAGAAAACTTAAAATTAACCCTCATGGTCGAACAAATCCAAGTCACACCTGATTTCTCTTTCTTGGCATGCTTAATTCCAATTTTCCTGTGAATTTGTTGAAATTTTCTGATTGTCATTGTCTGGTCTCTGTTCCTTAGATACTGTTTGCTGCCGTATTGGTACACTCTGTTCCACCAGGCTCACACTGCTGGTCTACCTCCACTTAGGTGAGTCTGCTGCCACCTGCTGCTGAATAGAGGTACTGCAGGTTCATGTATGCTTCTGATCAGCCACTGAACTCTCTGTATTGTAACTTTTGGTGATAGTTTAATGATGCTTTCTTGATAAGAAAGATGGATGATTGAATTAACTTCCCGATGTAAACCTTTCCAGACCTCTGTGGGTTGAATTTCCGAGCGAGGAGATCACCTTTACCGTGGACAAGCAGTACATGATTGGTGAGAAATGATTTTTTTTTTGTTTTGTCTCCGTTTTAAATATTTAATGTTTGCTTTTTTTTTTAACCTTGTTGTCTCTGGTTTGTTGCAGGAGAAGCTCTTCTGGCCTGTCCTGTTACTGGACCCGGTGTAAAAGAAATCCGAGTGTTACTTCCTGGATCTGGTGAGGTAAATCAACCTCCATGTGACATTTATACTGTGTTTCATCACCATGATATTCCTCAATTCTGATGTTTTGATGATTTTTTCTGTGTATTTTCAGGTTTGGTATGATGTCCACTCTGCAGAGGCGTTTAAAGGAGGAAGTAACGTGGTTCTTCCCGTCACTCTGGACACAGTTAGTCTTCTTTCTTTCTGAGATTAGGGTTAGGGTCAATACCACCTTAATCAAAGCCGTCTAAGCTTAATAATTATGTTTGAAATCAGATCAGATCCCAGTTAAGTACTCAAGGTTTTTCTGGAGACTCTCTGTTAATTTATGTAGATTAATAAAAGACTCTGGTGGTGTTTTTTTCTCTCTGTGCAGGTCCCCGTGTTTCAGCGAGGCGGCTCCGTGGTCTGCAGGTCGGCAGGGAGTGGATCCTGCGCGGCTGATTTTCAGTGGCTCCCTCTCTCCATCACTGTGGCCTTAAACTCTCAGGTTAACATCAAACCAATGATCTTCCTTGAAAGATGTTTTAGTTTCATGTTCATGTGAGGAAGCTTCCAGAACATGTGACCATGAGTATTCAGGAGGTTTTGAAGAGGTGAAGCTGCTGTTTAGACCTGTGATATTTCATTTTATGATAGTTCTGACCATCTCTGTAACCCCGTCTTTCTGCAGGGGGAAGCTGAAGGTGAGTTGTACCTGGATGACGGACACTCCTTCAGCTACCGGGACAGGAAGGCCTTCAGTCTGCGCAGGTTCACCATGCTGTCAGGCCGTCTGCTCTGCCGGTGAGTCATTTCTCACACCCCTAAAAATAAACAGATACCCCAGGAAGATTAGAAAGAAAAGAAGAAATCAAAGTTTTCTTTTAAACAAGTACATTTTCAAGAGAAACCTTTAAATTTTCCTCCATATCTTAACAAACGACTGTCTGGTTATTGTACCCTGTAGTCCTGCAAGTAAAGAGGGAACGTTTGACTGTGATACCGTCGTACAGTCCGTCACTTTCTTCGGCCTGAAGAGGAAACCGTCCACCGTGATCGTGCGAGTGTCAGGTGAGGAGCTCTGCTATTTATGAGAGTGTTTTCACAGTTTGATGTCGTTGTGTCTCAAAGTTTGTCGCTCAGTACAGGTTCACAGAGATGACAGAAGGATACAAGCGAGGTATTTTCATGCACACTCACAGAAAGGTTTTCCTTTTTATCAGCAGGAGCTGGAGACACGGCCGCGGCGTTCCAGTTCACAGAAACCTGCTGCACGCTGACAGTGAACAACCTGAACCTCAGAGTGACGGCGGACTGGGAGATCCAGATAGGTTAACTGTGAAAATGTCGCTCCTCTGAGGTTGATTTGTCAGAACTGGAGGCATGCTTTAAGCAGTAGACTCCAAAGTGGACTCAGCATCTATTACCACATTTTTAGCAAACGTGAAGTTTTTTAAAGAACTGTGTGCTGTGTAGAAGTATTTATTTTACTGTGTTTGTTGAACCAAACCAAAGTCTAAAGTTACTAGAACAAAAATCAAGATTTAATTGAGTTGATGTTTGGGTTTTATGTCAGATGTGATTGTGAAACTGAATAAAATCCAAACTGATGTGCAGCTACCGACGAGTTTTGGTGTCGCTGACCTTCTTTCATTCTTTATCTAATGACAGAGTGTTGATATTTGTTTGACAACATAGTGATTGTGTTCGTTTGTGTGACCCCTGACCTCTCCCTGGCTAGAATATTTGCTGGTTGAAGTGTGAAACGGAAAGTTCGATGAGAGCAGGAAGAAAGAAGAGAATGAAAAGTGAGGGATTCAGAATAAAACACAAGAACCTTTTAAACGAGACGGTTTTTCTCGCTGGATTTTGTTAATTGGGGAAACAGGAGAGACTGGTGGATAAACAGAAACTTATAATAACTTATGAATGAATGACAAATGATAAATATGATCCGTTCTTGTGTAACAAAACACACAATCTAAGGAAGAAGGAGAAGTAGGAATGACTGAATTTGATTAATCTGATTCACCTCCACACACATACTGTACCTCACACTCCACCCTGGAGGAACCGCTCTAGTCTACAATCCCTCTATCAAGTCTAGACTTCTCATGTGGCGTCCTAAAAAAGGATCTGACCGTCCCAAAACTTCACGGGTGTTTTAAACTCATTAAGACGAGACTTTTGAGAGTCAAACTGAATTTAAAAAAGTTAAAATATTCCTCCTCTAACAGGAAAAGATGATCTGCTGACACTAAAAGTTTAAGCCTCACACCTTGTTTACAGGCACTGAGGTTTCCCTACAAGTCTGGCCCCCTGAAAAGTTCCCGGTCTGTCCTCAGAACACTTAATTGTAATGACTACTTATCCGATAGGTGCTAAAAGTGGACGATACTCCCGTCTGTAGCGTTAGCCTGCTGTGGTTATGCTGAGACTGCTCAATGCTGAGCTCCATTGAGAACAGGTTGAATGCCTTCTGCTGAGGCAGGGCATCTACCCACCACTCTTTACATGCCCTCTGCTGCGGCCCGCTGGCCTTTGTGTCACCCAACAATGATGGCACCGGAGCACCACGGCCAGGGAGCGATCATTGTTCCCTTCAGCCAATAGGAATGCAACAAATAGAGGTGTATGTAAAGTGTGAGTTTCTGTGCATATGTGTGTGTACGGTAATGCAAAGGTGAATGCATGTGAACAGAATGTGTCTTTCACAGCGAGCTTTTGCATCAACCCTGTGACGAAGGGGAGGGGGACGTCACACAAAAGAGGAGCCAATCAGACATTAGCTGTTTGGATTTATGCCAGGGTTTTAGGCTTCTAAGACTTAAGTACAAGTGGCAAAACTCTGTTTAAAAAAAATAAAAAGCCAGCTGAGACGAGATGCCGTACACACCGTCTGGCTTTTTCTGTGACCGGCTGATCCGGGAGCGAGAGAGGAGAGATGGGGAAGGGTCTCTGAGTAAGCCTGTCCGCTTCAACACCCAGGACTTCAGCGTTCTGAGACAGGAGTGCCTTCAGAGTAAGAGTTTGTTCGAGGATGAGTCTTTCCCCGCCACTGTGGAGTCTTTGGGCTTCAAGGAGCTCGGACACAAGTCCAACAAGGTCAAGAACATCGTCTGGAAGAGGCCCAAGGTAGGAGGGGGAACGCTGGTGGCAAGGTTTGATAGAGAGGGGATGGAGCACACATGATGTGGGAGGTTGGACTGTGTTTTTTGAACAGCAAACCTGCATGGAAATCTAACTCCTGCTGTGGGATTTTACCTGAGGATGCAGATGGGATTAAGTACTGCCTAACAGTTCTTCACAGATGGATTGGAGTTACCGAATGCCGTCGTTGGGCTGGTGATTCCTGTTTTCTGGTTTAATGGCTGCAAAAATAATGGATAATCAGTTAAAAATTTCTTAAGGAACAACAAATCACAAGCTTCAAAAAATCACAAGACAAACAGCTGATTAAAGTCCTTTTTGTTGTGAAGTTAACCCTTGTTGTTTACCACTGTCTACAGGAAATCTCTGAGAACCCTCAGTTCATTGTTGGAGGCGCAAGTAGGACAGACATCTGCCAGGGAGATCTGGGTAAATCCTGCTTTATTTGACACTTTTACTATGATGGAGTGTGTTTACATGATCACTGGACGCCCAGTTTTGATCTGAGCTGGATCTGATGTCAACACCGAACGTGACAAATCCACGTTTTCTGTCCTCTGTGTGTGTCAGGAGTCGTGTCCTGATTTCCCACTAGATGTTTGCTCAGAAGTTTGGCTCGATTGTTTTTCTTTGTTCAGTAGTATTTTGGTATTTATTTATCACAGTCCTACAGGTGGAATATCTAGGTTTTTCCAAACCACAATAAAAAAAGTTGTAATTAATGTACTGTAAATGAAAAACAACACAAAGGGAGACATCAGAGTAGTCAGCCTTTTGCTCTAAAACAATGAACATGGCTCCTATGAGTTTGTTTCCATTTCTTAATGTTTTATCTATGTGAAGAACTTACAGGATTTTGTCTGTTGTAAAAGCTCTGAGCGTAAAAAAGACATGTCTACAAAACAGTTAACTTTGGACTTCTCGGCTGCTGCTCTTTTGTTAAACGAAACACCATGTTGGCGATATCATACATGACAAAGCAGACTCACGGTACTCACTTTTAACTAAATTGAGATTCGAAGAGAAAGAAACTAGGGGAGCCCAATAATGGCGTCCACTCAGCTTGTACTCGTCTTCCCAGTTCCTAGCTGACCAAAAAAGGCGCCATTTAGTGACGTCCTGACAACATTAACGTTGTTCAAGGAACAGTACGATCGTTACACTGTTTAAAAACCTGTATAAATACGCTTTATTTAAAGTATAACATTAAACTCAAACAAAATAAACACAACATCCTCATTTTGTACATTTGTACCCCTAACAAACCGAACATTTGTGCTCCCTAACCGCTCTTATCGCTGTAAAATTTCGTACGATGTACCGGAAGTGGTTACCGACTTTTATTCAACTTCAAAATAAAAGCATGATAAGTTATCGTTTTCCAAGGCAGATGGCAGAGGTTGGTAACATGTAAGCTAATTGGAATTATTTGTAAGGTAAACAGCTCTAATCAACCCTAAAAGTTCCTCTCAGCTAACATTTTTTGTTTGTTTGTTTTGTCTCACAAATGATAAATCTCGGTACAGTACATTGGTTAGTAGCAGAGCAGGCAGATGTCTTTTTAAGCAGTTAGGGAGCCCTCACAGATGGATTTTATTGCATATTTTATGTGTAATATTTAAAAAAGATTGTTAACTATTTACTGGAACAATTTCATTTTTCACAACCCTTTAGTCTGCCTCCGTTTATAAATCTACCATCTGAAATCTGAACCATGCAGATGGTATTTTGAGTCTTATCTGACTACTTAAGTGAATTTCTTCATACTGTTATAAGAATATATTCAGTTTTCTGTTATTTTGATGTTTACATGACTACAATACATCAGTAACAATCAAAACCAGGATAATAACACTCACATGTACACACTTTTGGTCTCTAATGGATTTGATACCCCTTTAATTTGTCATAAACATGTGTCAGGAGTATATTTTGGACAAAAAACCACATGTTTATGTTGTGACAGAAGTAGGAAATCCTAAACTGTCCTGTTATTATCGATGAAACTCTCAAACTTAAGCAGAGACACAACAGGCAGATCCACACACATTGTAAGACGACAGTGTAAGGTGTGTGTACATGCTATATGGAGCCCAACCTGGTTGATAACAGGGGAGCAAACACCCCGCCGATCCCCCACACACGGCCTCTCTCTGCCTGCAGCGGCCTCTCCATATTGTGCTTACTCTTTTGGAAGGGAATCCAGCCAGCAGCACTTCTCATTGTTGTTTTGTTCAGTTTGCGAATAAAAGGGTGCAAAGGGGACAAAGGTCCTGGCAGACACGGTTAAATGTTGCCTGTTGGAAAAAATGAACATTGTTTGCAGCTAACACACAGTGACACACACACCTGGATGGTCTGGAAACAGGAATGTCAGCACTCAGCCGGACCGTCTTCTCATGTAAAAACACGAGACTTCTCATGAGTTCCTGTCAGTCTGAGTTTTTGTTGTGAGTGAAATCAAATCTATCTAGGGTCAGTTTCATCATCTTGGCAGCTGTTTTGAAGTCGTACCAAGGACAGTGACAGCTTTTGTCAACTTTTGAGCCTTTATTTGAGAAGATGAGTTGGTGGACAGGCTGTTTTAGGGTTGTATGAGACCACTGAGTGACACATCTTTATGCATTTTGAGCAGCATTGGTTCACATTTAAAGTGCAAAAGTGGATTAAATCCAACTGCACTGTCACTATTTGTCATTCAAATGTCTCTGCAACATTTAAAAACACTGAAATTTGACTCTTTTTCATTGTTCAGGTGACTGCTGGTTGCTGGCCGCCATCGCCTGCCTCACCCTGAATGAGAAGCTTCTGTATCGAGTCGTTCCTCAGGAGCAAAGCTTCTCAGACGACTATGCGGGAATCTTCCACTTCCAGGTAAATAAGAAGAACTTGGTTTCACCTTATGTCGTCCAAAACAGCCTCCAAAGCAACATAAGAAATCAGCTTTATTGGCTATTTTAGATAAAGATAGAAATGAAGAGTCAAAGTTGTCTTATTATGTTTTTACCACATGTCCAAACGGATTCTCATTGTTGTTTCTGTCTCCATCTGTCCTCCAGTTCTGGCGCTATGGCGACTGGGTGGATGTTGTCATTGACGACCGCATCCCAACTTTCAACAACCAGCTGGTGTTCACCAAGTCGGCTGAGAGGAACGAGTTCTGGAGCGCCCTGCTGGAGAAAGCCTACGCCAAGTGAGTGTTTCAGTCTTTGGTTGTATCTTTTAGCGGCAGACAAGAAGCAGTTTTCTGATTTAAAGGAGTAGTTCACATTTTTTTGGGTCAATAGCTCCTGTGTTATTCAGGAGGGATCCAGGTCAGTTTAGCCTGTTGTAGTCCATGAACTGCTGCAGACGAGTCCAGTACTAATATAAAGAAAGTCTGACAGAAGTATTAACAGCTCCATAAAAACCTGGAAAATAACTGTATATATTCGCTCTCTTGTCCAGGTTGCACGGCTCCTATGAGGCGCTTAAAGGTGGAAACACCACCGAGGCCATGGAGGATTTCACTGGAGGAGTCACTGAGTTCTACGAGATGAAGGAAGCTCCAAAAGAGCTCTACAAGATCATGAAGAAAGCTCTGGAGAGAGGCTCCCTCATGGGCTGCTCCATCGACGTGAGTCTGTGATTCACCTGTTTGTTGTACGCTCAGCTTTTCCTCTAAATATCAGCACAACTTGTGTTCTTGTTTCGTGTTTGCAGTCTCTGGTTCCTGCTCGCTTTGAGACTCGTACGGCGACGGGACTGGTGAAGGGTCACGCCTACTCAGTGACGGCGGTGGAGGAGGTGAATCTGCTCACTGTGTGGGATTATTTTAGCTCTGTGATCCTGCAGAGCCGTGTTTTCTTCTTCATCTCTTCTGTACTTCTTGTGTCTTTAAATAAAATGTAAAAATCTCTGAATTTTGTTTCCCTCCAGTGTAAACCGTCTCAGCACAAGGAATCCAAAGTCCGTCTGGTGCGTCTGAGGAACCCGTGGGGTCAGGTGGAGTGGAACGGCCCCTGGAGTGACAAGTCAGGCGTTTTAGACCAACTTTAAACCTTTTATTTTTATCTCTAAATCCAAGTTAGACACCATTCAGCTCACTTTTTGTTTAAACTTTTCTGTCAAACTTCAGCTCCAAGGAGTGGGCCACACTCTCCAAATCTGAGAAGGAGAAGCTGCAGCATCAGAGCGCCGAGGACGGAGAGTTCTGGTGGGTCATGTGTTTTTAAAGTGTCAAAAAAGTGACTATTTTGAGTGATCTACTATCGAGTGCATCTGGACTTCTCAGTTCAGTTTGATATTTGACTGGAAATCAGACAAAAAACTATCAACCTAGTGACCTTCTGGTCTCTGCAGGATGTCATTCGAGGACTTTAAAAAGAACTACACAAAGATCGAGATCTGCAACCTCACCCCCGACGCCCTGGAGGACGATAAGATTCATAAGTGGACGGTTTCTGTGAACGAGGGTCGCTGGGTGAGGGGCTGCTCCGCCGGGGGCTGCAGGAATTACCCAGGTACACCTGACACCTGAAACAACCTGGGAGCTTTCCTGCAGAGAACTGTAACTTGGTTTTATGATGCATAAGTATAAAGAGGATTCAAGTATTTATATGACCCGTCTCCACTCTTAGAATCAGGATCCATTAGATCGGTTTATCATGTTCAGATCTGCTTGTTTTCATTGGTTTCCATCACAGATCTAGATCATAAAGACACATTTACGTTGTGACACTTCCCTTTTGTCCTGCAGACACCTTCTGGACCAACCCTCAGTACCGCCTCCGTCTGCTGGAGGAGGATGATGATCCCGAGGACAATGAGGTGGGCTGCACCTTCGTGGTCGCTCTGATGCAGAAGAACAGAAGGAAAGAGCGCAAGATGGGAGCCAACCTCTTCACCATCGGATTCGCCATCTATGAGGTGAGACATTTATGTAATTACTGTTGATGAAAGGATCTGAAGAGATTATTTTATACCGTTGAGAAATTTGAGTTGCACTTGTTCCTCGTTCAGTCCTGCATCAAAGGACTGAATCAAATTGGTCTTTAAATTATTCAGGGTTCCTACACCATTTGAATTTCCGTACTTTCCCATATTCTATTTTAGAAAACAATATGTTAGAACAATACTTTATTTTTCATTTACCATACTTTTTAAGACCTGGAAATTGATCAAATTACTTCCATACTTTTGATACTTGCGTAGGAACCCTAATTGTTAGAAACAGTAAAAAACTTGTATCTTGGGCTCTCAAATCCACGAACACGCCTTTAGATAAAGATTTTTATCATCTAAGATTAAAATACATTAACCATAATTTGATATAAGACTTTAAAAACTTTAAATTCCAAGTACCACAGACAAAAGTTTCTGCTTTTTTTTTGCTCTAAAGTTTCGTAGTTGGCATTATTCTTCGTCTGTCCTACCATCTCCTCAGATCTAACCATGTTATAATTAACCACATAAGTTCTACTTTTGATGCTTATATATTATTATTATAATCTGCAGCAGCAGCAGGTTTGAGACCCAAAGAGAGATGTTCTTCTGTTTTTAATTTGCAGCTTTATGTTAAATAAAGTCTAATGCAGCCTCCGTTTGTCTCTCTGCAGGTGCCAAAGGAGGTAAGAAAACATCAAATTCTCCCCGAGTCGACTCCTTTAGATCTAAATTTTTCTTTATTTCTTTAATTTGATCATCTTTGCCTTTTTTCCCCACAGTTGTTCTGATACACATGTCCTACTTTCCCCTTCCAGATGCATGGAAACAAGCAGCACATGCAGAAGGACTTTTTCCTCTTCAACTCCTCCAAAGCTCGCTGTAAGTCCTACATCAACCTGCGCGAGGTGACCCAGCGCTTCCGCCTGACGCCCGGGGAGTACGTCATCATCCCCTCCACGTACGAGCCGCACCAGGAGGGCGAGTTCATCCTGCGAGTCTTCTCTGAAAAGAGGAACACCTCAGAGTGAGTGGGTGAGGGCGGTCGGGGGGCCTGCAGGGGGCAGCCATGTGGTTTCACTCAGGTTTTTGTAGATGCTGTTTTGAGTCCATGATGTAGATCTAATATCTCTTTGTGGGGTTTGGGGTATCATGTGCATCTTTTCGGTGTGGGTCTGTGTGTGTTTGTGGATGAGGGTGGGCTTGTTTTGTCGGGTTGTTTGGTGGGTGGGACAAAAACCAACAAGAACAAACAATTTTAACGGCGATTTGATTTGTAGAATTGGAAGAAATCGGCCCCAGTTCGAAGCTGTTATGGAATCTTTTTTAGGACAAGCGACTTCAGATTTGGGCATGCACCGGTAAACTTTCAAAATATTCAATACTGCATGTTCAAGCCTCCTCCTACACCCACCCCCAGCTGCTGCCCTGGAGGACCAGACAGCATTGATGGACCGGGACCTGGCAGTGAATCAGGCTGTGGGATGGATGTGACCACAAAGATGGCCAAAACTAGCTCTAAGTTTTACTGATTTTATACCTAAAGGTTGTTGAATAGCACATAAAAACACGTTAATTAACCTCAGCTTGAATTTAAACTCAAGAAGAAGAAACTTCCCTCAACCAAGAACGCCCAAAATAAGACAAACGAGGAGAGAAAGCTCAAACAGGTGGTACTAAACTAACCAGTTTTCCTCACAGCTTCATCAGGGATCACTCTATCTTTAAAGCTGATGTGAGTACAGGACTGTCACTGTATATAAAGATGGATGACACATGCCCACCTGTTTCTATTGCACAAAAGTGAAGCCAAAATACTCCTGAGGATGGGTGCTGACAGTTTCTGAACATTAGAGATCATCTGAAAATACAAAAGGTCTACTCATAAAATCACATAGATTGACAAATGTGAGTCAGTCTGTAGTTTAACGGATTCTTGTTTCGGTTTGAGGCGTGCTCTCATGGTTATGAGGACTCTTGGATAACACATTAACAGGATTCCAAGACCTCATTTTTCGTGAGCGTGGTCTAGACCTGCTCTTTTTTTCTTGGGGTAACGACTATTGTGATTTGGCGCTATATAAATAACACTTGATCGATCGATGGATTTACAAATCATCAAATAACCTTTGCAGATCCTCTTTTAATACTTTTATTTTTGTCACCATAAATTGGCCGTGTTTTAATAATAATGAATAAAATCCCAGTATAGTGTGTAAGAATGGAGGAATAAAATGATTAATCAATAATATAAAACAGCTTGCATTAAATTTTTTCTTTTTTTGGACAAACAACCAAGTAATCTGTTCATCACAAGTGCAAAAAGTATAAATGACTGAATAAAGATGGCGGCAGATTTAATACCTGTGCGACCTGTATTCTGGATTTTAACTGTAAAAAAAATTAGACCCCTCCAAACTGTGAAGACTTTGACGTAAATCATCATAACAAGAACAAACTAATTTAGATATTTTTAGAATATTTTGGGATATTTTAGAATTTTAATCCCATAGTCGGACCCATCTGTTAACATGGAGGAAATGTTTTGGCTTCAGTTTTGGGGAGCTGTCATCCTGTTTGTCTTTATATACAGTCATGTTTTGTTGTTTTGTTAATCCGTATAAAATAATAATAATAATGTTTTTAAATGAGTTACAGGATCTGATATTCTGTGTGATGAGGTTTACTGACTGTTGTAAAGAGAGATAGAAGTGCAGATGTGGTCCAGGTGGGATGTTGTTGTCACCATGGTGACTGCTGTTTGTTGGTCTTCACTCAGGGAGATAGAGAACAGGATCGAGGCCGATCATCCAGTGGTAAGTGTCAGTCTTGTTATTATTAAGCCGGACCTTCAAGATATTTACAACAAACTGTAGACTTGACTAAAACATCACAACACGACTGTTACATCTGAGTTTAACTCGATTATTTTCTCTCAGCCGGCACCGGCCTCGGCGGGGGAGGAGAGCGAGGAGGACCAGCAGTTCAGGACGATTTTTCAAGAGATAGCCGGTGAAGTGAGTACAAGACAGAAGAGTTAGAGTCACAGTTAAGAAGTACAGATTTAGTTTAGATTCTTGGGTTTCTACTTTTTAGTGTTTAAGTTCATTTTTATTTCTTCTTTTAGGAAATGGAAATCACAGCCAATGAACTGAAAAATGTTCTCAACAGAGTGATCACCAAACGTGAGTTTAAATCTATCACTTTAACTCTATTCCTGTCCTGTTCTCATTGAGTCAAACCAAAGTTTACACATTACTAATGTCGCTGCATGTTTACAAACGTGAAGTCTTGGAGGTTGATTCTGACCCCTGCGTCTCTGCAGATAAGGACCTGAACACAGAGGGCTTCAGCCTGGAGAGCTGCAGGAGCATGATTGCTCTGATGGACGTATCCTTTGTATCGAGTGCATCGGGCTGGCTGTGTTGTCTGTAGGAGGCACAACCTGCTGAGACCCATGGTGGGGTCTGTGATGGATGCTCACAGGGCCGCGGCCTCATTTCACCACAGTTCACTCCAGTATCTGGTTTCCTCAGGATGAGTTTGACCTCAGAGGAAGACGACTTCTTGTGATATTGACTTGTCTGAGTCAGCTTTTATTTTGAAATCTTAATGATTAGAGGATTTGTTCTTAACTGTTTGGGTTCAGATGGACGGGACAGGTAGACTCAATCTTCAGGAGTTCAGACATCTGTGGAATAAAATCAAACAGTGGCAGGTCTGTCTTCTTCTCTCAGCGTTCAGTCCCGATCCAAAATAGATAAAATTTGATGTAAAACATAAATAAACAGAGAATTTAAAGATTTGAAAGTCAGTCAAACCTCAGATTTAGTTTGTATACTCTTTTCTTCGCTGCATCGAACTCACGCCGTCTCTCTTTCAGGGAATCTTTATGCACTATAACACCGACCAATCCGGTACCATCAACAGTTACGAGATGAGGAACGCGGTCAACGATGCAGGTGATAACTTTGACATAAGATGTGATTGTTTCTGTCAGTTCACCCAGTTTACAAAAACACACACAGGTCTTTAAATGCTGATATTTCTGGAGTTTTAAAAGTTGATGGAGGTAAACGGACAAAATGCCAAAGAAACAATACAAACTTTATTGTTTTTGAAACTTCAGCGAATCAAAAACTATCTGGACCAGTCTGTGTCAACATGAGGTTTTTGTAAATTTGGTGAACTGATCCTTTAAAAGTTACTCTTTTATAATGCTCATATATTGAACATTAAGTGTGATATATATCATACCTGTATATTCCTAAACTCTGATGTTTGTAGATTTGCAGAAATGTTTTTTTTTTTTTAAGTGTGTGCTGCTGATGAACTGACGGCTTGAACTCATCCTCTAAATGTTCTTGTCACTGTACAGTCATGTGTCTTGTGTCCCGCTCAGGCTTCCGTCTCAACAACCAGCTGTACGACATCATCACCATGCGCTACGCTAACGAGAGCATGAACATTGACTTTGACAGTTTCATCAGCTGTCTGGTTCGGCTTGAAGCCATGTTCAGTAAGTCAGTGCCTCACACACACCGTCACTAAAGTAGGATTTGAACTGGGCTGTGTTAGATATTGATATTTTAACTGTGCGACAGGGTACCAATCCTATCCTGATAGATTCTTATAACTTCCTGGTATGATAATCAACAGCTATAGAGATTTATGGTCTTATCAAGAATAGACATGTTATACACAGACGCCTCATAGACTGACAGTGCCTATTGGAGGTCACGTATCAGTGCGGCCGCCACTCAAATTTGGATTTTTTTAGTTCAGGTTAGTGTACTAAAGGGTTAAAAATGAAGCCTTTTGGAAATTAATTCAACTTGGTACCTGACATATTCTGAAAATACCCCCTTCAAGGATTAAAAAAAAACAGGTGGCATAAGAAAAGCCGGGCGGTCCTCGCAAGAACAGCACCCTCTGGTGACAGGCTGCAGTATAGGTCATAAATCCCGCCTCCTCCAGCAATCCCTATGGAGCTGTGGACAAAATTTAGAAATTATTTACACAGAACATAATTTTTTTTCCCCCCTTGTCGCGATGTTGACATGTAGTTACAGTAAGACTGTTTGTGCTCTAGTCCTCTTTTTTCTGTACAGCTCCATTTTTAAAAGTTATTAGGGGCTTCAAGTCCGTATACTGGTGGAAGGCGAGACCAAGTTGTCCATAGTATATACAGTCTATGGCTCAGCTGTTGTACGAGCCAAGAGTGAGGAGACCCATCCAATATGGTGCAACACTGGATGACGCTTCAGCACGTAATGAGGCATCTATGTATCTTATGTCTATGTTATCAAGTATTTGGACGAAAAATTATGATAATCATTTAGCGACATTTTTATTCCCCGTTAACCTCCTGGTACTGATTTACAAAGATTTAAGGACTTACCAAAGATTTCATGGACATCAAAGTGTTTCCTAGATATTTTGATTGTCAATTTTTTTTTTTTTTTTTATTTTATGCAACAAAGAGAAAATAAAGTTTTTATTCCCAGTTTTTTTAGAAACATTTTTGAGATTACAGAGAATTCAAAAATTTCACCTCAGAGTAAATCAGGGGAAAATGTTTCTCTTTTTGTGGCACTTGATAAACTTACTTTATGATGGTTTACATGAGTTTAAACTAAAAAAACAAAACAAAGGATAATCCTGAAAAGTGTCGGACCTTGAATCATCAGTGCCACTTTATCAGTTTAAACTCTACATTTCAAATGCACAGGGCTTAAATTAGCAATAAAAACAGACATTTCAATCTCTGTCACTAAATCAAAGTTATCTTATTTGTCAATGAAATTAAAGTTTACTCACTCCTGCTGTCTCTGAGGTCTCCATGCAGTGATCAAATCAAACACTCTCTCTCTCAAACACACACCTGTTCCTGAACCTGCTTATTACCTCAGCCCGACCATCCCCCACTTCACCTACATTTAGGTGTCTGAGCTTGGCCTGATGGGAGAGACATAAACAATGCCAAAAATAGATATAAAGAGTATCTTAAGATTGCCCTGAGAGTGAATGTAAAGACTTGAGTTGCTCTTCATGGACAGTTTTGGATGCAGTGTGATGTGTTTTCTCTCTCTAGGGGCGTTCCAGGCCTTCGATCAGGATGGAGATGGTACGATCAGACTCAGTGTCCTGGAGGTAAGAGACGGCAGTAACTTACCGTACTCGCTGATTAAAGAGGAATCCATTTCCTGGTGTCTAAGGGTCTGATCTCCTCTCTGTCTGTCTGTCTGTCTGCAGTGGCTCCAGTTGACCATGTACGCCTAAAAGGTCCCATCTTCTCCCAGGTGAGCTCCTCTCCATGCGAGGACCAGACCTACCAGCCTTTACCTCAAATATTCAGTGTGCCCGATCGTCGTTCGCTCTCATCCACCTCACCTCCAGACTTCCTAAACTCCTCTGCTCTCTCCCCTCAGAAATGTTCAACTTCTCCATTTTTATCTCCCCAAACTTTCCTTCTTTCCTTCTTTCTTCACTTGTTTTTCCTTTTATCAGTCTTTATTTTTTGGTCATTGGCCGTTTTTTTTATTTTGAACACACTTGTGCGGTCTCAGGCATCAAACACACAGAACCTCTTTTTCTGTCACAATACCTCACAGAGCTCTGTTTACCACCTCCTCCTCCTCCTTGTGTTTTTTCTTCTGTAAACTCCACTGGGCAGTCAGGGTGTTCTTCCTGTTTTCTTCTGGGCTCTCTGGTGGACCCTGAATAAACTCGTAAACCACTCCTTAAACCTGTTTCGATTCTGAGCGTAAAGCTAACCCTTTATGTTGGGATTTCCAGGGCCTCCTGAGTTGATATCACTCTGACCAGAGATGTTTTTCTGTGAATTGAACAAACCTGCAGGAATTTTTGTTTTCCTCAACAACAGTCACACTTTGCTCCACCACTGGCGTCTGTGCTCCAGTCTTTCGGACAAACTCAGGCTCCTTTTGTGCACCTCAGCTACAGAAACCCTCCTCCTCCTCCTCCTCCTCCTCCTCTACAGTCCAGTCGACCAGCCTTTCAGCTCTCTGATGGATGAGATTCAAGAACAAGACTGTGGAGCTGATGAGTTTTTATTTAGCAGACGTTGGTGGATTTGAAAAAAGAATATGGCTTCCAGGTTGGACTGCAGCTTTTTGTGGTTTTTTTATTCTTACTAAGGCTTTGGTCAAATGAGTGTACTGCATTTTTAAACATTTTAACCAAATAAATAACTGTGTAGCTGTTGGTGTGACTGTTGACAGAAGATTTCATGTGAATTGTTTTGAGGGAGATTCACGGTGCTTTGACTTTGCCGCTGTTTTTTCATATTTCGGTGTCAAAATTTTTCATTCAGAACTTCTCATCTGAGTCACAGAGCCGATTTCAGCGGGCTCATGGGCCCGTAACAATAAACTGTGACAACAAAGTCTCAGCTGTGCCTCCATTTGGAAGGACGTGGGCTTTTTTAATTTCAACTCTCAGAATTATAACCTTTTTTTTCTCAAATTATTCTAATTTTTTTTTTCAGAATTTCATCTTCTAAGCGGTTTAGATTAGATAAGATTTAAATCCAATTTCTAAAATTGAAACATGGCTCTAGGAAAAAAGTCAAAATTTAGATAATCAGTATTCTGTCATTAAAAGTCTGAATTCCAGGACTAAAGCTTATCAGGTAAAAGAATTTTTGATACAAATTATAGTTCTGAGATTAAAGTTGGTATAACAAATTAGAGTTAGAATTTCAAGACTTAAGACTGAATTGTAAGAAAATGTCAGACTAACATTTGTGTCGGTAATCTGAGTAGAATGTCAGAATTTGGAATTTAAACTCAGAATCAGAATTCTGGTGTTAAAGTCAAAATTCTGAGATTAAATTAGAAATTACAGGAAAAAGTTGGATTTACAAAATTAAGGTTTCAATTTAAGAGTAGGGTCAGAACGTCAGAATTCTGACTTCAATGTCATAAATGAAAAACGGCAGAATTCTAAAACTTGATCTCAAAATTTAAAAAAAAGTAAGAATTTCAACATCAAAGTCAGAACTCTGAAATTTAAATGGGAATTCTGAGGTCAGAAGTTGGAACTCTAAGATTAAATTAAGAATTCTGGAAGAAAAATGTCAGAATTCCAAGATTTGAGGAAAAATTGTGAGAAAAAAGTTGGAATTCTGACTTCAATGTCATCAATGAAAAACGGCAGAATTCTAGAACCTGATCTCAGAATTCCAAGAGAAGACTTGAGATCAAAGACAGAATTCTGAAATTTAAATTGGAATTCTGAGGTTAAAGTCGGAATTAAGAATTCCTAAAGAAAAAGGTTGGAATTCCAAAATTTGAGGAAGAATTGTGAGAAAAAAGTCAGAATTCTGACATTAATCTTTGAAGTAAAAAAGTCAGAATTTTCTGAATTAAATCTCAGAATTCTCAGAGAAAGATCAGAGTCAGGATTTATGATTTAAGTCAGAATTTAGAGATTGAAGTTTGAATTCTGAGATTTAAGTTAGTATTCTGACTGCAATCTCAGAATTCTGGGGAAAAAAGTTAAAATAGTGAGAATAAAGTTTGAACTTTGCGATAACAGTCTGAATTAGGAGATTCAAATCGGAATTTTCAAAAAGAATTCCAAGATCAAAGCCGGAATTCTGAAGGCCAACTTTGGAAACCTAAAATTAAATTTTTTTTTTTAATATATTTTTTTGACCTTTACTGAGAAGAAAGTCAAAATTTGAAAAAGTCAGACCTAAAGAACTTTTTTTCACTTGTGGCTTTTCTTTTATATAGTTTGGATCTTGTTGGTTGTCTGAGCCTGTAAATCTGCTCTTTAGTGGTTAGTGATATAAAAACAGGTGTGTACCCTGAGGGATGATGTCGCAGTTACTCCAAACTGTCCATGGCTGAAATCGTCTGGACCCTCAAACCTGAAGCACTCACAGTTTTATCATACTTACTTCTTTTCACTCTTGAACCAGCGTCTAAACCAAAGTACCACACAGAGGAGTTTTACAGAGTAACAACTTTTTTTATTGTTATTATAATTATTATTAACAACTTTTTTTAAATTTGCACTTTATCCAAAAATATCTTTGAACAACTTTGACAACAACTGAAAAACTCGAAGAAACTCAGGAATGCCAGGTAAGAGGAGAACTGCACGCTTTCCCCCGGCCAGGTGAGTTTGGAAGACGACGGCTAGAGACGAAAACCTTAACGAGAGAGAGAGAGAGAGAGAGAGAGAGAGAGAGAGAGAGAGAGAGAGAGAGAGAGAGAGAGAGAGAGAGCAGCAACCGAGGAAAAGCCCGAGCTTAACTTTGAGACTGAGTAAAAACGCAGAGAGGGCGAAGTATGGCATGGGAGATGAATTTTAAATCTTCCCTTCGAGCTCCTCCATCACACACCTTCCTGAAAACATCCTTCACCTCCTCGCTTCATTAGAAAACCGTCTTCGCTGAGGAAAATACAGCTCCAGTGCCTTCTGCTCGCTCAGTTCTCCATATAGAAATAAATAAGAAAAAAAAAAACCCCAACATCTCCACAGAGGAAACCGCGTCATTAAAACAGTACTTCACACTCACTCGAGAAAAACAGAGTTCAACCTCTCTGCGGACGTCGAAACGGAGTCAACCCACTCTGAGAAAACACAGTTAGGAACAAACCAACCCCACGTCTTGGGTCTGTTTTCACTGCAAATGTCAATTCTCAAATACCAAAACAACACAGCACCAAAGTCCTTCAACTCCTGAGCAACCAGGAAAAATAAAAATTAAACTTAACCGTCAAACAAAACAAAAAAAAGAAAAAGAAAAAGACTGTTAGGAGTTTGGGTTTTCCCTGTGATTAAAAATAAAAACCAAACCGTGATTAATAAAAAAAAGTGTCACTCCAATGAAACAAATCATCACAGTTTCATCCAAACAGCCCGGAGAGCTACGTCTGTTTCATTACCGTCATAAAATATGAGGTTATCGAACCCGGTTACCCTCGATTTTTAAAGTCAAAGAAAAGAAAAATTCTAAGTTGCTCAAAGAGACACCTCACAACTGCACAACAACAAGTAAAAACATCTCTGAGCCCATGCCATAGTGGAGCCGACCAATCCGGGGACGTTTGTTGGTCTTTGTTTTAACAGGAAAGCGAAACAATTCCCTCAAATTTCTGGCGACTCTGAAGTTTCTTCTTAAACGAACAACAGTTAAAAAAAAAACGAGTTTCTTAGTCGTACTTTGGTCAGTGAGAAGAGGAGCTGCGGTGGTCAGACAGAGAGAACGGCGTGTACGTACAAAAAAAGAACAGCACAACCAACCCTCCCTCCGCCAGTCATATTTATGGTTGGATTCCAACACGGAACATAAAGGATGGAGTCATCGGACGCCACTCATCAGTTAAGTGGGTCCCGAGAAAATCCCCCCCAATATGGGAGGTTAAAAAGAGAGGAGGTCCTTAAGGCTCCACTTCAGCCTCCTCCTCGGCGTGTTTCTGCTTCAGCGTCCCCTAAAAAAAACACAAACATCAGAAAACATCAACGTCTGCAGCTGAGAGGAGCACCAGACTCAGCAAACCCCACGAGAGACGTCAAGAACACGTGGATTTTACCTGCTTGGAGCCGTTGCGTCCACAAACGAAATCTTCACCGTTCTTCCAGCGGGTCTTCAGCGCCGGGTGTTCGGTGGCGAGGTGCTGCTGCAGGTGCTCCATCATCCCGAACACCATGGAGCAGCCGTGCGACTGAAAACAGAAGAGATGAAACTTTCAGTTCCTCTAAAAATGCAAACATCAGGCCTCGTGGTTTCATCCAGGACGTGGTCTTTCTCTCACCTTGCAGCGGTAGTTCTGCATCAGGTTGAGCTTGACGGCCTGCACGCTGCCGTCGTAACAGCCTGTGTAGATCTGAAACACAAACGTTTGAAGATAAGCCTTTAAGATCTCCATGTTTCCTCTTTCTACACATCGAAAAAGAAAGAAAAAAGGATCACCATGTTTTTGTGGATGGCCATGCACATCACCATGTCTTTGTGTCCTCCGTAAACCTGCAGCTGCTCATGAGACTGAGGAGAGAACGAAGACAACATCAAATCACCGTCGACAAGATTTCTACAAACTCTGACAAAGAGGAGGGAGTGAACTCGGGAGGACGCAGACCTGCAGGTCGAAGACTCGGACCAGTTTGTCCAGACAGGCCGTCACCATCACCCTCCCCAGGACGGACACCACGGTGACGGCGTGACTGTGCCCCTTATAGACCCGAACCAGCTCTCCTGTCTGTGGGATTATGGATTTGAAGAAAGATTAACAACGACATCTAAAGACGTTCAGGTTTTAATCTCAAATGTGGGAAAAGTGAGTTAATCTGGAGGACTCACGTGGATGTTATGAGCGCAAACACACTGATCACTGGAGCCGCTGAAGACCAGATCATTCACCACCTGAAAGAGAGATCAGGAAACCCGTCACCGCCGCCCAAGTCTCCAAGCGAACTTAAATAAAGTCACGTTTCAGGGTTCATGTTTCTGACTCCTCCTACCTTCATGCAGAGCACAGGCTTGGTGTGTCCCTCCAGCGTGCGCAGCAGCAGCCCGTTCTTGGCGTCCCTCACGCTGATGGTGTTGTCGTAGGAGCCGACCAGCAGGATCCTGCGGGCGCCTTCCTGAGACGAGGCCAGGCAGCTCACACCCCGCGGCCCGTGGCACTCGAACACGTCCGACTCTCTGTTTGTCTGGAAAGAAAAGATGAAAAAGTAGAAGAGATGAGCTTTTAGATGTCTGCTTTACATTTACATTTACATTTAAAGTAAGCACACATGTCTCACCTTGAGGTTGAAGGTCACCACGGCGCCGTTTGCAAGACCGGCGTACAAAAACTTCCAGCGGCTGTGGAGGCAGAGGACCCGGTCTGAGAGAGAGAACTGCTGCTCCAGTTCATTCGTCTGCAGGTGAGAAACAACAACGACAAAAACTCTTCATGAGAGACGGAGAGACGGAGAGACGGATAAAACGGAACAATTTAACGGTCATGAAAACGACAAAAAAGAACCTCAGACTGACAGACGACAAAAACAGAAACACAACAACCCTAAAAAAAGATGAGAGAGTGAGAGTAAGGACAGGTTTGGATGCAGTGTGATGTGTGAATATGTGAATATATTTGTTGAGTTTGATTTCTTCTAGGTACGTCACTTCCAGAGGGGTGTGGTTTTAGGATATTTGGCAGGTTATCTAAATCTCACCGGTGTAGTCAGACTGGGGTTGTAAGCTCCGATAATTTTCCGTTGACTGTTTTTCAGCATATTTCACTTTTCTCATTCTAAGGTAAAGGATTCAGACCTGGATCAGCGTGTTTTCTTTCCTTTTTTTGAACAGTAAATCATTTTTTAACTCTCAAACCGGACTGATCGTTCAAACCTAAACTCAAGCGTCCTTTTTGTTGAAGGAAAGCGGTCGCTGCAGGTTACCTTGAGACTGTAGCAGCGGATGGTCTGGTCACTGGAGCCCGAATAAAGGCGTAGGTGGAGGGAGGGAGCGGCGGACACCAGCAGACAGCTGACCTTCGAGCTGTGACCTTCGAACACGCCCACACATCTGTGAGTCTGCAAACAAAAACACAAAAACTCTTTGGTTGTCGCACTGACTGAAAATACTGAATAAGCTGAAGGTCCAAGAAGGTTAGAGAGAAGAATCTGATCTCCACTCACCACCAGGTCGAAGGCTCTGACGGTCCGGTCTCCTGAGCACGTGTACAGCAGCCCCTCGTGGATCTGCATGGCGTTTACGGCCTCCTGGTGGCCCTCGAACGCACCCTCAGTGGGGAGATCGTCCTCGCCGTGGTCAGAAGATGCATCTGAAAAGTCAGGATTCAAGTTTGTTCAACGATCTTCATTAGACTATCACGATGTTTTTATCTGGTTCTGCTCAAACAGATCTGGATCCGTACCTGAGGAGGTCTTCACGGGTCTGGGCAAAGAGACGGGAAACCGTGAATCGCTGCAGGGAGAAGAAGAGGAGATGATGACTTTGAATAAAGACGACAAAAGCTCTGGAGAAAACTCAGAAGTCTTCGTCGAGTCTCACCTCTCGGAGGATTTGCAGATCTCCATGTCACTGGTGGACGAGACCTCGTTGCAGGCCAGACTCTGAGGTCTTCTTCCGGAGGAGACCTGGACTGAAGGAGGAGGAGGAGTCTGCTGGAAGTCCGCGGTGACCTCCATGACTTCATCTGGGTCTGAGTTCACGGGGGTCTCAGCAGGAGGGAGTTTAGGAGACTTGAAGTCCACTTTCCTGTCCTCGCCGGCCTCCATGTTCACGTCGCCCTCTCTCTCCTCCACGGGTAGCGAGGTGGAGGTGCTGACCTGAGAGCTCCCGCTGGGTCTCCTGTGCGGTCGTTGCCACCTCCGCCTCAGAACCTCGCCGTCCAGCTCGGTGTCGCTGCTCTCCGGCAGCTCCGCCCCCTGAGCCTTCTTCAGCACCTTCCTCTTCTTTCGCTTCTTCACGCGCTTCCCGTTCCTCAGCTCAGACGGAGAGGCGGGCGGGTTCAGGGCGGAGGGGGGCTCGAACTGCGAGGCCGCCGAACAATCGCCGACACTCCCCGCTTCGGAGCCCCTCCTGCTCGGGGAGAGAAGCTTCACGGAGGATTTGGAGTCAGGGGGAGGAGCGAAGGCAGTTCTAGTCGACTGCGTGGATTTGTCCGCCATCTCAACCAGTCCTGACAGACCCTCTTTAGAGTCCGCCGGATCAGCGGAGGTCTCCAGCTGATGGTCTGAGGAGGTTTGGTTCAGTTCTGGTGGAGAGGCTGCAGCGGCGGGGCCGACCCGCAGCTCCGGGGTGGTGCTGTGAGCGCAGCGGGTGGTGCGAGATGGAGGATCGGAGTCTGAGCTGACGTGGACCGGAGACTGAGGCTCCTGTTTGATGACGACAGGTTTAAAGGGAGCGGGGGGACCGGGACTCTGTGGGTTTGTGACAGAGGGGGGCGTGGAGCAGGAGGGCGGGTACGGCTCCGTGTCGACCGGATCCAACCTTTCTTCTTTTGGTTTGACCTGAGGAGCTTCATCTACACTTCCTATAGAAATAAAAATAAATAAACACGATGAACTTTATTTCACTGACAACTTCTGATCGACACGAAGTTATCTTCAATCCTCAGACGCGCTCTTACCTTGCATCCCTTTTAGTAACTCGATGCGTTTGTTCCTCAGCGTGCTCATCTCTCCCGTCATCTTCAGAAGGACGATAAAGAGTCGATTAATAAAAGACTCACAAACGTAAATCCTGGTTCAGCTCAAAGACCTGAAACACTCACCTGCTGCTTGACCACCACGAGACGCTGCACCTCCATGTAGGCGGCCTGCAGAGCGGCGCGGGCCTGGATCAGGCTGGTGTCCACGGTCTGCAGGGAGCGACTCAGCTCCTCCTCCCTCAGAGACACGGTGAGCAGCTGGTCGATCTGTAAACGCTCTGCAGAGACACGAAAAGACACCTGATGAACACGAGCTAAAAGAAAACAGATTTTTTTACAGGAACCTCGAAAATCAAACTGCAAAAGTGACGTGAATAAAATAAATGAGTGAAGTCCATCAAGATTTGCTCCTTACCCTTTTTAGATTTGACCTTTCTCCTTTTATTATTGTGTTCAAGGCACAACACCTCTGCACCCGGGACATCCTACGAGACAGAAACAAAGAAATAAAATAAAAAGACTGAAGATCCACCAAGAAAGAGGACGTCCACACACTCGGTCAGTCAGTCAGAGCAGTTTTCACCTCCATCAAACTTAGAGACCTGCTCCAATAAAGGCCTGAAGAGTCGGAAAGTTTGGTACATTAGAAAAAAAATTAAAGTAGGGCTGGGCGATACGGCCTCAAATCAATATCACCATATATTGATCAGTACACCTTAATAGTGCTGCAACTAACGATTATTTTTTTGTCGACTAATCGTCCGATTAATCACTATCTTCTTTATTTATAAACACCTATTTCCGGGGTGTCTGCGTTTCAGGGTCTCATGCATCGCCGTGGTGCTGCCATGGTAGGAAAGCTGAGCTTTGATCGACGTGTTTTTTTGGTTTGTTCTCCGTAAAATGTTCCCAAACTTTTGAAGTTTTGGGTCCGAGTTTTGGAGTGTCTTTTTCAGTTTGTTCTGCCATAATGTGTGCACTCTTCTTCTGTGTTTGCTCGCGGGATGTAGACAGCGAGCGCTACTGCCCCCAGCACATCCTGTAGTGCACTGCAGTTATAGATGAGCATGAGGCGCCGGCATGTGATTCTTAACAACAATAACACGACGCGTCGACGCTTTGTTTTCGTGTCGATGAATTTGTCGTGTCGACGTAATCGATTACGTCGACTAATCGTTGCAGCCCTACACCTTAATAACCATAAATGGACGATAACTACTCCACAAGCTGCTCACCCCCTCCCACATTAACTTCGTCTACTTCAAATGACAGCAAAATAACGTCGGTTATTGTCGTAAATTTCGGTATCTATAAATTTTCGGTTTGTCGCCCAGCCCTACTTGAAAGTACAGCTGTCCAATAATTAAGCAGTTTTAAATCAATAATAACACTGATCAATGACACTGAAATCAAATAAATGTAATAAACTACACTTTGTAATCCGAACTTTTAGATTTACTCCAAGATTATTCTGATTCGTCGCTGCCGTCCGGTGATTCCTGGTTTAGAAAACACTGTTTACACTCTTCAGGAGTTCCAGTTTGGTAACTTTTTCTCAAATACAAACTTCGTCAGTAAATCTGTTGTGATTTTAGCTGCATTATCTGAAAGATTTCGGTATCGGTCAATTTTCAGTTTATCGCCCAGCCCTACATTAAAATCCATGCAAAAAAACGCCTTTACTGTTGTTGTCCTCTCTCTTCTCCTGATTTCTATAAACTGACTTCATTTACAAATGCGAAGGAAACGGCTCGGTCCGTGTTTTACTCACCCCGGCTCCTCGCCGCCTCTTCCCCGCCCCCTGGCCGTCCTGCTGCTCCGTCCCTGAACTGCTGTCCCCGAGCGCTGAGTCAGACCTCTGCAGAGCCTTCACAGACGCCGACGTCAGTTTCTCCGGCTGCTTCTGAGCTTGATCCCCGAGCTGACCCAGCATCTGCTCCTCCTCCTCCTGCTGACCCCGATCGTCTGTGTCGCGTTCTTCCGGCTTGGTCTTGGTGGAGACGGAGGACCCCTGCTGCTCTGAGCCGTCTGTGGGTGGATCCTGTGAGGTGAGGGACGTGAACAGGGAGTGGGCGGATGCAGGGGCGATCGAGCTCTCAGATAGGGAGCGTTTTCTAGAGGATCCGGGTGTAGCGATGTCCATGAATGACTCCCATTGGAAACCCTCCAGCAGGGGAATATGGTCCTCCTCCTGGCTCTGGTCTTCGTGCTCACATGGGACCATCTCGATCCCGAACCTGCAGGAGAAGAAGAAAGACAGGACTCAGAGATCGAGCGGAGATGGAAAACTAAAAAAACTCTGAATGATTTTCTCTCGACTGACCTGGGCATGCCTCTCCCTTGGTCCTGCTTCTTCCGGACCTCCTGGTAGACCTGTTCCCAGTTCACGTTGCGTCTGGAGGAGGAGCTGATGAGCTGCCTGACGGTCGGTTTCAGCCCCGAGTCTTTATCCGCGTCACCTCTCCGCGACTCGCTCAGGTTTCGAACCCGCCTGGCGATGTTCAGGTTGGGCTCGTGACTTCCTGTTTTGCTCTTGGAGCTGATGTGTTTGGTCAGGTCTCGTTTGAGGACGGGAGGAAGGTCCAGTTTAGACAGACTTGTTGTGTTCGACCCTGAAACCGTCTGCTGTGTTTCGCCGTTTCTGGACGTGTCGCTCTCTGAGCTCTGTCCCGCCTCCACAGATTGCATCACTTCCTTTTGGCACGTCTCGTTCTCTTTCCTCTTGATTTCTTCGCCGTCTTTACTCGAGGCTGCAGGATCTGAGCTCTCAACCGTGGAGGTGCTGACCTGCAGCGACTGGAGGAACTGGCTGCTGTCTGGGGATTGTAGTCCCGGCTTTTCCGGCCTCAATGAGTCCGGTAGACTCGGTTTTGCGGCGTTCTGCCTGCAGGTGTTTTCTTTGTTCACCCCGGTCTGACTCGGTCCGTTATCCCTCTGCTGCGCCGCCATGGAGATCTCCATGGACGCCCTCCTCTCCAGCACGGCCTGCTTGGCTTTGTTGAAGGTTTCGGGGAGCTGCCGTTCTTTCCTGGACTGCAGGGGCCCGACAGCTGGAACCGGGCAACTGGGTTTTGGTTTTGATTGTGGCTGCGTCTGATTGGAGGGTTTACCGATTTTAGTTTTAATATTCAGGCCAAAGATCGACGACACCTTCCTGTCTTTAGGTGGTTCCGGTTTACTCGGACCAGGTGTAGAATCGCTGCTGCTTCCTTCATCCCTGGGTTTGTTTCCGGGTTTCACTTTGGGTTTTTCTTTGTCTTCAAGACTCGACGTCATCGGCCCTTGTTTCTTCTTGTTGACAGAACTAGTTTCTGGGACTTTGGCGTTCGGGTGTTTCTCTAACGAGTTTGTATCTTTGTGGGGCGCGGATTCAGAACTCTTCGAGACCGGGTAAGGGGACCAGCGAGCGCTTTTGTCCAGCTTGGGGTTGCTCCCGAAGGTCTTAGGATTCCTGTTGTGCTCCGGTTCTGCGGGTCGTCCGTCTCCGTTCTGGAACCTGATATGACCTCCTTGGTTATTCGGCTGTGTGAACAAAAATGGCGGCGGCGGATACATCGGGGTCTCAAACCTGTTCATGGGCCGGTTCCCCTGAGCAAACTGGGAAATGTTGTTCCGGCCGTATAACCCGTTACTGCTGCCTCCACTGCTGAGCCAAGGCAGGCGGTTCTGTTGAAATGGACCCTGGTTCTGCCTGTTCCCAAAACGGTCCTGGCTATTAAAATTCCCGCCGCCAAACTCTGCGGACCCCCATCTTTGGAGGTTTGGGGGCTCCTGAGCGTGCCAGGTGGCGCTCTTTCCCTGCTTGTTCTGGTACCGGGGATCCGGCCCCCCTGATCTGGGGTTAAACTGGTTGCTCTTGAACCAGGTTCTGTTGTGACCGGGTCCTTTAAAGCCCTGCCACTGCTGGTGCCAGGCGCGCTCCCTCTGGTACCGCTCATTCGCCTCCTCTAACCGCCGCTGAATCTCCTCGTTCTGCTTCCGCTCTTCCTCCTCTATGGCCAACTTCGCAGCGGCGGCCTCTTTTTCTTTTCTGGAAACAAACAGCAAATTTTTCACTGAACTGTAAAAAAATAACAGGAGTCGAGAGGGAGGGATGATGCAGAATCTGGACCTGGGACAGACATGGTCCGGACTTAGAGGGATATTCCAGCATAAAATTAATTTAGGGTCAAACACACCATAACACCGAGTTAGACACCCCCTGGAGAGCTGAATGTTGCCGACCGCTTGCTTCTCTAGTTATACCAACTTTAGTAACGACCAGAGAGTCATGCGCTCAAACAAAACGCCACTCTATAGCCACAAATAATGCTCAGAACAGCACTTAACTTCATCAACAGGACATATAGGGTCACAGCCATAGTACTAGACACCAAACATCTTTTTAACTTTGACTCATTTCTTTAGCAAAGAAACTAAACACAACTCACCTTCTCTCTTCCAGCAGACGCTTGTTTGTAGAGCGACCTCTGGCCATTAGGACTACAGCGGGGTGCCGCAGCTCAAGGAAGAACATTTATGATCATTTTTTTTATCGTTTCCTTGAAGTAATAATCACCATATTAATAATTTTCACTGCAGACCCGGTAGTTCTTCTGCCTTAGCGTCTTGGTCTGATTGTATTTCCATGAAGAAATGATCATAAATGTTCTTCCTTGAGCTGCGGCACCCCACTGTAGTCCATAATGGACTGGCCTGGGGTCTCGCTACAGACAAGCGGCTGCTGGAAGAGAGTAGGTGAGTTGTGTTAAGAAATTAGTCAAAGTTAATAAGATGTTTGGTGGGTAGTACTATAGCCGGGACCCTATATGTCCTGTTGATGAAGTTAGGTGCTGTTGCTATGCTATAACTAGAGAAGTAAGCGGTTGGCAATATTCATCTCTCGACGGGGGTGTCTATCTTGGTGTTACGGTGTGTTTGACCCTAACTTAATTTTACGCCGGAATATCCCTTTAAGTAATTGTTGTGCCTCATCAAACCCTGGAGAATCCCAAGTCACTAAAACTCAAGTAGCAAATTCAAAAAATCTAACTTTGGGTTTCTACGTTATCTGAACCCAACGCCCTCCCTGCCTCCCTGCTGTCTGGAAGCCTCCTCCACTGTTGCCATGCAACAAAGTCAACCTCACGACTCATTATAAACTTACACATGTACCTCAGTTTAAAACTATGAGTTTTCCTCCTACAGTCTCACTGCGTGTCCGTGTTTTGTCAAATTAGGTTTTTGTTTTTGTGTTTTTCTCCTTTGTGAGTTTAAGTCCGGCTTTTTTTAGGCTCCGGTCTCCTGACATCCGACTCCTCTGCAGCTCAGATTGAAGCCGCAGCTAAATCCGGCCTGAGCGAGATGTGACTATACAAGGCTTATGTACACACAAATGAGAGCAGGTGCCCTATCACTTACCCTTAAACGTGATTATTTACCAAAAAACAGAGACAAGGATGGCTATGATCGTAGACACACTACACTGGAAATCAAGATATCTGGATTTCTGTGTTTCTTATAAATCCTGTTCGTAAGTTTGAACTCCTCTTACCTGATCTGCTCTTTCCTCTTCTCCACCAGTTGCACCAAAGCCTGATCAAAGTAGTCCTCGTCCCGCTCGTTCCCGGCGTGCTTCTTCTCCGCGGCCTCCACGTTCTGTTTGTGTGAGGGGCTGGAGATGTGGCCGGCGTACTCGGTCAGGCTCGCCACCGTCACCTTGCACACCCTGCACTCGTGTCCGCAGTCCCTGGGGAGGGAAGGCGAGAGCGGGCGTTCAATCGTTCCTTCGGGCATGGTTGCGATCTGGTCTGGTTTGTTTTTTTTTATCTTGCCTGCAGAGCCCGCTATGACGCGCTATGGCTCTACTCTCTGTGTGACTTAAAGTCAAAATAACGTAAGGAGAGGAGATTACTCGACAATCCTTCAAAAAGATCCTAATTCTCTATCGGTGACGGATCAGGAGGTAGCTAACTTATAATTTTCTCTTGTTAAAAAAATAAAAAGTGTATCATCCTGATCCTGTGTTTTCCGTCTCTCCTCAGCAGGCCATCGGCGGCGGAGCGAGGACGGCAGGAGGAGCAGCCAGGCTGGACTCGGGCAGCATGCTAACTGTTTATGTCCAGCCGTGCAGCACAGAAGGGGAGAGAGGCACGGCGCCCTCAGCCTAGCGCGCTTTCATGATGGTGTCCGCTGCGCTCTGAGACTCTACAGAAAGCAGTGTCTGTATTTGACCTCACGCGTCTCCCTGAGATCCCCCCCGGCATGTGTTATAGACTCCGGCCTCCTCCTGACCAATCCTGAGCGAGGCCCGTGTAACCGGATCCCGGTGCAGCTGCTCAGAGCCTTAACTTCACAAAACCTCTCCCAAGTATGCCATCCTGTGACTCTGATAGGGGCAGTGACTCTCCTGGCTGCTTCTCAACTTCTTTTTCAGATCTGTGTCATGGCGCTCTGCCATTTTATGACCTCTCGTGCAGTTGGCAAACTCTTTATCGATGAGATAGTGTTTCTCATTCGATTTTGGCACCTTCGTTCTCACTTTAGGGTGAAATTTACCCTCCGTCAGAAACAAAGATCTCCTCTGAGGTCTTTTTATTTACAGTGAAAAAGTTTGAAATGTGAGAGAATCATTATACAGGTCAGAGAAAACAGAAAAGGTGGGAGAGTGGGAGCCAAACACTTGAAAGTAGGGCTGGGCGAAATGGGGACGCCAGTTTAGCTTCGTGGTTGAATCATGTGCTTTGTGATCAGAGGCAACAGGCCCTGAAGCAGGCGACACTCTGCCACGCCATTTCCTGCTTTCTCCCTCTACCTTCTCCATGGATACAGGCCTAAAACCCTCAAAATAAACCAAGTGAAGAATAACTTTGCAGCTCACTTTTTAAGCAAATGAGTTGACTCTCTGCAGCATATGTGTAAGGTCTTCTTCTTGGCCACGTACCATTTTGTTGTTCCATTGTTTTGTGTCTGTTTTCTTCAATTTGGCTGATGTCTCTTTCACTCAGCTCCCTAGTTTCTGTGTCGTTTTCCTCTTCTCTAACTGGTAACCATAAATGTAAACTTTTAAGCTCTCAAGTCAAATATTAAAAATGTCCTCCATGTTGTTGTTTACAGACGCTACCAGAAACAGTGTTTTTGCCACATTGTCAACAGACAGAGGTAGGGCTGGGCGACATGGTCTCAAATCAATAACACGATATATTGATCAGTTCACCTAAATAACCATAAATGGACGATAACTTCTCCACAAGCTGCTCACCCCCTTCCACATTAACTTCGTCTACTTCAGCTGCTACAACTTTTGAACCGTCCTCCATCTCCTCACTTGTCTTTCATGAGACCATAGCCTACCTGCACACATCCAAAACCAACTTTTATTTATTTTTCGACACCGAATATACCGATATGAGCAAAATGACGTAAATTTCGGTATCTGTAAATTTTCGGTTTATCGCCCAGCCCTACTCCAAAGTACGGATCTCCAATAAACATATAATAACACTGTTCTGCACCAGAGTCTTGATTTGGGAATCAAATAAATGTAATAAACTACACTTTATAATCTGAATTTTTAGATTGACTCCATGATTATTCTGATTCGTCGCTGCCGTCCAGTGATTCCTGGTTAATAAAACCCCATTTACACTCTTCAGGAGTTCCAGTTTAGTAACTTTCTCTCAAACACAAACTTCATCAGCAGATCTGTGGTGATTTTAGCTGCTTTACCTGAATGATAGGCCTGCTGGTGAATCAGTCTTAAAGCACTTTGGTGGTGTTTATTATTCTGATAAACACAAAATTTTAACAGTAAAATGTTTTTTGTTTCAAAAGTGAAAGAGTGTTTTTTTTAACTACATGCAAATACACAGGATGTTGATTTCTGACTTTAATCATACTAAAATTTAACAGTACTAAACTGTTATGATAATCTATAAATCAGCATGGACCTTTTATTTGGTTGCGGTATAAGTTTAGCTTCATACACTCTATTCCTGTCTTCTATATCGCTGTGAACTTTCCAGCAACTGTAACCTTTGAATGACTTTTACAATCTTACACTTCCTGCAAACATTTTACCAAACCATCTGATCTGAAAATGTGCAACATTTGCTAAAGTGTTTCTATGAAATCTCAGCCATGCAGCAACTGCCCCAGCCTCGAATCAGCATTCGCTCGCCTCCAGATTCTTCCATCTCAGCGACAGGCTGCATACTTTTAGTAATCTACATGGCGGTCATAAGATAGCCAGTTGCCTCCTATCGGTCATGCCTGTTGTTCCGGAGAGAGATTGTGTCTAAATATATATGTGCCACAGATGAGACAGCTGCCCATAGAACCGCTTGTGATGATGAGCACGTGCCAGTGTGCACACGTGCCTGCTGACCCAAATAAATTTGGATAAAAGTCGTTAAAGTCAAACTCAACAAGTATTTCACTTCGCAGCTCACAGATTTGGTCAGGATGATGATGCAGTCAGAAACAGGGACATGCATCTATGATTTCTCTGCAGGGTCAGTGTATAATGGAGAAGATGATACTCATGCATGCAGTGATTATGTTAAATCATGCAACAACTCACCGGCCTTTGAGTTTCTCCAGCTCTCGGTGGTGCAGCATGCTTCTCATGTGCTCCTCCATCTCCTGCAGAAACACGGTGGAAATAAGATTTCTATCAGGAGATCGCATACTTGGAATTATTTGGCAAGCATGAGACTTGAAGTTTTCAGAAAATGAGTCATAGAGATGATAAGAAAATAAACATTGTTCTATTTGTCCAGCTGAATAAACTATTAAATTATCAAACTATTGAAAAAAAAACAGTTAAAGCTTCCCTCTATACTGGTTTCAAGTATTAAACTCACAGTATAGAAAGTGTCAGTGTTAATGCTGATGATTTTGTTTGTTTTTGTAGCCCATTAAGAGGCATCAGTGTCAATTTTATCTGCTCCACAACAAGTCTCGGACTTTTAAAACGTGGTTTTTCTGAAACCAGAATAAAAGTTTGCAGATAAAATACAATGAGGATAACGGGCATCATATCGTCCAAATTAGAAAAACACCCCTATAGCTATGATTTTTAAAACCTTAAATATTCATATTATTGTATTAAATTGAAAGGAGTATGAAGGTAAAAACAATGCCAAGATCATACAGAATCAGATCACATTCAAACAATAGAAATAAAATAAAATAAAATAAAGTAAAACAACCATATAAATATAAAGGAAATATAAAAGAAAAGATAAGAATAAAAATGTATGCTTTTGCATAGTTTTTACCTTAATATTTACAGATTTATTCATCTAATCTAGTTATGTCTTTATTATTATTATCATTATTATTATTACTTTTATTATTATTATTATTATTACTTTAAATTTTATTATTATAAGTATCATCATTTAACTTTTTAATATTATTATTAGTATTATTGTTATTATAACTATTTTAACTTTTATAATTTTTTAAACTATTATTCTAACTATTATTATTATTATTATAACTATTATTATAATTATTATTTATTATTATTTCTATTGTTTATTATTATTAGTATTATTATTAGTATTATTATTATTATTATTATTATTATTATTATCTTTTCTCTTTAGGTGTTCGGTGCTGAAATACATCCGAGGAAAAATCAATAAAAACAACTTTGGAGGACAGAAACGAGTGTGAAGGTGAGTTTACCTGCTTGGAGACATAGACTGTTTCACAGAGGATACACTTTCTGTTTCTCGCCATCTTTGACACGACAGGAGATCAGTCCTGTCGATAAAGAAAATGTCAGAGGTTAGAGCACTAAAGTAGAAATATCTTCATGTATGAGTATTTTATATATACAGTATGGTGTGTAGAGCTTCTAAAAACAGCCCATCAAACTGACGCAGCAGAGGAAGCCGAAGCCTCGTTTTCTCTGAACAACATCGGCTCACCGTTTAACAACATTCCTCGGCACCACGGCCCAAATACCAGCTCAAATTTCAATCTGGACACTGGTCTAAATCTGGTCTGCTGATAGAGCAGCTCAGTGACCCACAGGCAGCAGAGCTGTGGCAGCACCAGGGCTAAGTCTGGACATGCTCAACGTCCACAAACAGGGTGGGAAAGTAACGCCAGCGAGCCACGAGCCAAAGGCCAGAGAGGTTACACTTCTGCGCTTTTCTACGCTAACATCACCCTCTGAAGATGCAGCTGATCATGTGGACCCCCTGATCTGCTCTAGAATGTTACTGATTTACGTGTGTAAGAGTAAATCAAAGATGGTGAAAGTCTAAAAGTTTTACCTCCTGCAGAAGCAACATGAAATAAGGAGCTGCAGGCTGAAATCAAACGCAGACTGCACATTTGAGAACAACAGCCTCTGCATAAGGGGAACTAGACTCAACCACCAGACCAGGCCTGTGCCCCAATAAACACAGAATCTGATGGTTTGCAAATAGGGCTGGGCGATATGGGAAAAAGGTTTTCACAATATATTTTTTACATTTCGATATATATCACAATATAAAAAATTAAATGTAACAGTGTTTATTGGTAGCATGTCTTTTCCAATATAATAATCTACTGAATCTGTGAGGTCTTTGTGTCTCTTTGACGTTTTGTCGTAAGGCGTTGCTCTAGAGAAAGCTGACTGAATGGTCGTCTGTTTCAGCTGCACAGGCGCCATGGGCTCCTTGCTCCGCTCAGGGTTTGTAACCTTCTGTATTGCGCGTGCTCTGCCGCGTGGCTCTACTTCAGGTCGTGAAAAAGATTTGAGGTATACCCCCGACTTTGCGAAAACATGTACTCGACATAATTTACAGTACACATTACTCTGCTTCATGTCCGACCTCAAAAAAACCAAAATACCTCCACTCCACCGACGTTTTCGTGCCAGTGTTGTCGTCATATGTTGAGCCTTCATCATCATTTCTGTCGGGGGTAGCACTCAGTTTCGGCTTCACCTGGTAAAGTGTTATGGTTGCATGTAGCTGCTGTCTGCTACTATGCAGTTGTTTGCTACTTGGTTCTAATTCAACATGACTGGTTCAGCGCAAAATGGACCCAGATCAACTCCCCTTTTCATTGGCTATTTGTATAGTCTTCAAAAACACTACAGAATGCCAGCTATTGAAAAGGATATTGAGGGAAATTAATTTTCAATATATATCGACAGTATCAACAGTTACAGGAAGATGTTTAAGGGTCTCATCAGCTACAGTACATATTATTTTGAGACTGAAAAAGTCTCTGTACAGAAACAGACATGACTCTGTGTTGGAGGTCAGTGCATAGACTCAAAACAACTTCTAGAAACCACTGTCAGTAAACACACTTTATCTCTGAGTTCATAACTGCAGGTTTGAAGCCTCCGTCCCTCTGACCAGATAAAAGCGAACCCAGACTTAACTGAAAGGAAAAGGACAATCATGGCGGCACAATGACTCATCCTCACAACTGAGTGACCTGACAGTCGACTATAAATGTTAACTATGTATTAATCTAATAATGGTCATGGCTAAGCTCATTAGTATGGCCTTTATTCTGGTTCTGACGTAAACGCCCACACAGCCCCTCCATCACCATTTCTCTTCCCTCCAAAAGCACCAGTGGGTGGGTATTTATAATTTAGTGTAAACCAAAGGTCAAGTTCTTCCTAAGCCACTGAATCCCGAGAGGGGAACACGCAGGACAGAGAAGGTCACCAAATAAATATCCAAACACTGGCCTCAGCTGCAAAATTCAAAATCCAATCAAAACCGTATTAAAACAATGATGTAGAGTCAATTCAGCAACTGTTTTGACTGAACAGGGTTTGGTTTTGCATAAACTAAAAAGGTACTTGAGTTTACAAACTTTACAGTTATACAACAGTGATGCAAATCAGTTTAATGTAAATCTGAACTCTCTGCTACACAAAGACTGTGGTTTACAGAGTGACGATCGTTGATAATGTAGCGACGGCTTTCCTTCAACAAAAAGGCCACTGGGGTTTAGGTTTGCTTGCATCTGTGACTCGTTCAATTATCAGTCCAGTTTGAGTGATAAAAAAAGCAATTAATAATTCAAAAGTGAAAGAAAACACACTGATCCGGGCCCAAAACTTTTGCCTTTTAATGAAAAAGTGATTTGATGAAATGAGGTGAGAACAGGACGATTGAAACGGTCGACAGAAAATTATCAGATCTTACCACAACCCATTGTCTGACCACAGCACTGAGATTTAAATAACCCGCCAAACATCCAAAAACCACACCCCTCAGTGACGTAGCTATAGAAATCAAACTTTCAACAAACATATTTTGGCTCCTACAGATAGTGAAAGGAAAGGACTAATGTGGGCTGCACGTACTCTGAGAAAAACTCACTTTTGAGGACACATAGGAGTTTAGAGCATAAATGGAATATTTATTATGCAGATTCCAGGTCTGTATGATTTGCAGTTTAGTACTGCAATGATAAATAGGAGTAGGTTCAATAAATATTAATCTGTACATTAGCCATAACTCAGTTTTTATGTCTTTCTGCGGCTCTTGTAAATGCATACTTACAACATGTGCATCATACATCCAAAATAAGTCCACATCCACATTAACCCATATTACATTGGCTTTAACCCACTTAAAGGGATATTCCGATGTAAAATTAATTTAGGGTCAAACACACCATAACACAGAGTTAGACACACCCTCCAGAGATGAATGTTGCCGACAGCTTGCTTCTCTAGTTATACCAACTTTAGTAACGACAGCAGGATAGCAATACAGAGGGCCACGCCCTCAACCAAAACGCCACTCTATAGCCACGAATAATGCTCAGAACAGCACCTAACTTCATCAACAGGACATATAGAGTCACAGACATAGTACTAGTTTCTTTAGCGAAGAGACTAAACACAACTCACCTACTCTCTTCCAGCAGCCGCTTCTTTGTAGCGAGACCTCAGGCCAGTCCATTATGGACTACAGTGGGGTGACGCAGTTCAAGGAAGAACATTTATGATAATTTCTTCATGGAAATACAATCAGACAGAGACACTAAGGCAGAAGAACTACCGCGTCTGCAGTGAAAAATGATTTAAATGATGATTAATACTTAAAGGAAATGATAAAGTAATTATTAGAAATGTTCTTCCTTGAGCTGCGTCACCCCGCTGTAGCTATTTCACATAACTATCCTTTAGTCTCTTACTCCTCGTAATGATTTATAGAGTATTTTCATTCGTAGTAAAGCTTCTATTGGTAATATGAGTGTTGTAAAATGTAAACACTAAGAATTTGTACTTCCCCGAAAATCTTTAAAGTAAACTTCAGAAATGATCTTCACAGAATGAGAGTTTTTGTTCGCAGATCATCAACACAAAAGAAAATCAGCTGTTTAACAAGACTAACTTCTTTAGGTAACTTCTTAACAGAACTTTGTTTGTTAGACTACCAACCAATATTTCAAGGATGAGGAAAAAATAAAGTTATAAACAAAACAAAGGCTGTCAGCTGCTACAAAAACCTCTTTCTTTGTTTCTTTGTTTGTTCTTGTGAAATTGTGGAAACGCTCTGACCTCTGAGACCAGCCAACCGAGCTCCTGCTTGTTGTTAGCATAGCTCCAGAGCTAAAACTTGTTAGTAAAGACAACTTTTACTTCTTTAAAAATAAGTCAAAGCGAAAAGGGAATATTAGAAACCCAGCCTTTCATTATCTCAAAGTAAAAAAATCAGAACTCAGTTAAAGTTTGAACCTGGTTAGCTAGGAGTTTAGCAGGCTAACAACAACATGCTAGTGAGGAACTCCAACCTTACACCGCGAATATGACTCAATATATCTATGCAATAAATAATGCAGATTATATTAAGTGTTTTCATCTCTTAAAAACACTGAGATATGACAATTTGTTACCTTTAAATCCAGATGTTTAGGACCACTGCATTTTCTTATCCACCGCTGAAACAAACAATAACAACATCCGCCTCCTCGCCCCGAAACGGAAGTGGAAACTCAGGGTGCGTTCAAGGGCGTCGGTGTTCGGAGTTTTATGAATTCAACGAAGAAATGCCAAAAAGGAGAAAAAAAAAGGTAGAAAAAAAAACTTTAACCAAGTTCCTTTACACTTGATGTGAGATAATATCCACTTCAACTTTATTAAAGCCTTGGAAATGAAAGCAAAGTCCTGGTAGCGAGACGTTTTGTAAATATTTATTGAGGTTATTTAATTAAAAATAAAAAAAATATATAAAAATAATATGTTTTTTTTCCTCCCTCCTGGCACCTGAATAATATACGGAATAAGGTTCTGTAATTTTTTACGTTTTCGAATTGTCCTCAATATTCAGATTTTACATATGGGAATTTAGTTTTTTTTTTTAAGAAGGATTTGACTGTTATTTTTTTATTTATTTTATTTTATAAAAATTCGAGATAAAAAATTTATCTGTTTCCCGTTTTTTCTCAATAGTCTGATTTTATAGTCTGCCTTTTTCTTTTCTTTTTTTAAAAGTCACACTTTTTCCACTTAATTCTGTCACTATTCTATCAGAAATTTGAGATTCAAGAATATTTTTTTACTTTTTTGAAGATTTTTTTTTCTTCCGAATTGTTGCTATAATTTCTTAAAAAAAGATTTAGCATACTGGAAAAAGTTAGAGATTGGATTTTTCTGAAATCATAAAATTCAGTTTGCTATTGTCATTTTTTTGTGGCCCGTATACTTGTGAAACAGTTGTGCAACGTTTAGTTTTATGTTGAGAAAAAAAACTGCAGTTTGACTTAAAATAAACATTTTAATTTTCCCAAATATCTCCAAACAAGCATTCAGGATACATTCTTGACCACAACACAGTGAAGACAATAATTCAAGTAAAAATTTAACAGCAGTCGACACACACAGAGATGCTGGTGTTACATTAAAATCTCATATTAGCTACAGGAGGAAGACAGCGCGTAAAATACAGCCTCAACTTTATAAAAAATAAACAGTGAAAAATCTTGATCAAAGAAAAGTAGCTCATGGTAATCCCTTATCAATTTTTTTACATTATTGCAAGGCTGTGTGAAATAATTGTAATATTTTCTTGAAAAAAATAGGACACAAACATAAAACACAACAATAAAATTCCCTTGAGTTTAAGATTACACAAATATATCCAGCATAAATTTGACCAAAGTTCACATTTCTTAGTTTTGCTCCTTAAACGAGACATGGACGGCATGACAACTCCCTAAAGTGAAGCCAAAACTTTCAGAGCTCCCCCTAGTGACTGGCTGCAGTAAAGGGCATTCTATTAAATATTGAGTTTGATCTTTGGTGTTTAAAGCCTGTTTGGTTATTTCTGCACACGCTTTGGTTAAACTGGTGCACAAAGTCAGCGGTTATCAAGGCAGCATTTTGGCTTCACTTTTTAAAAAGGGAGGAGCTGAAGGCGTGGTCCATCTTAACATACAGTCAATGCTTGAAACAGTCAAACCTTAAAATCTCTAAAACTATCAGACACAGAAGTGCCTCCGTTTTCAGCAACATTTTCTTTTGTGTGTGCGTACAAAATCTTCATTTAGAGGAATGTTTAAGGAAATAGTGATGAAATGCAAACTCAGTGATCACATTAAGAACATGGTGTTGGTTAACTTTCTTACCGACGATATTAACCAAAGATTAAACAGTGTAAAATCCAGATTTTAGACTGTGTCTGGGCTTCAGCTATCAGTTATTGGGTTCATTTCTCGTGCTTTATTCCTCAGATGCCTCTTCCTCATTCTGATGATCCACTGAATCGTGAGTTTGGCAAAGTTAGCAGCCTTGAAGAGAGCCATGAAGACACCGCAGAGGATGGCCACAGAGCTCCAGGGATTTGCAGTAACTATCTGTATAAAAGAAAGCAACACTGTTTACAGACTCACACACTGATAGTATAGATATTAGGAGGGTTTATGTGGAATAAAGAGAATTTACCAGTTTGATTTCTTGCATATAAGGGTCCCGCCATTCAAAGACGGCGAAGAAGAGCTGGTTGGTTTGCTCTGGTTCAGGCCTTTTGTCGTTGAATTTCACCACAGCAGACTAGAAGACCAAACAAAAATGACTTAACCTGTATTTTTAAAGTCAAATTTCAAATGTATGTTTGTGTAACAACATAAATACCTCTTGTCGAAACTCGATCCCCTCGTTGGTTCTTCCAGCCGTCCTCACTAAAGACATTTTGACCCAGGTCCTGAATCCTCCAGAGAAAGTCCACATGGAGTAATTCTTCTCACACTCTCTCATGAACTCCGATTCATTTGCACTAAACAATAACAACAAAAAAACATGTTTCTGATTACGTCTTTATTTCATAAGGCAGCTATTTAGAAACATTACCGTGACACAAACCTGCAGACACTACATAGGTGATTTTTAGTTACCTGTCATTCAAGTCACTAAACTTTGCGAAGAGCATGTAGGTGATGGCGCTGAAGTCCTCCTTTGTTTCATTGTGACTGAACTGCATGAAGATCAGCTCCCTCCTCCTCACATCGGACGGGCCTCGGACCACTAAAGCTCTTTTCTATGATGACAAAGTTAAAAGTGGTGGTTATAAACAGTGTCACTTTCACAATCTGCCACACTGCATGGCTCAGATAAATAACATCGTTATGAAAGACAAGAAAAAGAAGATATACGTCGAAAAAAATTTGATCAAATGTTCCGAAAAGGTAACTGAGTGTGTGTAGACCAACTTCTTTATACAGCAGTTATAAAATTCTAGTCTCAGTTAGACTTAAACTTACTATAAACTGTCCTATCCACTGTTATATTTTGATTGCTCTCATGCACCACCTACTGGTTGATGATGTGCACTGCAGCTAGGACCCGCATGACCTTTCCTGCTGCAAGTTTTAAAAAGTGATCAAAAAGTTGTTAAAAAATGACGCCTGTTTTTAGAACTTCAGCAGAGATTTCTTTGATTATTGAATATCCGTCTTGTAACTGTGAAATCAACACTTTTATATTGTTCTCGCTCACCTGTGTTTGATTGGAAAACGGTCCGTAGTAGGTCACGTCTTTAATCACACAGTCTCCTTCCTGAGGTTTGCCTGGGTCGACTAAAGGTGGGATGTAGTCGTGGAAGTGATGTCTGCAGCTCAGCAGCTCAGCTTTACCCGGGTACAGAGCGATACCTGCACAGAGACACACAAAAAATAAACAATTAAAAACCATAAAATAATCTACACTAATGACAGTTATGTTGGTCTGAAGGTGAAGATGTTTCTCTCACAAACCTGGCGGGGAAAAGAAATCGACCTCTTTGTAGGTGACGGACATCACGGGGTTGTTGTGTTTCTCCAGGAACTCGCTGATGGTCTGGTAGGCTAAGAACCCCGCCACCCCAGTGAGCAGCAGGTAGATGAAGATGAGGACCACGGTGAAGACGTTCTTCAGGCAGGTTTTACTGAACCGCATAGACGGACTGCTCCCCCTGAGATCCTCCTCTGCGGTGAGAGAAGAGGGAAAGGATATTTATTGTTTATTAGGGTGAGCAAAGTACTGCGGTGAAAAAGACCTCAAAGGGATATTCCGGTGTAAAATTAATTTACGGTCAAACACACCATAACACCGAGTTAGACACCCCCTGGAGAGATGAATGTTGCCGACCGCTTGCTTCTCTAGTTATCATTTCTTTATTGAAAGACAATCAGACCGAGATGCTAAGGCAGAAGAACTACAATGTCTGCAGTGCAAAATAATTAATATGGTGATTTTGACTCAAGGAAATGATAAAACAATGACCATAAATGTTCTTCCTTGAGCTGCGACACCCCGCTGTAGTCCATAATGGACTGGCCTGAGATCTCGCTACATGGCTCTGAAGAGCATAAACAAACCTCAACCAAAACAAACAACAACAAACTATTAATTCAAAAGTCTATTATAGTCATAAGTTCTTGTATTCGAGGAGCTAAATCAATAAAAGAGGAACTACATCTCAATGTTTGGATTCTCTAAACCTTTAATATCTTCGATCATAGAGGATGAAACCAGTAAAACAAACCAGTCTGTCAAAGTTTATGACAAAAGTGCAATAAAGAAGAGTGACCAATCAAATCCAGTAAACACGTGAGGCTCTGTGATGTTTTCAGTGAAGTGTTATTACTGCAGAGAGCACACGTTTGTCCGTCATAACACGGGTTATTATCACCATGTGAGATGCTGCCGTTGGGCTCCTCCCGGTCCAGGTCCTCAGTGGCATCGTCGAAGTACTCTGGAGGCCCTTTGTCATCTTCATCATCCTCATCATTAAACTGTGAAGTTACAAACAAAGGACATTAAAGTACAGACGATCACAACCAAGGAAGTTTACTTAGAAAAAAGTGCAGGTTTGGTTGTTTATCTAATTTCAGCCTTACTTATCAGCCCTACTTTATCTCACGATAATACATCTAATGAGCTCCTTGACTGGTTTAATTTGTAATAAGTTGTCTGGTTGTTATAGGGGAGTATTGACATCAAAATAAAAGTCACAGAATAATAAAAAGTGCTTCAGTAGACTTGTTGTAACATGCAGTATTAATCCTCCACAATGACAGCTCTCCTTCATTGACTTTAGCTCCTGTTAGTCAACATTTTAAAGATTATTTCTCCATGTTTGGTCTCCAAGGTTCAACTTTCACCCCCCAGAAAAACCTGCAGTCAGCTGCTTTTCATGGAGCTGGAAGCTGCAGCAGTCAGCTCTACAGTCACATGATAATATCAGCTGTGTTTACTGGACTCTTCATATCGCGTGGAAGTTACAGTAAATACACTTGTTTACCGAGTCCAACCCGAGATAAAGTCACAGAGTGTAAATGAAAGTGTGTGTCTAACAGGTTGTAACCGTGTCCTACCTCTCTGTATGGTCGGGAGTTTTCCTTCCTGAGCATTCCTCTGCTCTTCTTCTTCTTTCACAAACACTTCCTCTGCTGCTGCTGCTCTTCTCTCTATTCCTGCCGAGTGTGAAAACTTCACTTCATCAAGATTAGACTCATTTTTTTTCAGGGGAGTGAAAAACCCCTGTCCTGCCCGTCTTCAGGTCCCGGTTTTCCGCTCGAACTGGTCGTCACACACCACGGCGGTTTTTTGGGCTACGTCGATAAAAGGCCCGTCCCATGATAATGAGGGACCTACAGACCGCGATCCAATAGGAAACCACAAGGCCTAGACGTTTCCTTGTTCCCTTTGTCGCTCCCTTTAGGTCCAACCTTGTGCTGCCTTCAGGTGCCATTCGTAAAAAAGCAGTGCTGGCAGATAAAACACCTTTTTAACTGTGTTGTTGTTATTGAAACACATGCTAAAGAGTCAAAAGCAACAAAATTATTTAGTATCTGGATATATATTCTTTCAAACAATAGACAGGCCCTTATTAAAAAAACGTGAGTGAATGATAAAGTTTAAGCACAGAGATATAGTTTAAGATTAAAACCTACAGACAGTGTAATTTAAGCTGTTGTTTAAACCTTTTATTGACTTTTGTATCATATTTGATACATACTTTTACATACTTCTATCAAATTAACATGATCAACAAATTACTAAAAAACACCTAAATACAGTCCAATAAATGATAAAAAAATGTCCTCTTGTAGTTTATCAGTTTCCAAAAACATCTAATGTATCAAACGAGATGAATAAATATATCTGTTAAATTTTAAGGACAATTTGATTTTGGGGGGTTTTCAGTAGTAACTGAAATAAACATTTCAGCTCCAGAAAAATTGAATTTTCTGGCCATAATCTGTGGTGTCATGCATTAAAAGGATAAAGTAGATATACAGTATGTACAGAATTTTATTGTAGACCATGCAACAAAAACAACAACAAAAAAGCTTTTGTGTTATAAAATTACCCCAGAGTATTAAGGCAATGACTGAATAAAGATGTTATTTAAAATAAAGTCATAAGGAAATAAAGCTGTAATTTTACAAGAATACTGCACAATCTAACAAGAATAAAGACATAGTAGTGCAAATATCATGAGAACAAAGTTATGTTATGAGATTAAAGTGGTAATGAGCTGTAATGAGAATACTGTAATGTGGATAAAGCCAAAGTAAAGCCATGACATTATGAGAATAAAGTCCTTCTTATAGTTTAGTTGAGCTCAGACAGCAGGATTTTTCAAATTGTTTCCCAAGAAATTCATTTAAATTAAAAATCAAACTTTGATGTAATACCTTCCACGTCCACTGAGTGGTGTAATGTGACCTTTTATTTCTTGTGAGGAGTCTAAATTGTTCCTCTTGCAGTGGTCGAGATGTGAACTGTCCATACTTAAAGATTTAATTTTAAAACATGAGAAATAAGTTATTTTTATTTTTTGTTATGAGGATATTAATAATAAAATCTGTTATTCTAAAGACGTCAGATTCATAAAGGATTAACCATTTCAAGTCCAGGATGCATTACATTGTGACCAGCTGCTCCCTCGAGTGAGTGTGTGTGTGAGAGAGAGAGACAGAGGGTTAATGTTCTGTCCTCTGTTAGTGATATACAGTGAGAGGATTATGGACACATGGCGATGAAACAGTTACTGAGCTCTTTGTATCGGCTTAACACGACCCAGCACATCCTGTTTTATCTGGACATCCATCAATCTGTCCATCCATGTATTTTCCTTTCCTTTTAACAAAAAAAACAAAACAAAAAAAAAACAAAAGATATCTCCCACTCTATCATAAATGTTGTTCTGAGCCTCAGACACCACCGGTGTTTCAGAGTAAACTGTGACCCTGCAAACTGGTGACTTTCAGTTAAATGCGTCTCTTGCTGATACCTTTAATTTTCTCAGTCAGACATCTAAAAGAATCTTTCTATGATGAAAAAATAAGAACTTTTTTTGTGTTTCAACTGTAAAGGTGTCATTTACTCGATTTCCAGTCAGCCTCAAGTGGACACTCGAGGAACTGCACTGGCTTCATTTATCACAGCCGATCAAAACTGAAATTGTTACAGAGAGAAGTAATAAATGACACTAAACTTTGTATCTGACAATGTGTATAATTGTTATTAAAAGGGTAATAAGTCTAGCCCACACTCCAGCACAGCAGGTGGGGGTGATGCATCTGAAGGCTGAGGCCACCTGCAGATTTCTGGACGAATTCGTCCGTTCTGTCGGTGTAATCTCTGCTTTAACGCTGCAGTGTGACTCTCTTTTACGCTTCTGTTTGTGTTGTCAAACACTTCTGAAATGCATGTACGAAGGTCTCCAATTATCATCTTTAACATCTACTTCCTTGTGTTGAAATTCTGAGCGTGACCGGTTTCGCCAGCACTTCTCAGATTTCTAACGTGCTGCTTAACTCGGCAGCAGCTCCGTCACACAAAGGCTGCTTTTGAGCGCAGGCCTCAGATAAGTGTTGCATAATGAAAAGAAAGCTGTGTCCTGAATAATGTGTGTGTGTGTGTGTGTGACCCACAGATGTCCACAGGCTTACACCATGTTGAATGTCTAATTAAACTGCAGGGACATAAAACCCTTTTCATCGACAAATTGAGGGTTTGTACGTGTGATTATCTGATATTGTCGGTTGTTTTGTTTGAAGCAAAAGAAGCAAATGAACAACTTTTATCCCCGACCTCACTCTGATATCGACCCTGGTTTTCTTTTCATTCAGACAGCAGGATTAAAGTGTAATCACACTACAGCTATTTAAAAGAGACCTGTGACACTCGTTTTCACCTTTCACTACGACTCCTTTAGAGCAGCTTTGCATGATTTGTAGCTGAAAAGACTCATTGAGTTTTTATCTCATTGTGATGTCTGTGGAAATCTTTTAAGGGATATTCCAGCGTAAAATTAGGTTATGGTAGAACAAAACACTGAGTTGGACACCCCCTCGAGAGATGAATGTCGTCACCCTATCAAAATAATGGCCTAAGTCATTCTTTGACGAAAATGACTAAATTCGCCTAAATCCATCATTGAAAGGATCATGCTACTTTGCCAAAGATGGCCAGCATTATCAAGAGATGATTGAGGCCAAAAACTCATTTTTGTCAAAAAATGACTTGGGACATTATTTTAATAGGGTGACAATGCTGCAGACCGCTTGCTTCTCTAGTTATACCAACTTTAGTAACGACTGCAGGATAGCAATACACAGCGGTCTACGTCTCCATGCGCAAAAACAGCACCTAACTTCATCAACAGTACATATAGGGTCCTAGCCACAGTTCTAGCCATCAAACATTGTTTTAGCTTTGCCTAATTTCTTTGGCGAAGACACTAAACACAACTCACCTACTCTCTTCCAGCAGCCGCTTGAAAGTGGGGGAGCCCTGACGAGTCGATCACAGAGTTCAGTGGAAAATTTATGATCATTTCTCCATGAAAATGCAAATCAGATGGAGACTTGGAAGAACTACCACGTCTGCAGTAAAAAATGATTACTATTTCATGAAAATGATCCCCTGCACTTGGTGACCGACTCGTCAGGGCTCCCCCACAAACAAGCGACAGCTGGAAGAGAGTTGGAGAGTTGTGTTTAGTCTCTTTGCGAAAGAAATTAGGCAAAGTTAAAAAGATGTTTGATGGCTGAGACCCTATATGTACTGTCCCACCAAACATTGGATGTCGAAGAGATGTGCAGATCAAGTCAGTATTGGGTCGGTTTGTCAAAGACCACATCCAGATGTCAGTGAGACGTGCAGAATAGGTTAGAAAATTCAACGTCCAATTTGGATCTTTTTTAGACGTCACTCTGATGTTCAGAATTTGGATGTCATCTGAAGATAAAATCTAGACGTCGGCACAACGTGCAAAATGGATCCAAGATTTAGACGTTATTATTGGACCTCTTTTAGACGTTGAAATGACATCCACATTTGTACTTCATTGTTAAAAAAATACGTTAAATAGATGTCATTTCGACGTCGCATTGCGTAGTGGGGTTGATGAAGTTATGTGTGGCGTTTTGGTTGAGGTTTGTTTATGGCTCCTCAGACCTCTCTGTATTGCTATCCTGCGGTCGTTACTAAAGTTGATTTAACTAGAGAAGTAAGCGGTCAGTAAGATTCATCTCTCAAGGCCGTGTCTAACTCAGTGTTATGATGTTTATGCTGGAAATCCCTTTAATTTAGTCTTTTCAGTCTCAGACTCATTCTGGCTGCTTTCCCTGTGATACAAAGAGCTTATGGGTGTTACTTTTTACACAGCTGAGAATGAAGCTTTAACAGAGCTCTCCGGCCAAGTCTTGGTCTTGACTCGACTTAAGACACTAATCTTTATTTTACTCAAACCACTTTGACCAGGTTTGCTTCACGTCCCCGCCTTGTGTCACCTCGTCCCCACGAGCAGTCCCGGCGTAAAGCGGCGTCCCGATGCTGATATTTCAAAGCTCTGACACTGATAGCTGAGCGTGTTTGCAGCCTCGACACCGACACGACACAGTCATTCGTTTTGGCAGGAAATAACATGAAACTGAGAGAAAATTACATATGGAAATCTGATTCAGTCATCCGGTTTTCGTGTGACCCAGACAGCACCGGAGGTTTCCCTCCTGTCAATCAAAGCGGGGCTCTGGAGGAGAAATCATCCGCCGCTCCTCTCTGAACTCTGCTCTTTTGAAAAGAACTGAACAAGAACAATCTAGATAATAATGTGCGGAGCGTCCTCTGTTCCACCTTTTCAGATAACACACCAATACTTCATAATTGTGTGTGTGTGTGTGTGTGTTTCAGTTTACAGCAATCTACTGCAATTTTTACAAGCAATTATGTTGATATTTCCTCCCTCATCTGCATACCCTCCCAATTTACAGGACGGCTGAGGATTCGGTTTGAGTGACAGATTTTCACCTCAGCTCTTCTTCTTTCTATTTTCTGTCTCGTCGGTGTCAGTCGATTGTGTCCGTGTTTATTCTTTGGCTGCCGACCATCATTGTTTAGAGTGTTTCCTCTTTTTTAGAAAAATACCGTGACAGAAAACAAAACATCCCCACAACCTTCCCGTCAACCCGCCCCGGGTGAATTTCACCAGAGCTGAAGCTGTCAGTGTGCCTCTCGTTGTTTCTGTTCATCCTCTTGTTACCCGTCACAGTGGCTGACTCCAGGTTGTAACGCACGCTCAAATGTTGCCGCTGATGAGGTGATTTCCCCGAGAGGTAGACGACGTAAAACCGACTTACTGACTGAGTTTGAGCAACATCTACAGATTTCGAAGTCTGTGTCGACCGAACCCAGGGTCACGTTTATATCATGGGATGTTTGAATAATCAAAAGTCAGAGCAGACAGAGAGCCGTCGAGAAAAGGTCGACGAGAGTAAATGCAAATAAACAGGATAAAAGTGATAAAAGTGGAAGATCTTCAAGGGCAGAAGAGCAATAAATCATCGAAAATAAGGAGATAAAAAAAAAAGAGGTAAAAGAATCGAAGGAGAATAACAAGGTTATACGAAGACGACGTCACGTCAGATGTAATAAAACAGACAAAGAGATGAGCAACGAGATGAATACAGATAAATATTCAAGTAAAACCGATGGAGAGGACAAATAAATAAAGAGAAGATAAATTAATGAAGGATGAGTAAAAAATAATAAATAGCGTGTCGGAGAAGACGTCTCTGATTCGGCTCGTCTCATCTCCTCTTGGAGGTCGTTCCAAAGTCGAGGAGCTCTGATGGATAAAAGCCCGAAAGGACGAGGAGGCCATAAAACAGCCTTGTCAGCTGAGTTTACGACTTTCATCGAGGTTGTTGCATGAGTTTTGGAGGATTTCAAGAGGGGAAGAAACCGTGTCCTGCATGGAAACACCTGTTGTGTTCAGCAATGTGCAGTTTTGGTGCAGATGTGTAGCTCGCTTTTGTACCATGTGCAACCATCCTCAACAAGGTTAATTCACCAATTGGTATCCAACGGTTTCCTTTGATTGTATGATTATGGAGAAAAGTGTTCAAAAGTGGCGTCCGCAGACTGCCTCACTCTGTACTCAGCATGTTTTTGTTTACCTCGACTGCTCTGTCGGACAAAAGAGCCGAACAAAACCCTACAGAACAAAAAGGAAGTAAAGTCAACAGGCAGATGGCAGGAGAGTATCAGGTACACAAGCGAAGAGGAAGCTCCTGTGTGTTTTTTCTTTATCTCTCCGGTTGGATTTTGGCTCTGTGACTCATTGTGTTTTCAGTCTCCTCGGCTCAGGGGAGCGCAGAGCAGAGGAAGAAATAACAGGTGAGTTTAGTTTTTCGTACGAGCGCTGTCAGAGATGGTTTTATGGAAATGGATTTGGAGGGGAAGTAGAATAGGAGAGGGACAAAACATGCAGACAGAGTGAGCTGCAGGAAGGGAGCCAGTGTGATGTGAAATGAGTGAAGGCTTGAGATGAAAATACGATTTTGAAAGAGCAGGAAGGTGGGAGGTATTGGATTTGTTGCACATTATTTGTCTTATAAATGTGTTTTCTAGACATGAATCTATCTCGGTTTTTCCCCCCATGATGCTGCGAGACCTTGCTGCACCTCATTTCCCGCTCCCATCCCATCTTCAACCACAAGAGTGAAGCAGTTTGCAGCATTTATCAAGAGAGGAAGAACTTCCTTTAACAGGCAGAAACCTTGAGCTGGACCAGACTGATGTTAGAGGGCCATTGGCTGCGGGAGGAGCTAGTGAGGCAGTGTTGGATAGGTTGACCATACACCCTTGTTGACCTGGACATGCCCTCTTTTTTGGGGACTGTCCGGCCTTGTCAGGGGAAGTTTATAAAATCCTTCTAATGTCCTGGGTTTTGTATTGAAGTTTTGAGTTTGTGTTGCATGGGCCCCTCAAAATTTACCACCCGCGACTCTGCCCCCGCGTAGTCATGTCCTCTTCTTTGGGATTCAGAATATGGTCACCCTAGCGTTGGAGGAGGCGGTGGTCAGTCAGGCCACTAAATGACTCGCGGTTTGAGGACTTTCCTTCTCTAGTATTGTCATTTTCAGTGCCGCCATTGTCTTCTTCGTTTTTCTCTCGAGATTTGTATCTGGGGCGGCACAGTGATGTTAGTGGTAAGCACTACACCACACAGCAAGAAGGTCCTGGGTTCAAATCCAGGTCAGGGCATTTCTGTGTGGAGTTTGCATGTTCTCCCTGTGTCTGCGTGGGTTTACTCCAGGTACTCCTGTTTCCTCCCACATCCCAAAAACATGCAGAAGTGGGGTTAGGTTAAATGGCCACTTTCAAAAACTGCCTGTAGGTGTGAATGTGAGCGTGGAGGGTTGTTCGTCTCTCTATGTCAGCCCTGTGATGAACTGGCGACTTGTCCAGGGTGTCCCCTGCCTTTGCCCGAAGATGCTGGGATAGGCTCCAGTCCCCACGCACCCCCGGGAATAAGCGGTAGAAAATGGATGGATGCGTGTTGTGACAGCAGCAACACTGCCCCCATGGTTTCCCGTGGTACTGCTCCATCTTACCCATATCCAGAAATTTCAAGGATATGTGCAAAAATACGGCCTAAAAGTATCCAGATTCGTATGTAACGTTGAGCCTTCACGGGACATGATGGGTCAGAGTTAACGACACAGGTGAATTTGAGTTAAGTAAACGCTTGTCATGACATCAGTAAGTCGCACTTCTTAACAATAAGGCACACTCGTTTGCATTTGGAGTAATCAGTAAAACAAAGGCAGGGTTTTAATAATTTTACGGCTGCAAACACTAAATCAATCCTCGCTAAAGTTTTCATTTCCTGATCATTACGATGCAGAAACGGCGAACACAGAGCAGAAAGAAAAGGTCAGAAAAAACAGCTCCTGCAGCCTGCGTGTTGTCAAAATGTCTTTGTGGACTCACTGTGAAGGCAAACCCCCGACAAAAACACACAACAGCACAAAAACACACATACACAGAAACCCCAGAGCTGTGGGCTTCCTTTACAGAGCAAGGTCACAGATGGAAACTAATGCCCTTATCACAAAAACATCAACCCTTATCTTCTTCTCAGGCACCACCACATCCTACCTCCACACACACACACACGCCAACATCCTCCACTTTGCCTTTTCAGAGAACAAACGAAGCTTAACAGGAGCTTTTTCTTTGTCACGCGTTGCTCCTGTGTTGCAGCACAAAGTGTTTTCAGAAAAAAAAAAAAACAGATTCATCTGGAAACACGAGGGGAAGGAGGAGAATTATGTAACACATTAGTAAGATGTCAGTCACTCGTGCTGAAAGGAGTCGAGTGTTTGTGGATCACATGAAAAACTTCAGACGAACTGTTGCTTGTTGATCTTTCTCACACATTTTTACGTTGTTTTAATCACGTTTATATCGCATTAGTTCTCCAGTAAAGGATAAATATTCCCAGTAAGAACGAACCGACAAGGAAGAAGGAAATTATCAAGAGGAAGTTTGACATGGTTTAGTTTTCTCTCTCAATGTCAGCAGACAGGAACAGTCCAGTCATTTATTAAAAAGGGGAAGATAAATACTGCATAGAGTGGAAATCATGGTAATGAACCGAAGTTCTGGTTCTGGTTTTTGGTGCTTTTTTTGAAGCTCATACACAAACACAAAGGTCGGCTGTAAATCTGAATTTAACTATTTAGCACAGCTCTGTTTGGTGCTGCACACATAACTGATGATTCAGTCTTGATTAATATCTGCAGATGTGACACCCAGACTTAGTCGTGATGAGGATTTGGGTGTGTGTGTGTGTGAGCGTGCACAGGTGTGTGTCTGTCTGCACATGTATTAAAGGGACGGTGCGCATGATGGAGAGCTTAGAGAGCTGAATCAGCAGATTTTTTTTCCTTTGGGTTAAAGAGCTGCTGTGGATCTCTGTAGGAGTGTCCCGATACAACTTTTATACTTTAAATACAATACCGATATTTTAGCCGCTACCCATAATTTAGCCTTCAGTATAAACCGATATTGATATATTAGCCTTTAGTATCAGCCAATAACGACATTGTAGTCTTCAGTATTGGCAGATACTGATAATGTAGCCTTCAGTATTGGCCGATACCAACATTGTAGACTCTAGTATTGGCAAATACCAATATTTTAGTCCTCGGTATTGGCCGATACTGATATTTTAGCCTTTGGTTTTGGCCGATAGGATATTTTAGTCCTTAGTACTGGCCGATACTGCCATTGTAGCCTTTAGTATTTGCCAATACCGATATTGCAGCCTTCAGTATTGGTCGATACAGATATTGTAGTCTCCATTATTGTCTGATACCGGTATTGATCTGATATTTGCACAAACTAGCATTTTTTGCAAGTTTTGCAGCATTTATCGTCTTTTTCTGACTTCAACAAAAATTACTGCGACGCGGCCGACATCAGTCCTATTTCTCGCTACTTCCTGTGGTTGTGATTATGTGGGCTTTGCATGCTGGATCCAGGTGCTGCTGGATAGAGGTTCTGGAGTGGAGTCTGGAATGGACTGCTTGTATCGGAGTGCTGACATCGGAGATTTTAGATGCAAACCGTTTTTTTGCCAATATCGGATATCCGGTATCGATAGAAGTTCAGGACACCCCTATATCTCTGTAAGTGTGTACCAAACAGAAGAAAGTGGGTTGAGACTTCTCTTGTGAATCTTATTAACTTGCTCTGATATTAGGAAAGCGCTCTCGCTCTTTTAAGACTTTCAACCAGGTTTTCGTTGGTCTAAGATGCTGAAGACCAGTACAGGTTCATGGGAAATGACGGCAATTTTGGTCTGTTTTGTGGAGTGTATCAACAAAGGTTCTGACCACTATCATTCACACATATCATCGACTCAAAACAAGAACATCACAGGTACTGTCCATGAGTCTCACCTCAATTCACTCTGTCATTTCTATGTCACCGCTGTGATAATGAAGCTGCATCTTTAACCCGTCTCCTAATGAGTGAGATCCACAGGGGGACTCTGCTTTTTCCATCTTGACGCGTCCGTTTGATCCGTTTATTTGTAAAGGTGCGAATGTCCCTCCTGGAACAAAAGGTGCATTCAGGATGTGTTTTCATAGATACAGACATACATCCTGTCCTGTTATATGAAAGTAAGTGTTTGACATCACAGATCTGTTTCAAAGACCTTTTTTAGAGGTTGAACCTTGGAGCTGCAGCCCGGTGCAAACATCAAACACACCATCAGTCTCAGATGTATTTATATCCCCACACACACACACTCACACACACACACACAATCCCCTGGCCTGTGCTGAATAGACCCTTTAGAGGATTTTGTCTGACCACTTGCTTTATTCTCCCCGCTGAAGGCTAATTGAGATTGTGCAAATGAACAGAGGGAGCTGTCAGACGGTGGGAGGCTGGGGGAGGAGGGGCGGTGAAAAATAAGCGCTTCCTCCTCTGTGGTTCCCAAAATAACCCGCGCCCCCGTGGCTCCATCGCCCCACTCCTGAGACCGGGTATCCCAGCTGTGAGACGGGCTGTCAGACTCTCTCTCTCTCTGAAACACACACACACACAAACACACTCCTCCTCCTCTTCTTCAGTGGAAACACCTTCTTACATGCACACACGCTGTTTCTCTTACGGCTTATTTACCACTGCCATTATAAATATTGTCCTTTTTGTTCTTATTATCGCATCTATCCAGATTTTTGCATGACTAGAAGTAGGTGAATAGCAAACATTACACTCTTATGTAACCGATGAGCTTCCGATTCAGTTCAATTGAAAGCACCCTCTCAATCCCTCATGAAAATTGGTTCCAACTTGTCCATTCAAGAGTGGATTGGATTGGATTAGACCAGAATAATATCGTACTTTTCCCTTCTTCTTCTTTACCGGACTGTTTGTGATCGACATCGTTGGTCTTTTACTTTTTTTATCCAACCTTCCTGCTCCACCTTCTGACTTCATCAGTCCGTTATTATCCACTTCATGTTTATTTTTATCTCTGAACTGATCATTTCATATTAACCTCTGACATTACATGAAATTATAAAGAGATGGGGGCTGAGAGAGGTGACCATGTGGTCCTGGGTACTTATGAGACAGCCTCTAGTGGACACCAGAGGAATTGCAGTTTTAGCGCTTTCATTTTGCATCACGAATGTTAAGAGAGTTTGAAGCTTTTTAATTTGTAGAGATCACAGACTGTATATAGAACAGCACCCTCTGGTGACGGGCTGCAGTATAGGTCATAAATCCCGCCTCCTCCAGCAATCCCTATGGAACTATGGACAAACTTTAGAAATTAATGACACAGAATATAAATGTTTCTCCCCCCTGGTTGTGATGTTGACATGTAGTTACTGTCAGACTGGTTTGTGCTCAAGTCCTCTTTTTAAAAAGTTATTAGGGGGTTCATGTTTTCTATGATTGACACCTGATACAGCCTATGGGCGTACCAAGATTGCGTAGCTCATTCAGGGGATACGCTATTTGAGGCGAGCGTCATCACAGCGACTCTCCCACCGGAAATACCGAGAGCAAATTGGCTTCAAATGCGTGTAATGACGAAAGGCGGAGCCAAGTTGTCCATAGTAAACACAGTCTATGGTAAAGACCCTCAATAACGACTCAAAATTGTAAGCTATAAGCTTTATTATGACAACATGCAACGTTATAATCGCTTACATATGCTAATGTGGCTAAAAGCTGTGTAAAAAGTAACACCCATGAGCTCTCTTTAACTTTAAATCAGTTGAAATGCAACTTTTTAAGTAGAAGTAAAAAAAAATGCTGATGTAGGGGTTTTTGCAGACGCCATTATTAGACAAATCTGGATTTTTTTTTCATGCAAATTGACATAATGAAAGGTGAGTGAGTATAATATAATAATAAGTTTCCCCAAATGTAAATGATGTAAGCTGTTGGGCTGGGCCACCTCGGTCAATAAGATCGGACACACCCCTGTCAGCTTTTCATCACATCACCGTTACCTGGTACTTCTACTTTGATAGTTCACATCCTTTACAGTTTTTTAAGGGTTGCAGCGTTCGTGTAGTTCAGTCTATGTAAATGTAGTCCATGCCCGGGTCTTCTAATCTCCCATAAAGTGACAGTTTAGGATGTACTTAAGTACTACGGCCACGTTTCAGCTATTGAGCTTTGAATTTGCTCGGCTCAAACTGTGAATGTTGAGGGGAAGTGGAGTCCCTGCTGCTCTGGATTAATATCTGTCATCCACACATGTTTGAAGTTCTTCCCTGTTGATAAAATCCCTGTAAGCCATCTGAAGGAAAGAGATGGGAGCGCGTATTTGCCATCCATCTGCAGCCTATAATTTCAGGTATATTATGTGCAGAGCTGCGCTGCTCTGCCTCTCTCATCCTCATGTACTCTACTGCTAAAAGCATCTCATAACAGGTAAATAACAGGTATTGATTGTGTACTCTGCGCTCCTGAGTGCATCTGTTTGCTGTCTGGGTTTTTATTTCCCTGTGTTGCTAAAATGAGCCGAGAATGAAGTTGTGTTGGGATGTTTATGTTGGTTTGAATATCACGATATAAGCGGCAACAACAACTCCAAATGTTGATCCTTCTCTTTAGACTCATTAAAATCTCCTTTTCTGAGAAATTCTTTGCAGAGCAGGAGCAAATAGTGATGAGTAGAAAAGCAGAGACAGAAGCAGGTCAAGTTGATCTACGGTTTTATCATCGAACTCCCTGAGGAACGCCGATTCTCACTCTCCTCCATTGAATATATCAGGTCACCTTGTTACCGGGGCGTTTGGAGGAGAAAGTCTCTTGTTTTTAAAGCTGTATTTAAAACCAGTCATAAAAGTTAAACAGTGAGAAATTAAGCTGATGTGGGAGTGTTAAAACTGCAGACATTAGTACTGGTGTGTTTGTTAAGAAGATATAAAGATTTCAGGATCGGTGAATCAGAGGCAAAGCTGACTTGACTGTGAGGTGGGTACACTGGAGCTGGTTATAAGTCGGCTTTGAGATTCTGGTAGGTCCTAAAGTAAGGTTAAGTCAAAATTCAGCTTCACCAATAAATATGTGACGTACGAAAAAGAGGATTAGGGCCACATGAAGAGAAAAAAAATAATTACAGAAAGGAGATTAAAGTCGAAATTATGTCAATGAAGTTGAAATTTCAAGATTAAAAAATTGAAATTATGTCAATGAAGTTGAAATTTCAAGATTAAAGCCAAAATATCAAGATTACAAAATGTCGTGAATAATGTAGAAATTTCGAGATTAAAAAATTAAAAATTTGAGAATTAAATCAACATTTCGAGATTAAAGTCGACATGAATAAAGACGAAAAATCTCAACTTTTTTAAACTTTAATCTTGAAATGGAAATTAAAAAAATCTGCCTCCGGTAATTTTTTTTGTCTCTTCTTGTTGCCCTAATCCTCTATCTTACTGACGCCACTATCACTCCATCCATATATTATACAGTCTATGGATACACCCAGGTCCAGCCTGATACAGTCTTTAAGTGGCCCGCTAAGCTGGTTATTCAAGTCTGGGGTCGTCACACCGACAAAGGGGTTAAATAGTGATGTCACGCCCCAGTTTGTTACACGAAAATGAGCGGGTTGTTGTGGAGAGAGGAAATGATCAAAAGTATGTGTACTTAAAGGAAAGTTGAACTAAAGTTTTCCGGCTGTCTGTGATAATAAACTCAGCATTTACGTACATTTATTTTGTTTGTTCGTTCTTATCATCGGGTGCAGTTGGTCTGGGGTCGAGTACAAGAGGCTTTTGGATCCAGTTTGCACCCTTGGTGGGCGAAGAGAGGTAGGGAGTGTGAAACAATTTGATTGATAATGTTGGAAGGAGAAATTGTTTCGAATGTTATCATTGTTGTTGATTTAATTGTGAAATTGTGTTTATGTTGGAAATTGATTTGTATTTTTTCTGTGTTTTAGTTTCATGGTACTCGAAGCGAGGAATAAAGAAATAAAGACTGTACAGTTGAACGCAACGCTGTGGTTTATTGATACCAGCACAGTCATTTTCACAACTCTGGTGCGAAACATCGTTTGGTCTCTGCGTTTCGGCCTTAAATCCATGCACAGTCTTTGGTTATTGCGTCTCTGCACAAGCAGAAACCTTTTGATCCACGTCTGTTTCATACTGTTGGGTTCAGCTCCACTCTGTAGCTACACGGTTTAAACCACACTGTTACCTACACTCTATAAGAAGATGCTAAATCCCCGTGCTCACATTGTTTCCCTGTGGTGAGCGGCGTTGCGGACTGAGTACCTATTATGACCTCCTACAAGCCCGGCATGCTTATGCCAACTAATGTATAATTCAGGCCCCATGTTTAAAGCAGCCTTTAGGTAATACCCTGACTTCTGCTTCAGCCTTTAAAACAACATTCAGGCCTTCAAAATAAAGTGTTTCTGTTGTTAAAAATAAACAAGATTCATTTTTGGGGTTTTGAGGCAGAAATTCTTTGTTCTTTTCTTCGGGGGATTTATTAAAAACAACATCAGAGCTTTTTCATTTTTAAAGAAATACCTCTGTCCTTATTTTAACCCTGCCGTCAGGATCTCAGAGAAGGTAACGTAAGCCCTGAAGAGGCGGGTTGATTGCAGATTAAAATGCTATGACACTAAGAGCTTTGAATAAAACATGCAGCATCATCAGCTCTGTGTCGAGTGGATGAGCTCCAGATGCTGCGACTCGGTTCAGACTAAGAGGACCCGCGGCTCGTCGTGACCCCACCTGGATCCCCGAGGCTTTGAGCAGGTCAGAGAGTGAACTCAGTCAGGTGGCGGTGTTTACTTTGGAGCAGAGTGAGACCTCGTACCAGGAGGATAGCTCTGTAAACATCTCCTCAGTCTTTCCCTGAAGGATTTACAGGTGAAATCTGAAGAGGTGTTATGAAACAACGATACAAGGACCAACGATTGGGCTGCAACGATATCAGATTTTCACTCTAATGTTGTTTTTGGGTTAAAAATAAATCTGGATGTCAGTTTTCAAAGTGCTGAAACATCCGTGAGAGAACTGACACAGCTAGTTTGCTGGCAGACGCTACTTCTTCTTCGTTTCTCCTCCAATTTTTGACATGTGGCGACCAACGGAAACGACCAGGACTATGAAATCCTGGTATTACTGGAAGTTTTATAGCTCCAACTAACCTGGGAGTGTTTCTGGTTGCAGCCTGATGATACATTGGCAGTCTGTCCAGGGTGCACTCCGCCTCGAGTCCTCCATAACCTTGACCTGGACAAACAGTAAAGCTCATTGATGGACGGACCTGTAATAAGTAAACGATCTTTTGAGTGTAAATCTCCTCCTGAAGTACGTTCATCTGCTTTCCTTCCTTTAGATCGAATTTGTAACTCAAACATACCTGATCCGACCGAGTGCAGACCTGACATATGGTCCTAGAACTGGGGCGTCCTCAGACAGCAGCGTTGAGTGATGTTCAGTCTGCAGGAGTTGATTTTATTTCGAGGGCTCGCTGCAGCTCCCGATAGAGAAAACGACACAGCCTGCTCGGTGAGCCGCTCTCTCTCCTGTTCGCTTTAAGGTTTGGAGTTCTGGTTGAGGTGTTTCTTTTCTATCAGACTGAAAACACAGGAGGGAGGTAAGGTGAGAAAACAAGTCATGAGCAGAAATTTTACTCCTGACAACTAGCATGTGCCAAAATCCTCCCCTGAGCTAACAGGGGAAACTCAGGAGGAAGATCTAGATTTCATTTTACTCATTCTCAGTCAGCTTTGGGACCAGCAAACTAAATAATATCAACTTGTCATAGCCTGGGTTTTCTGCCGCTTGTTCTCAGCTGCTGCTTTAAAGTGTTGAGGCAGTTTTGGCGCCCCCTGTGGACAAAGAAGTCTTTACTTATCTTGTCATCTATGTGCCAAAGTTGTGTCCTCTTGACACTCACAAGTATCACTGATTGTATTTTAAGAAGAACTTTATTAATCCTCTAAGGGAAATTCAATTGTCTGTCGTCTCATTTGTCATGTCTCTAAAAGTTTATCTACTATTTACACAAAAGTTATAAAGTCTGATGGCTGTTGGCACAAAAGATCTTCTGAGAGAGGAGCCGTCCACCAGCATTGGCTCTTTGGTTCTCAAGTCCAGTCCTCGAGGCCCACTGTTTCCCTGCTCCAACACACCTGATTCAAATGAGCTCATCATTTGAATCAGGTGTGTTGGAGCAGGGAAACAGTGGGCCTCGAGGACAGGGCTTGAGAACCACTGCATTAAGGTGTTGTGAAGTGGGTGATCCATGTTCTTTAGAATAGTCTCCACCTAAAATTAATTAAAATTAAGCAGGAAAATGCAAAAACACAACCTAGTAGAAAAATGTTCAGTCTTGTTCTCTTTCAGATATTATTAAAAAATCTCATAAATGTTAGAATAACTCCTCACAGGAGCTTTAATCTAGTATCTGCTCTGTATCTACACTTTTTCAGCACTTGTGCATCAGCTGCAGACGTCTCCCTCTTGGTTTAGCTGCACTTTTCACCTGAGATGAAACTAACACTCGTAAGATCGCTGAAAGGGACGCCCAATAACAGATTAAGGCTTTTCCACCACTGAGACAAGATTGGACATCATCTTGGAGAGACCATGAGGACACTTTCTTTGTCTCTAACATGTCCACACTCTCTCCTCTCTCATTTTCAGTCTCGGGTCCGTCTGCCTCACAAAGCTTCTAGAAAAACATCTACTCCAGCAGCAGCAGCTCTCCTCCTCCTCCTTCTCCTCCTCCTTCTCCTCCTCCCAACCTGCTCCAGGCTCCACCTGCAGAGCCGCCCCATCTAAAATTGATTACGGTGACATTTACTATTCATAGAAAAGGTTACTAGAGTAACCCTGCGCAGAGCAGCGTGTTTGAGTGGCGCATTATTCCCAAACAAATGAAGAGACGCTCTTCACTGAACTGAATGACAAACTGGTTGTGTAATTATCTTTAATATGCTGATCTGCCGAGCGCTCGGCTGATATTTTAGCACTCTGGATTTATTTGAAAAGGTGAAAAGAGGAACGCAGAAAGAGAGAGTTTAGATTATTGCATTAAGATCGATATTCTGCCGCTCTAATGGATTTCTCCTCTGCACAAAACACGTAATTATTTTACTTTATTTGCGTTTTTTATCCCTGAAAGTGGTTTCTAAATGATTTATGTCTTAAAATATGAAAAGAGACGTTTGTACGTAACTGAAGGCTGTTTATAAGACCGCACAAAAGAATTAAAACACTATATCAAAGTTTGATTCATCTCTTTAAACTGCTGCTCTTTATCAGGAGGACCAAAAAGGTGGTATTAACATTCAGGTAACCATGGCAACAATATCTCTGTTCCATGCTACGCTACCTGAACTCTCAGCGGTGGAACCGACCTGACCACTGCCAACATTTCTCTTCCTGTAACAAGCACAATAAATCGCTGCGAGGTGTCCCAGTTATGAAAGGAGAGGACTCAGCAAAGAGGAACACTTCCTCCTCACCTTCCTCTTATGGAGGAAAAAAAAAACCAGCATTTTAAAGAGTTTAAAATTTAATTTAAAAGTCCGGCTGAAACACTAAGAGCTTTCTTTGGCCGTCAAACTTCACCTGAGTGAGTTTTGGATAAAAGGTTATTTTATTTTAGGATGTGTTTAAGTTTTAGGGAGTGAAGGGAAACCCTCAGCAGTGTTTAAAGGGATATTCCGGTGTAAAATTAATTTAGGGTCAAACACACTGTAACACTGAGTTAGACACCCCGTCGAGAGATGAATGTTTGCTTCTGTAGTTATACCAACTTTAGTAACGACCACAGAGAGCCACACGTGCAATCAAAATGCCACTCTATAGCCACAAATAATGCTCAGAACAGCACCTAACTTCATCAACAGGACATATACGGTCCCAGTCATAGTACCAGCCACCAAACATCTTTTTAACTGCCTGATTTTTTTTAGCAAAGAGACTAAACACAGCTCAACGTCTCTCTTCCAACAGCAGCTTGTTTGTAGCAAGACTTCAGGCCAGTCCTTTACAGACTACAGCGGGGTGACCCAGCTGTGACCCTATATGTCCTGTTGTTAGGGTTTGTTTGACCCTAAATTAATTTCCCGCCGGAATATTCTTTTAAGTTCACACTGATTAACAACTTTTTTGTGTTCTCTTTCAAGCAGCATCTAAATTCTCTTCACTTAAAGTCTCCTGTGCCTCGTTTTCAAGTCTTCAATCAGTTGCATGAATTACAACAGATTTTTGCTTTGTATCATTGGTGTATTTGCAGTATTTTTGCTGTGCATGCAGTTGTTTTGGCTTCTTGCAGCATGTTTTTTTTTACTTCATTTGCAGTGCCGATGTGTCTTTTTTGTAGGTTCATCTGGATGTTTTGCTGCGGTGGACATGTATGCTGTCCAGCTGCTTCAAATACATTCACCAGTCTTCACATCTCTCTCTAAACCTGTTGCAGTCGCGGCAGATGACTGACTCACCTGAGTCCGGTTCTGCTCGAGTTTTCTGCCTGTTCAAACGAATGAATGACATGGCGGATCCAGAATATACAGACGTACGGCAGAGACCGTCAACGCGTCACGTATAATATTAACAAACTACGCATAACACGGTAAAGCTGATAGAGCTGGCAGAGGGACTACGTCACACAGCCTGACATGTTTCAGTACTAAAGTGTAGAAGAAGAATATCTCCATATTACCTCACTTCCTGCTAAGGTATTGACGTGTTTTCTAAACGCTAGATGGCGCACACTGTTCGCCAATGGAGACCGACGTTCGCGCATGGCGGCCATTTTGCTACGGGACGTTAGCCCACTCATAACATTACAGTATGTAGCATTTAAACAACCAAAGATTGATTAAGTTTGAACCGATTTTTAAACGGTTTGGTTTGTAACAAACCTCAGAGTTTTAGTTATGTTCCTGCATACTCAAGAATAATGTTAGCCATGGATTTTCATAAATAAACATTAAATAGACCTACACACACAAGGAAGTTATATTAAATCATTTATGTATAAAACATTAAATCATTTCCTGTATGTTATATTAGTAATATTTCTATTATAGGGATAACTTTAATAACAAATAGCAATAATATATATATATATATTTATTTTCAATATAAATTTCTGCCTCGTGTTACGATTTTAGATGTTTTTAACAAATCAAACAGTTTGGAAATCACGTGCAACCTAAATTATGTTGAAACAAAAGAGCATTTCTGCCTCTTCAACTGATGTGATATTCACCTCCCATCAGCTACCATAGAGCGTACCAGAATTGTATACTGGTACGCCGCCATGTAGGGACGCCGGCGACTCCTCGAGTCTTCTAGTCTTTCTTAAAGCCTGACTCCCAATTTCCACCGCATCTGGAATGGCTACGAAAAGGCCGAACCCGCCGATCGCAGCTGATCGCAACCATTCAAGTTAATGTGTCAATTTCCACCGGATTCTTTCTGTTCCGCTGCAAATCGCAATAGTTCTATTTTTTTCGTAATAAATACATGAACTGCACCCTCTAGAGGCTTAAAAAGGCAACTGCAAATGTAAACAGAAGCTGTTCCAACTCCAATACTACACAAATTTTTTTTTATCCTACTGGGAAAAAAGGGATTGGTCCAAGAAGTGAGCCTTGGGGGACTCCAAGGCCTCATGCTTAGTGTGACTCAGAGACATCTAGACATCTTTCTGACAAATGAGTGGACCTCTGGGTTTTCAATCAGAAATATGAGTACAGTCATTAGATTACAAGCTCTGCTACACCGGTACAAATTATCCACACCAAATCCTGACGTCAAGGGGTTAATTAGCAGCTGTCTCCGGGTAACACTTACCCTCTGTGAACGGTGCTTAAGGTTGTATCTTTGAAACCACTTACTTTTCTTTCTCTCTGAAGTGAGGTGTTGGACTCCGGTAAAGTTCCCATTACATGTTTGCTGATCCGTCGTGCAGCTCTGCATCAGGCTCTCATTATGCGCGCTGCAGCTCCTCTTCAACTCGAACAGTGAAAGAAGCAGCAGCTCTAAGTTGGAGGATGAATGTTAATGTTAGTTCTCTGTTAAACTCTTCCTGTCACTGCGCTGTGTTGGCAGCCATGACGGGTCCAACATGTAGGTGTATTTTCTGTGTGTGGGCGTCCAGCTCGCAGGCTGAGAGGCCTCAGAGGAGACGGAGCTCCTGGCTGGCTGCCGTCCACACACTAAGTGCTCTTCATATAATCAAACACACTGCATCTCCCTGCTCTTTAATTTACACATTTAAGTGTTTCATCAGGTTCATGCTGTGTTTCATCAGTTCAGCCTTTCAAGAAATCTCCGCTCGGCTCATGATGTACGGCACATTATCAGCACCAGCTCTCAACAGGCCAAACATCTGACCTGTTACGAAACATATTACTTTATTCAAGGAAACACTTTAAGACCCTTAACCCAGCATGGGAGCCGAGTTTACTGACTTCAAGACGCATGAGACTTGACAGCCAATCACACGTCCTTTCAAAAATAAACCTCCTGGGTGTGAAAGGTGGTTTTTTAAGGTATAGGCTCCAACTTTAGAAACAAGCATTATACAACCGTACAGAGTAAACTTCCACCTGAAATGCTTCATTACAGTGCAGCAGTGGGGGCGGCTGAAGCTCCGTCTGCAGGGACCTGGCTTGTGAACCGGAGGGGTGCAAGTTCAAGTCCTGATATGGACAAAGTAAGGGTGTTGGACTAGTTGCTGGAGAGGAGCCAGTTCACCTCCTGAGCAGAGTTTATGTTTATGAAGTAGAGTTTAGACCTTGAACAGTCTCTCCGATAATGCAGGTTCAGAGGATCCTGTTAGTGCATGTAAGAGGGAGAGGATGAGCCAGCAAAGGCCATGGGTGAACAACATCGAGGTATTCCAAGTACTTGTTTATCTTGAAACTTTTAACGTCAAAGGAATTCTGTAAAATTTAAAAGTATATTTTCATCTGATTTTTTAAGTGCATACAGTTTAAGGTTAAAGCGAACAACCTTAGCGTAGTCTCAGGACCTGACAGCATCAATCGTTGTCTGACGACGCTTTGCTAAGTTTGCACCTGAGAAAAGATGGAAACTTTTTTAGAAGTTTAGGTAGTTTGTGAAAAACAACTTCAGGTCAAGACTGCCTTAATTGTTTTCAGATTTGGTCCATCACCGCCCTTGAAAATGAACTTGTTTATCCGTCTCTGGCAGGTCTCAGTTTCACTGTAGCTTCACTCAGGCTAATTTCAGTTTTAGAGTTAAAGTCAGTTGCACAGAGGCCTCACTTTGGCACTCTTTAATTCATCTGGTCTCAGTTGAACTGTACCTGCAAGACGTACAGAAGCTTAACTAACTTTTCCTTTATTTGACTTTTTTCCAGTAAGTCTTAGTTTAACTGTTAACAGTGGGGTACACAGTCGTCACTGTTTTAAGAAGGGCCTTCTTTTACTTTTAACTGTTCGATAGACCGAGTCTTCTCTTAGACTGTCTTTGGTTCTTCTCTTTCAAGTAAGTCTCAGTTGCGCTGTAAGCAGCAAGTTACACAGAAGCTTACCTGAGTCGTACCTCAGTTTATCACTTTCAAATGAGTCTCAGTTTTACTGTTAACAGTACATTACAAAGAGGCCCCACTCAGGGTCTGTTTCAAGCAGGTCCTTGTTTTACTGTTAACAGCAAGTAAAACAAAGCCGTCAAACAAGTCTCTCTGTCTCACAAGGTCTCAGTTTCACTGTAACCGTTAGTTGCACAGAGGCTGAACTCAGACCTAATTTAATTTACCTGTTTCATGTAAGTTTTTAACTCTTAGATACACACAGGCTTACCTCGGGTTTCCTTTGTTTCACGAGCTTCAGGTCTTAGTTTTACTGTAAACAGAAAGTTACACATTCAAGCTTACTTCAGTAACATGCGACTAATAGAAAAACCCATTTTCTCATTCTTTATTTTTACTTGAGGGGCCTGAAGTTTCCTGGAATCACATTTTCATGGTTGAGAAAATGCAAACCTTTGTAGCTGAAGTTGAAATAAACTGAGAACTTTTATTTTTCCAACAAATTGAATTCTCACCAGCACTTTTTTTTTCTTCACAGTGTGACCAACTTGGACAGGTTTTTTTTTGGTTCGTCTGCTGTATTTCTGTTATCATAATCAAACCCTTGTAATCCAGTCCCGCTGAGCATTGAGAGGGCAGTGTTTGAGCTGCAGGCAGAGGGCGGGTGTTTGCACCTCGGCCTATCACGGACTCATTTGAAAGAGCCGTTTGAAGCCAGCGGGAGTGGGAGATGAAAGTCCTGGCACAGCACTCTTTGACATCATCAAAACACAACTCCCTCACAACACTCAGCACCTCTAATGGCTGTGTTAAAAGGTACTTTTAAATACACAGATTTACAAGTGGCCGCTGGCTCCGTCCGCTCCGTCTTTGCTCTGATCTGAACATGAATGAATCCTACATAATGAAACAGGAGAGAGCAGCCAGAGGGGACACCGCTCAGACGAATAATCCTTATCTGCTGAGACTCTTAATACCCAGAATGAATGTCGAACTGTTTTCAGGTTCAAAGTGGCAAAATATTATTTTAAAAAAGACAGCGTGTGTGAAAAAGAAGGGAAAAGACTGGAAGGGGAAAGGAGACAGGTGGATTAAAGAGTTTGTTGGAAGAAAAAAAAAGCAGGAAAATGGTATCTACATCGTAGCGAAAGTTATCTGATCTTTAATGTCAAATCTTAAAGTGTAAAGTTCCAGCAAAAAACAGATTCATGTCAAGAAAATTGCTAGTAAAATTCACAAATTACATCTGAGAGAGCTGCCAGTTAAGAAGGTGGACAACACATCAGCTCCTTGAGAGTGAAACCAAAACTTTTAGAGCTCCCTCTAGAGACTGGATGCAGTATAGGTCATAAAGCCCCGCCCCTTCCATGTTAACAGATGGGACGTCAAAGCGATGTTACCTTAACATGGTTTTTGTCAGAGTACTTACTAAGCTAATTTAAATTCAAGTGTCTAATTTTAATAAAGATTTAGTTTGAATCACTCACTGATGTTAACAAAAGAGGGGGTTTGTGGTCATGATTGACAGCTCTGTGGACAAATTCTGGGTGTTCGTACAGGTGTGACCCTTCATGACTACAAAGTTGTGTAAAAAGTAACACCCACAACTTCTGACTGACTTTATATCAGTAAAGAAAATTGAACAGATCAGGCAGCAGCTTAAAAATGTTGAAATAAGTGTGTTAATGGACACTGGTTTGAGATAAATAAATATTTATAGAGCCTTACTCAGGATTTCCACCGCATCCGGAATAGCGGCGATTTTTGCCGTCCGCCAATTCCTATCAGATAGTGTGTGAGGCAAATTTAATGTGGATTATGGACAGCAGGAATCGCGAGAACTCACAAGAACCTGCGGATTCCCGTGTGATCACGAGGTGAACCTTATAAGCAGTAGATTGTGTCCTTCCAGAGGAGGAAATCTACTTCCAGACTTATAAAATCAGCATCTCCTCATCCATGGTATCACTGGGGTGAAATGCTGTCTGTAAGCCTTTCACTTGTTCATTCCCGCCGTTTGCATGGTGTGAAATACGATCCACCTGAAAAAAATAGAACTCTTGCGATCAG